CCCGCATGAGTTTGCAGAAAGCCAAACGTCATCAAGAAAGGTTGAAATAGTCGGCAATGTTTCAAAGAAAAAAAGCAAGAAAAACAAAGGGAATCGTCAATGCGAAATACACGACGAGGCGTTTTTGAGCGCACTGTCACCCTTAAGACGGTCAGTGTGTTGGCGTGTAAGACGTGCAGAGTTGCGTTTTCAAGCAAACGAGTGGTTGAAGACACCGCATTAAAAAGTATGGTTTAGGAGCGCAAAAATAGAGAAGAAGCGTTCGCTTCACAAATTTCGGCATGACGGCATTGGAGTTCGTTAGCAACAGAGCTGTTTCATGTCTCGCTTATGCCGTCCTCACGCATCACATAACGAAGGCAGAGGCACGTCAGACGAACAGATAAGTTGCAGGCCCAAACATCTGCACGTTTGAATCCAGTTAGGAGCGTGTCGCTCATCACACTGGGGAGCTGCCTGTCAGGCCGCATGAGTTCCCGCTGTCCATCGTCATGTCTACACCCATCATGTACGAGACGCGGTCCGACGCAAGATACACGACGGCCTCGGCAATCTCACGCGGCTGGGCTAGACGTCCAATCGGTGCCACGATACCCATGTCTGACGGCCGTTTGCCCAGCTCGGTAGCCGTGCGACCAACCATCGGTGTATCACAGGTGCCGGGATTGATAATGTTGACGCGAATGTTGAAGGGGATGAGCTCCAGCGCGAGCGACTTGCACAGCATCCGCACCGCACCCTTGCTGGCGCAGTAGGCGGCCAGGAGAGCACCGCCGCGCACGGCGCCTGTTGAAGCGGTGCACACGATGCTGCCACCGCCCTGCACCTTCACCAGCGGGGCCACAGTGCGAATGCCGAGGAAGGTGGCGAGGGCGTTGATGTTCATCGTCTTGTTCCAGACGTTCAACGTCGTGCTCTCCAAGTCGGACATGATCATGATGCCAGCGTTGCACACCAGCACATCAACGCGGCCAAAGGCACTCTTGCACGCGTCCATCACTGTCGCCCACTGCTGTTCGTTCGACACGTCCAGCGCTGCCGCCACCGCGCGCTGACCCTCCACGGCGTGTTTACCGGCGTTCAGCGTGGCGGCCAGCTTCTCAACCGAGGCGCCATTCACGTCCGTCAGAAACACACTGCAGCCGCGCTCAAAGCACAGCTCGGAGATGCCGTGGCCGAGACCGGCACCGGCGCCCGTGATGAAGGCAACCTTGTTGTCGAGCTCGTGGGAAATCGTGCTGAATGAAGAACGGTCTGTTGGGAAATGTAGAGGTGAGTCTCACGTTTTTGCCTTAGAAAATAATTGTTTTGTTTTTGTTAGTGTTGTGTTCTGTTCTCGTGGATGTAAAATACAAAAGTGTGTTGAGATGGAGGTGTAAGTGCAAAGGACAGTTGGTAAATGAGATAGGAACCTAGAACGGCAGTGAAGTTAGACGTGCGTGATGAAGACACACTGCTGTATCATTGAAGACGAACGCTTACTTTGCCTGTCTGCCAACGCTTACCGGAAATGTTCAGATACAGCAGATAATAACCTACATCCTACAAATCATCACCTACCAGAAAGGCAAAGCTGAACGTCAGAATTATATAAAATTACCATTCTCGGTATTACAACACACTGTAAAAATCAATAACTAAATTCAAATGCAAAAGAAAACAAACTATTCAACCGACTCTACGAAGTGGGTAGCGCGCCTTACGCTTCCCCGCTGGGTGGGTGGGGAGTTCAGGGTTGGGCGGGTGGGAAAAACGAGAAAATGGAAGAACTGCTGAATTCTAGCAGTTGAAAAGGAGAATACAGGAAAAAGGGAAAAGAAAGGTAGGAAGATTACTTTTTCAGGCTAGGTCATTCTATTCGCAACCTCCTATATATATAAAAACGCACTCCGTTGCGGATTCTGAAGAGAGCGTCAGAATGCGACGTCAGCCACTGAGGATGAGGCTTCGAGACAACACACACTCAACTCATACAGCATGCAGGTGTCATGTACAGACGTGATGCGCAGTCTGTTTACCACCTCATCAAAAACGCATCGAACCTGGTTTTCTTGACATCTGCTCTCAGGCACACACACAAGAAACTGCAGCCCAGCGTTGGTTTTCGAAAGACACGTACTGTTCCGTAAAAAAAAACACCTTTCCAGCCGTCTTTCCTTGATAGATGGCTCTTCGCAAATCACACAATGAAGAAAACGACTCCGATGCGATGCACAGTAAATGCACAAATGCACGAGAACAAATGTTCCTTGCGCCATCGTTTCCACAGAGTGTAGCATCGTCGTTAAGAGCTTCTCCGATACATCCGTTGAATCTGATTTAAAAGGTAGGGCGCAATGAAGTTGAAGTCACCGCACCCTTGCTCTCAAACGACTTGTTTGTAAAGCAGGGCACACGTGACCACACGCGGCCTCACCGCATCTATTGTAAGGTGTTTGAGTATTTGCGTCCTTTCAGCGAGGACAGCACCGTTGTCATGCAGGATCATGTACTGGCAAAAAACGCACGCAACAGAGCAAGGAGAAAGCAAGGAATACCTTTTCTGCATGATGTGAAGGCGAGCAACCGCCCGTCACGTAAAGGCGGCCCTGGTGTTTCAACGTCAACGGTATCACTGAACTCAGGTGTAAGTCGACTATTAAAACATAACACAATCGAAGCTCTGATACCTTCCGTGATGGAAAGTGTTGAATCGAAAGCAACTTTGATGACTGACACGTAGCAACACAGACACAAACAAAACCAAAAGACGATACGTGAGGTCTCCTTTCGAATGGATACGCCGTCTAGTTTTCAACTCTAAAGGAACAACAATTTAAGGTTGGCTGTCAACGATGAGCAGGGTGAGAGCGGCCACATGCGCATCCATCAGATTAAAGATCGCGGTTTCCCAAGAAACTCGCAGAAAAGAGATGCTACTCATTTCTTGCGTCCGCGGAGGTTGAGCTTCTGCAACATCGCACGACTCGTCGGCCTCAGTGAGATGATTTGTGTTGCGCTCTCCTGTAAATCGAGAACGCTTAGCTGGTGCGGTTTTTGGAGGCCACTCCATCGAATAGTGTCAGTGAGTTCGTTGCATCAGCACAGATAAGCCTACTCCAGCGCGTCGAAAGAGTGGTGTGGTCCGATGTCTACAATGGGGCGTGAACAATTCATCGATGTACTCAATATAACGGAATGCTGTGAGAGGAGAGAGATTTCCGACACGTGTGCCGTGGCTCATGTTGATCTTTCCCTGCAGAAGAAAAAGGGAGAGAATAAAAACCAAATGGGAAGAAATATCAGAGGACTAGTAGAATTGAAAGCAGCGCGCAAGGAAAAGGCCAGATCATTTCCTTAACTCGTTAAGAAGACATGAGGAGAAACACATACGTTTTACGAGAGAGATAGTATGAAGAATAATAATAAGGAGAGCAACGCAGCGTGGCACTTGCTCTTATAAGTGTGCTGGAAAGTGTGATTGAGTCTACCATAAGCGGTAGTGGTTTGTAACTTCTATTTACTCATGACAGAACGGGAGAAAAACGAGGAGGGAGGTAAGCTAAAAAAGGAAATGAAAAGAAAGTGCATCTATTTTTGTCTGAGTAGCGGTTTATGGGAACAAAACCATTTCAGACAGGCTCCGTTTACGCGTAGCCGTACAGGATGTGGCCGCGCTTGCGGAGCGCGTTCACGACGTCCGACGCCGTCACCGTCTTCTTGCGCGCGTACGCGGTGTACGCGGTGCTGGAGCGCACGACGTCCTCGACGTAGGCCTTCAGCACGCGGCGCACCTCCTCGTAGATCTCACTCGAGATGCGCTTCACGCCACCACGGCGGGCCATGCGGCGGATGGAGCCGCGGGTGATGCCGCGGATGTTGTCGCGGAGCACCTTCTTCTGGCGCTTCTGGCTGCCCTTGGCATCAGCGGAACGCTTTCCCTTGGCCATTTTTGTTGGGTAGATGCTTAAGTGGAGGTTGGAGAAGACAGAGTATGGAGCGTTGAGAACTACAAAAACGAAGAAGTTCATCGTATCGTTGTGGGTGAGAAGAAATCGTGAAAAGATGCAAGGAAAGAGGAAAGTGAGATAATGTGGCTTCGCTGCGAAAGAAAAAAACTGTGAATGCGTTTATGAACCTCTACTTGAGAAGTAACAGCCTTTCACGCAAACGTTTTACGTTTTATTTTTTTTTGTATAGGTTATGTGCGTAGCGGCCTTTGCCCAATCCTAAAGGGCAGTTACGGAAGCTGACGAATTGATTGCGCGTTCTCAGAATAAGCTCGAAGAGGCTTTTATCCTCACTGGAAACAAGATTATTGGCCCAGATTTGCAGAAATTAGTTCGCGTTGACAACGCCGAAGTGCTCCTTCGGCTCAAGTGAAGTATATCTGTGTCGAGCAAACACCCCCGTGAAAGCTATTTCATTGCCCTCTTTCCGATATCGTAACGTACTGACCGCTTCAAATAAGAGCTGTTCCCGCGTGACTACATGTGTTTAAAGGGCGAGCACGCCACAGAGAGAGAGAGAATAAGTCTCAGCGTTGCATAGAGCATTCTCCATAGCCCTCCCCCTCCCCCTCAATTGCCTGCACAGTTACACGAGAAACTGCTGGAGATCCGGGATTGACGGTGGCAGCGGTGGTTCCACTGAACTCATCGTTGTGCTTTGAGCTGCTGCCTTGCATTTGTCAAAGAACGCGGTGCGGTTGAATGAAATGCGATACGTTCTGCTCGAATACAACAAAGAAGAAGATTTCCGTAAAGAGGACGCTGTGTGTCGGAAAGGAATACGTCTCCTGTCCTGTTGTGAAACTTGGGGAAAACTGAAGAGTAAACGGCACAGCTTGTATTGGAGTTACTGTGTGATGACTCCTACGTCACACGCCGAAATCAGAATCGTGAGGTTACATAATTTAAATATGCTTGAAATTGCGACGTATGAAGGACTCTTTCTTCTTGTATGTGTCTCTATTTAACGCTATTACATAATAGTCAGACAAATGTAAGTACAATAGCGCTTCAACCGGCTCTTGTTTCTCTTATCTGCTATTGACTTTTCTATCTTGTTTAAAACCAATTTTATATACGGTGGCAAGCTCTGTTAGGGCTCATAAAAAAACGCACAAAGGATTGATGTTGCCGGTGATTGTACCCAAATTACACTTTTCCTTTCCTTTCCACTCGCGGTATGTGCACGTGTAGGTTAGTATAGCTAAAATGGCGGAAAGCGACACAATTCATATTCCAAAGACACGAAATGGCGGTTCCTTTAGTAACTCCAAGGATGTAAAGCTGCACGCTAACGATTTTGGCTGGGATACAAAAATGGCGGAGCTGAGCGAGAGTGAAAAAAAACTGGTAGAAGAATATTTGTCAAAATGCATTTCCGATCTTTCTCAAGTAAACTCGTCGCTTTCCTCTGAAGAAGTTCCTGCCAAGCCGTGGGAGTCGCACTTCTTGTCGTCTAAGCACCATTTCCCACTCAAGAACTACGTAACCCATGCATTTCCGTTGCTGCGCAACTTTGTGAAGGAAGCCGATGTAGAAGCATGGATTTTGGAGTGCGGATGTGGCACTGGAAGCACCCTTCTTCCCATTATGCGGGAATGCACAAACCGGAATGTTCACTTTGTGGGTTTTGACATCTCTGTGTCTGCTTTGACACATTTTTCAGATCACGAGATTGCTAAAGGTTATATTGAACGCCAGAAACTGACACTATTCCCGTTAGCAATCGGATCGCAGTCTATCAACGCTGAAACTGAACTGCCTGACTCCGCTGCCAAACGTCAGCGCCTCGATAACAATGAAGAACTCGTTGCAGACACGTTGGCAAAAGTCAACAAATCCCGTAAGAACCAGAAATTTGACGTAGTCTTTCTTATTTTTGTTCTTTCTGCGCTACCCAGTGTGAATAAAATGGTTCTTGCGTTAAAGCAATTAAAGCAGGTGATGAAGCCAGGCGGGATTCTATTTTTCCGGGACTACGCCCTTCCGGATCATAACTTTTTCCGTTTTCTTGCGAAAATGGACAACAAAGTGGGCGATGTCGCGTTTGCTAAAGGAGACAATACAACGCAGGCTTTTTTCCATAGAGAGTTTACAACGCAGCTTTTTGCGGCTGCTGGTTTTACAGAAGTTGACGATGCAGATTCGAAACTCACGTATCACTGCAACCGAATTGAGAACCGGAAAAATGGTAAAAGGATGGACAAAATTTTCATTAACGGGACGTTTAAATTAGTTGAATCGAAATAAAAGAACTACACTATATATATATATATATATGCCTTTATACATCTTTATCAACAAATACATTTGATTGTCGTCGACGCCACAGTTTTGATACGTGTATATAATTGTATGCAATGATGAACGCTGAGGAATGAGGAATGTGAAGATTAAATATTCACATGTTTTATTATTAATTTCCAGAAGCATAAACTCGAAGTTTTTTACTACTATGTAAGTGATGGTTAAAAAAAGGTATTGCTGACTTTAATGGCACGAAAGAAAAGGTATCGCTGCATGAAAATAAAAATGCCTGTCCTCGATCTGTAATATGCTCTTCTTCTTGAATCATTCTTGTTTTATTGGTTTCATTAAGCTTCTCTTTCCCTTTTTCCCTCTTTTGCCCTATTGCAACTTTCGTTAGCTCTTTTATTGATAACTGTCAGTGATTATTGGCATCAAGCGTCTCCCAAAAATACATATATATATCGATATATAAATACGTGCAGCGACGCCTTCGGCAGCGCTCATAGTGCCACGTACAAGCTTACGCCTTCGGAATCCAGGACACGAACTCCTGAAATGCAAGGTCCAATGGAGACTAAAAACGAGCTTGAAGTTGCTAATGCCGTCGAAGGTAGTGAAGGCAACCGCTTTCAGCTTAAAAAGTGGAATGCGGTAGCGCTGTGGTCATGGGATATCCAAGTAGATACGTGCGCCATTTGCAGAAATCATATCATGGATCTGTGCATTGAGTGCCAATCCAACCCTGCCTGCTCACCGAAAGATTGCACTGTAGCCTGGGGAGCGTGCAACCATGCCTTCCATATGCACTGCATTTCTCGTTGGCTAAAAACGAGAAACGTGTGCCCTCTAGACAATAAAGAATGGGTTTATTTGCGGTACGGTGCGTAAAGGCTTTTCTATTACGTTCAAATTCGTACGAATTTGTTATGCGACTTTCTGCGTTGTTGACAAACAGACTCTTTTCTGTTGCTCTTCTGGCGTTTATAGAACTTATTTTCTGCTCCAAAAAGGGGTTAAAACCTTTTCACTGGTGCAGAAAAGAAAGATGTTTTCTTTCTATGTAGGAAGCAAGCTGGTTTCGTACTCGTCCATTTTTATTACAAAAAAAGATATGTTGCTCTACAAAAAGTAACATCTTCTTTTTTGGTGTCAATTTACTGCTTCACGAAAAATGTGAGATGCTCCCGACAATATTCGTCAGCGTCTGAGCGCAATTTGGCATTAAGCGCTCTTACTATTTATGCGCTAGTCGTGGCCTTCAATCTTTAAATCGGTATTCCTGCTTACTTTATCTCTCTCTCTCTCCCTCTCTTCCGTCAGACCCGCTCTTCTTGTTGTTTTCCTGTGCACTGCTTTCAATTGACGACGCAACGCTTTAATACAGCTTTCTAACGGTTGTGAGAGGTCATGACTTTTTTCAAAACCACAGCGTGTAGGCTGTGTTCTAGGGTGGGGAGCGCAGTGACAAAGTTGTCCACCTCATCCGAAAGCGGTGCATCGCCTCGATGGGCTTTTCGCCACATTCTCGGAACAAGGCAATTTGCTCTCTTCAGCGACACAGTAAATAATGCAAAAGTGTCCGCACATTGCACCCTTCCTGCGCCACGTGCTGGTCGAAAATACAAGAGAAACCGAAGCCGTCCCCAGTCAGAGGCCACGTCTGACAAGCAGCTTTTGCCATTCACTTGTCAACTTAGTAATTTATGTCGCGGTTTCCCACTTGTTTTGACACTACGTTGCGAAACACGTGCTGGTCAGCTTGTTGTAAACGGTGCTTCCTTCACTCGTGAGGCGGTGGAGCTGCGTCAAGGACCAGAAGCGACCCGTAATCAGCTCTCGTACAGCGGTCCGTACTTGACACAGACACACTTGGCAGATCTTGTAGTCGGTGTGCGACCTCTCAGCAGTCCTCTGGAGCAAGTGTTCCATGAGGAGGCACTCTTTTTCAATTCGACCTATTGTTTTGACAACTCCGCTCATAGTTGGCACGGGCACAATCCAGTGCATACAGTGCGACCTGAGGTAACAGAGGCGATCGCTCAAGTGGCGGCAAGCTTTGGCGTTGATGACGCTCTCGCCGCCTACGTTTCTGAAAAGGCTCGACTTGTTGAAAAAGCTGAGGTGGCTGCGTGGCGGCAAATTTTCCACGATTCAGTCATCTTGCGCTAGAAAGGCAGCCTGCTGAACATGAAAAAAGTGAGAAACCTTTTTTTTCAAGTAAGTAGCGACTGAAAAGCGTTGTTTTGCTGTTTACATATCATGGATCTCGAAAAGCAGCAACCGGTACTCGCTGGTAGTAGTGAAAAGGACTTCCTTATTTTTGTATACCTAAATGATATGCAGGTGTTCTTCAGCAATGCTATTCACCTGCAAAAGAACACTTGTAGTATTGCATAGGAACGAAAATGGAATTTTGGCACCTTTGCTATTCAACACCATGTGCTTTCGCTCTTTTTCAAATCTTTGGCATTCTTTTCGTTTACTGTGTCTCGATTTTCAACGCTCCATCACTGAAATGCGCAACGTCTCTAGCTGTTAAGCAAAACCACGCGAATATCTTTTTAAGCATTCTCATTCACAACCTTTCGGTTAGCTATTCTCATTTTCTCTTTTATAACACACACGCACACACCAGCCATGAAGAAGTTTATGATGGACACGAAGGCGGCCTTGGGCACTGCTCCCAAGACCGAGGATAAGGACTACGATCAGAAGGCGGCCGATCTCAAAAGCATTCAGAAGGCCCTTTCCGAATACAAGTCCGCGATGGAGAAGATGAAGAGTGCCGCGCAGTCATTTGCCTCTGCGATGGCGGCGATGGAAAAGGCTTTTGAGACGTTGGGCAAAGGCGAAGATGCCACGGAGGAGATGAAGAAAATGACCAAGGAATACGAGGCAGTGTCCAAGAAGGTGAATGACCAGATTCTCACCGACTTCAAGAAGGCCATCGGCGACCACGAGGATATGAAAGGTGTGAAGGATTTGGCTGCGGATTGCAAGAAACTGGAGAGCAGCCGCAACAAAGTCATGGCCGAATACGACACTTACCGCGATTCAGTCGACAAAAAGGAGCAGGAGTACAAGAAGAAGAACAAGGACTTGAGTGACTCCAAGCACTACCATGAGGAGGTCGCGAAGCGCGACAGCTTGAAACAAGAATTCGAGAAGGCCGACAAGGAGTTCAAGGACAAGCATGCCGAATTGGAAAAGGAGAAGGTGACGGCCTACAGTTCTGGCATGTCCGGATACTTGATGAGCACTTCCCACTTTCTCGACTCTATCGAAAAAGAGTTGTCACATGTGGCGCCTAAGGCAGCCTAAAGTTTTCGCCTCAACCCTCCGTTTTGTCATTGGGATGAAACTGTGCAAAATAACAAAAAAGACGAAGCGTACACACAAACGGTAGGACGCACTGCACATGTCAAGTACTTACGCTACCATCTATTTTCGTCTCTGTCTTATTTTTATTATTATTATTATTTTTTTGCTTTGATGGGACGCAGCTAGCAATGCACTGTCATTTGCCATGATTGTGTGTCTTCCGCCTTCAACGAAGTACACACCTTCGAGGCCGAAACCAAAGCAAGAAGGCAACACCCGTAGAATCATTTTTTTTCCTTCATGGCCCACAATGACAAGTTGTTCAGTTGCATTCGTCACTTTTTATTATACATAGAAATCGACATCTATACCAATCTCCTACCCTCTCCTCTTTTCCCAACTCCGCACGTTCATGCGAACGGTTGATACAGAATGTGTCTGTTCAAGATTACGTGAGCACTTTCTTATTTTTCTGACATCTACGTGAAAACAAACAAACGCATCAAAAACGTTGATGGTCAGCTAACGTTCGAGCGCAACAGTTTTCTTGCTCCTATCTTTTGCATTGTTCTTTTTCATTTTTGTTGTTCGCTGGTGCTCATGGAGAACGAAGCTGCGCGACATTCAACACAAAAAATATCTGAAGAAGCAGCAATACACTTTTACATGTAAGAGATGGATGAGTGTTTGAGGGTTCCCACTTTCTGATGTTGTCCCGAACACGCACGTCATAAGCGCTTGTTCTGAGAAGCTCGAGTCAACACTCGCACCAGCCCACGTGTTGAAACACACACGGGAGCGTGTGTATGAGCGTTCAAATGATCATGGTCGTGCTTGAGATGGAATAGTGGAGAAATACTTTCACAAAACTTCCTTTTTCTCTCTCCATCTCTTTCTGTCTGTTGCAAAGGTCGTGGATCACTGATTCCTCTCATACACATTTTTATACCTACACATTTGCACTGGGACATACAAACACTCGTGCTGCGGCTCTTTCCTCTTCTCGCTTCTCCAAAAATGCTGAAGATTAAAACAGTCTTGAAACTGGGGCCGAAGACGAAAGATGAAGAGTACGATCGACGCAAAAACGAGATGAAGACGCTTGGTTCGGCGATGCGCGCGTACAAGTCTGCCATGGAAAGGGCCAAATCGTCGATGAAACGCGTGGTGGAAACGTGGGCGGATGTCCGAAAGGCTTTCGATGCGCTCTCTGACGACGTGAACGTCCCAGATTCCACGCGGGATTGCACCTTAGCCTTGACAGCGTCGATGGATCGCATTGAAGGGAGTCTGCTGCCGGAGTACATGACTGTCATGGATTCCAACGTCATCCCCGCCACCAGCGAGCTCAGTTCGCTCTACGACGAATGCGGCAAACTGGAGAACAGTCGCAACAAACTGATGCATGAGTACGACGTGTACCGAAATGAGGTGGCGAAGAAGGAGTCGGAGTACCAACGAAAGTCGAAGGACATCTCCACCTCAAAAAGCTATGGTTCCGAAGTGGCGAAGCGGGACCGCTTAGAGGCTGACTTTGGAGAAGCAGACCAAAAATTCAAGGACACGCATGCGCATCTCATGCAGAACCGCGCAATTGCGTGCAGCGCCGCTCTTTACGCCTTCGTGGATTGCTCAGCCACCTTCATGGAAGGTGTCGCCAGTGAGTTCACGGCGTTGAAGGGAAGCTCACAGCAAGCCCTCCAGGCGGTGCGTTATGGGGCGCAGATGGAGTACAACACTCCCAACGATTAAGTCGATTTTCCGTTTTTATTCGATAAACTTGCGTCAGAAAAACACCCGGAGATGAATCGAAAGCTGCACGTTGTGTGCTCTTCCTTTCTCTTCTTAACCTTCTAGTCGGTCTCTCTACTGGTAAGCTCGTTTGCTCTTTTTTTTTTTCTTGCGACGCTCCACTAGAGTTAGTCGTAAAAAAAAAAAACGGTGCATATTTGTGGTGTCTTATACCCTTTCTTTCGTTTCTCTGTCAACCCTCCGCGGCTATTATTGAGAGAATCGTTGCCTCCGTTCCACACACTTTTCCCCCCTCAGACGTGCATGAGGAACTGCTGCATCACACAGGCATATCTGATTGAAATAATAGTGCTGTGAAGGCGGGAAAAAGGGAAGGGGTGACTTTTTCCCCGTGTTTGTGTAGTTTTAGTCTGTTGATGAGTGAGTCGATTTTGTTTAATCCAATTTACGTAGCCGCCTCTTGCGTTTCAAGCAAACACATCACAAGATTTTAGGTGCTTCTTCGTTTTGTGCAACCCGCTGTATGAAAAATAATTGATTATAATTTTAACGAGACATGTTGAATTACTAGATTGTTCCAGGTGAGAAAAGATGCAGCCGACGTAGCAGCCTCACTGTGGTGTTGGAATTGTGTCTGCACCCCCCCCCCCCGAGAATGCTCATTTCATCGTAGATATTTTTAAAATGCGCTGCACGCGTGTTGTAAAAGATCTTTTGAATGCAGAGGCTTCTCTCTTGCCCAACCTCCGCCTCGATCACTCTTTCTTCTCCACTGTGTGTTGCGCTGTTTAGCATCAACTCCGGACGACACACACACACACGCTCACACTCGTTTATACGGACTGACGCCTACGTGTCGGTAGGCAAATACACACTCCTAGGAGCAGTTTCGTCCGTTGAGCGTCATACAAAGCACGCGCATGCGTAAACACCGTAGACATGCTCGTCGATGACCCCTTCAATGACTCGGTGAAGGAGATGCGCGAACTCGTCGTTCGGGCGAGGCTGATGGAGCAGCAGGCGACCCAGACGGGTGTTGTCACTCCCTCCACGGTGAGTGAGCTGAAGCAGATCCAAGACGACGTGGAGGAGCTGCTTCAACTTTTAAAGGACATGCTGCGGGTGGTGGACGATCGAGGTGGGAAGGTGCAAGGAAAGGTCTTCTCGGCGAACGAGATTATGGAACGGCAGAACACGGTACGCAGTCTCGAGGGCGACGTCGCGGACATCCGCAGCTTTTACAAGAAAATTGCTGCGAGCAGCGCCCAACGGCAGCGTGCGGCGGAGGCGGCCGTGGCGAGTGCCGCCGCCGAGACCCGCAACAGCAGCGGCGGTGCGCAAGACGAGTTCATCACCGCGCAGACGTACGCGCAGCGCGAGGAGGAAAAGGTGCAGGATGAAGTGCTGGATCGTCTCACCTACGGCCTTCGAGAACTGCGCGAGACTGGGGTCAACATCCATGAAGAGCTCGATACGCAGGAGACGATGCTGAATGAGGTGGATCGCGACATATCGGGGGTACAGGTCCGCCTGCGAGCTGCCAATGCTAAGGTGGATAAGCTATTAGCGAGTATGTCCAATAAGGGAAAGGTGTGCACCATTGTCACGCTCATCTTCATCCTCGTTTTTCTGGCGTTTTTCGGGTTTAGTTAACGAATGAAACAGAAATGACGGGCCTTTCCATCACTGCTATTATTCAAGTAAATCTATTTTCTTCTGCTTTTTTTTTGAGGCAGAGGTGCTGTTTGGATCGACCTATCGCAAGCCTTGTAACTTCGGTTGTCTTCATGCGCGTTTGATTCTTCCAGCTTTTTGTTTTCCTTTTACTATTTTTGTTGCTTATTCAGTGACCGCTGTCTGTTGTGTGCTGTTGTTTTTCGTGTCTCGAACTGATTGAATCAGTGTGTATGTGGCGTACGTCAATTCATCGCCTGCTCTTCTTGCCCCCAAAAAGGAAAAATGTTTCTTGAGGATCTGATACCTCTCTCTTCTTTTTTTAGTGCTAATTCCAACAGCCATTTGGGAGAGTTGCCTATCGAGCAACTGCGGGTTTCTGTGTCATAGTCGTTGTTGACAAGTTGCCTTTGGTGCGACGCGGCTATGATTATTGGGTGTGTTTCACTCGCCTTCGTTCTCCACCGCTTCGATTCTGCTCTCAATTATCTTTTTTCTTTTACCTTTCAATAATGCACACCGATCGCACGTACTGAGGCTCCTCACGCAAGGCAGTGCTGTTTTACACAGCAAGAAGGGTGCACATGGACTTCACGGCAGAACTCACCGGCTTGGTGCGCCGCGTCTCGCCAAGCACCTACGAGCGCCTCCTTCTTCTTTGTCATTGTCTCCTCTTAAGCAGTGAAGTTTCTGAAAAGACGCAGGAAAACGGCACCACGTCCACCCTATCGCTGCAGGCCATCTGTGCGGTGCTTGTCTGCGCCTGCCCCGGGTCGGCCTCACGTTTCCTCTTCGTTTTGGCGGGAAACGATAAACTTCTCCGCAGCCCGGATGGCGGACGCACGTGGCGAGTCAGCTTCGCCCGCTCGTGTGAGGAAGACAACTCAACCCATGACTGCACCGACGCGAGCAATGTGTTAGATGACATGCAGCGCCTTTTGACTTCAGCTGCCGCGCTCGATGCGGAGTCGAGCACGCCGTCCACGCTAGCACCAGCACCAACACTAACAGCATCCCCCGCATCATCATCAGCTCTTCCAGCAATCTGCAGCGCTCACGGCTACGACGAGGTTGTTGCCCTCTGCGGCCAGGACGGGTTTCTCGCCGTCTCTGGCGATCGCGGTGTGACCTTCACGACAGCCACAAACTTCCTTGCAGACAGCACATCGTCCAGTGCGTCGTTGCAGCACATTCGCGTTTTGGATCGACAGCACCTTCTCGTGAATGATGGTGCTCGGGTGCTCCGGATTGACGTATCGCAGGTGAGCTACGGCCGTCTGGCGTTGGGCAAAGCAACGGTCGTACTAACCTGCACCTCGCAAATTGTGATGCTGCATACCTACTCTACCCCTTGCGGTGGGCGAGCGGTGATGGTGAGTGAAAGGGACAAGTTGCACCTCTCGCTGGACGGCGCGGTGTCTTTTTTAGAAGTGCGTCACTGCATGGGACACATTCGCGGTGCGGACCCCATGGACGCCGTGCGCTGGTCTGAGCAGCCGGACTTCGCGTCTTTCGTACTCGCCTCATCCCTTGAAGCGGACAGCTCGCCTTCCGGCAGCGGTGGCACCAAACCTCCCGCTTCCCCGTACGCCTACATCAGCGGTTACAAACGCGAGGCGCCCAGCGATGTGGATTCGCACACAACGGCATTGACGAACTTTGAAAAGGTGGCGCGACGGTACAAGGAAAACATATTTTTTCAGCAGTTTTTTGTCTCCGGGTGTGGGACGCAAGTCCTGCCCTACGACTACACCGCTGTGCTCTGTATTTGTACCCGCCGCTTGCCGGACACGTCGCTGTACATCGTGCTCTCCAGCGCTGCACAGGTCAATTACGTGCCGTTCTCGCATGCACGCCGGCGGGAGCCGCTGCCTTGCGCAGTGGTGCGCCGCGTGGGGAGCAGCGGCTATGTGGCCGGTCGTGGAAGCAGCGTTGGCGTGAGCATCTCGACGGACCTGGAGCATTGGAGTACACCGCAAGGTACCGCGCCAGTTGGTTTGATGGCCGTGTGCGGCGATGAGCTGCTGGCGTGTGGCCGGCAGAAAGTCATCACGACGGTGGGCACCACGGAGGAGGCGCGCATCGTGTCGAATGAGCTGCGTGTGCCCTACTTAATTGATGCGTTTACTATGTAAAGCACGCTGAGTTAGCCAGCCAGCCTGTGAACTAGCTCTGCGAAAAGAAGAAACTCCGGTTTTCTTTTTATTCGAAAATGAAGGCAGAAAGAAGAAAGGGCTAGGTTACCTACACAATAGCATGTGCGTGCCTAGATAAGCAGAACGGAGCTTTCCTACTGCTCTTTCCGCCATCTGCTTTGTCTCGTCTCTCACTCACTTGCACAAAGGGTTCTCTGTTTTCTTTGGAAAAGAACAGTAAGGAGACGTCCACCGTCGCCCAGGGAAATTCACCAGCATCCCGTCAAGAAAGAAAAACAAAGAGCTCGTTGAACCCCATCTTTTATCCTTCTGCTTTCTCTCCTTCTGTCTGTGCTACTTTTTATCAACTGTCTTTTTCTGTTCCTCTATCGTGCTGCATTACTTTGAGCTTGCGGCCATTGATGGTGCATATCATTCGAAGTGAAGACAGAGTGGCACCATTTTTATATACAAAGTTAGGTTTCCTTTTGTTGCCCTAAAACGAGCACTCTTATTTTTTTCCTTTTTCTTCAGTTCGAAGGCAGTGCTTCTCGTACGTTTCGCGAGACAGTGGTGAAGGTTTTAAATTCTTTTTGTTTCGCACTTCTTATAACACACGTGTACACGATTTACACTAATAATCCCAACGGATACTAAAATAACGCAAACACACACACACACACTTTACTTGGGAGAGTTTCGCGAATCACAATGGGAAATAAGTGCATGAAAAGTAGCGAGGTGGTTGAGAACCGCAAAGCTGGAGACAGCAACGGCGAGCCGCCCAAGAGGGAGAAGAAGGCGCACAGCAAGAGCGACAAGTCCATCGCATCCCCGCCAGCCACTACGTCGTCTCCGCACAAGAGCGATGAAAACACGCCCAAGAAAACTACGGTTGTCAAGAACATCGAGGCGCTCCAGCACTCGTTAAAGCCCACTGTTTCTGTTATTTCGACGGCGCTGCGCCACGATGAGTTTCGTCAGTTCACGCCCATCTTTGCTACTGGAAAAGCCGCGCTGGCGGTGGCGTCTTGCACGCGGGCGAAGCGGCCGCAACACGTCCTGGCTGCCGGCGAGGACCGCAGTGTCGCTCTGCTGAACTACGAGACGGGCCACGTAATGCGCCGCTGGGTGCACGCGCACCAAAACGATATTAACTGCATTACCACTCCCACTTCCTCCGGCCTCTTCGCGACGGCGAGCCGCGACAGAGTTGTGAAGGTGTGGGACTTCACTTCAGACGGCAGCGTGACGGAGCTGCAAGGCCACACGATGAACGTGACGAGCGCCGACATGAGCCCCGACGGATCTTTAATCGTGTCGGGCAGCAAGGACAACACCGTTCGACTCTGGGACGTTGAAAGGTCCGAGGAGCTGTACTGCGGCGATGTCAAGCTGAACGTCGTGCACTTTGTGGCCTTTATGCCGTCGATGCAGTGCGTCGCGCAGGGCGGCGAGGATCTGGCGGTGCGGCTGTGGGACATCCGCACGCAGAACTCCCACCGCAGCCTGCAGCTGTCCAAGACCATAGAAGGGATGGACTACTACCCGGTTTGCTGCGAAACCGTCGCGAGCAACTCAAACATCCTGTTGACTGGCCACAACGGCGTGAACGGGTGCGGGTCGTACGTCGCGGAATGGGACATCCGCACCGGCAATCGGATTGCGCTTTACCAAGGGCATCAGGCCAGCGTGTCGAGTGTGAGGATGGTGTCTGCCGACGTGTATGGCAAAGGATCCTTTTTCTCTGCGAGCGACGACGGCACGTTTGGCGTGTGGAATTTAGAGGATGGGGAAAGGAAGGGGGAGGTGCACCTCGCTGTAGATCATCAATTCCGCCTCCCGGAAGGCCGCGTCACGTGTTTTGAAGCCGAAGAAAACGGTGACACCGTTATTGCGCTCAACGATGGCTGTCTGGTGGTGCTGCGGCCCGTGTCGAGGGACGGGTCCGTGGTGCCCTCCTTCCGACTTCGATATGTCGGCATCCTGAAGTCGCGCACGTAAGAGAAGGCGTGGGGAGGGGGGTGAGGGCTATGCATTGCCTCGTTTGAAGTAAAGCCGTAGGCACGTTCTTGCGGCCGTGGTCCATCCTCTGCACCAACACGACAAGAAAAGGAAAGAAACAAACGCATTTGCATCACGCTAACACGATAGATCAAGCAGATTGAAAAGGAAAAAGAAGGCACCTTCTTTGAACTTTCTTTGTTTTCGCCTTGCCTAGCTGTTTAACGGCTTGATTTCTCTTCGTCGACAGTTATTAGCAACCCTATTTGTTTAACACTCTACAGACTACTCCGCTCTGTATCCTTTTCTATTTTCTCTGTTTTCAATTGCTGTTTCTCTTGCATCTCATCGTAGCATCGTCTTTTCCTTCCTTCCGCACATTATATGGGCTACTCGCGTGGCCAAGGAGGAAGAAGAGAAGCGAACTGTGATCTTTGTAAACATCAACTGCCAGGTAAATGCTTCCGTTTCTAAATGGACTGAAAAGAAGCATTTTAGCTGAGTTTCTGCGCGACATTTCAGGAGAAGAAAGGGAAAGGCTGTTAAAGCGCTCGATTGAATGAGGAGCAGCAACTGTTCTACATCCGTGCTGAAAACGCCGATGCGATCATTCTGTATTTTTCTTCACACCTTCTCTTTTGTGCTGTTGTTTTGCTTCTCTTCTCTCTGCCCGCATGGAGTACGGGCCCATCAGTCTCACGCGTTCACTGTTGTCACCACCGGCACTGTTTCTGTGCGAGGATATCTGTCACGTACACAACACAATTTCACGCGAAAGCAAGTACCGTTTACAAGACTCATTTGTTGAGAGTAAATAACAATGGCCGTCAACACCGCCACGCAGAAAAGCGAAGGCAACGTCTCCCACCCAAGTCGACTACAACTCATCTACGCCTCCCATCAGCAGCTCGAAGATGAGCTTGACACTTTACGCGCCTACGTGAGCGCCGCCAAGAAGCACCATCCGACGGCCGACAGCGAAGAGGGCGGCTTCTCTCCTTGGACTGGAGTGCAGGACGCCGCGATGAAGTGCATCGGCAAGGCGGTCCACTGTCTCCGCCTGTTCAACCCTGGACGCAAGGTCACGCACTTCAAAGGCATGACGACGCTCACGAAGCTCTACGGCTCGGAGGCAACGCCGCAGAACCGCGTTGTGGCTTTCCTCGCGAGTGTGCAGGAAAGTTTTGGGGACGAGCTGCCACTGGAAATCGTGCTCAGCGGAGGCCGCTGCCTGCAAAGACTCGACCCCGCTGCGGCCGACAACTACTTGGTAGAGCGCATCAACGACCTCCTTGCTCCGCCGCAGCTGACGTGCTCGGCAGACGACAAAGAGGGGATGGCCTTCATTGGACGCTATCGAGACTGCTTATTGCTCTCTCGCAGCAGCCCAGCGTACCGTGTCCACTTACGCGCGCTGCTCCTCCTCCAAATTGAAGCCGCCGCACAGGCGGAGCAGGAGACGCATAAGCTGACGGTCTTCGACGCGGAAAGGCTCGAGGACGCTCTTTCCAGCGCCACCTGCGAGGAACTGACCAAATACGAGAAAGTGTGCTGGAGGGAGGCGGCGCGGCTGCGGGAGCTGAAGGCCGCACCAGCTCTCCCGGCATCTTCCGGAGTCGCAGCAGGAGAGAAGAATGCGTCATCTTCGCCATCGCCGACTGCGGGGACGACAATGACGCACACCTCGCAGTCGCCTGGCGCAGTCGAGAGCCGCCGTGGTGCTGCGGCCGTCACGTCGCACTTTGCCGGTCTCTCCGACTGGAGGTGGCACGCTATACGCATTTCCATTTTGATTTTGTTGGCGGTGCTGGTGCGCTTTGCCTCCGGTCCGCTTGCACGTGCACTGAAGAGTGCACTGCAGGTGACCCACACCGCCCAGACACGCCGGCGCACATTGACGCTGTGAGGAGCGTGAGATTTGGGTGGCTGCGTTTGATGAGCCTTTCTTTCCTTGTTGCTTGCCTCGGCTGTCACCAGCCAGGGGATTATAGCGAATACATTGATGCACACGCTTTAAAAAATATCAAAAATATATAACAGAGAAACACTCTTTTTGTCTTGAAACGTTATTTGCGGCTTTAGAGAAATGCTCTTGAGCTGCGCAGCCAATGAAGAACCTTTACATCGTGTGCTTTCTCATTTATAATACGAAAGAGAGAAAGATGTGCTTGAATTCGTCTTGTTGCTAAAAGGCTACGTTGCAAGTGTAAAAAATGAAACAGGATAATCCTTACTTTTATTAATTACATGTTGCTTTCCTTCTGGAATCCGAAGAGAGAGAAAACTGTGCCTTCATTCGTTGAATGATGTGACGCTGATGTAATCCTTGTCGCAAAATGTAAAGCAACAACGAGTGCCCCCTTCTCTCTTGCTTCGCCGTCGTATTCTACCACCTTCCTTTTTGTATTCTCCTCTCTCTCAGGAGTTTTCCTGCGCTATTCGAGCGGAAGAGAAAACTTTGTTTTCATAGAAGGTGCACCTTTGTTGTGCATCTCCATTCACTCATTTTTCGGCATCGTTGTCATCCACGCAGCTAAAAAGAAGGTTCAAACAGCAAATATCAGTTGTACGGCAAACAAACAGAAAAAATGGCGATCCAGGACATCTGCAATCGCTTCCCGAAGAAGTATCAGGTTCTCATCATCTTCATCGTATTCACGACAAACAATGGTTTCGCCTGGCTTATGTTCGAGCCGGTGGCGGAGTGGCTCAAAAACAATGTGCATGGCATGACAAGCCGCCAACTGCAGCTGCTCTCGTCCTGGCAGCCCCTTGTCTTCCTCTGCACATGCATCCCGATCATGAAGTTGGTCACCCGTTACGACGGCCTGCGACTTGCCGTGCGCATCGGCACCGCCGCGGAGATCATCGGTGCCGTGCTGAAGCTGATCGGCGCCATCGCGAAAGGCAGCACCGCCGGTCTCGTTTTTCTGCACATGGGTCAGATGTTCAGCGGTGTCGGCTCGCCCGTGGCGACGGGGTGCGTGTCGGCGCTGTCTGCCACCTGGTTCGAGCCCGAAGAGCGTACGCGTGCCACCGCCGCCGCCGTGCTGTTCAACAGCGTTGGTAATTCGCTATGTTACCTCTTCGTGCCGTCCATGACGAAGGGCCTCGGGTTTTTCTCGGTGACGATGTACGAGGTGATAATGGCAGTCATCGCGTTGGGTCTGGCGTGGGTCATCATGCCGCAGGAGCCCGAGTCGGATGGCGAGGCGACGGAGGCGGCGGCAATACCTCAAGAGAACACGCACAGCAACGCCGCCAGCACGCCGGCCCCGGAGAAGCCCGAGGGCGACATGCTGGTCCACACGAAGGAGCACTCGTCGCTCATCACGCAGCTCAAGACCCTCTGGAGCATCCCGTCGTGCGTGTGTCTGCTGTCCGTGTACGCCTGGCTGAGCGGCGGCTTCTCCGCTTGGATTTCCCTCTTTGCGGACACGTACTCGAAGTTCTACTCCGAGCAGTTCATCGGCATCATGAGCTTCTTCGGTATGATTGCCTACGTGGTGGGCGGCATTGCCTCCTCCTACGTGGTCGACCTCTATTTCTCGCGTCAGATGAAGTACGTTATCTTCTTCTGCATCACAATGAACACGCTGTGCAACCTCATCTTCATCGCCTGCACCCCGAACGACAAGAGTTACTCCCTCTGGAACCTCGGCCAGGGCTTTATTGTCCTCTCCACCGCTATGTGTGGCTTTTGGAACGGCGCCGCCGCTCCTCTCTTCTACGAGCTCGTGGCAGAGATTTCGTTTCCGGTGGAAGAGGGCGTTAGCGGCATTTGCATTTCGGTTATGGAGAACGTCGGAGCGCTGGTCTTTTATCAGATCGTCTCGCGCTTCTTTACGGGTCAGTCGATGAGTGTCGCCTACTCGTTCGGCATGACTGTCGCCGTGGCCGTCTCGGCGGCTGTGAAGCAGCGCTACAACCGCACGTACCACGCGTACCTGCTTCAGAACGCTCACGAGGAGGAGTAGAGAATTCTCTGTTTTTTTTTTTCTGTTTCTCTTTGACTTATAAATCCATTGTTCCCAAGTGTCTTATTTCTTCTTTCATCTCGTATCGAAGCGTACGCTCCGTTGATTCTGTGCATCCACGCACACACACACGCGCATACATGCATACACATTAGTGCATCATGACGGAACAGTGGTTTATATATTTTTTCATCCGTTTTCGCGATACTCCTGTTATGCAGTTGTTGTTTCGATGAGGATGGTGGCGGCTGCGGTTGGTGCAGTTGAAGAGTCTGTTTGGTGGGGTCTTTAGTGGCTTTGATTTGTGGCGCCCATTCGCACTGGTACGAAGGAGGGAAGACAGCAGTACAGCTTCGACAACCGTGTCCAGAACGAAGGGTGGATGGACACTCTGTGTTGCTCTCAGTGGTCATACGCACATGACGGCGACGCGAGATATCAGCCAGTTCTTTCTGTAGAGGCTCAATGCGTTCTGTTGGGTACAGCAGAGAACCACTTTTTGTGGAAAACCGGAACGATCGAATGCGCCAAAGAATTGCAATGCACATCTTGGCGAATAAACTAAGCTGTTTTGAGTTTCATCTAGTGCTGTGCGGACTGCCTTTCTGTGCTGTGATGTCTTCTAATTCGATCAGCCCCGCCAATCTTCTCATCTGTCGCTGGCTGAGTTTCTTTCTTCTTGAGATGTGGGGAGGCATTTAGATTGTTGTGTGTTAAAATATATGTAGTCTTGTGTGCGTGTGCGTGTGTGTTGAATCCAGCGAACTCATCGGAATTCCGTACGCAGGCGTGTTTTCTACCGTGTCCAAATAATAAGCAATCAATATCCCCACAAACGACCAACAATCAGGCACGGAACGCTTGAAACAGAAACTGCTTCAGGCCACAGCAGCTGATGATTCAATCCAGTAGTTTGAGTCAGAGGGGAAGGAACTGTAGATGTGTGCTGCACTCAGTGGTTCTTAGAAACAACAACAAAAAGTGAAGAGTGACTATTGTAGGTGGCGAGAGCCGCCGTACACGTGTACAGTCTCGGCGCCAGGCCCACCACGTTCATATCTGCGAGAAGCTTGAAGACGAGGTAGGAAGGATCTCGTCCTGCACTAACATCAATACTTTTACTGTTTTCACGCGTGGGTGCGTCTTTCCTGCATTTGTCGCTTTCCATTGCGTCTTCTGCTCTCCTCTTATTTATCTTCCCCTGTATTGCATTGCGTTCCACCAACAGGCACAAAGCTGTATGGTGGCCGCCACCTTCTTTTCGCGCTCTTCACACCTCCTTAGATTTTTTTTTTGACTTGTATGATTGGCGCCAAACTTGCTATACCCAGCCTCGCACTCCTCGTTGAAGAGTATATATATATATCGAGTATAGGTTAAATGGATGTGGGCTCCCATAATTGGCGGACGGCGCGGCCGCGGGTGCACATGATGGTGTTGTTCCTTTTCATTTTCACCGACCTCATCAACCTAATCTGTTACATCCTCTACATCTCGTACGACACGCGCGCGTTCGGCGCGGCGGGCTGCAACGCGTACATCACCTTTACCTGCATCGGCATCGTCGTGGCTGGTGCCATTTGCGGACCTCTTATTTACTGGCCGTATGTGCATGGGAATGAAATGTCGCCCGTCTCGCGACGCAACGCGTTCTGCCTCGGCATTTTCATCTCCTTCGTCGTGCATGACTTCCCGATGGCGTGGATTGAGCTGTGGATTGTGACGACCTTTGGCTGGACCGAGTACTTGCAGGGCATCTCCCTCTTCTTGACGCTGCTGTGCTTTATCATCGGCTTCCTGGTGACGTGGTTTTCCTACTCGTGGCGGCTGAGCAAGGTGCTGCAGATCCGCTTCGGCAACGCGGCCCCAACGCAATCTAGCGTACCAGCTGCGCAGGTGGCGAGACACAGTTCATCACGACAGTATCGCATTTAATGCGAACTTCCGCCTTTCCTTTGTTTTCCACGTCTCTCTTGGCACTTTCCTCACCGATTTCACATAAAACCGCTGATAGCCGAGTTTGTTTCTCTGCTCCGCCTTCAAATAATAAAAAATGATTGTTAGACTTTGAAGTTTTTTTGTTAGATCATTTTGCCTGCGTTATTGTTGCCATCGCACGTAACGCCTGTTTTGAAGTAGATCCCTTACCTTCATCTGTTCGTGAGAAGTAATGTAAATAGAATAGAGACGAATGACAACAGTGGGCAGCCTGTTAGCACTTTTGCGCCTACTAGAACAGAGGCGCCTTACCGCCTTGCATATCCGCGGCTTCCACTGGAGAAGCGCGTCGAAACGCTGTCACATCGGTGCTACTCACCAGGGCTGTTGCTTTGCAGTACATACCCTAGTCCTTCACATTCCAAATCTCCCTATTCTTATCCGCTCTCCTCTCCCTATCTCACAACTGCTTTCAATGAAGAGCACACCGACGGGGGCATCTGCTGTCTTTTCACGCTGCCGCTGCTGCTTTCAGGTGGCCGTCACGGAGCAAAGTGCAAGGCGGCGCAAAACAGCGAATCGCACTGCTCGGTCCGTTAGACAGACTTCGTTACTCGTGTTTCAACCTTCTCTCTTCTCTGTTGAGCATCATCATGTTGCGTCTTAGTCAAATATGCTTTCCAAAAGTCGGGTGCGAGGAGATCACACGCAAGGCGCGTCGGGTCGTGCTAAAGCCGCAGGAGGCCTTCGCACAGCAGCGCATGCAGGTCTGGCAGATGCGCTTTAAGGAAATGGGGCCGCCGTTTTCGCGTGTGTGGGTGGCCCTCGGCGGCAAGATGCGCCGTCGCCGCATTGGACGTCAGATCGACGTGAAGGACCTGCGCTACTACTGGCGCCCCATCGAGCCGCAGTATCAGCGACTTTACATGTCTCGTCTGCGTTCGAAGGACCGCTCGAACCCGCGCGTGCAGCCGCTGCGCCTGCGTGCGACCAACACGAACATCGGCACGGCGTCGTCTTCGCTTGAGTGGGAGCGGGCGAGCAACCGCAAGTACGGTGCGAATATGGCTCCGCCCAAAAAGCGCGACTTTGAATTTCGCGTGTTCTAAAATTTTTGGTGTCGCCGTTGATGATGCTTTATGCACTTTTTTTCTCTCCTGTTCGCAGCACTTTGGGAGGACATTTTTTCGTTGTTGTGTGGGAGTGGCTCGGATTGCCTTCGCAGAGAACGAGAGGGAAGGGAGAGCGGCGGCGTTGTTGTCTCTTGCGTATGCGAGAGAGGAAGAGATCCTTCAACCTTTTCTCCTGCGTTACAGAATTTGCCTTTCGGGGATAGGAAACTGATCACATACAAAGCCACAATATACAGTCATTGTAGTGCAGCGGTACCCAACCGCTCCTGCCTCTTTTTGTATAACGGGCTGCATCAAAAACGGCATGTGCGCAGCGCCACACATGTTCTTTTTGTCCAACCGCGGCGACACTTGCAGCTGAATGTCTGCCTGTCCAACGTACTCCCACTAACAACCATTTGCAGGTGTTTCTATCTGCCTCCTGAATCAAATTTAATGAAAAGCAGCGTATTTGTATCGACATACAACTGTTTTGTTGTTGTTGTTGTTGTTGTTGACGTGTATCGCCATTCTCAGCTTTCTTCATGTTCTGTTCTTCTTCATCGGCTGCGCACACACATGCACACGCACACATGTACTCAACAGCAGATCGAAAAAAAAAGGGAAACGTTAGTGTGGAGAGGGGTGTGGGTATCGCTGTTGTGTGGGTACATCCATCATCTTTGCAGCCGCACGAATTCTTTCTTTCTTCACGCGGTTGTTCACGAAGAAGGGTGCTTCGAGTAAATTAATTTTTGCCGCTTTTCTCTCCTCGTTCGGAGCACCATGATGGACAGCCCACGTGGACGCCCGGACCGCGAAGAGGTGCGCGTCTTCCAGAGCGCCTTGGATAAGCGGACAGTCACCACCACCGTCTTCGCACAGCCCGCCTTCTACATGGGACTCGTAAGTGCCCTTGCAATGGTGTTCACACAGCGCTTCCCCGAGGAGTTTATGCCACGCAAGTATCTCACCATGTCGTACAACGGCATAAGAGCTCCCTCCCTCCTCACCATTCCGTTTTGCGTGATCAGCGGCATTTACTTCTCTGTAGCAAGTGTTATCACAACAGCGCCGAGTCCGCTGGTCGGGCATCTTTTCGGCTACGGCGTGAGTCTCGGCGTGGGACTGACAATGCTGTCGCTGCGCCGCATCTCGTGGTACTACCCCCTTTTCGGTCTTATGTACTTGTCCTTTGGAGGCCTGCATCACTACAGGAAGATGATGGTGTACGGCGACAACGCACCGATCTTTTACTGGTCCGACTTTGGCGAGATTTCCCGCGACATGCGGGCTCGGCGACGAGAGAAAAGGCAGCACCTGCAGCAGAAGGAATCGCTGGCAAAGGGACGTGCTATTGAATGAGCAGTCGTCGATAGTCATCGAAGAATATTTTTTGAAATGCCCTCGCAACAGCAGAGTCACCTCCGTTGTCTACCAGTAGCGTATGGCCGACTTCTCTTTCTCCCTCTTTTTCAAGGTCTGAGCAGCCTTAATTCACCGCTTTTTCCTGCCTGCCGTGCCGTGACGGCGGTGTGGACGGGCTTCTATCGCTCCTTAAACCACATGACCGAAAAGTTACACTTTTTATTGTTGTTGTTCACGACCTCCCTCCTTACAGTTGCGCTCGTCTTCAAGCGCGAACACTCTTCATTAGCCACAATACACATGCACGCGAAGAGAACGGTTCGCAGAGGGAAAAAGAAGTGCACTGCGTGTTTCATAGCTGCCTCTTAACTACCGACTAAAACTTGCGTGAAGCCGAATTATGTTTCTCTGTTTTCAAGTGGCAGCAGCAAGCTTAACGAGCATCCGTTGCTTTCCCCTCCCCATCTGCTGTGATCACTTATGTTGGCACGAAGGTCATCGGTGTTCCTCAGTTGCGTCTCCTTCCTCCCTTTTTTTCTCTACTGCCTTCCTCCTTTCATCATTGTCGTCCTCACGTTTCGATTTCTTTCCCACGGTTATCTCACCTGCGCGGTCGTCTCTCCCCCGACGACCAACCACCACCTCAGCCAAGCGTCAGCCACACGTGCACACGGTTGTGTCTTTTCCATTCTGCGTTTTCTCTTTCCCTGCCTGGCCGTGGACCTATTTCGCACAGCCATGCCGTCCCATGCGGAGCTGTACGACTATTACTGCCGGCGCTCGGCCTGCCACCCTAACAGCTCGGTGCAGCAGCTTCTCGAAGACAGCGGCAGCAGCGTGCTCGATGCACTGGATGTGTCTGGAAACTATTTGGGCCCTCGTGGACTGCTCCCAGTCTTGGACCTCGTAAAGAACACCAAAACAATTCACACACTGGATGTGAGCAACAACGAGTTGGGGTTGGATCAGGTGCAGCACCTTGCGTATTGTCTCGCGTTGCACCCCAGCATCCGGCGTGTTCGGCTCTGCAACGCAGGCCTGCACGACGGACACGCCGATGTGCTACTGCAACTTTTATTCATGAACACGTCAATAGAAGAACTGATACTGGAGGGCAATTACCTTACCCCGCCCTGTCTCAAAGTGTTGGAGGCGGCGCTGACGCGCAATCGAACAGCACAGCAGCTGCGCCGCACCGAAGAGAAGGCACACGCGGCCTACCTCTCAGAAAAGGCTGCCACATCGGCAATGACGAAGCGCACGTTTTCTGCCGCTCTGTCTGGCAGCATCCCGGCTGCGGAGTCGGGCGGCTACGTGCACTTCGCCACGTGGTTCAAAAATCCGCAGTTTTGCGTGCAGATGTCTCGCGCCTCGAGTGTGTCGTTTGTGCTGGAGTGCACGCAGGAAGATACGGGGGTGAATCAAATGGGATTGATGGTGCTGCGCCACGACGGGGTACACCGCGCGGTGGAAATCACTGACGCGACGGTCGTGGCGGAGAGTCCGGTGACGGATAGGCACTGTGTGGTGCACGCTTTTCTGAATTGCGAGGAGTCGTACGTGGTGATGCCTTACACCTTTAATCCTGGCCGCGCCCTGCAATTCCGTCTCACCGCGACGCTCATCAACGACCGCGCCGCCCAGGAAGAGGGCTGGATAACGCTCGAGAAGCTCGACGCTCGCTACGACTGGTGCACATGCTCGATCGAGGATGGTGAGTGGACAACGGCGAACGCAGGCGGCGGAGGCCGACATACGACGTGGCGGAGAAATGACATGTACCACCTAACGAACTGCAGCACGGACGCCAAAACGGACGGCAGCGACAACCGTGCGAGTGCCGCTACCGCCAGCTCGTTGCCCAACGACGGTACGACAGCCACCATTTACGTGGTGTTGATTAAAGAGGCGGACCCATATCGTAACGATGACCGCGCAATCGGCATCGACGTGGTGGCACACGACGTGCACAACCCCAACGCGCCCCCGCTGTTTTACTCCTCTGACGTTGTCTGTGCCTCACTGCCGCATGTTCCGGCGTCGTTTGCTCTACTGAAGGTGCAGCTGCCCGCGTCGAACTTAGACGTTTACGTGGTGCCGTCCACGGAGTTGCCGGGGCAGACCGGCACCTACACGCTAACCGTCCTCAGCTCCATCGCAGTGCAGCTAACGCAGTCGTCCTTTCCGCACGCGTGGCGCTATCGCATCATGAACGGCATCTGGGACGAGACGTGTTGCGGCGGCTGCCGCGCGGAGTGTTTGTCGTGGAAAAATAATCCATCAGTCGAGGTGCACGTCGAGGAGGTCGCGCAGCCCTTGATTGCCTGTGTCGAGCTGCGTACCATGACCGCCACCGCTGTCGATCCTGAGGTATCTCTTTCACCTGCACATGCACCAGCGGCCACAGCGGAAGTGGAAAAGCGCGACGGCATTCTTGATTCGGCGCGGCGCCAAGCGGAGTTAATGGCTTTTCGTCAACGTCACCGCACTCAGCGACTAGAGGTCGGCGTCATGGCCGTAGACACCGTCGCACCCGCCTTCACCACGCTGGCCACCTCTGCCCAAAGCGAGCACGCCGCGTCAGTGGTGGTGAGCCCCACACATCCAGACCTGTACATCGTGCCGATGCTGCGGCATCCTGCGGACATCGCCGTCTACACGCTGGAGCTATTTTCTCCCTCGCCCTTCGTCGTCGAATCGGTGGACGCGGTCTGCCTCGCGACTCGTGAACGACAGGCGCAGCTGGCGGCCTACGCGTCGGAAAGCGAGCAGCGAGCCGCCATTCTTCAGGCTGCCGACGAGCAGCAACAGCAAAGTGGCGAAGGCCCACATGATTCCGTCTCGCTGCAGGCGGAGCGCATGACAATTCTTGAGAAGGTCTCTCAGACTGGGCTGCCGTTTGTGGATCGTGACTTTCCGCGTGGCATCTCTTCTCTATTTCTCGACCCCGAAGGTCCACTTCCTCTGGACTTACCGGTGCAGACGACGTGGAAGCGCGTGTCGGAACTCTCGCAACCACGCGTGCGTGAGGTCAACCCCGCCAACATGTGTCCGCCTTACCAGTACAGCCCTCGCCACTGGTTCGCCTCGGTGCTGCAGGCGGTCGCTGCGAAGCCCGGTTGGCTGGCCCGCATCTTTGTTCACTACGCCCGTGAGGCGGGCTTTGCGCAGTTCGCGTTTTTCAAGCAGGACGACTGGGTCGGGGTGACCATTGACGACTACCTCCTGGTGGACAACCAAGACGAATTGGTGTACGGCCGCAGCAGCCGCAGCAGCGACGGCGCTCAAGATTTCTTTTTCCCGCTGGCGGAGAAGGCTTACGCGAAACTGCACCGCTGCTACGAAGCGCTCGAGCCGAAGGCCAACCCTGATCAGACCACGCCGGATCTGCTGTGTCAGGGGCTGATGGATGTCACGAGCGGCTTTACGTCGGTTGTGCAGATCCGCTCGTGTGGCAAGTCGGACGAGATGCCAGCTGACGAGAAGGACCAACTCTGGCGAACGTTGAAGTGTGCGATTGAGCCGTCGCTGCTGTGCTCTTTCATGCTCGACAACGGCGGTGCCGTGACGCGCGAACGATCGCACGTTGGCCTGCTACCGGACCGCCTCTACGGCGTGATCGACGCCCGCTTTGTGGAGCAGCAGCGTCTTGTGAAGATTCGCCTTTTAGCCTCAGCGGATGGCGATGACGAGTGGAAGGGGAAGTGGACTTTTGACAGCCCCCGCTGGACCGCGACGCTGCGGGACGTTTTGAACTATCATACTGCCGAACCCCACGCGGCGTGGCTGCACTTTGACGAGGCGCTTTACTATTTCACCCACGTCTTCGTGACGGAGGTGTGTCCACGTAAGGTCAGCGTGGTGGGCAGTTTCGCAGAGCCGATGGACCACGACCCGGAGCGAGCGACGGTGTCGCTGCGCAACCCACAGTTTGCGCTCACTGTTACTCCGACAAGCACGGCGAATGACACGGCAGTGGAAGTGCACGTTGGCGTGCACCGACGTGATCCGCGGCTCGACATTACACGCGCTAAAGGCGCGACTGCCCAACTGAAAACATGGCTCGGTTTTGCAGTTTTTGCGACAGACGACAACGCCCGACGACTCAGCGGCGTCACGGACGATGAGCTGCTGCAGCTGGTGAAGCCAAGCGTGAAGCGCGATCAGTACGTCACGCTGCATCTCACTGCAGGATTTCTACGCACGCGGAAGATCACCGTCATGCCTTTTCGAGAGAATCTTCGCGACCCCGATGTATCGTACGTGCTTTCAGCGAGTTGTGCAGCCGCCACTTCTGCTGCGGTTGCGGCTGTCCAGCTGACGCACGTCGCACCGAACACGAGCACGACCATCTCGGGTCGGTGGGACGCCGGGGTGAAGGCCGGACCTCCCACCTTTCCGCAGTGGCGCAACAACCCGCAATTTTTTCTTTCTGCGGCGCAGGAAGTCGAGGTGACGGTGACGCTGCGGCCGACCTGCACGACCACCGCCACGCTCGGCTTCACACTGCACCACACACGCCGCTGCAGCAGCTTTTTGAACTTCGACCCAGCAACGGTGGTGGCCAGCGCGTTCTCTGACGTGGCCGGCGCGGCGCCGTCGTGCGTCGTGCGACTGGCGGGCATGACAGAGCGGCGCGGGATGCCCTACGTGTTGGTGCCCTACACCTCCGACGATGCCGGGGAGTTTCAGTTGGAGGTGGTGTGCAACCAGCCGGTGCAGCTGCGGTCCATCGACCCACGACTTGACTGGCACCGTGTGTGCCGCACCGTGTCCATCAACGCGGCTGACGGCAACACGGGCGGCAACCCGGCGGCGTTCCCATCGTGGCGCTTCAATACGCAACTCGTCCTTACCTTTCCGGTGGAGCGCGATGGACGTCTTTTCATTTCTGCCAAGCGCGTCCGCAGCGCCGATCCACGCGTGAAGATCGGCATGCTGCTGCTGCGTGCCGGCTCGGCGGTGGCCGGCAGCTACCAGCGCCGTGTCACCTTCAGCGAAGACGACGTCGTGGTCAGGTCAGCCGACGGCCCGGCGGAGTCCGTGGTAGACACCGATGTGACCTTGCTCGGCGACCGCGAAGCACTTATTCTGGTGGTCTACGCCGACCAGCCCTATAAAGAAGCGGACGTGGAGCTGAGCTTCTATTCGGTGCCCACCCTCGAGGTGCAGCCTGTCACGGAGTGGCCGAAAGTGCTGATGCAGGAGGGCAGTTGGGAACTCGGCACGACAGCCGCCGGTAGCCGCGAAAACTTCGCCAGCTGGATCAACAACCCGTTCTTCGGTCTTTCGGTGTTGCGGCCGACCAAAGTCACGCTGCTGCTGGTGCAGTACCCGCGCGATCACGAGCATCCGGTGGTAAAGCGGCACGGGGCGCAGAAGACATTCCTGCCGCCGCCACTCGTGCATCCCGACCGCTGCACCGCGATTCAGCTGAGTGTGGCGAAGTACGACGCGACGCTAACCGAAGTCGTCTCCACGACACCGACAACAAATGCGGATACGTGCGTTACCGTGGAGCTGAGCCCGGAGCAGCCGTACTTGGTCGTTCCGTGCACGCAGGAGCCGCAGCACGATGGTGACTTTAAGCTCTTTGCGTTTGCCGACTATCCTATTGAGCTGTACGTCGCGGAGAAGCCACGCCTGCCCTACGTGTGAAGATGTTTGTAGTGGGTGGCGGTGGTGGTGGTGGCCTCTCTCATGGTGAGCTGTATGTGTATGCGCATGTTCTTTTATTTCTTTTGCCTGGAATGTGACGTTGGATGTATAATAGATGTTTGGGGTGAAGGAGCCCCTTCCACTTCGTGGCGGCTCTCTTTCTTCTTGTAGTTCATGTGGCACAGATAATTTTAATCTTCATGTACAGCTCTTCAGCGTGGCTCTTTCGACGCCTCTTATTTACTGATGAACGCTAACTCGCAATGCGCAAATACGCGAAGGTAATTAAATTGAGAGCGGCTTTAACAACGCACGGCGCTTTCCGCTCCAGTTGCAGCTCCTTTGCTTATTTTCTGAGGCAACGCGCAGCTCACAGAACGGGAGAGATGTGATGCAGGATGAAGCATCCACACACGCACACGCACACGCACACACAAAGAAAAGCACTTTTTCCCTCCTCGTGGGGCCACATCGCTCTGCCCTCCCTTTGCTTCTTTGGCGTTTATTTGGACATGTTTTCTCTTCAGTGCCGTGCAGACGATTCTCTTCCTGGACCCTTCTCTCCTCCTTCTCTTCCTCACTCGGGCCTCAAACTGTTTTAACTGAACCGCAGATACGGCGGCACTGCCGAGCAGCACGTTGACCATAACTTTGTTTTTCACCTTTCCTTCAGCTACGCACCAACGTACATAGAACCACTGCCTATAGATCAGTTTTGTGCCTCTTTCTCTTTTCTTCTTCTTTTACTGGCAAACCTTGCGTCTGGAGGACGAGCATAGAAACAAAATCGGTTTAATCTCAAGAAACTCCTTGGCTACAGTCATGCTGCGCCGTAGCGTCTGCGCATGGGAGAAGTTGGTGATTGTCGAGTCACCCAACAAAGTCATCAAGGTGGAAGGGTTGCTCAGCAACCCACGCGTTATTCCCGACTGGTCCTTCGGCAAACCGAATCTGAAGCCCATCAGCACCGGTGCGGAGAGAGCAATCGCCATGGCCACCACCGGTCATTTCATGTCCCTTCGCGAGCTGACCTGGACGCCGCAGTCACTGGGCACCGTGCAGTCCGCAAGCAAGGACTTCCCTGCCAACGGCGTTCTGTCCAGTTTTTCGCTCGAGTGGGAGCTCATTCCCGGCCGCCGCATCCGCGACACGGTGTCGCACTACATCGAAGAAAAGGCAGACAACTTAACGGAGATCATCGTCGCGACCGATCCGGATCGCGAAGGGGAGTTAATCGCGGTGCACGCGCAAAACCTAATTCGTCGCATGTTTCCAGATCTCAAAGTGCCGTTTACGCGAGCCTACATGCACAGCATCACCGAAGACGGCATTCGGCGTGCCATGGAAGAGCGCCACGAGGCGTTCGACTACCATCTGGCGAACGCCGCGGAGGCTCGACACGCGATGGACCGCATTTTCGGCTTCCTGGGCAGCTCTGTAGTGCGCTACGCCAACCCGCAGATGCGCTCCATCGGCCGCGTTCAAACGCCGGCGCTCATCCTCATTAACGACCGCGAGGCGAAAATAAAGAACTTCTTGGACTCGCACGGCTCGACGTACGACGTGCAGGCGATGTGTCACTTCAACTCGAGGCAGAATCAGCGCTTCTCGCAGATTGTAAAGGTTGTGCCGGCGCAGAAGGGGGGAGGCAGCCGGGGGTCCGCGAGTGACGTGGACTGGAAAGATAAAGCGGCCGTCACGCGGCAGTGCGAGAAGTGGGGGCTGCGCGCCGCGAGTGAGTTCCGCGTATCAGTGGGCTGCAAACCGCAAGAGAACGTGACAGCCCCGCCGCAGCCCTTCACGATGGCAACGCTGATATCGAAAGCAAACCGCCAATTGCACTACAGCAGCGACATGGTCAGCTCCTGCTTGCAGGATTTGTTTCAGATGGGTTTTATCACCTACCCGCGCACGGACAGCACCCGCATTGATGAATCGGTACTACCGTCGATCTACAGCGCTATCCGAAAAGAGCACGGTAAGAGGCTACTGCAGGAACAAGACGGAAGTGCCGTAGCAAAGCCCGGCTCTCAGCGGTCCAGCAATAACAAGACAGACAGCAACGATACCAGTGCGGAGGCTGGAAACGTCGAGGATGCGCACGAGGCGATCCGACCTACGGACATCGCCACGAAGGTGGAAGACCTCGGCTCTGTTTCGACCTCGATGAAGAACATCTACGATTTGGTGCGACGTAACACGTTGGCGGCCTTCATGATACCCATGCGGACGGAGCGGGTGACGGTCCCTATCACCTGCAAAGCGAGCAACGGCGAGGAGGTAGAGTTTCAGCTTCAAGGGAAGCACGTGGTGGAGCCGGGCTGGACCGCCGCCTTCCGCGTGCGTAACAGTAACAAGGCAAGTGAAAGTGCAGGTGCGGCGGCACAGCATGACACAGAAACGGACCAGGACGTGCGTGCCATCGAGGATGGCGCGGCGGTGATGCCGAACATGTCCGACGATGAGTTCGCCGCTATCATGGACGTCGCCTCACGCCGCAACAGCAGCAGCAGCAGTAATCACCTCCGTTTAGAATCGGCGCAGGTGGTGGAGAACAAGCCGCTTCCGCCGCTGCCGTACTCGGAGGGAGGTTTAATCGAGCAGCTGCGCAGCAACGGCGTGGGCCGGCCGAGCACGTACCCGATGATCGTCAAGACGCTGCTCGCGCGCAACTACATCACGGTGACCCGCGGTCGGTGTGAGACAACGCCAGTCGGCCGCATGTTGGTTGAGACGTCGCGTGCCACCTTCCCCTCCATCGTCGACATCGGCTTCACCGCTGCGTTTGAGAAGAAGTTGGACCGCATCGCGAAGCCGGAAAGCGGCGGTTCGACTGAGGACGACGACGCGATGCGGTGGAATTTGCCCAAGTCTATTTCCGAGGCGGACTTTGTGCTGTCCAGCTTCATATCTATTTTTCTAAACTACGTTACAGAAGCCACGAAGGCGAAGCGGGCCGCCATCAGCACGCGCTCCCTCACACTGCAGCACGAGAAGCTTCACAGCAGCAGCAGCAATTCCGTTGATGCTCCTGCGTTTGCACCGACTGCTGGCGCTTCAGCGTTGTCGAACGCTTCCAGCAGTGCCGAGGAGAACTTCAAATCGGATTTAGAGCGAGAAACGAAGCGGGTGACGGCGCAGGTGCCGGACTTGGTAGAAAACATGAAAATGTATCGCACCTTCACCGCGTTGCAAAACAGCCTGAACGACTACCTGCGTCGCAACTTCCCGGCGTCGTCGACGTGGTCGAACACGACGATAGCCAACGCACGCACCGCCAGCAGCAGCAGCAACTACAGCAGGAATAGCAGCAGCTACAGCAGCAAGAGTAGCACTACCGGCCTCAAAAAGGCGTACACGAAGAAGCCGAAGGCGGAGAAGAAGAAGCCGCGTCGCTTCCAAGAAAAGAAGAAATAGACGCGAGGTGAAGAGAGGGCGTGCGTTCATCTACCGTACCGCATCTTGTGTTGTTTTTTTTTTTGCTGACCTTTTATTTCTCTTTCAAAAAGAGAAGAGCCTTTTTCGCTTCATCACGCGCAGATGATTGAGAGGACTCTAGCGTGTAAGCAGCGTTGCATTGAGGCAGGCAACGCCTGTTGAGTTATCATCATAAAGGCAAAACTGCAGAGGCTGCTTTGATAGGAACACATGGATTCTGTTTCCCAACGGAGATGTAGATGTGCGCGTCTCGCTTTTCTTCTTCCCCATAAGAGCAGGTGCTCGTCTTTTCTTTTCACATCATCCCTGCTCTGATTGTTTTCTCTCGTTGTTGTATTGGCCGGAAGTATCGTAGAGGCTGCGGGAATGAATGAATATCGCGCGGTGTCGTCTGCATTGCGTGGTGACCTGATGCGCACGTCATCTACCATGCATCCCCCTGTCTTGTCAGTTGGACAGAAACAAACAAACACACAACGAGAACCCCTGCACTTCTCGAAGTGTCGACTCGACAGCCTCCGCAGCTGATGAAAAAAAAAATAACTGCAAAGCTTTTAAAAAGAAGAAAATTCAACGTGCACTCGGAGGACGAGAAAGAAGCCGTTGCCAGGCGCGAGTTACCTCTCTTCCACTCCTGCTACAACGTAGCTGCTCAGCAACGATCGAACACCAAAAAGGTGCTTTTGTCGTTAACAACGATGTCGTGGGCTGGAGGGGGAAAAGCCTCGGCTTGACAGTTGAGCCAAGACATGTATGTCCATTTTATTTTGTTGTGCACGGTGCCTCATCTCCCTCCCTCCCTCCTCCCCCCTTCCTGTGGTGTTTAACGGTGCGGGGCTTGTTGAAGCTCTCGTTTTCATTTGTTCACGTTTCCAAAGAACAAGAAAGAAGAAACGGAAAGCGGGTGCGCGTGTGCATCTCCGCAAGCGAGTGAGAACACACAAGCGCAGCAGCTACTTGTTTCTCCCCTTCTCCTTCTCTTTTTTTTTTCTTCGCAGAAACCGGCTGCCCACACAATCTGTCCTTACCACCACCGCCTCATATCTAAGGCACAATATCACAGGGAACATCAGCAAAGACGATTGTAAGGACCCGCGTGAAAGATCACAAAATAGGCTCCTCTGTCAAACCGCCTTATATCACTCCCACTTGAGTCTCTACGTGCAAGTTGTATCTTTGGAACAAAAAAAAACTTTTTTTTCTTTCCCCTGTGCACTCAACGCACACTGCACCGTACGCGCCTCGGAAGCCCAAATTGTGTCGCGTGTCTTCACGCATCCGCCAGCGTCTCGCACGTTTCTCTTTTGACTTTTGTAGAAGAGCAAATACTAGCGTTTTCTCTGTCATCCCGCACCTCTGCCTCTGCTCTCTTTTTCTTACTATTACTGCTGTCGTGAAGATTACCTGATTCTTTTCGATTGTAGTCTCCGTCAGCTTCTTCTGCTTTCAATGGTGTTTCGCTTTCTCCTCTCGTGTGCCGAAAACATCTTCTAGTCGGTTCTGCCTTAATTTCGTTCTCTTACGTTGTTGTTGTTTTGCACTTCGCTTTGCATCTTAAATTTCATAAGAGGGAATAGAAAAGCTTCGCATCGGGAGATTTCTAACTGAGTGTTGTCGGGGCGGAAGCCATTGTGATGCAATCCTAAGGCTTCGTTCTCCATTTCTTGTCGCTGGCTCTCTTCTTTTGTTATAACCGTCTTATCTGGGACTGCTGGGCCTTTCATTCAATAAGCTGCGATTTGTTCGTTCTTGGAAGCTGCTGTTTCACGGCCAACTACCTTCTTTTCCATTATTATTATCACCTCTTTTGTTGTTGTTCTCCACCATTGAAGAAGTAAAAGACAAGAAGGGACCGTCTGTGGTGCTGTTGTTTGGTGCTTGTTTGTTTTTATGCGGAGGCTCGTGAGCCGTGTAAATTGCAAAGCAGCCCGAACATTTCTGCTTTCCCCGGCACGTCTGTGCGCCTTTGCTGTCGGACGGTGGAGGTCATTCCGCGCCGCGAAGAGCGGATTCCTGCCTGGCACGATCGCTTCATGCTTTCGCTCGACGGCCTTGGAAAGATACGTGACAGCAAAAAGGTCGATTCGATTTCATGAAAAGAGGGACTTCTTAGAGGGCAAAAGAAAAAATGCATCGGAAGGATGGACCCTCGCCAAAGGACGAGGCGGATGAGGACGACGACGGCACGAGCGCCTTCACCGGCACCTCCAACCCCAACCCCGTCGAGGCCGAGGGGGATCACTGGCGCCCTCAGACCGACGCCGCCAGCAACAGCAGTGACAGCGGTGCCCGCAACTTCCACCGCGGCGGCCTTCGAATTGAACTCCCACACAGCAGCAGCCCGCCATGCACTGCACCAGCCTCGCCTGCGGAGGCCACAACGGCCACGACGAACGAGTCCCAGCGCACCGCCGTGTACCGCAACCCTGACAGCGTCGCCTTTCATCGCGAAATGGAAGAGTGCACGCCGACTTCGGTCGCGGAGCAGCACGCCCGTCAATCTGCCATGGCGCTCTTACACGCCGATATCTCCAGCAAAGCCCACTTGTCGCTATCGATGGGCCCTGCGAGCTCCCGGCCGCCACTGCACACGTCGCAGCCATCCCTCAGCCCTGCAGTGGCCGGCGGCTTCGAGATGTCCGAGGTGCCGAAAAAGAAGACCGCGCTGCAGCAGCTCTTCAACGTGCGCACACGCAAAAACCGCAGCACCCTCTCGTCATCGAGTCACGCCTTCCTCGCTAACTCCTGCATGGAGGCACGCGAAACATCAGCCGCGGTGGATTTCACGAGCGGCGGCGATCAAGAGCCACACCTGCATCCGTCCGTGGCGAACATCTCCTCCACCCCACGGCCCAGCAGCGTCAACAGCGAGCCGCAGCTTCCGCGACCGCTGGGTTCGAGTCGTCTTGCCGCGTCGTTGAGCTCGATGGAGCGACTGCACGGAGGAGCCTCGAGCACCACCCATCCTCTGCCTCCTATGCCAGCCTCCATTCCCCTGACTTCATCGTCCGTCGATGCTGCCGCTGCACCGCCCGGCGCCACGGACGATGACGCAGAAGACAGCAGCAGCAGCTCCGGGCAGAACATCGGCATGGAGGCGGTGCTGCGTGATGCATCCAAAGTCCGCGGCATCCGCCTGACCTGGCTGCTGTACCTGCTGACCATCATGGTCATCGTCCTCTTCACCCTGCTGCTCGTGCAGATCATCTACGAGTCGAATCGCACGCTGGTTCGAACCACCACGCAGGCGGTTCGGGCACAGGCGTCCCTTTTGCTAAACAGCGTTGACTTGGAGGAGTACGCCTTGACGAACGTCTTCGCGCGTCTACACGAGCTGAGTACGACAGGCGGCGATTCGAGCAACAGCACCTACGTTGGCGCGCGGGACAGCCTGTGTTCTCGTCTCTACGGTGCACCCATGGCCTTTGCCACGTACAACGCAGCCGGCGACATGGTTTGGCGGATGCGTTGCAGCCTGTACCCGTCGTTGAAGAGCTACTACATGCTGCCAGATAAGATGATACCGAGCGTGGAAGCGGTGCGCATTACGGACTACACGTGGGACACCACTCTAGCTCAGCGGTCCTACTACAACGAAACAGACGGCACAGTCAATACGTTTGTTATGCTGATGGACAAGGACACGGTGGGGCGCACACTGATGAGCAACAACTTTCCGCAGTACAGCACCTCGACCTTGCAGTACGTCACGGCGGCCTTTCTCACGCGCATGTGGAACGGGACGGAGCCGAAAATTCTCTTTCACACGCTGACCGAATCCAGACAGACATACACGGCGACGGAGAACGGGACGGTGCGGGACGGTCTGGCAGAGTTGTTCCACGCCATCTGCTATGAAGGCTCCCCTTACGTTTGGCACACGGTGACGCATTACCGCGCCGGGGACTCCTCTGCCAGCGGCGACGACGATGACCCGCCGAAGCCGAGTGCGCGATGGCCCCTGACGACGACAAACGCCATTCCCTCCCCTCACTTAGAGTACGGCCGCTCGTGGGGTCAGCTGTCGCTCGCAAACCTCTGCGGCGTGCAGTGCTCCGGCGGCGCCGACGACACGACGTGCGATTTCGACAATCCAACAAATATTTGGTTCGTCATCGAGTACTCGCTGATAGGACAGAACAGCTTATCAAGCATTCTGAATGTGGTCGGAGTGGTGAGTATCGTCGCGCTTGTCATCTTTAGTTTTGTGTTGTTTCTCGTGTACATCAGCATCACCGTGCCGGTCAACTTCCTACGCGTGCAGCTGCTGAAGGCCGTTGGCGCGACCGACACGCAGACAAACCTACAGCGCAAGATTGTGCGTTGGACGTGCCGGCTGTGGCTCGGCGACCTCACCGCCGTTGTTCGCTCTATTCACATCCTCAGCCTGTGCTTTCAGCTTAACAAGAAGTACGTGCCCGACCACGTCCTGCGCAACCACGCCGCGCAGCTGTACCTGCGTCGACGGAAGTTCAACTTCCTGGAGGACGTGGACCTGAAGGAGGACCACACCGACCGCGACGACACGGAGTCGGAGAGCGACTTGGGTCCGGCGCTGGCAGTGGCGCCGCTGCCCGGCGTCAGCACCGTCATGCCCGCTGGTGAGAGCCGCTTTTTGTGGCGTTTCGGCGCGTCAAACGAGGCGGACGCGGCGGCGCGTCACTCCGCTGATTTCGAGGCGCTTGCTCTGAGCGAGAATCAAAGCGGGGCAACAACAGCCGGAGCAGCAGCGGTGCGACCCGCAATCGGAAACGTGCCTCCGCTGACACACCCGCGCGGTTTAGGCGGCAGTGTCAGCCCGGTTGCCTTTGTGAAGTCAGCCAAATCGATGGCGCGCATGTCGACCTCGGCAAACGACTCCGTCATTCCGCCGTGGCCCATGGGTGAGGTGGATAGCAGCTTCCTCTTGGGCAGTGGCGGAGGTGGCGGGACGGAGCAGGAATTGTCGCTGGCGATGAGTACGGTGCTGAACCCCCGCAACAGCCTCAACGCCATGGCAATTCGGCGGGAGTCAGAGTCCACTATTTTGTGCGTGCGCATCGCGAGTGTGGAGCTGGCGTACCTGCTGAACTACTCCGCCGCCGTCGTGCAGCACCGACGAATCATGCGGATTCTGCTGCACCGCATACGCCGATACAAGGGCGCCCTCTTCCACCGGTCCGGCGACAGCCTGGCGGCGGTGTGGAACGCCTTCGAGGGCTGCCCGAACCACGCCGAGATGGCTGCGATCTGCGCGCAGGAAATCGCCAACGCGTTTGCACCGCTTCGCGTCGATGGGCTGCACGTGGGGCTCGTGCTGCACCAGGGCTCGCTGGTCTGCGGTACTGTCGAGTACTCCAAGGCCGCCTTCGTGACCGCGTTTGGGGACGGTCCACGCGAGGCCTTCGCGCTGGTGGAACTCGCCTCGACGGTCGGCTCGCTGAACGTCATTGTCACGGAGCCGGTGAAGCAGAGCCTGTCGGGCCTGTACAACTGCAACATCGTCGACGTCATCCAGCTCCCCAACTCGACGCACCCGCTGCTGCTCTTTGAGCTGGGCAGCAGCCGCTGCCACTACCCGGCCACGCCGCCAACGCCGCGGGCTCAGTTCGCCGTGGAGTACGCGCGCGTCTTTTCGCAGTTCCGCAACCACGAGTTCAGCGAGGCCCTGCAAGGGATCGAGCACATCCGCGCAAGCCTGAGAATCTCGCACCACGAGCACCTGCTGCGACGGCTCGAGCGACTGTGCTTCTTCTTTGCGACGGCGCCGGCCGCGCTGCCCTACCCCTACACCCGCGCCTTCCCTGCTTGGGTAAACTACGAGGCGATTGCGCAAGCAGGCCTGCGGAATGACGCCCACTTCCACGCTGCGCCCTTCAACAACAGCTTCATGTCGCACAGCTTTATGGAGGGGGTGGTGTACAAGGGCGTGCCGACGGTGCGCAACGAAGTGGAGTACATCGAGGACTTTAAGCAAGAGCTGCAGGAGAACATGCGGCGCACGGCGCAGAAAGGGAACGGGTCGCCGACGCTGGACGAGTCGAGCACGCGACCGCACGTCACACCGCAGCCGAGTCCGTCCATGCGGCCGGCCGCAGACCTGACTTCCATGAGCGAAGAACGCGCCGTGTCCGTGGGCAGCGGGATTGAGCTGATGGATAGCCACAACAACAACAGTAATGTTTACTCGTCCGCCGCATCACCTAAATCGCGGCACGTAGACGTGACTGGCTGGAAAACAGCTGGAGTCGCGGTCACGGCAGCAGCAACGACTCCCATCGAGGTGCCGACGCCGATCGCAACCAGCGTGGCAGCAGCGGTGCCGCCGCTCTTCAATCTTCCGAGCTCGCCGGCGGTTCCACTGCTGACCTTTGACGCGCTGCACCTCAGCGGTACCGCCGAGCCGGTCGTCATAGCAGATCGCGCGTCGTCGTGCTGCTCGTCAGCTCACACGATGGACTCCCCACGCGACGTCTTCGCGCTGTCCAACCGCTTCGCCTTGACGCAGCGCGTGACGAATCGACCGCCCGTCGCGCTCGCTGCGGCCTCGCCGACGGTGATGCTAGACCTGACGGGGGAGCGGCCGGTCGCGGAGAGGCAGGGACAGCACGGCAACGGCAACCTCAACGACAGCATGAGCAACTCGAACATTCAATCAGCCGACATGTCTTTCAAGCGCTCCGTGAATAATGAGCTGATGCTGAATGGTGGGGGGAGCGGTGTTGGCACGAACACGCACACAAATATGCACAGCTTCAGCGTTAGCAGCCCCAACTTGCCGGCGGAGATAAAGGCGAAGAGCGGGACGACGTACCTGCGCAGCACACGCATTCTCGGCAAGGGATCCTTCGGCTGCGTGTACCTGGGCATGGACGCCCACTCGGGTCGCCTGGTCGCCATCAAATTTCTCCCGATGCCGAGAGATGAGTCCGGCGTGGAAGAGATTGAGGCGGAGGTGCTCATTCTGCAGCGTGTGAACGACACACACGTCGTGCAGCTGCTGTCGTACGCCTTCGAAGGCGACACCATCGTCATCATCATGGAGTGCATGCTGGCCGGGTCGCTGCAGAACATGATCTCCGCCTTTGGCGGCATTCCCAGCTCCACCGCGCGGGTTTTTATGCGCGATGTGCTGCGTGGGCTGTCGAAGATCCACTCGATGGGGGTCATCCACCGGGACATGAAGCCGCAGAACGTGCTGCTGAGCCTCGCGGGCAACTGCAAAATTTCTGACTTCGGCGCGTCCGCCTGGCTGCAGGAGTTAGCGCGAAAGGAGTCGCAGGGACAGGTCTGCGGCACGCCGGTGTACTTGGCCCCTGAGGCGGCGCGCGGCAGCTCTGCAAAGGAGAGCGACATTTGGAGTTGCGGCATCATGTTCCTGCAGATGATCACGGGGGCGCTGCCGTACCCGCCAGAGCAGCTGTCCGCCGGAGCGGCGGTGCTCGTTTTTCAAATTGGCAGCGGCATCGCCCAGCCGCAGATCCCAGACAACTTGGATGTGCTGGACGCAGAATTTGTGCGGGCGTGTTTGCAGGAGGAGCCGCGCAAGCGACTGACCGCGGCGGCGCTTCTCCAGCTGCCGATCTTCACCGTGTAGCCGAGAAGCGTTTTCTCCGTGCGTCCTCCTTTGTTTGATTGTTTGTTTTGCTGTATTATGTTTTGAAGTGAAGCATGAAAGGAGGAAAGCAAGATTTGTTGTGGCTCTACAGCAATCCAACCCATGCGCACACGTGCACATTCACGCAGATACCATCTTAAACAGGATCGAACGATGTTTTCAATTGATAAATATGGGAAAGAAAAGAAATGACGTCTGCGTGTGCCGTAAAGCGGGCAGCTGCGCACGCACGCTCACATACATCCAATTCTGCACTACTCAAGCAAGGCAGGTTTTTTCTTTTCTAAGCTTTGGTGTCCTGCAAGATTCCCTTCAAAAAGATGTAGGATAATTCATATAATCAAATACGCTTGTAAAGGCGACAAAATTGTTTTTTTTTTGCTTTATATTTATAATTTCACCACCATTTATACACAATCTCAATAAAGCCGGTGAGCAGACGGCGTGCGCTGTTTGACCTTTTCATGTGTCCTACCACACATCCAACAATTCATGTGCTGGGATTGAATGGAACAGCGCAACGCTATAGCAATGCCTGTTTTCCTTTCCCTTCTCTTCCTGTCGCTCGTTCACTTGAGCATCGATGCGGGTGGACGATGAAGGGTCGCAGCCAGCCCTTAGGACTTTTCCCTTTTTAAGCGTCACGAGCAGCTGCTTTTCCTTTTATCAGTGGCTGGGTTTAGCTTCGTTTCCTTTTGTTGTTAAATGCCAGCAAGGAGATTCTTCACGCGCGCTGAAGACACAAGTCGAAGCCACAACGGAAATAGTCAAAGGAGAGAACGAGTCATTTTGCATTGAAAAGATCTAGCGTGGTAGCCACTGCACTTCTGAGCAGCACATTTGGCCGCTAGGTGGTTTTCCTTCTCATCTGCGCTGAATGGGACTTGGCCCCTTCCTTTGCATCGTGCATGGCGGCAACGCTTTCCTTTGTCTTTCTTTCGCTTTCGCGGAGGTTTGTACTTCTTTTTGCCTCGTTGTATTCATGTTTGTCACACATCAAAATCAATCTGTTTCTTGTACTGTGTTATGATGGTTCAACGAGGTGGGACTGCCCTTAACTCTCTTGTCAACCTTTCCGATTTCCCAATGTGTTCGCCACCCCACCGTGTCTCTCTCGCCTGCGTGGTTTGTCTGCTCCCCGTGCTTCTGCTCGTATTTTCCTTTTGATTTTTACGCTTATTGTAGGTGAGATTTCTGCTGTGTGGAAATGCAGCCCGTTCCTTTGTTTTCTCTTCTGCCGCTGTATGAAATCGGCAAAAAAAAAACTATCAAACACGCACACACACACACACACACGAAATACAAACCTAAACTTTTCTTTGAACGGGCACGGGGCCTTACGTGCTTGTGTTCGATGTCTGCCGTGTTGACTGCTTCTGTGGAAGCTCAATTGTCTTCCTTTGCTGGAATCATGACCAGCTCGAAGCATCAAAAGCCACTCTTTTTCTTTGTTGGTGTCGCCACGCGGCTGGCGTCGTCTTCGCCTGAGTGGTTTTTCGTTTCTACACGATTCTCTTCGCCTTTTGTTTTTCACACTCCTTTATAAAGAGAACTAATATCGGAGGTTTTTGTTTTCTTTCAAACAACATTGATAATATCTGAACTCCGTCAGCGAGTGCGCTCACACGCACCTGTACATAAGCAGTTTATGGGCATGGATGAAGGTGTGGCTCGCAGTTGCTTAAACGGAATTCGGTTTGTCTATTCTTTTGCCATTATTACTATTACTATTTATATATTTATATATATCTTCTTAGTTGAAGATTCCACATGTACGCTTTTTTGGTGTTGTTGCTGTTCTTGTTGTTGTGTACTTTCTTTCCTTTATTCTAGCTCGATTCAACCCGCGCCACGTTGCTCGGCAACAGTTCGACTCGAGCAAAGACGTTTACGGCAACAAGACTGTGATCCTTTTCTCTATCTTCAACATGTATGCGCGCGCGCATCTTGATTTGTTCGTCTGTGTCGTCTAATGCTTCTGTGTGTTTCTTCTCACTTTTGCAAAGTACGTTCCCGGTCGTGTCTCCCACCACCGGCAATCATGAAACACTATCTTTCGCTTCGTGTATCTTTTTTCCATTCATCCCGGGAGGCCCCTCTCCTACTCCCCCGCAGGACGGTGGCATCGTCCGTTCGTGTTGGTTTTTCGCACTTCTGTCTCTTTCGTTGGCACGCGGCGCATCGTTTCTCTTGCTTCCTGTTTGTTTCGACAGTTCAAAGGGACGCCCTTCAGCGTCGCCTTCTCTTTCACGTGTGGCGTGAGATCAAAGCACTTTAAGAAACAAAGAAGAACTGGCGATAAAAAGCGGCGCCTCGGCTTCTCGTCGGCATCCGTCTCGTTCTCTCACCGTACACGTCGTCAGTGCGGACCTTTTATTGACGTGCCGCCTTCCTCCAAGCCCGTCTGGCGAAGCCTCAAGGGGCAGCAGATGTGCACGTACTTGTTATTTTGTTTTCCCCTTTCCTGTTGCTGCTACAAAGCAAATAGCATCAACTTCCGCTTCGCATCGTCCTTTAGGCAGCCTTGCCGCCCATCCTGGTAGTGCCGTTGATTTCTTTTGCTTGGTTGTTCTGCGAATCTCTCGACTTCCTCTCGCCTCCCATCTCCATTTTTCGCTCTCTCGTGTGTATTTCTTGTCCTTCACACAGCACCGGATACCACACACCTGCGCACTTGGGCGCGATGCACCGCCGCCTGAGATGTCCGTACGTCCCGCGCAGCGGGTGCCTGGTAGCGCGGATGCCCTGCAAAAGCAGCCTCTCCTCTTCTTTCTGCTCGTTACGGTCAACACTCCAGCAAACGCCGCAGTCAGCGCGCTGCGACAGCATCCTCACATCCTCCACCTTAGTGACAGCAGTGCGGGGCTGCAGCAGCAACACCACCACCACGACCAACGCGACTTCTTCGAGTTCTGCCACGATAGATACGACAAAGGTAGACGGCACCGCTGGGCAGGAAGGTGGCGGAGACAGCGTGCCGCTCCCGCACCTGGTGCAGGATGAGGCCGCGGTGGCACTGCTCCGCTCCATCGCTCCCCCAAGCACGACTGGAGATATACAAGAGATGCTAAAAGGCTGCAAGAACGCACACGAGGTGCGTCAGGTGCTGGAGAAGGTTGTGTACATTCACTCCTTGTGCTTTGATGTGCTGAACGGCCACGGGTTTCGCGTGGTGGTGCTGCAGACGCTGACGAACGTCGCGCCGCGCACGGGGTGCATGATGGAGTGGTTTGACTGCGTCGACCGCTTCCGTCGGCTGGGCTTCGTCCTAACACGCTCTTTTGTGGCCGAGGGCCTCACCACGATCCGGCAGTGGCTGTCTCATGAGTTTCAGGGGAAGGGTCGCGTACCGTCGATTCTGACGGATGGCACGGCGCACATCAAGGAGCTGGTGCAGTGGTGCCTCGAGGACCGCCTCGTCTTCGACCACGTCCTGTACACTCGCATCGTCTTTCTCTTGACGATGATCGTCAGCTTCTTCGATCGACAGAACCTGTACCGCATTTCCTTCCCCGACGACTTCGCGAAGCGCGACGGCATCGTGGTGGAGTGGGTCGTCACAAACGAGCGCTGCGTCGACTACGACGAGTGCGTCCTGCAGTGTGACGCGTTGGTCGAGGAGCTGCTAGAGCAGATGCGCCACCACATCCCCTCGCGACCGCCCTTCAGCTTTATGTTTCGCCTCGCCGACTACTACTTCGCCACCGACAACGTGGAGAAGCTGATTGCCGTGATGGAGGACGCGGAGAGCTACGGGGTGAACGTGGCGGAAAGCACCACCGCGAAGCTGATGCAGCTCGCCTGCGCCTTCAACTACCCGCAGGTGCCGGAGTTGCTGCTGCGGTGGCGTGTGTTGCTGCCGCAGTGCGTGCTGGCCACGCCGGACATCAGCCGACTGCTCTTTTACTTCAGCCGGTCCGGCGGCGGGCAGCCGTGCCCGCACTGCGGGGAGCCGTACAACCACCGCAACTCGAGTGTGTATAACTGGCTGCAGACCCCACCGCACCAGCGGCAGTGTCCGGCGCTGCACACGGCGCGGGTGCAGAAGGGCGAGTTGGAGGAGTCCCGCGAGTTGCCGCAGAACGCCGATTGGTCGACGCAGGCCTTTCAGCTCTACGACCTGTCGCGTGAGCGGGCGATTGAGTGGACGGCGACGGAGTGGCGGGGCTTCTTGCTGTGCTGCATGTTCTCCCCCCGTGCCCTGGAGGCGAAGGCGCTGCTGAACGCGCACTTCTCCGTGCGAAGCATGGACGATTTCCTACGGGCGACCTACATGCGGCTGCTGCGGCACCACGCACCGGAGGAGGCGTGGCCCACACTGGAGGAGTGGCGGGCACAGCAGTGCAACATGTCGCCGATTGCCTTGCAGGAGGCGCTGATGGCCACCGCCATGATTGCGGATGCTGCCGTGCGGGTGGGGCACATGAAGCAGGTGTGGAGTTTGCTGATGGAGAAGAACAGCTACGTGATGCCGCTGACTCGACGGTTCTACGAGCGACGACTGCGGGAGCTGACGAAACAGCACGCTGCTGCTGCTGCTGCTGCTTCGGTTGACCGCGCCGTGCAGACGGAAGAGTCGCAGCTGATGAATTTAGTCATTACGATGCTGCCTCGTCACGTGTCGTTGCTCGATATGAAAGACAGCGCAGCGGACTTCGTGGTCGGCACACGGCGCAAGAACGTTTATCACCCCCCGATGTCCTGAGAAATGGATACCAAAAATGAAGAAGAGAGAAGAGCACGACAGAGCTTATGGAATGACCCTTCTCCAGCGGTGGTCATTTATGCTGTGTTTTGGAAGAAGGGAGGGAGGCGGGCGAGGTGCTTTGGAAATGGGTTGCTGTCACAAACACCGAAGAAGGTTGTGTACGGGTCCAAGAACGAAGAAAAACGTTCTTAGTTAGCTGCGAGTGAGAACGTGTGCTCAGCAAATCGGAGAAAAAGGACAGGTCCGACAACGAACAACTCTCGATATGACGGCGAGAACTTTTAGTTCGTCGTTGACAACTGACAGAGCGGAGAAGGTGTGCAGAAGCACATCATCGTTGGCGCCTCGAGAATGTCGGAAGAAAACGAATTTTCTCTTTATTTTTGGTGTTGTCGGTTCAATCATCTTCACCGTCACGTAACTTGTCTCTCTCGCCTCCTCTCTCTCCCCGTCTTCGCATTGCCCCGTCCCTTTTCGGAGTTCGCAGGCTCGTATACACGCTCGTCGGTTGTACCAAACGGACGCACACACATCAACAGAGCAGCAGCACAAACGCCTCGGATTCCTTTGCCGCTCATGTCCGCCTCCTCCGCCTGTTCGTCATTGACGCGGCACATCACCGCGGCGACGTCCAGCTCTAACAACGCCGCCATCCCCGCCGCCAGCCACCACTTACCGCCCACGCTTAACGGCTACAGTTTCTCAAAGCACGTGCGCAGTTCCCTCTCGCACGATACCTTTATCGGGCAGGCGGAGCGACGAGAGGAAGAAGGTACGCCAGCGACCTCGCAAAAGGTGATTCGTATCTACGCTCTGGACTATCTGCGCAGGGACGAAGAGTGTCGTTTTACGATCGAGCGTGAGTGCATGGCAGGACGCATCGTTCCCTCTCACCCGCATTTGCTGACGGTCGAAAAAGTCTTCGCCTCTCAAACAGATCTTTTTCTCGTGGAGCCGTACTGCAGCGGGGGCGACTTATACGAGTACATGGTGAGTATTGCGACGGCGGCGGCGGCAGCGGCAGCGGAGCACGCCGATGTCAGCGTGGAAGACTCGATAGCTGGAAAAGGGCTGTCCATAGAGTTTGCGCAGCGCCTGGCGCGTGAGCTGCTCACGGCCGTGCATTTTCTTCACACAACATGTGGCTTGGTGCACCGCAATATTAAGCTGGAGACGCTGTTTTGCGACGCACGTATGTCGCTTCACTTAGGCGGCTTTGGTCTCTGTGCGGTGTTGCCCACCTCTCTCGCAGGCGGCGAGAACGTGAACGACACGAACACGACGAATAACGATGGCAATGCTTCTCAAGGAGCACAGGAGGAGAAACAGCAGGACGTGGCGGTGTCGGCGGCTGCTTCTGCATCGACCTCTCTTATGCGGTTGTGCTGTAGCTCGAAGCACTACGCGGCACCGGAGCTGATTCAAGGCCAGCCCTATCAAGGCGAGGCCGTGGACGCCTGGGCGTGCGGTGTGGTCCTCTTCGCCCTTCTCACCGGCTGCTTTCCATTTGACAGTTTGGAAAACGATGACGAGGCGCTTTTTAAGCTGATCTGCGGGGATGCGGAGACGCACCTCGCGCAGCACCCCGCTTTGGCGGCCGTCGAAGACCCCCGAGCAGTGGACTTGGTGCGCAATTTACTTCGTCAAAGCCCCAAGTCGCGCTACAGCGTCGCGGAAGCCCTGGAGCACCCCTTCCTTGTTTGACGTGCCCCTTCAAAGGAGAGATGAGATCCGCGAAGACGATGAAGGCTTGTGTCGCGCGAAGTTGCTTGAGCACGCCGTCTTTTATTCATGTGTTTACTACATGAAGAGTATTTCTTTTTCGTCTTCCCTTCATTCAAGGGTTTTACAGTTCATAGATGTAGATGTGCCTTGGATTGCCCTTAAACCCGCTAGCTGCGTTGAACTTCACGAAACAAAGGATTCACTTTCCCTCTCTGGCTTTCCGCGGTGTCAGGCCTGCGTGCGAATGACAACGCCGCTTGTGCTCATCAACCACGTGTCAGGAACCGATACGTTGTGCGTGTATGCAGCTTCGGGGAGCATGGCACACGCACCCCGCGCTGAAGGATGGAGAGAGTTTCTGGCTCGATCGGTTGGTCGCTACTTCATCTTCGCGTTCCGCACGCAGCAAAAAAAAAAACTTCTCTGCTCTTTCCTTTTTCCTCTCAAGAGAATGCGGGCACTTCGATTGGCGTGGCGGCCACCACCACCAGCAGCAGCATCGTTGGCGGCGTCTTCGTTGTGTCAGGCACGTCGACGGTGGTCCCTCGCTGCGCTCTTGCAGCGCCGAACTCGTGCGGACCTCCTCTTAGAATCTGTGCGCCAGGCAGCCGCCTTTTCCGCTGACTGGGATGTTGACTTCAGCGCCATCACTGAACGCGGTGCCGCCGCCGGCTGCTATTCGCTTGAGAGTCAATCGCAGCTGATCGGCCGCGTTGGGGCTGCGCTTGCGCACGTGCTGACATCGCCTCAGCAGCAAGCGTCCGCTCCCTGCTCGTCTTCTGCGGTCGCTGCTCCTGGACCTTATGTGCGGACGCTGCGGCTGACCCTTCCCACACCCGAGGCCGCTCTTACCCTTGCGCAGCTCGCCCAAACCACGCCCCTTTTGTCTGCGGTGACCTCGGTGGAGTTGACGGTGGAGAGTGGCGCCATCAGCGTCGCCCAAGACAGCATGGAGGGCACGGGTGGGCAAGAGGTGACGGAGCTGCTGCATGTTTTGGCTCGGCGGAGTGCCCAGCAGCCTTCGTGGGTGGACTTATCTTTGTTTTATCGGGAAGCGGCTTCATCAAACCCTCTTCACAGCAGCAGCAGCAGCAGCAGCAGCAGCAGCGGTGACGATGATATGCGGAGCACCGGCAGTTCGCTTGTTGCGCCTTGCGCATGTCACCGAAGTTTGTGGGACGATGCCGCAGTGACCGCCCTCGCGGCGCTCGTTGACTCCAAGCCGTGGCAGAAGATCGCCTTGACACATGTGGTCCTGACAGGGTGCACGCCTCGCACTCGGCTAACGCTGTGGGCCGCCTATGAAAAAAGCTGTACGTCGCTGGTGGAGCTGCACCTGAACGGCACACAGCCAGCGCGAGAGCTGATCAGCACGGGGCTGCTGCGTCGCTTCTCAAAGCTGACCTCTGTGGATGTCGGTCGAACGCAGTTAGAGGAGGACGCGGTGGTGAAGCTGCTGAGAGATCTGCACGAAGGCGGCAACGGCTGGTGGCACCTGCGCCTCCTCGGCTTGGCACAATGTGAGTTCACCGACGCAGCCGTCGATGTGATGGCGGAACAGCTGCGTGAAGGACAGGCACAGCAGCAGCAGCAGCAGCGGCAACGGCAGGCACCCACTATCCTCAAAGCGGTCGGCGAAGCTGGCCCAGCAGGTTCGCCAGAGGATACGGAGGGCGATGTCGCGCTCACTTCGTTTGACATCTCTGGCGCCCGGCTCTCCCGGACAGCCGTTTTCACCCTGGCGGGCTGCCTCGTGCCGTGCACCGCCTTAATACATCTTAACACGCGCCATTGTCGTTTGCAGGCCGACGGTGTCGAGCACCTCGCTGCGGCGCTTCAGCACGCGACGGGGCTGCGCACGTGGGTGCTGTGCCTCAACCGCCTCGCTGATGAGGGGATGGCGGCGCTGGCGAAGTACGGGAAGTACTGGCCGAACCTGCGCGGACTCGACTTAACGCGCTGTCGGTTGACGTGTGTGGGGGTGAACGCGCTGAGCACGGCGGTGCCTGCGTGGGACAGCCTTGAAGTGCTTCGACTGGTGGGGAGCGACCTGCGCTGTCCACAGAAGACTTGCACTCCTCCGGCAGGGGGAAAAACGCAGGAGAACGACTCGGGGAGCAGCGCGGATGGCGGTAACGCCTCGACCGGATTGTTTGCCTACGATCCAGCTTTCATGAAGGGCCACGGAAGCAGTGCGAAGGTGCCGACGTCGTACGAGTTGGACCGGCGTGATCGGGCAGAGGGACGCCGGCGGTACCGCGGGACAGAGGCGTTTATCGAAGCCGCCGCTCCTGCTGCACAACGACAAGGAGCACACACCCCGCTGGAACGCCTCGGCGCGTCTCTCGCCCTCTGTCTGCGGCTGCGTTTACTCGACCTCAGCGACTGCTCCTTGGCGGATGAGGGTCTTCATCAACTGACGCTGCACTTTACCGGCGGAGGGACGCTGGAGGAGCTGCGGCTGGCGGCCAACCCTCTCTTCACCTCTGTGAGGGGACTCGATGCGCTCGTTGGGCTACTCGGTCGCACCCCGCATCTAACCAGCCTGGATCTCTCCTTCACCGGTCTGGGTGACTTGGGCGTCTCGATGCTGTGCGACGGCACTTCCGGTGCGGAGGACGGTGTGCTGGCGTCTATGGGGAACTTGATGGCGCTGGAGCTGACAAGCTGTGCGGTACACGCGCTGGGTTGGGAGTCGCTGGCAGCCGCGCTGCCGCGTTGGCCGGCGCTGCGTCACGTAGCGCTCAACTACAACGCCGTGTCAGAGGTGGAACTACTTCGGAGTTTTCTGCGGCAGCTCGCAGCGGCGGCGCCAGCGCTGCAGTCGGTGAGTTTGATGGGCTGCGTGGCGGACCCGCGTGTGGTGCAGCGGCTCATAGAAGCGGAGGAGTACCGCGTGCTGCTCGAGCGAGGTGTACACGTGCATCTGTGAGCGTCGACGTCTGGCGACGCATCAGCCGGCCAACGTCATGGATGCCGCTTGAAGAAATCGGAGGAGGAAGCACGACACTCTTCCGCGAAGACGTCCAGGCCGCTGTTACGCGCACGCACGCGTGTGTTTTTTCTCTTTAACGTTCTGCGCGCCGAATTACCCGGAAACCAACCTCGGCAATGGCAGGAGCAGTACTTCATCTTGTTGCGGGGCAGCGCTTTGTTTCCTCAGTCATTTGAGACTGATCCTGTCAAAGCTTCCCCACCAAAGGTGCCTGCCTGAAGAACAGCGCCTTCCTTCTTTCAAAGGACGCGGCTTCGGAGTGTCATCGCCACATTCAACGAGGCAGTGTTCGCTGTATGCCGCTTTGCTCTCCACACCCTTCCTCACGTTCCTCTTTGCTTCGCTCATCTCTTTCCCCTCCTGATGTGATCAACCACGTCAATTGACACACACTCACCAAAACCACAAACAGTACTCGGGTCTACACGCATCTCCTTTTTTATTTTGCTGCTGCGGTTTCTCGGTCCCTCACTGCTGCACTATGCCACCCAGCGCCCACTGGGGCAAGCGGCCCCGCAGCGGCGACAGCGAGGAGGCTTTTGTGCGCTTCAGCGAACTCTCCCCTGCCGCCAAGATGGAGCGTCGACGGGAGGAGCGGGGGGAGAAGAAGGAGCGGGAGCGCACGCTGGCGTACTTCAAGTCCGTCCAACGTGCCCTCGAGGAACACGGCAGCGGCGGTGGTGACGCAGGTGCGTTGGCGTCTATCGTAGACGGCTTCTTTTCTGAGCTGCTGAAGCTGCTCAAGGCGGACTCCACCTTCTACGTACTGCGCAACGGCACGGCCTGCCGTGTGATTGAGCTGGCCTTGACGAGCGCGCTGCTCCTGCACGTAAAATCGCTGCTGTACGTCTTCTTAGGTCACATCTGCGACTTGATGGTCTCGCCGGTGGCCAGCTTTACGTTAGAGACGCTGCTGGCCGCCCTCTCCCAGGGACTCAGCGCTCTGGGCGAGACGAACCCCGAAGGACTGGTAGCGGAGCTGACCGAAGGCGGCGTCGGCACCCACGTGGGCAGCGGCGTACCGAGCAGTGCCACGCTGGTCCGCTCCATGGCAGACGAGCTGTGCGAACGCGCCGAAGACTTGATTGTGCACGACATTGGTGGTCGAGCGCTGCGCTCGGTGGTGATGATGCTGGGTGGGCGTGCGATCCGTCAGGCCCCTCAGCCGCCGCACCCCGTCGCCTTTCCCGACGTGTTGGGCACCTTAGCGGAGGCAATTATGAAGGCGTTAGAGGACGGTTACGGCCGCGAGTACAACACGGCAAACGCAGCGGAGTCGTGGATGGCGGCGGTGCAGGCGCCTGCGACCAGTCTCGTTGTGCAGAGTCTGCTGCGTGTGAGCGACGAGGGCAGCGTCGTGGATAGGTGCGTGCGGCAGCGCATCGAGGCTCTTTCGTACAAGGGCAAGCCGCTGCTGCATCACTTGCTGGTTGACCCCCTCGGCTGCCACGTCTTCCAGAGCTACGTGCAGGTGCCTCCACCCGCGGCAGTGGTGGAGGCAGGAGACATGGCAGCGGCACGAGCCACCGCCGCTGCTTCTCCTTCTGTCTCTTCAGCTGCCAAGGCGTCCGCAAACGAAGCTTCCACGGCCGAAGAATTCAAAGGGAAGGAAGAGGGAGAGCTGTTGGTGCCTGGTGGGGCGGACTCCTGCTGCTGGTCCCGCGCCGCAGAGCTGGTGCTGCTCGAGGTGGATAATTTGTTGAAGCCAGGCAGCGACCTCGTCGCACAGACCGGCTATGTGCTGCAGGACCTCGTGCTCTACGCACCGGCCACACTGCACCTGCAGTGGCTCTGGCGGCGTCTGCTGAGCCCGCGGCTGCTGCTGCTCTTCGACGTGCCGGCGCTGACGGCTGTCCTGGTGCAGGCGGTAAAGCGTTGCGCTTTTGAAGGCGTTTTGCTTCGACCGACGGGCCTCGCGGCACAGCTGCGGGACGCCGCCGGGTCTGACGCGGTCAGTACTGCGACAGCGGCGGCGGAAGCGCAGAACGAAGTCAGCCATCACGGCACGGTGCTGCCGGCTGACGTGCTGTCAATGCTGCGGAAGGAGGCTGCGCTGCACGTGCGTTACTCGCCTGTCCCCATCGCCTTCCAATCTGCCGTCTGTGCGCGTGTCTGCGAACTGGCGAAGCAGCGTGCGGCGAAAGGCGCGGCGCAGTACCTGTTGGTGGACGGGGCGCTGAGCGAGAAGGGGCACGAGGTGGCGCGCTACTTGATGCACCTGCACCCCTCCGCGTCAAAGCTGCTGCAGCACTCGCTGGACAAGCTGCAGCGGGAGGACCTGGTGGCGGTCGTATGTCATCAAAAAGGCAGTCAGTTCATGCAGCAGTACATCAAGGTGGCAGCGCTGGCGACACCGACGTCTGCGGCGACGGCGGGGGACAACGCCGGCGATGCAAAGGGGCCACTGATGCGGCTTTTCCGCCGCCTGCAGTCTTCGCTGTCGACGCTGATTTACGACAAGTACGCGGCATTTATGGTGGAAACGCTCTACGAGTGCGCGTCGCTCGGCGTGAAGGAGGCGCTGGTGAAGGCGCTCGTACCGATCTACCAGGATATGCGTAAGCTGAGTCCCTCGGCTGGTGTCGCTGGGGCTCCCGCGGCCAGCGAGGACGGCGTGGAACACGCACCGCAAGAACCGGCGACGGCGGAGGAGGGAGAGGCCGCGGGGAATGCAGAGGTCGCGTCACCGAGCCCGACCCAGCAGCGCTTCATCGCCTACAAAGTCATGTCGAGGTGCTGTGTGGAACAGTACGTGCATCGCAAGGAGGACTGGACAAAGCTGGCGTTGCGGCAGTGCCAGGTGCAGCAGCTGCTGCGACGCATGTTGTTAAGCGAATGAGGTGCGATTCTTTTCATTTCTTTGGTGTCTCTTTTTTTTTCTGCCTTCGAGTAAGTCGACATAATTCTAAGCGCGTTTAACGGAAACCCAGAAGAAAACGCCGACGTTCCGCCTTACGAACGACGCCAACATCCACAACGACAGAATGACGTCTGTGTCTTCTTCTAAATATCTACATTCAATGCATCTGTTATTACTATTATAGTTATTACTATTCCCAGGTGAGTATTCTTCTCTGCCTCAGTCTCGCTGCGTAGATCCCCTGCTCATGGGCTCCTCCATTGACGGAGGTTTTCTAAAGGGAGAGTACCACGCACCGTATGGCGGGTCGAAGCGCGTGGTGGATTACTCGAACCCGCGTATCAGTTCTTGTACTTTTTCGTATTTCCTTTCATTTCTCGTTCTCTTTCTCTCTATCTTCCCTTCTCTGGCATGTGAGTTGCTTTGTACGTGCAAAACAGCATTTGAGGAGAGAAGTTTCAGCGACGACACGCACGCTGCACAACTCACCCTGAGGCCGCAGGAATACTGGAAGGAGTCAGAGAAGAGGTGGGTGTTCCCTGCGCCGTGTGTGTGTGTGTCTGTGATCCTCTTGCTGTTGTTTTCTATTTCTCTCCCTCTCTCGTTTACCACTCTCCATGTCGAAGTCTCCGGCGCCGACAACCCTGCCGGCCATAGGTCGTGGCAGCAGTAACAGCACTGCTACGGCGGGTGCCGCCGCATCCATAGCGGGCGAGGGCACCCCTTCGCTCGACTACGTTGCCCTCTACCGCCAGTACTGCACTGAGGAAGGCTGCAAGGCAAATTCCGCCTTTGTCCGCTATATACAAGACCGCGACGGGCACTTCAGCCTGGAGCGGCTAAATCTGGGTCACAACTATCTCGGCTCGAAAGGGCTGCGGCCCGTCCTCCGCATGATCGACCTGTGTCAGACCATCGTCTCGGTTAACTTGGAAGACAACGGAATCGGCAACGATGCGGTGGCAGAATTGTGCGAAGTGCTTGAGCGGCACGTCAGCATCGCGACGTTGAACCTGCGCCGCAATCCCATATCGGTCGTCGGCGGGAAGCGGCTGCTGCAACTCGCCGAGGCGAACCCGCGCATCACGGAAATCTTAACCGACGGCACCGACATCTTTGGCGGCCTGCAAGAACGAATTCGTATGGCCCTGCAGCACAACGTGGCGGTCGCGCAGGGGACCGGGCTGCAGATGGAAGCGAACAAAGAGAAGCCGGGAGAAGCGCCTGATCCAACAAAGCGCAGAGTCAGCCCTAACAAGAGCAGCAGGGCCAACCAGTCCGGTGTGGGTGTGCCGAAGATGCCGACACGAGTCAAAGTCCCGGCAGCCGCCACGATGCCCCCGCCCAATACGTCGCTGCAGCTCATCCACTCCCTCAGCGGACCGCTGAGCAGCGCGGCAGTGGCCCCGGCGCACGGACGGAAGCTCGCCGCGGCGGCGGACGGGGCGGCGCTGAAGGACGCCTCAGCGGCCCCCACGACTGCCACCACACCCATGACATCACCGTCGTCTGCGTCTATGGAGCGACTTGGCTGGCAGGAGGCGGCGCTCGGCAGGACGCAGCCCCGCCCACCCCCACCGGCGGTCGCCTCGCACACGACGAAGGCGCTCCCCGTGAACAAAGTTGTGGATCTGAAGGCGCTCTTCGCGGAGCGGGCGCGGCTGCACACGGAGGTGAACCGCGGAGAGGCGAGCCGGCGCGCCTACGCCGTGCGGGAGGAGCTGCAGGCCCTGGAGCGGCACGGCCGGCCCGTGGTGGACGCAGACACTGATGTCGCTGCCGCTGCGGGGAAGTCGGTGGGGGTCTATCAGACGTACCCGGGGGCTTCTCCGTACTCCCACCCGAGCAGCGCCGCCGCGGCGGTGACCGCGACAATTCCGCTGCTGCCGCCGCTGCAGGACGATGAAGGCGCCAGCGTCAAGCGAAGCAACAAGAGTACGCCCAACAGGGACAACGCGGAGCGGCCGTCGCCGACGTCTCCCGTGCCGATGCACGCCAGCAGCGACGAGCCGGTGGGAGCTGTGCAGCAGAACTCGGGTGTAGCCGTGACGACAGCCTTGGACCCCACAGACAAGAGAGCATCCGCTGTTGCGGCAGCAGCAGCAGATAGCAACAAATGTGCGGTGCAGGCGCTCTCGTCTTCCGCGCAGCCAGGCACCGTCGTTTCGAACCCCCGCCCCCTCGCGCACACCGTTGAGGATGTGCTGAGTCCCTCCCGCATGATGCTGCTGACGACGGAGGAGCAGTTCACCGTCCTCTTCGATCAGGGGTGCCGCGAGTACGCGAACCGAAATTTGGACGCAGCGTACATGGCGTGGAATGAGGCGATGCGGCTGGCGGTGAGTGAGGGTCAGCGGGAGTGGATGGCGGTCGTAGCGAGCAACTTGCAGCGGCTCAGCTACGAGCTTCTCGTGGAGGAGGGCGCGAGCCACCTCGAGCACGGCGAGCTGGAGAAGGCGGCCGAGACGTTCAACTTAGCGCTGGAGGTGGCGGTGAAGGCGAAAAACGCCGTGTGGGAGCGCGACATGCGGCTGGCAAAGCAAAACGTGCAGAAGGCCCTCTTCCACCGCTGCCACGAAGCCGCGCTGCTTCTCTTTAGCCGCGCGCAGGAAGACGCCCGCGGTCACGTCGTCAGCGGCACGGCCGAGGATAAAGCCAACGAAGTGACGGAGGACGACTACTTTGTGCTACCGGGAACCGAGGAGATGGTGCGCCACACGCCGGCCTTCGTGCGGGAGTGGTCGTGCTTGCTGCTGTTGAAGGAGGCGATTGGGCTGTGGGGGGAGGGCACGCGTGTGGTGTCGCGGCTCAGCGAAGTAGCGGCCGCACCGCTGCGGGAGAACATCACCGAGGCGCTGAACCTCGTCGCCAGCTTCATTGTGCAGCGCCACTTTAACAACACGACGCCGACCGGCTTGCTCTGGTTCAACACGGACGGCTATCTTTATCACGAGTGTGTGCTGCTCAGCGATCTCTGGTACGACCTCGTCGCAGACAGCGAGCAGAGCCTGCACCATCCGCTGCTGGGTGCGGTGTGCGCCGCGCTGCTCGGCGAGCTCTACGTCGCAACCTTCCAACTCCCCCAGGCCCTCGTGCAGCTCGATAAGCTGGTGCGCTACGGCAGGACGCACAGGTCTCCTGTGCTGGAGGCGGCGGGCCTGACGCTGTGCGGGCGGGTGCACTTACAACGCGCCAACCACGCCCTGGCCGAGGCCGCGCTAGAGGCCGCGCTGGAGCTGTGGGCGTCGGTGCAGAGCGATCCTGTGGTGAAGCGGCTGATCGGCGAGCCGAACGTGACGTATGACATCGCCGCGCCGATGGACACCTCCGCCGTGACGGCCGAGATGACGGCGACGACGACAACGGCGCCGAACGCGAGCACGGCGGCCGCCCCCACTCCAGGCGGCGGCGACGCGTTCACTTTGGCTGGCGGCCCCAACGCGGAGGGCGGGCACAGCGGCAGTTTGTGCTTCCGCGTCGAGGCGCACCTGCCGCCGGACGCGATTTCCGTCCTCGCCAGCGCCTGCCGGCAGTACAAAGTGCGCCTGCTGCTGCAGACGTACCGCTATCGGGATGCCCTCGAGACGCTCGAGTACGGCCTGAACGTGGCCTACAGCGACACGCTGCAGGAGAAGCTGGGCCGCAACTACCACCTGAACCCTTCCCTGGATGAGATCGCCGCGATTGCGGGCGTGCTGCGGACTTCGATGGTGTACTACACGCTGACCTCCCGCTACGACTGGGCCGCCACGCAGAACGCCTATCAGGTCGAGGAGTCTCTCTGCATGTGGGTGCTGGCGGAGTCGCGGGAGATGCGCTTCGTCGAGGTGAACCTGACCAACGATTTTAAGTGCTCCATGCAGGAGCTGCTGAGCTCGCTGCGGCAGCGCCTCTGCGTGGAGCCGGAGATGGCGCTGCAGAGCGAGATCGTCACCGAGTTGCCGAGCCGCAGCTGGCAGGAGCCGCTGCGCGTGCTCTACCAGGCGTGCATTCACCCCATCATCGGCTATTTGCGGGCGGCCGATCCGCAGCTGCTCTTCGGCGATGGCGTCATTACCGTGGTGCCCACCGGGCTGCTGTGGCTGGTGCCCTTTCACGCGTTGCTGAACGTCAAGGCGGGGGACCGCTACCTCGTCGAGGAGGTCGCGATTCAGCTCGCCTTCTCCGCCACGCAGGCGGCGTTTGCCTCGCTGAGTGCGGAGCGCGTGCAGCAGCGCGATCTCCACCGCGAGGTGGTGGCGGTGCAGACGGACACCGACCACGGCATGGCGGACTCGATGTTTTACAGCGCGTTCCCCTTCAACGCGGACCGCTCCACTCGCGAGGGCGAGGTGGTTGCGACGGTGCTGCGCGCGGGCCAGGCGCAGGTGGCGGAGCGGCAGCTGAAGAGGGCGTCGGCTGCTGCTGCCGCGTCTTCCTCTGCGTCGGTCGCGTCTTCCATGGGGCATGGGGTGGCGGTCTTTACGCACAAGGTGGAGGTGGTGGAGAACGTGGAGGCGCTGCGGGCGGTGCTGCCGCGGGCCCGCACGCTGCACATCGCCACGGCGACCACCGCCGGCCCACCGCTGTCGCTCCTCACAGGCGGAGGCACCGGTGGGGCACCCGTACAGCATCTGCTACCGCTGATTGAAGAGCGTCGCGGCCGGCAGCGGGTGGAGGACGAGGGCGGTTTGTTGATGAGCGCCGGGTCCCCCATGGGGGACACCGGCATCGTGCGCGCCGCCGAAATCGCCCACATGGAGCTCTTCGCCGAGCACGTTATCCTGACAAACACGAACATGTCACGCGACCATGTCCGCGGGATTCGCGATGACGTGTTGGGGCTCGTGCGCAGCTTCTTCGGCAGCGGTGTGCCGTGCGTGATTGCCGGGCAGTGGTGTACGCCGGACATGGAGCCGATGGAACTGTTCCAGCGCTTCTACACGCTGTGGTGCCGCCCGCCGACCGCCTCCTCGGAGGGGTCGCTGCGCACCATGACGCAAACCACGACACCGTCCGGCCGGCACGGCAGCGAGAGCGGGGTGTCTGAGTCCGCCAGCGAGGCCGTGTCGGCGCGTGCGGAGTCCCTCAACGTTGGTAGCTCGCTCGCCGTACAGGCATCGCCGCGCTCCTTGCGGACCCCCACCAGCAACAACAATACCGCCTCCGACTATGAGGCGGTAAATGGGGAGGGGGGAGGGGAGGAGGACGAGGGGGAGGTGCTGCGACACCGTGCGCTGCTGCTGGCGCGGTCGATACGCCGCCTGCTGACCGAGGAGCCGGCGACGCGCTATCGGCCACGTGTGTGGGCCGGCTACTACTGCATGGGTACGGGATGGTAATCTCCGCGCAGCGGGGAAAGACAAGGGCAGCACTTACGGCTTGATGTACAAACTCATATTTATATACATATCCTTTGAACGCTTCGATTTCGACGATCGTGTCGCCATGTATACCTCTACAGGACAGCAACACAGTTATTTGTTTGTTTTGAATTACTGCGCAGTTTCTTCTTCATCTTGAGGTCGATGTAAAGCTCACGCACCGCATCCTAATGCCTCGTCTTCTTCGGTGTGCAACGCTGCGCTTGTCATGTAAATAACCGCCTGGCTTATCACGACAATTCTTTTTATTATTATTTCTGTGTGTGTGTGTGTGTGTGTGCTGTGGTGAGCAGTCGCTTCTGGTGATGGTGTTGCGGGACTACGAAGGAAAAAGGAATGGTAAAATGCTCAAAAGGCGTCTCTGGCAACTTCACAGCTCTAAGTAACACGTATAGATGCGCTCTCAATGAAAGACGGATGCTTCATCCGTCGCTCCCTACGTCGCGCCGCCAGCGTGACGCGCCGCAGTTGGAGCTTCATGATGGAAGACACGAAAAGGGTTTCAGTTAGCAATACATCTTCACATGCGCTTGTCTGAGACGATCAACGTTTTTATCGTGTTTCACCGTAGCCGCCGTCTCCTCTTCTCTCCCCCTCACCCTGTACGCGCCAACGTCGCAGGGTGTTGCGCCTCTGAACGGAACCGTTCCAGTGTGTCCCTACACGCAGCGGGAGGCAAGTCCACTTCGAACAGCTTTACTACGCGTGCTCTTCTCTCCTATCGATTGCAGAAAGGAGGCCTTTTTTTTTCTTACCTCTCGCTCTGTATTTATTTCATTCGCTCTTATACGATGGTCGGCGGCAAACAACGCCACGTTTTGTTCTTCGGCTCGCTGGCCGTCAGCGTGGCCGGGCACGACGTCTACGACGATGAGGTGGTCGCCCAGCTCGAGCGTCAGAGCGCGTTTGTGAAGCTGCGCACCACCGTCAGCGCACCGTTCCGCAAAACGGAAGAGTCGTTTGCCGCGGTGGCCACCTCGCCGCTCTACGAAATTCATCAGAATGACGCCCCCCTTGCCACCGCCGCTGCGATGGTGGGCGCCTTTGGGGCCCCGCAGCCGTCGCAGCCGCACCGCTTCTACCACAGTTCCCAGCATCAACACCACCGTCAGCGGGCAGCATTTGTGCCGGTGATGCTCGAGCTAGCAAAAGGCGTGGCGGCGGAGGAGGTGCCGTCGATTGAGGAGATGGACCGCGACCTGACCTCCCTCCCATCCCCATCCGACGACGGCCTGAGCGCGCTGAACAGCGGCGACGTGACGGCAGAAAACTACGCATCGGCCTCTGTGCGGATTGAGGTGGACTTGTCTCGAAGTGGCAACCGCACGGGTCTGGTCGCGATGCAGGAGGTGTCTTTACCCTCGTTAAACTACCTGGCGCGCCACCATGTCTGCACGCTCGTGCGCATTCCGCTGCTGACGAGCACCATTCAAAAGGCAGCCGTGAGCGACGTCGATGCGGCCTCGCTCGCGCTGGAGGAGGCGCAGCGGCAGTGCAGCAGCGGCAGCCTTGACGGTGCCGCCGACCTCGGCGCGGCTGGTGTGGCACTGCACCTGTACGTGGTGGTGCGCGTCGTGAGCCTCGCGGAGAAGGTGCGGCTGACGCAGGAGGCAGACGACGCCGTGCGCCCGCTGCTCGATGCTGCGGAGTCGGAACCGGCGGCGCTGCGGCTGCGCCTCACGCAGCGCGGTGAGGCCCCTTACGGTGCGATGCCGCTGACGGAGTTGTACCGGCATTACAAGCGCTTCTTCGAGCACGACGGGAACACGGTACTGAAACACGGTGACGCCATCATGCGCCGTCTCGGCAACGCACCGCGACAGCGTGAGGCGGACGCTTCCTTCCCGCACCGCTGGAACGCGCTGACGGAGGTCGACCTGCGGCCGCTGCTGCTCGGTGAGAAGGCGTTTGCGCCGCTGCTGCTGACGTTGGCGCACTGCACAAATCTTCGTGCCCTGTACGCGGATGGGAACCAACTGGGCGACCTGACCTGCGGCCGGCTCGCTGTGCTCTTCCGTCGACATCGCTATCTCGCCTACATTGGTCTCGCCAAGAACGGCATTCATGAGGGAGGGGCAGCGCAGCTGATGCGGCTGCTGAAACACAACCTGCGCATCACCGCGCTGCCGTGCGAGGGCAACTATTTCTCCGATGCGATGCAACAGCGCATTGCGCAGGCGACGGCGAAAAACGCTAACGTTATTGCAAACGACCCGCTGAACATCTTTTCTCAGGATTACAGCTACCTGACGGACCTATCGAGTCTGCCGGAGCCGACGCAGCGGCAGGCGCTGCGGACGTGGGCGATGCTGTCCGCCGCACCGGTCGGGGACGTCGATGTGATGGTGCACAACTCCACCACCAGTTCGCAGCGCACGATCGGCGACTCGCCGCAGATTGCGATGCAGCGTGCCAAGATGGCGCTGCACGCCCGCGAGACCTTCTCGCTGATCCCTCCCGCCGCGCTGGCGCCGCTGCTGAACGAGGTGATGCGGACGGTGTACGTGGCGGTGTCGCGCCTGCTGCCCGACCCCCTCGTGCGCTCTCTCTTTTCAGATATGGAAATGGTTCTGGCGAGGCAGCAGGAGCAGAAGGAGGCGCAGGCGGACGGCGCGGCGACGCAGCGAGGGAGGGGCGACGCGGGCGGCTCGTCGCTTCCGCACGGCGTGCGGGCTGCGTTGGGCGATGAGCGGGCGGCGCCGATCAACCCCGAGAAGCTGTATGCGCGCTCCTTTGCCCGCGTCGTCGTGACGGTCTTCCGCGGGTTGATGCTGTCGACGCCGTGGGAGGAGATGGCGGTGGTGCTGGAAGGGATTGGCCGCATGCATCGGGATTTGGGCGTCATGGCCGAGGATTACTGGCTGGCGGTGCACGTGTTCATGGCGGCGGTGCGCATTAGCTGTGGCTCCGACAGCTACGATGCCGATCACGCGTCGTCTTTCCTGGCCATACTGGCCTTGGCGGTGCGCACCACCGCTGGCTTCGCTGTGCAGCTTAAATAAAGGTCCATTGAAGGTAGATGTGTGTTTCGTTTCCCTGTTGACCACAGCAGTCATTTTTACCCTGCCGCGGGTTCCTTTGTTTCTCATTGTTGCCGCCTATTTTTTTTTGAGTTTTGTCTAGCGGCCGACCTCGCTGCTCCGCTGCTGTTTTTATGATACCTCGCCGTGTGTTTGACTACACTGCTGCGGCGTACACTTGATTTCGTTGTTGAATAGATATTAGCGTTGCTCCTCCCTCGTTTCCTCTTCACGCAAACGGCGAACGCATAGAAACGAAAATAAGGGTTCACAATTGACAGTGGATGCTGTTATGTGTGTATGTGTGTGTGTGTGTGTTCTCTTTTCAGGTGGCGATAGCACAGAGCCGTACGCGGGGAGAGGGGAAAAGGTTCAGTTGGTAGAAGCGGTGTGTTGCGTCCCGTCGCATCGGAAGAGCAGCCAGTGCAAAGGCACCCTTCTGTTTTCTTCTCTGCCGGAGCGGAAGGTACGCGCACATGCAAAAGCGAGTTTCACGACAGAACGGACCTCTCATCATCTCGTACTCTTCGTATCTTTTCTTCTTCATTGCTTTGTAAATAGAGTGCACCAACGAAAAGGGATAGCGTTGCATCGAGCAGCTGCTCCGCCTTTGCTTCTCTGTTCATTCGTTTGATAAATCCACTTCGCAGCTGCCCGTGCAGTTGATCCACACTCGTGGTGGCTCTCAGCGCCTTCAACTGCTGCCGATCAGCAGCAACAGAGAAAGAAACTATCGAAGAAGAAAAAGGCAACGAATTATTTTTTCGTCGTCGCCATGACCTCTATTCTAAAGTTGATGCCGCAGGAGTACCTGCACGTAGAGGACACAAACACGTGCGACGTGCTCACCCTTGTCGGCCCCATCACCTTCACCATGTACGACCACCACCGCCGACTGCACCAAAGCCCCCTGCAGTTCATCGTTGTTCCTCCAGGGCACTACATCGAGGTACAGAACCCACTGCACCGGGTGCAGCAGCAGCAGCAGCAGCGTTCACACTCCTCCACATCATCCAACGCAGGCGCCGAGGGCAAGAGCAACGGCAACGCGACTCCGGTGTACTTGCTCCTGAGAAGCAACGCGACAAGCCCTACAGGGATGGAGACTGTCAAATACAGTCGCTGGAAGAGCCCCTATGGCAGCAGCGAACTCCGCTTTGCCGAGGACTCGCCGTTTCCACTCCTACCCGACGAGGAAGCCGGCCACATCTTGCCAATGCCGCTGCTCTCCGCCAATGAAGCGCTGGTGCTGGAGGCAAAAGAGGCGCTCGACACCGCCGACCCCGTCACCGGCGCGGTGCGACACCGGGAGCAGCAGGAACAGTACCTGTACCGCGGCCCCGGACTCTACCGCCCGCGCCTCGACGAAGAAGTCGTGCGTCGAATTGAAGGAGAGTTTGTGTCTTCGATGCAGGTGTGCTACCTGACGGCGCGGTGCGACTTCACCGACGATGAGGGTGTGGCGCGGGTGGCGGGGGAGCGGTGGAGGCAGCAGGTGGAAGGGATCTTCTTTCATCACCCGGCGGTGGAGGTGGAGGTACGCGAGCTCTGCGTGGTGGCGGACACCGAGGCGGTGCAGTTCGAATCCACCACCGCCTTCTACGATGCGGATTTGAATCTGCAGCGGGAGGCAATGCAGCCTTACGTCATAACGCGCGCGCAGACGAAGGAGGGCGTCTACGTGCCGCGCAGCTTTGAGCGGCTTGTCTCGCGGCGGCGCCAAATTCACCTGTCGCCGACGCAGTACTGTGTCGTTGCGAGCCCGGTCGGCCCCGACGGTGCACCGCGACCGCGGGAGGCGGAGGTGCGGGTGGGGAAGCAGCGGTTCACCCCGCAGCCGGGCGAGTGCGTGACGCGCGTGCTGGACGCGCTCGTTGTGAAGGAAGACGAGGCGCTGCTGCTAACGGCGCTGCAGTCGTACGCGGAGGTGGACGAGAAGAGCGGGGCGGAGATGCAACGCGAGGGCGGCTCTCGCTGGCTCGTGCCGGGGCCTCGGCAGTACGTCCCGCCCATCTACGCGCGAGTGGTGGAGCGCCGACACGTCATCAAGCTGGAGGAAAACAGCGGCGTGTACGTGCGCAACGTCTTCTCGGGCCAGGTGCGGTCAGTCTTCGGCCGCCCGTTTATGCTCAGCGCAGAGGAGGAGTTGTGGGCGCGGCCGATCAGCGCGTACGTGCGTCGTTTGCACGCCCAGCCGCGGCAGTCGCTGCGTGTGGACGACATGTCCGCGGACGAAATCGCAGAGGCGGCGGTGGAGGAGGGGCGTGCAAACATTCGCCGCACCGCTGACCTTTTGAGTGGCGCCTACACTGCTGTGAGAGTGGAGAGTAACGCGAATCCTGCTACTACTATTACTGCTACGAGTGCTGCTGGGGCCGGAGCAGCACCACACTCGAATCACGAAGACGAAGACGTGAGTGACGAAGAGGATGGGGCGCAGTGCGGCGGCGACGGCTCTACGGGCAACGCGAGCCACAACAGCAGTCCCAGCGCCGCGGTGGACCCGTACGCGTCCACGCTGGACATTTTGAAGATCGCCGAGCAGAACGCCCACCCGAGCTGCCAGTCCAGCGACATCGCGCAGTACTACGTGATCAGCGCGAATGTGGAGCACAACACACTGATGCGGCTCTACGACACGAGCACTGGCCGCAGTCGCGTCGTTGCGGGGCCGGCGACGGTGTACCTCGAGCCGCACGAGCACTTTACCCCGTTGTCCCTCTCAGGCGGTCGCCCAAAGGAACCTCATCAAATACACGCTTTAAGCCTGTACTTGGGCCCCGATTACATGGCAGACACCATCGAAGTCGAGACACGCGACCACGCACGACTGCGTCTGCACCTGGCGTACAACTGGGAGTTCGATGGCGTAGAGGCGGGCAGCAAGATAGGGGTGGACGCGCAGCTGGCCTTCACAATTCCTGACTTTGTCGGGCAGGCCTGCAAAGCGCTCGCCAGCCGCGTGCGGTCCGTCGTTGCAGGGCAGACGTTCGAATTTTTCCACTGCAACTCGTCGACGCTGATCCGACAGGCCATCTTCACCTCCGCCACGGACGGGTCTACGGTGGTGCAGAACGACTCGCTCCTCTTCCGGGCGAACGGGCTCCGCATCACGACCGTCGATGTGCAGAGCGTCGAGCCGGTCGACACGAAGACGCGCATCGCGCTGACGAAGAGCGTGCAGCTGGCGGTGGAGATCATCACGAAATCGCAAGAGAGCGACGCCTCGCATCAGGCGGCTCTCTTAGAGCAGGAGGCGAAAGGCGCGCTGGAGCTGCAGATCATGCGGGATCGCGCGAAGGCCGAAGAGCAGCGGACGGCGTTGCTGAAGGTGATTGGCAACAACACGGTGCTGGAGCAGGCTGGGGCAAGTCGGGCGCAGGCTCTAGCAGAGAGCGAAGCGCGCCTGGCCGAGGCGCAGGGCGAAGTGGAAGCCACGCCAATCCGCTGCACCGCGCACTCAGTCGGCATGGACGCGGAGCTGGAGGTGCTGCGGCAGCGCGCGGAGCTTGACCTGGCACACCGCGAGTCGATGAACAAGCTCGCCATCGAGAAGATGCGTCGGCTGGCGGATATTGAGGCGACCAAGTACGAAACGATCATGAACGCGCTGGGGAAGGAGACGCTGATAGCGATTGCAAATGCGGGACCTGAGCTGAAGGCGCAGCTGCTGGGTGCGTTGGGTCTGCAGGGTTTTGTGGTGACGGACGGCTGCACGCCCATCAACATGCTGAACTTTGCTGATCAGATCGCCTCTCGCTCAGCAGCTGCATAGAAGAGAAAAGAAGGGGGGGGAGCAAGAGAGTGAACCTGACCAGCCGGCGCACCTCTAAAGCATTTGTTCTTCCGTTCCTCTCTGCGCTCCCATCACATCAAACATGATCACTTCTTTCACATCTTTTTCTTTTTACTGCCGTTGTTGCCTTTTTCTTCCCCCGGTTCTGCGGTTCTTCGGAATACTTTGGCAGCCGTTATGGCTCCTTATCGTCACGTGATACAAGTTTAATGAAGAGAGACGGTTTTGTGCGGGGAAGGATGTGGAGCTCGCACAGGCACACATGCGCGGGGGATCTGCAGAGATAAAAGAGGGGATGCGCAGGAAGTAACCTGTGTACGTTGCCGTTCTGTTGATTCTCCGCCCCACAACATAGAAAGTATTCTGCCTCTCACGCTGTTGGGCTTTGACTCATGTATCTGTGTTCGTTCCCACAGCCGTTGCGCGATGCAACTGCTTTTCCCCTCTTGGTTATTTCTACCGCCCTCCCTCTTGCCTTTGTTTCTAAATAGGGTGTTATTGCGGTGCTGCCCCGTCGCGTCGGCATCACAGCGGTTCTCACGGCTGCGCATGAACAACAAGCAGTCCTCACGCCGCAACCCGCACGCGCGTTACACGAATCAACAACATTATAATATAATAATAACCTGTCCTTGAAACAGTACACCAAGATGCCACGCGAGGTGATCATCGGCACCTCCGACGCAGGCGAAGACCCCGCGGACCCTTCGCAAGTGCTGGCACAAGAAATGCCGGCACTCTCGGTGGTGGAGGCACACATGCAACGCCTTCGCTACGACTTATGCGGCGACCGCCACGCCAGCAGCGGGTACGCCGCGCGTGTGAGCATTCCCGCGAGCGACCTTACCCGCATCGCCTCCTTAGTGGACTTGTTGGATCAACTGCGTAATTGGTCGATTGAAGAAGGAACGACTTTTGTGGAGGAGCCGAGCCGGCTAGCGGAAACGGAGGCACCAGAGGCGGTGGTGGCGTGTGTGTGTAGCGGTCGTCCGCGGCTTATGACGCAGGCGCTCTCGGTAGTGCAGCCCATGCTGCGTCACCCGCAGACTGCATGGGAGCTGCGGCGCGTGGTGTGCGAAGTCCAGCGTTCGAGAACGCAGCACGCGAACAGTACGAGTAAGAAGGCAAGGGAAGAGGAGAAGGAGGAAGGTAACGCAGCGGAGCTGAACTTGGAGGCAGAGGACGGGACACGCGGCGACCCCCTCTTGATACTGTTGGCGGATATTGTGGCGCATCACGCCGGCGCAGCGCCCCTCCTTGCGGAAGCGTTAAGCACCGCCGCAGCGGTCGTGCAGGTGGTGTTGCACGACCTGTCACAGGGGGAAACGGAGGAGGTCGTCTTCCAACGCGTGCGGTCCATCGCCGACGCCCTCTACGCGACGCCGCTGGTGTTTCACATCGAGTTGGCGATGCGACGCTTTGCGGCGGTGGCGCCGCTGCAGGTAAACGGCGTGCATTTTTTTGCGGCGCTGGTCGACCTGCCGGCACTGACGGACGATGGGCCGGCTCGTGTGCCCAGCAGCGGTGCGGCTGCTGATGACAGCGGCTCTGCGCACGCCGTTGATGCGACGCGGGCTCGAGAGGAGCGGGAGAAGAGCATGGGGCCGGGGGAGGAGCTTCCGGAGGAATCGGTGTCGCCTCCTTCCTCTTTGGCGGACGTTGTGGCGCACAGTGACGGGGTGCTGGACGTGCTGCAGCGTGCCATGCAGCTCCACCGACACCTTCTCTCGCTCCGTCGCGGTGTATTGCATGTTTGGTGCGTCTGTGCGCAGCGCCCCCCGTGCCGAGTGTCGCTGCTTCGCCACGGCGTCTACGGAGCTGCGCTGCGGCAAGTAAGCGAGGTGGGTCCGTACACCATGGACGTGTTCCGCGAAGCGGCAGAAATCGTTGGGTACTTCACTCCCCTGTTGGACGTCTTGCAGCGTCGCTCGCTGCTGCTCACACTGCACGGCATCCTGCAGCGACGACCACAGCTGGAAATGATCGAGGTGGTGCTGGCGCTGCTTGTGGCGGTGCTGACAGTGGTGAGCCGTCCGAGCAGCACGGGGGACGCTCCGCACGATCGTACGCATCGCCACCCTCACGGAGACGTGCGTGGTGATGCAGGCCGCGGCCGTCGCGGAGGGAACAGCGACCCCTACGCGATGTACGCCACGTGCGTCCAACCGCCCACCCTCCCCACCACCTCTCCGTCGCGTGTCCCTGCTACGGTGGCGGAAACAGAGGCACCTCGTCAGCGCTGTCTTCGACTGAGTCCCTTGTTCTGGCAGCCTTCCTCTTCCTCTTCCACCTCTTCTATCAGTAGCACTACCAGCCGTGCAGCAGACGGCGATACGTGGCAGTTCATGTTGCAGCGCTGCGCCTTACCGCAGCTGGTGAGTGGGCTGCACGGATACTTCTCTGCTTGTGAGGTGGTGGATGAGCAGGATGCCGCCGCGGTGGAGCGCGTGTGCGCGCTTGCAGAGGCGGTGCTGACCTTCTTTTGAGGTCCTCGCTCCCCTCCCCCCTCCCCCTTTCTGGTTGCGTGTTTAATATCCGGCCTCAGCGCTGTGTATTTCTCGTACAATGTAGGAACCGTGAAGTGCTTTCAGCCAGATCAGCTCCGCGTGGAGAAACGAAATACCGTGAAAGAAGTTCGTCTCTCGCTGCTAACACGAACTTCCCAAAAAACGGAGGTTTCTTGGAGTCGCGCGTAAAGCTACCAGTTGCGAAGAGCGTGGTTCTACCGACAATCTTTTCTCTTCGTGTTTCCGTTGTTGGACGCCGTGCTCTCATCAGCGATGCCGTACCTGCGTCGCGGCAAAGAACGAAGGTATCCGGCATCTTCACTATCACTCCTGTCCATTGTGTCTCGCCACCTTTTTCTCTGCCTCGTTGCGCACCCGCACTCACGTTGTGCGTGTTGCCGACCCTTTTTTTTTTCTTCTCAATCAACGGTAGTTTCACGCATACAGTACACGCACCAAGCGCGACTCCGTCTCATGACAGCGCTAGCGGAAGAACAACGGTCGCAGGCGGCCCTGCAGTTTCTCCTATTAGACCAAGACTCCGACGGGTACATCGCCAGCGATCAACTCGGCGAGTATCTCCGCACCGTCGGCCTCTACCCAACACCGTCGGACATCGCAGGCTACCTCCCTATCGTCGATCCGCACGGCACGGGAAAAGTTGCCCAAGAGGATGCGCTGCAGCTGGCGGAGCAGCTGTACCCGCAGCGCACCACGCCTGAAGAACTGCACGCCGCCTTGAAAGTGTTAGACGACGATGCGGACGGCTACATGACGACGGCGCAGTTGCGGCTATTTCTGGTAAGCCTTGGCACGCGCCTGACGACCGAGGAGGCGGACGAAATTATTCATGACGTAGAGAAGGATGCCGATGGGATGATCAACTTGGAGGACCTCGCGCAGATGCTGATGCCGCGAAACGCTGAGCGAAGCATTTGAGGAGAGCCCTTTGGTGCATGAGCTGTTCGTCACTTCTTGGATCCCTCTCTCTCTCTTTCTCATCTCCTCGCCTTTGGCGTCGATTATTTTCTTCCTGGACTGCTGGTTGGTTTATGTATATTAGTCCTCGTCTTGTGATACTGCAGACAAACCCGTAGTGTAGATGACCTTTGTATTATGCTTCACATTTCGTCGACGTTGTGGCGTCGGGTGGCCGTAGAACATCCGCCACAAATCGACTCCGACAGCTTTAAGCAGCACACAATTACCTGTTACTACCAATATTATTATTATGTGAGTACCGCTCCCGCACGCTCTCTCTGTGCTACTAACTGCACTTCTTCTCTGCTGTCTCCTGCGCTCTTCAAACACCCGTCCCTTCCTTTCTTTTTTTGTGTGTGTTTTACGTGGGTCACTGCGGTGTCGGTGCGAGGGGACACTCCTACGTCGTCGCACGTGCACAGCAGAAGCTGGAGCATGCAACGCGGTTCGAGCGACGCTACGTACGCCCCTATCTAATGACGACGACGTGAGCACATCCACACACACATACACACGCATACATTATCTGAGCGCTGCTAAACGACATAAAACAGGCGCAAAAGCACTAAAGGGAAACAACATCATAGAGTGTGGTGCGCATCTCCATGCCGCGCTCCACGCTCTTCCTTGACAATGGCGGTTACACCATCAAAGCTCTTTACCTCCCTGCCTCTTCTTCCCAAACCGCTGCCGCCCGCCCTTCCTCTAGCGGTGGAACGAGCTCCTCGTCTTATTCCTCTGCCCATAGTGCGCCGACACCAACGCCAAGAGTCTTTGTCATGCCCAACTGTGTCGGTGCCGCACCGCACGCCGGCACCGGCATCGTCGGCGACCAACTCTCTCGCCTACCGCACTACCACGGGCTGATGGTGCGTCGCCCGGTCGATCGCGGCTTTATCGTCGACGGTGCCCTGCAGACGCGCATGTGGGAGCACGTCCTGCAGCACTTCGCAATCGAGCAGGAGGATGAAGTTGACGTGTGGCTGACGGTGCCTTTTGCGGCCCCGAAGGCGGTTGCGCAGCTACTCTGGCTGCTCTGCACTCGCAGCTTCCGCTTTGGGTCTGTGACGGTCGTCAGCAGCAGCTTTTTGGCACTGGTAGGCTACAGCTTTCCCAACATGGGCTCCGCAGTGCACATCAAGATGAACACCGCTGCAGGAGACGCCGTCGCGGGAGAGAGAACGTCGTTCCCGGAAGATGCGCAGCGCAGCCGCAAACGCGCGCGCACAACGGGGCACGCAGCTGCCAATGCCTATGGTGCTGGAGATGGCAACGGAATGGAAAAAGGAGGTACGGCGATAGTGGTGGATGTCGGCTTCTCGGGCACCACCATCGTCCCCTACATCGACTTCCTCCCCGTTGCCAGCTCTATAATTCGACTTGACGTTGGTGGCAAGCTGCTCACCAACCGGCTCAAAGAGCTCCTCAGCTTCCGGCAGGTGAATGTGATGGAGGACACCTGGCTGATCAACCACGTGCGGGAGCGGTGCTGCGTGACGGCGATGCAGCCGTGGCGGAGCCTGCGGCTCTGCGCGGCCATGTGGGAGGGGACGTCGCGTGAGGAGCTGGAGGCGCAACTGACGCGGGCGAGCCACACGGTGCGGGACTCCCGTGATGGGAGTTCTCTGCTGCAGACGATGGCGCGGAGTCGAGGGGCGGTCCGTGGTGATGAGAGCGGCGGGCGCGGCGGGCGCGGCGTCACGGACAGGGAGGCCGCGGATACGCCGGTACGCTTTTACCTACCGACCATCCCCGCGCTTCTCCCGCTGGGCGTGGTGGAGGCAGAGCTGCCCGCGCGTCTGCCCAAAAGCAGCGCCGTCGATTCCACCGCCCTGCAGCACCTACTGCTCTGTCAGGAGCGCTTCTTAATTCCCGAGCTCCTCTTCACACCGGGCGATGTCGGGCTGGATCAGCAAGGTCTTCCGCAGGCCATTACGGAAGGTGTGTTTCAGCGAGGTCTGCTGCAGCACGTCGTGACGCTGCTGCGGCCGCAGCTGCTGAAGCGGGTCTGCGTGTACGGCGGACTCGCGGACACCCCGCTACTCCTTGCGCGACTTCACGACGAGGTGCAAGCGGTAGCACCCCTGGCAGCAGGACGTGCAGGCAGACAAAACAACGGCAGCAGCAGCGAAGAAGAAGACGTAGCGAAGGAAGGAGACGATGTGGACGGCCAACACAAAGGTGGCGTGGAGGCACCTCCGCCTTTGTCAGCGCTGTTGGAGGACGCGATTGCTGCTGCTGCTGCCGACTCGAACGGCGCATCGTCGGTGCCATCGTTTTCGGCGATGACGCTTCAGCCTTTAATCGGAGCGTTTTGCCTCCTCAGTGCTGATGCCGCGTCGACGTCGGCTGCGGCGCAGAGACTCGTACGGCTGCGTGCGATGGTCCAGCAGCGGTCTCAGGTGGAGCTGCAGCGTCCGGGGGGTGGGCGGGTGACCGTCGAGACGTTCCATGAAGCGATGCAACGTGTTTGGTAGCCCACCAACACAAGCGCAGAGGTGAGAGGAAAACAGAAACAGCAGTAAATGAAACAAAGAGGGAGAGCGCGTTATCGCCTTAGACCACGGAAGGGAGTTACAAGACGCGGTGCAGACACCCACGCGGTTTAGTTGTACAGGCGGGTCGCTGCCACGAGAACAAGGGCCTTCGCTACGTTGCCGCATGGCTGCGCAGGAGTGGAAGGAGAGAGCTTCAAAGGAAAAAGAAAGACCCCGGCTTTTTGTTTTTACCGACAACTTTCCATCCAAAGCTCAACCTTTTCCGATTGGCGGTGCATCTCCTGACGCAACGACTTCATCGTCCAGTGCATGTCTGTTCGATACATCTGCCTTTCTTCTGTGTTCGTCGCTTACACGTCTTCTATTTTCTCCTCTTTCCCTTTCCTCCCTGCACTGCCCTGTCCCTCCCCCCTACGCACACAAACGGACGCCTTTCAACAAGAAGTTCTCTACTCTCTATTTGACTTACTGCAGCACAGAGGCATCACCTCCTCCCACATAACGCATTTCCCTTTTCCTTTTCATCTCAAAAAAAAAACCCTTTCCTATTTGCAGCAATGGCTTCTCGTGTGAACAACCTGTTGTCGCACATCGCGATCCGCGATTCGGACAGCGATGAGATGCGCTACGTGAAGCAGCGCCTCGCCCTGGCCAGTCTCGCCTCCCAGTTCACCATGTCGCAGGAGAAGATGAAGCAGATTACCATGTACATGATCCACGAGATGGTGGAGGGTCTTGAGGGCCGCGAGAGCACCATCCGCATGCTGCCGTCCTACGTGTACACCTCCAACCCGAACAAGGCGACCGGCGTGTACTACGCGCTGGACCTCGGTGGCACGAACTTCCGCGTGCTGCGTGTGAGCCTGCGCCACGGCAAGGTCGATGCCCGCATCGACTCGAAGTTTGTGATCCCGAAGGCTGCCTTGACCGGCACCGCCACCGACCTCTTTGATTTCATTGCCCAGAGCGTGAAGAAGATGATGCTGGAGAATGCGCCTGAAGATATGGAGAACCGTGTGCCCCTCGGCTTCACCTTCTCTTTCGCGTGCGACCAGAAGGCCGTGAACAAGGGTCTGCTGATCAAGTGGACGAAGGGCTTCTCGACGAAGGGTGTGGAAGGCCAGGATGTGGTGGAGCTGCTGCAGACCTCGCTGCGCCGCGTGAAGATCAACGTGAACGTGGTGGCGCTGTGCAACGACACCGTTGGTACGCTGGTGGCCCGCTACTTCGTGGACACGGATGTGCAGGTCGGTGCAATTATCGGCACGGGCTGCAACGCGTGCTACTTTGAGCGTGCGTCTGCCGTGACGAAGGACTCCGCCGTGGCCGCCCATGGCAACGCCGTGACGCCGATCAACATGGAGTGCGGTGGCTTCGACTCCAAGTACAAGTTCGTCCTGCCGATCACGCAGTACGACGACGAGTTGGATCAAATCACGCCGAACAAGGGCAGCTGCCAATGGGAAAAGATGGTTTCCGGCATGTACCTTGGCGAGGTCGCTCGTCGCATCATCGTTCACTTGGCGAAGATCGGCTGCCTGCCGCGTGAGCTGCAAGCTGGTTTGACGAAGGCGTGGTCCTTTGAGAGCAAGCACCTTGGCATGATTGCGGCGGATCAAATGCCCGGCCTGCAGTTCACTCGTCTGCTGCTTCAGAAGATCAGCGGTGTGGATGTGACGGATGTCAGCGACCTGCACACGGTCCGCGAGGCGTGCTGCCTCGTGCGCAGCCGCTCTGCCGAGCAGAGTGCCATCTTCAGCGCTGCCCCGATGCTGAAGACGCACACGCAGGGCCTCGGCACGATCGCCGTGGACGGTTCCGTCTACGAGAAGATGCCCTCCTTCCAGCGTCTGTACCAGGAGAACATCTCGCGGCTGCTCGGCAAGATGTCGAACGCGAAGGCGGTGCTGCAGAAGGACGGCAGCGGCATCGGCGCGGCCATGATCTGCGCCCTCGCGGCGGCGGCGGCGAAGTAGGCCCACGCACGAAGCAATCGAGCGTGCAACAGCACTTCTTTTCCCGCCGCCTTCTGTCGTCCTTCGACGCACTTCGCCACGGCCGATGTCCTCTGAGGTGGGCCGCTGCAGCATTGAAGGTGCGGACCCTTTCTTGGCGGAGAGTGAAAAGAACTCGTTAGCCTGGGTAGTTGCGGAAGTGAAGACGGTGACGGATAGCGAGAAGACGAAACGGAAAGAGGAGTTTGCTGGTACTTGAGTTCAAGTCATCCACACGACAGCCCACTCACTCGATCCGTCCAAACGGTGAGAAGGGCTGCCTGTTGCTCCCACACACGATGCCTCCACTTTTTTCCGTGTTCGCCGGCGTGTTTGCTGGCTCTGCATTGTTGTGAGTTGTGAGGTCTTTCTCCTATTTTTTATAACGTTCTGTAATCTTCCATCTCTTATCAGTTCAGTGCGGAAAAGGACGTTGATGGTGCAGCGTTGCACGAGCGGTGGTTTTGCTTTCCCCCCTCCTTGTATTTTCTTCTTCTATTTGCACCGCTGTTTCTCTCTTCGAGTCTCGCATCTTATTTCGCTTTACGCAATTGAAACTATTGTGTCGTTCTCGGACTGTAAATGGTGAGTCGACTCGTTTTAGTTTTCTGAGAAACCACGCGAGAGAGAGAGCGAGAGAGACGAAGAGAGAGAGAGGGGGGAAAAGACGGTCGCCCACCGCCACTTCGCTGCTTCACGATTCATCCGGAAATTTTTAAAAAGCAAAGGGAAGGAGCCTCGGCTTTTGTGTGTTGTTTCTCCTGATGGATGTGCTTTCAACGATTTGTTTTATCCAAATTGAGGATGTGAAGCCGACGTTTTCTATCTCTCTATTACTAACCTCAAATTATTATTATTCTTCTTTGTTGTTGTTGTCTGGTCAAACGTGGAGCTACAAAGGAAAAAGAACAGCACTACATTAAGATCCCAAGTCGCTTTATATATATATATATAAATCATTCTTCTTTGTCCTTTTCGTTTCAACCATCAAAACGTGTCGTCCCCGTCTCCCTTGACCTGTCGTGCCTCCCATTCCCCGCAGCGTTCGCCGCCTGCGACTTCTTTTTTGCTCACTAGCACGGCAACGCATCTCTGTCGCGGACAGCGTGATCGTCTCTCTGTCGTTTTCTGGTTTGTGTTCTTCTCGCTTGTAGTGCAGGTATTTTACTCCTCCCGGCGATATTTTTCGTTGTTCCTTTTCTTTTTTTGCGGGCGTATCCGCAGCATAGAAGTACGGGTGAATAAAGAAGCGCGATGCATGCGCCTGAGGCGGTGCACCTCCGCCTCGTTTCACTCACGTTGAGGGCGACGGCGGTCAGAGCGAGAAACAGCAAAGAGGGAGTTGGCGTAGCCGCTGCCTCACCGTGATGCACGGCGCCACGAACACGACAGGGGAAAATGGGCGGGCCAACGCGACGCTGTCGGAGAAGACGACGCTCATTCAATCCCATTCTTTTCGAAATACGATGATGAGTGTAATGACGCATGCAAAGATCATCTACGCACGCCCAGAGGGAGAGAAGGACGTTCTTCCTTAGAGGGCATATGTGCGCTTCTGATCCACAGGAAAATACCTCTGGTTTCTTCATTTGCGTTGTTTGCTTCGTCATTCGCGCGTTGTCTCTTTTCTTTTAGCAGCAACAACTAAAAAAGAAAACGCATTAAATTTCTCTCATTTATTTGTCTCTCTTCCGGCTGTGGCATGCGGTGTCAGGAGGAGGCATTATGTATGCGTGCGAGTGCACTCGAGAAACAACCACCAAACACGAGGTTTGACGTTTGCATTGCGGTTAGCTCTTTCAGCGGTTGCCGTGAAGCGCATGGAAACGTGCGGTGTGTGTGCAGATGGCCTTGACAGCGGATGTATGGAGGCGGCCGCACCACAAGGCGAATGAACGCGCTGAAAAGGAGGGAGAAGAAACCGCCCCTCTCTCCTTTGTCAGAGAGTCTCTCGGCTGCTTCACCGCACGGGTCGTTCACGGTAATAGGGAGGCATCAACGCGGTGCCCTGCAGATGAATTATGTGTGTATATGTATGTTCGTCATGCGCGTATCAACTCTTTTATTTTTTCTGCCCTTTTAAACCACATTTTCTCTTCGCTTCTCTTCTGCGTCTGCGCTTTCATGTTGCTGCTGTCGTTGACGCCTCGCACACACATACATACGCGTTTGCGGCCGCGTTTTCTCATTTCCACCCCATAACGCGTCCTCTTCTAGAATTTTTAACGCGCTCCTACCAGCTTTCAACAGTCTTTCTCGTCTCCTCTTTTAACTTCTACTTTTACGCTACAAAAGATAAGGCTCTGCGCTGCTTCTTTTGGGTTCTGTAAATACAAGCATTCTTTTCCCTTTTCCTTTTCATCTCAAAAAAAAAACCCTTTCCTATTTGCAGCAATGGCTTCTCGTGTGAACAACCTGTTGTCGCACATCGCGATCCGCGATTCGGACAGCGATGAGATGCGCTACGTGAAGCAGCGCCTCGCCCTGGCCAGTCTCGCCTCCCAGTTCACCATGTCGCAGGAGAAGATGAAGCAGATTACCATGTACATGATCCACGAGATGGTGGAGGGTCTTGAGGGCCGCGAGAGCACCATCCGCATGCTGCCGTCCTACGTGTACACCTCCAACCCGAACAAGGCGACCGGCGTGTACTACGCGCTGGACCTCGGTGGCACGAACTTCCGCGTGCTGCGTGTGAGCCTGCGCCACGGCAAGGTCGATGCCCGCATCGACTCGAAGTTTGTGATCCCGAAGGCTGCCTTGACCGGCACCGCCACCGACCTCTTTGATTTCATTGCCCAGAGCGTGAAGAAGATGATGCTGGAGAAGGCGCCTGAAGATATGGAGAACCGTGTGCCCCTCGGCTTCACCTTCTCTTTCCCGTGCGATCAGAAGTCTGTGAACAAGGGTCTGCTGATCAAGTGGACGAAGGGCTTCTCGACGAAGGGTGTGGAAGGCCAGGATGTGGTGGAGCTGCTGCAGACCTCGCTGCGCCGCGTGAAGATCAACGTGAACGTGGTGGCGCTGTGCAACGACACCGTTGGTACGCTGGTGGCCCGCTACTTCGTGGACACGGACGTGCAGGTGGGCGTGATTATCGGCACGGGCTCGAACGCGTGCTACTTTGAGCGTGCGTCTGCCGTGACGAAGGACCCCACCGTGGCCGCCCATGGCAACGCGATGACGCCGATCAACATGGAGTGCGGTAACTTCGACTCCAAGTACAAGTTCGTCCTGCCGATCACGCAGTACGACGAGGATATGGATCAGCTGACGCCCAACCGCGAGAACCAGCGCCAGGAGAAGATCGTCGCCGGCATGTACCTTGGCGAGGTCGCTCGTCGCATCATCGTTCACTTGGCGAAGATCGGCTGCCTGCCGCGTGAGCTGCATGACGGTCTGTCGAAGATGTGGTCCTTTGAGAGCAAGCACCTTGGCATGATTGCGGCGGATCAAATGCCCGGCCTGCAGTTCACTCGTCTGCTGCTTCAGAAGATCAGCGGTGTGGATGTGACGGATGTCAGCGACCTGCACACGGTCCGCGAGGCGTGCTGCCTCGTGCGCAACCGTGCGGCGCAGCAGGGTGCCATCTTCAGCGCTGCCCCGATGCTGAAGACGCACACGCAGGGCCTCGGCACGATCGCCGTGGACGGTTCCGTCTACGAGAAGATGCCCTCCTTCCAGCGTCTGTACCAGGAGAACATCTCGCGGCTGCTCGGCAAGATGTCGAACGCGAAGGCGGTGCTGCAGAAGGACGGCAGCGGCATCGGCGCGGCCATGATCTGCGCCCTCGTCGTGAACGAGCAGAAGAAGAACTAGCGCCAGCACGACCACACGACGCTTTTTTCCAGTTCAGTAGTTCACCCAAGCTACTGTACTGCTCCCTGTACGCTTCAAAAGAAAAGCTCTAAGACGAAAGACGAAAGACCACCACTAGCCACTCGAGAGAGGAGGGAGATCGCGTGAACAAAGAGGAAAAGACGATCAAACAGGGATGCCGCCCTTTGTTTTCTTTGTGTCGTCTCCTCTGTTCGCTAAGCGTGTTCCTCAGCGCTAGATCAAAAGAAAGCGTTCTTCTGTTTGCTTCCACCCCGCCGCGCCTCTCTCTTTTGTTCTTTGTTTCTTTGTTTCTTCGTGGTCGTGAACTCGCCCACACGACAACACGCGCTCCTGTGAGTCGCGAGGCGTGGAAATAAACTCTTTTTTCTGTATCGCCCTCCGCGGTTCTCCCTGCGCATGGCTGCGGGCGTTCACGCAGAAGAAGAATTCCGGACGAAGAGACAATTGGGGAAGGGGCATGGGGAAGGGAGCAAGAACGATGGTTCGCGTTGCTTTCACTGTCATAAACTCTTCTCTTTTTGTTACTATTATTGTTCCAAGCAAGCCAGAAAGTATAATCCACGTTGAAGGCCTTAATAGAAAACATATTCTGTTTGTTTGTTTTTTGCTGCCCTCGCTTTACCTCCAACCCGTCTCCCGCTGGACCGATAACCCCCGCCCGTTCCTTTCGTGTCCCTTCGCAGCGGCAGCGGTGAAGGTTAATGAAAACGAACACACGGAGGAATCCACTTCTGTTTATTTCTTTATTATTTTTTAAAGACGTCTCTTTTCGTGTTTTTGTTTTGGATAACTGTTTATCTCTTCTTCTTTTTTCTTTTCCACATTGCTGCTATCGTGAAACGAGATGGTTAGCGAGAGAACGTTTGCGAACGCAGCCCGCGCACGTGCAATGGCTTCCAACACAGCTGGTCGTTTTCCTTTTTTCACGGGGAGCACTTTTGTTGATGCTCCGCTGTTGCCTGCCCGTTCGCGTGTGCGTGTGTGTACTCCCTCAAAAGGCTGAATTAAATGTTCTTTGATTGTTTTTCCATTGTTTTTTTTTTATTCTTCGCTGTTCTTAACTCGAATGTTTTTGTTTTTCTACTTCTTCTACTTCTACCGCAACGTGTCCGTGTGCTTTCGGTGAAGGGCGGCACCTCGCATACACGCAGCGAACGCTTCCAACAACCGCGGCACGTCTCCTCTTAGGGTCATCTCAATCGCCTTGGGAATTGAAAACTCGTGCTTTTTATATTTCTTCCCTCTCGCTTCGTGAAGGTGATGAAACATGCAAAAGAGAGAAAAACGGATGTTGGCTGACGTTGTTGATGATGTACAACCGTATGCGTACTACTGCTGCGTCGGCTTCTTCCATGCGGACCTGCGGGACGCGTTCCGCGAACGGCAGCCGCACACAGGGTTTCCTCTCTACACCTTCGTGCTTTTCCTTTGTCTTTCTCCGTTCTCACCACACGCATACAGGTCAGCTACGCAGCAAGAACGGCGAAGGTGTACGGCGGACAGCGTGTCGAAGACGAGGATAAAGATGTGAAGACGAAGTTAACGACGAAGAGAAGCGGCGTTGAGAAGGTTTTTGAAAGAACGAAAGAGTAAGAAGAGAGAGGTTGTGAAGTGCATGAGTGAAAGAATATATAAATAGGAAGTCTAACATGCTGGAGAGTTGATTGTTTTCTTTTTTTTTCCTTTTTTGAAAAGACGGTAAATACCTAATGCAGCAACAAAAGCAAGTAAAGTGCCTAAATGAAACACATAAATGCAGACCGAGCCGCAAACGCTCGGAAGGGGGGGGGTGAATCACGAGCCCCCCAAAGCTGACGTATTAACCGTTAGCTTTTCACGTACAGGCAGGGCGAGCAGGCCAAGCGGCACTTGTCCTGCAGACACAGTGCGAGACACCGGTTTTCATTGTTATTCAGTTGCACCAATAAAATAAGAAGAAATCTGTGGCGACTGTGTTGCATCTCCCTCTGCTGCTCGAAATCACGATCTCTGCTGCAGCTCTCTTCTTCTCCCTTTGGGCTGCTCCTTTCTCACCCCTCAATTTGTTCATGTTTTTTTCTGTTTTCCTAACCGGCGTTCTCAATAACGGGCGCGGCTTTACCTCCCGGCAGATTTTCAGCTGCGTTGGAAGTGCTGAACGGTCGCCCCTCTGGTGCAGCCTCGCGCTCCTTCAAAATTGCAGGGGATCGAAGAATCTATCATCATCTCTCTGATGCAGCGCCAGCTCGCCCGATGCACCCCTCGCCGCCTCAACGGGAGGTGGGCGGCACGGAGCTCCATCGTGTGCGTGGCTCCGTCACTCGCTCGCCATTCTACACGAACAATACAAATATCGCACTCGGCGGCGGCGGCGGTGGCACAGACGCAGCGACGATGGGCGCATACCCGTCCAAGTACATTTTCCCCTGTCTCATCTTCCTCCTCCCCGCCCGCACCTCCGGCGAGGACGACATCATCGTACGAGGCTCCTTCTTCTTCTGCCGGCACCGCCGCGACGACCACCACCACGCTTGGGATCCTGCAGCGCTTCGTGCAGCAGCGCGACTACGACGGCTGTGCCGCCTACTACGAGCACCACTTCGATCCGCCACGTCAGCACTTCATCGACGACTTCTGCGGCGGCTTCGCTGCGGATGCGCGGGATGCACTCTTAACGCTGATGCGCGTGTACACGAATATGGGCCGCATCGATAAAGTGCGCGGGGTGTTGAGCGTTGGGCTGCGTGACCTCGCCGCCGCGGAGGTGCAGCATGCGACCCCCCTGCGTTACGCGTCGCTAAGCCAGCAGGACGAGGCGGCCATGTGGGAGAAGGCAGGGGAGGTCGCCACGTCTCGCAGCGTTAGCGCCGCGCCGCCGCTGCGAGACGACTTACTATTACCTACAACTGCCCCCTCCTCTGCGGAGAAGGCAGGCGCGGCGAGCGGCACGGCTGAGCCCGCCCTCTCGTGGCATCGCGCGTCGCTGCTGAACGCATCGCTCTTCAACGCCTACCTCGAGGCCCTCACCCGACGCAGCAAATTCGCGGTCAACGAGGTCACGTTTCTGCTGGAGCAGATGAAGACCGCCGGAGTCAGGCGAGATGCGCTGACGTACCACTACCTCATCGAACTGCACGTGCGCGCGGGGTACGACCCGATTGGGTTGTGGGAGGAGATGAAGGCGCAGGAGGAGCCGCCGGTGTTGCCGCTGCCGGCGACCGTGCAAACCCTCCTGCTGCGTGTTGTTCCCTCGAGCCCGGACCCGGCCTTCGTCGTGGACGTCACCAAGGCAGCCCTGCGCTTTGGCACCACTGTAATGGACAAGCGGATGCTGGCTGACATGATCGAGCAGTGGCTTTCGGGAACTGCACGAACAACCGCGCCCGCGTCGTCGTCCTCGTCCGTCGACCCTCAACGGAGCAGCAGCAGCAGCAGCAGTAGCAACAGGGCGTCGCGCTACCCCCCGGAGTACACTCTGTGGCTCATGCTCGAGCTAGAGTTGCGGTGTGTCCTGGAGAAGGCGAGCTTTACACAGTACGTCCAGCGGCAGCACTTGACGGAGCTGCTGCTGCAGTGCGCGAAGTGCACCGATGCGGCAACGGCAGAGCAGGTGCTGGCGCTCATGGACCGCCACGCCCTCCCAAAAACAGCCGACGTGCTTGCGCTGGTGATCTGGTGCTGGTCGCAGGCGCTCGAGGTTGAGAAGACGCTCGACTTGATTGAGTGGATGGCGTTAAAGGGGTACCTTGACCAGGTGGACTGCTTTCGGAAGGCCTACATTGACACCTTGCGGTATGCGATGGAGCAGCACTACCTCATGACCTTCGCAGAAGCGCTGAGCACGCCGGCTCTGGCAGAGCGCGCACTGACGCACCTGCACGCCCGTCGGCAACGCGGTGAGCTCGTCTCGGCGCACTCGCTTGATTTAATCGTGCTGAGCTTCGCGCGTTTAGGCGAGGAGCGGCGTGCGCTGCAGCTCGTCGCGACGTACGAGACCCGCTGGGGCGTGAGCCCGCGCACGAGCACCTTCAACGCCCTCCTCGTCGGCTGCTCGCGGCACCGCAGCACGATGCTGCACCGCGTCGTGTACCGCACGATGGTGAACAGCGGCGTCGCCGCTAACGTGTTCACCTTCCGCGTTTTAATCCGACAAGCCGTCGTGACCGGCAACATCGACGAAGCGATTTTTTACCTGGAGGAGGTCACCCGTCACCCGGGGCTGAGGGTCGAGGTAGAGATGATCCTGCCCATCCTTGAGCGGGCCGCCCGCGTCGGCGACGGGGAGACGGTGAATCGAATGAGTCAGTACTCGCTGAAGTGCGACATTGGGATTGACAAGGGAGTACTGCGCAGCGTGATGCAGCAGCTGACGGAGGCGGGGCAAAGCGTTGAGGTGCTGAAGGGGCAGCTGCCGCTGCACGAGGCGCTGCGCTCGCGATCGAAGACGGGTCGCCAGCGTGCGCGCAATGAGGTGCTCCTGTGAGCTCCACAACGGAGAAGGAAAGGAAGGTCAACTCCTTCTTGCATATTCACAAGTAATGAAAGTGTCTTGGTGCATGATTTGCCTTCATAACATCAACGAAAGGAAAGAAATTTATTTCCAGCTGGCAACTTTGTTTTCCCTGTTCTTGTCGCACACGCAGCTCTTCATGAGCCGCAGCAATTGTTCTGCTTTGAAAAAAGAAAAGAAGGGAAAAGAACAAGCGGTGGTAAGTGCGGCCTTCGTCGTTGCGATCTACCTGTGGGGTTCCCCGCTACGTCTCGCCGTACTTCCTTCCCCTTCCTCTGCTGTTGTTCGCCCTCACCTCTCTATATTTATGCGGCCAGGATAAGAACCACGGCGAGTATCATAGACGCACACGCACGCACACACACAAGCGCACCGTCAACGAAGAAAACACAAGTCGACGCGCGCGTGCTGTTGGATGGGGCGGTCAAAAGGGGGTCTTGGTGCGCAAGACATCTGATTCCTTCGCCCACGTTCGTGTAATTTGACTTCTTCTTGTTCTTTCTTCCGGTGAACGCAGCACTCTGAACGTTACTCTTTATCGTGGCACACGTTGCTCACTTTGACTTCGTGGGATGGCCGCAGTGGACACCGTGAAGGGGCGCTACTCGTCCTACAAGCTGCTGAACGATGTCGGCCGCGGCGGCAGCGCGCGCGTCTACTGCGCCCAGGACCTCGCGACTAAGAAGAAGGTCGCCGTGAAGCAGCTCTTCGGCAATCGAGCGCAGGATCGCGAAGATTGGCTGCGCGAGGTGGATGCGCTCAACACACTCAACAACCACCACTGCCCTCACGTGGTCCAGTACCTCGACCACATGCAGCAGCACGACAAGCTATTCCTCGTGGAGGAATACGCGGAGCATGGTTCGCTGCTGCGGCAGCTGCGCCAAAACGGGCCCATGTCCGAGGACGTTGTCTGCCGCTTTGTTTTTCAGATCCTCACCACACTGCACCGCATGTCGCAGTGGAATATCATTCACGGTGACGTGAAGGCATCCAATGTTTTGCTCTTCGACGCGGAGGTGGTGAAGCTGACCGACTTTGCGCTGCGCTCACGTGGAGAAGGTGGAGCAGAGCACGGCGGTCGCGGCGGTGGTGGTATTGGGGAGTTGGACAACGACAACGACGAAGGCGGCAGCGGCTCCGTTACAGCCTTAGGCTCGACCACGGCAGGCCAGACCTTCTCGGTAGATGGCACGTCGAGCGAGTCCCGGCTGACGGACTCGGCCACACCGCAGCGCACACGCGCCACTACCGGTGCCGCCGCGGCAGCCGTTGTGGCGACGGTGCTGTTGGAGAGCAGCGACGAAAGCGGGACACGCAGCGCCAGCGCGGCGGAGAAGCCCACCGCGGCGTCGTCGCCGCCGCCCCCGTTAGCGGAATTTCGCGGGTCTGTGTACTGGGCTGCGCCGGAGGTGCTTGCCGGGGAGAGCAGCGCGACAGCGGCGAGTGATATCTGGGCCGTGGCGTGCACCGCCATTGAGCTGCTGACGGGCGAACCGCCGTACTTTGACCGCTCCATACCGAACGCGACGCATCACGTGTTGAAGTCGTATTACGCGGTGATGGAGGGGGCCAAGCCGCCGGCGCAGGCGGGGACGAATGAAAAAGACAGTGCAACAGACTCCGCCGCGGTCGCCGGGGCTGAGCAGTCGCCACCCAACCGAAGCTCCGAGCACACTAAGCACAACGCCTCCCTCGATCCACAGAAAGAGGACGTGGAGAGGGGCAGCGGCCATGCCGACGGAGTCGGCGACGACACGGATCCTTCTTCGCTAATGCCACCACTGCCGGAGACGCTGCATCTCAGCGAGGAGTGTCGCTCCTTCCTCCGTCTGTGTCTTTGCCTGCGACCAGCAGAGCGCGCGTCCGCCGGTCAGCTCCTCCAGCACCCATGGTTTTGGGATGTAGTGGTGCCACAGCTGTTGCAAGCGGCGCGCGAGGGCCGCGGGGTAGTCGGCGGCAGCCCGGGAGAAGACGACGGCGGTAGCAACAACAGTAACAATGCGAGCAGCGGCACGAATGCCGGCGCGGGGGGGAGTCGCTTCGCGGTAATCGAAAAGTGGGTGGAGTCGAACCTGCTCGGCGACGAGGAGGCCCGCTGCAAAGCGTGGCTGGAAGGAGACGCGCTGTCGCTGCTCGTGCCGGTGCTGACGCCGCGTATTATGACGCCCAAGTACATCGGCAACGTGATGCGGTGTTTCTCCCACTTCGCAGAGGCAAACTCCGCCCTCGCGCCGCTGTTTCTGAACCGGTTAGGTGCGACGGAGCTGTGGAGCGTCGAGGAGCTGACATCCGCCTGCGATGCGGATCACCTCGTCACGCTGTTCCGCCGCTGCTGCGAGGCGCAGGATCCTCAGGTGGCGGTGTTTACGCCCACGCACCCCTCCGCCCTGCGCTTCGTGCTGGGGCTGGAGAAGGCAAAGGTGCAAGAGAGCGTGGTTGCGCTGCACCGTCTTTTGGTGGAAGATGCACCGCCGCAGCAGCAGCAACAAGGGACGCCTTCGACGAACGTGGCTGCCAACACTGCTGCTGCCGCCTCGTCGGGTGATCACATTGAACCGGCAGAGTTAGGCGAGGAGCACACCACTGCAGATGCAGCGGCGCCCCATCCCGATGCGGCAGCGGCGCAGGACGCGGCCCGGCAACGTGAACTGCAACAACAGCAGCGCCGCGAACGTGCTCGGGAGCGGCTGCTGCTTGACGGCGGTGCGGCGATGCTCTGCCACCGCGTTGAGTCGCAGTGCAAAGCCGCCTTTCTGGCCGGCGTCCCACCAACGCTCGAGTGGAGCACCATCAATTACTTCTTGGAGATTCTCGAGACGGTCGAGCCGCTGCCGGGCGGCCAGGCACTGTTGTGGGGAGTCCAGAGCGGGGACGGCGGCGAGCTGCTGAACACCAAATCCAGTGCAGCCGGCACCGCCTCGGGGGCTTCTGTGACGACACCGCGCGGCGACGGCGCAATGGGCAACAACAATACTAATGTGCATAGCGTACACAGCCTCAGCAGCATCGCTGCGGAGGGTAGCGCGGCGCCGCCCCTCGCCTCTCCCCGGTCTGCCACCCCTCGCGAGTCGCTATCACCGATGAGCACCGTGTTGCTCGGCCCTCACGTTACGCTCCCCGCCGCCACCGCCGCAGCAACGTCGTCAAATGTGGTCAACAACGTCAACGGTGCTGCGGGGACGCACAACGTCTCCAGCAGCAACATCGGGAACGCGTCTTTTAGTGCGCACGCCGACGTGGAATGGACCTCGTCCTTGTCGTGGATGCTGGCGGTGCAAGAGAGCGCGCACCACTGCTGCACGGCGGCGGTGCGCCTGCTCCTGCGCTACGTCCCCCTCGCGGCGGAGGTCAAGGCGGAGTACGTGGACAAAGCCGGCGTGAGTCTCACCGCAACCCTCGTGCTCGTGGCGTCGAGCGCGGCCGTGTCGACGGAGCTGCGCGGCGCGGCGGTGGGCTGCCTGCCGAAGCTGCAGTCGTGCTCCCTGCGCGCGGCGCGGTACCTGCGCGATCCAATTCGCTGCATCCCGCTGTTGGCGATGACCCTGAAGCAGAGTGCGTCGGTGCCGTTGCTGACCACCTCGATGCTGGCGGCGCTGCGTGCCCTCACCGTGGAGAAGCAGACCTTCGCGGCGTGCGTCGGCAGTCCGTGGGTGTGGGACGCGCTGACGACGTTGCTGAAGGAGGTGGAGGCGCAGGGAAGCGGCAGCAAAGCGAGCAACGACAAGAGCGCAGGAAAGCCACACCCTGACGGAATCGAAAATGGTGCGGCCTCCGCCAACTCTCCCTCCCCGCCCCTCTCGCTTGGAGAAGCACGAAATGCGGAGCAGCGAAGGCTGAGAGGCATGGACGGTGCAAACGGCGACGACGGCTCTCACAGCAGTGACCAGAAGATCGCGTCGCGAGCGATGCTGGCAGACATCGTCGCCCTGATCGCGCAGTGGTTCGCAGACGCGTCGCCCACGGCCCTCTTGAGCATGGCGACGGCCGCTGCAGCGGTGCACCGAAGCATGGCACTCTCCTCCCCCACCCCGCCTCAGCCGCCTCCGTCGTCGTCGGTGTCGCTGCCCCCGGCCACCACCAACAACGCCACGAGCAGAAGCATCTCCTTGGCGAACCCCGCCTCACCCCCCTCTCTGCCAGCGCTGCTGCAGCGGCTGCGTGTGCAGCTGACGCAGCTGTCACACAACGAGGGCCTCTGCAACGGCGATATGCTGCAGCATGTTGACAAGGCACTAGAGTTCCTGATGCCGCTTGACCTTTCAGTGCCCGTTGCGGCGGTGCCAGCGAAGTAAGTACGGCGGCCACCTTGTGTTTAAACACGGTGTGGAATGTAGAGCGTAAACAGTTGTTATCGGTATATATATTTCTTCTTCTCTCTTTGCGTGTTAGTGAATTCGCTGCTCTTCAATGCGTCGGGAAACACCATTCGGTTATTTGCTGTTGTTTAATCCCTTTCTTCCTTCAGCGATGGTAGCTTCCCTGTGCGACATCGGCACCTCCATCCGTTAACCCACCCCCTCACACACAGCCGTTAAATTTGTCTGTGTGGGCTGTAACGCCTCGCCTCTCTCGCACACGTACCCGTGTATAACGCACGCGTGTGCGCTTGCATCTCTGACAGCGCCTTCGAACAGCGTAGAGGGGAAAAAGAAGGCCCTCGTGCTTCGAGACGAAGGTGTAATCCTCATGAGAAGAAGAGCAGCTGCAACTTCGTGTGCTTGCGTCTCTTCCTCCCCGTCCTCGAATCGCAATGGGTGTGCCTGTGCGCGTGGTTTCATACGTACGTGTGGTCAGTGGAAACCCTGTCAGCCTCTTTTTTGTTTTTCAAGAACAGCATTAAACGGTCTAATAAAGAACAGTACGCTCCGCACACCTACACCTTTGTGGGCGGTGGAACCCGTTCACACATACGCATTCACACTGAAGCACGCAACCTGTGCCATGTACAATGTATTCCCTTCGCTCATTCCCCGCGCGGCCATGGTGCGTGCCCGCGCTCTAGAGCTGGGCCGTGTCAACGACTACTACACGAGCGCCTCTGCCCCGAGCAGCTCCACGCTCGTCGCAGCCGCGCCGTCCGCCACGAACGTGTACGTGCTCGCGTATGGGGAGCGCGAGGGACTCGCACCGGGCGAGCGGCTGGAGGTGAGCGGCAAAAACGTGAGACTCGTGCGCACGCTGGCTTACGGCTGCCCGCGCGGCGTTACCGTGCAAAGCGCGTTTACCGGCCGACTCTCCGACGAAGACTTGAACGGGATTACGGAGCAGTTGGATGCGCTGCACCCGTGCGGGATGGACATGCGCAAGCTGGCCGCGCTGCAGCTGAAGGAGACGGCCACCTCGTCTCCGTCGTGCTCTCCCGTCGCTTCAACCACTACACGGAACTCACAACGAGGAGACGCGGCGCAGCTCCCGCGGCACTCGCCGAACTGGACGCTGCGGCTTCCCGAGATTAAAGGCAGCCGTGTGCTGCGCAACGCCTTACCAGACGATGTCTCCACGCTGAGCGGGGCGCATCTCACGGCGCAGCTGGAGCGCATGCGGCGGAGCCAGGAAGAGGTGGTCGTGGCGGAGTGGGTCAGCCGCTCCGGCGAGGATAAGCCAGCGACAAGCACGGTGCGGTGCGGCGTTCCAGAACACACAAGCGGTAGCGAAGGACCGTCCCGGCGGAAGCCATCCACGCACAATGCGAACACCGCCAGCAACGGCGGTGCGGACGAGGACGTCAGCGCGAGCGACGCTTTGTTGGTGGAAAACGGCGTGTGTTTCCGCAGCGCAGACAGCTGCGGTCTCCGTGCCCTCCGCACGGCCCGTCTCGCGTTCATCGCCAGCATCGAGCGCACGGCGAATGGGTTGGCGCGCCGTCAGCGCCGTTTACCCGGTGAGGAGCTCCGCGCCCTCGAGGTGCTGGACGTGAGTGCGATCGACTTCACCTTCGCCCACGCCGCCCTGCAATCCACGTTGGAGTTGGGCCTGCACACCGGCGAGGGCTGTCGCATCACGCACGTGCCGCTGACCGACGCCGCTGCGCAGCGGGTGGAGTCGCCGGCGGCCAGCTACATCCGAATTGTCGCCGCGGAGTCGGGCACGGCGTTTCCACGGCCGTTCGATTTTGTGCCGACGCACTCGTTTGGCGTGGGTGCCTACACCGCATATTTGCCGCTGCCGCTGGGGCCGTACACCACGGAGGAGGCGGCCGGGAGCTGTGCGAGCTTCGACGCCGAGGAGGGCACCGGCGGTGGCGGTGCGTCCTCCCCCTCTCAGCCGACGCGCCGTCGCAAGAGCATGCACTTGCAGCATCCGATCCATCGCCGCTCCGGCGTCGAGGCGGAGGTTGGCGGGACGCGGCTCGACCGGCAGCAGCTCGCGGTGCAGCTCTCACAGGCGATGGCCACGCTGCGCCGGGGGGCGTGCATGCTCGTCACCTTCGTCCCGACGCCCGCCACGGCGGCGGCGCTGTACCGGGAAACGGAGGCGCAGCACCACGCAGAGGTGCTGATGGAGCACCGCATGGTGGCCAACTCGAAGGCGTGCATCGCCGAGGCGATTTCGCGGACGGGGCGGTGGGGGTACATCACGGACGAGGTGCTGCCGGCTGTGGACAGTCCGCAGGGCAGCTCCTTCTCCCTCATGGTGGTGCTGGAGTGAGGGCGAGGCGATACTGATGGAGCGTGTCCATGCAGGGGTCTTTTCACCCGCACACGCATCCCTGCATATCTAAAGCTTTTTGTTTTATGCATAACCGGCGGAAATAACTATAATAAAATGGAGGCGAAAGATGTGAAGTGCGGGCGTCTTTGTGTCCTCTTACTCGTCTCCCTCGCCATTCAGCGCACCACCACGACAAACGAGCCCCACGGGATCCCCTCCCTCTCGTCCAGCTTGGGCGGTAAAGGAAATGAATGCTTCGCTTTACGGACGATGGAAAAGGGAATAAAAACTCATCGCGATGCCGCATGGACTGGTCACGTCAACTCAACTCCCTCTCTCGTCTCCTTCGCTTGCGGTGTGGGCACCCCTTTCGGTTCCCCTGTGTGTGTGTGTGTGTGTGCGTCATTCAAAGGAAATAGGAGAAAGCCCAACAATGCTCAGCAACACCAAAGGCTACTCGCGCTTCTCGCGCTCTCTCGGCTACCACCGTGACGACCTCGCCACCCTCGGTCGCATATGTCTAGCCTGGAAGAGAACGGGCAAGTGCAAGGCCTACAACAAGGAACAGGAAGTCCGCCACACGCTTGCGGCAGCGAAGGAGGCGGAGCTGCGGAAGAGCGCGACGGCCCTCTACACCACGCAGATGGACCTCGCCGCGGATCTTAGCGGCGTGGAAGGGGACGCGACGCTGCTGCAGGGCATGGCCACCGCACAAGCCGGCTTTTCCACCGACCCTGCCAAGAAGGAAGAGATGATTGACCGGCTGGTGGCTGTGCTCAAGCAGGAGCCGGCCTATTTAAACTGGAGCCTCGACGCGGCGGTGGCGGAGAAGATGGTGGAGCTGCACATCGCACCCTGCCGCTTCACCCACCGCGGTGAGTTGGCCACGTCGCTGAAGCGCAGCCGCGGTGCGCAGGACAGAGAAGACGTGCGGGTAGCACAGCAGCAACACGAGGAGCAGCAGACGTCGCTGAAGAGCGTCAATGTGGAAGGCGCAGCAGAGGGAGAGCAGCGGGGGGCCGCAGGTGGGGTGGCAAATGGAGACGTCACGGCCAATCGGCCCTCAACGCAAGCGGCGTCCTCGTCGCCAACGCGGAGCGGCTCAGCGATGACGCTGATGGAAAGGATGCAGGAGGAGAAATGGGCAGAGCAGCGGCACCGCATTTTTCAAACGCTGACGCCGTTGCAGCGCTGTGTGGTGTGTCTGCTGTGGCAGCGCAGCTACCAGGTGGAGCAGGGCGTTGTGTGCGATGTGCGACTCACGCTGGAGAGGCGGCTGACCGACGTGTACGACCGCACAGGGCGCGTCGTTGTGAAGGGCGTGGTGGTGGCGGAGCGGCACCGCACCACCGAGGAAGAAAAGGGGGCTGAGACGGCGAATGGCGACGAGGATGATCCGCTGGACGCGTACCTGAGCAGCAGTGAATTTGAAGAGCTGGTGGAGTGTGAATCGAAGCGAGTGGTCACGCGCGTTGTGTTTCGGCCAGACTACGGCATGGTGGATCTGAGCGCGTTGCCGCTGCTCGTCGCCCACCTCAGCAGCGTGCCAGAGTGCGGGGTGGTACTCGCCCGCACGCTAACGTACTTCACCGGTAGTGCTTTAGCCCCGAGGCAGGGCGGACAGGCAGAAAGCGGCAGCGGCGGCGGCGTCGTCGCGACGGATGACCGGCCTGCCCCGGCCGACTTCCACGGGCTCCTCTTCCCTACACGGCAGCCGATCGCCGAGAAGGAAGTCGACCTCGGCGGCGCGGGACGCGCCAATGAAGTGGTGGAGGCGGTGGAGTGGGCGTTGCAGCTGTACCAACGCGAGGGGCAGCTGCACGCGGAGAAGAGGGCCGTTTGGGAGCCACCGATGGGGTCGGCGACTTGGTCAGCATCCGCGGCGCAAGCAGCGACGACAACCCACGGCACACCGTCCCCCTCCCCCTCCTGTTCTTCGTTGACGCCGCAGCAGCAGCAGCCGCACGTTTCGGCGCTCTTCCGGCATCAACGCATTCGCCTTCACGGTTTAACGCTGAGGCACTGCAAAATCACCTCTGCCGACGCCCTCGTCAGCGCATTGCACAAGCGCAACTTGGAGCTCTTCATGTACGCGTTGGACCTCTCTGACAACCGTCTCTGGTCGTTGCGCTTCCTACTCGTTCTGCGCACCCACTTCGCCGAACGTTTGCTGCGGCTGTCGCTGAAGAACAATCCGATTACGCGGAAGCCGGAGTACCAGGAGCAGGTTCGCCGGTCCCTACCGCAGCTCACTTCGCTCGATGGGGAGCCCATTCGCCGGCCGCCGCTGCGCCTGCCGAAGCCACTGCCGTCCTCCTGCACTCGCTCAACCGCCGAGGGGAGCCCTCCCAGTCGTGAGGTCAACACGCAGAGTTCGGTTGAGCAGCGGCGGGATGAAAGGGAAGGAGTGGGGGAGGAGGATGTGCAGGCCTCCGTGTTGGACTGTGTGGGGCGGCTGCTGTACATCTGGGAAACCCGCCGCATCCCGCACATCAACCGCGAACTTCACGCCCGTGACCAATCCGGCGATGTGTCGCTGCCAGAGGAAGAGGAGGAGGAGTGGAACGAGGACAACTTCCCGCATCGCTACCTGCACCCCGCGGCCACCTTCAGCGTCGCCGTGGCGCCTGGGTTGAACTTCTTCGACGCGGCGACGATGCGGGAGGCGCGATCCGTAGAGCTGGACCCGACGTACACGGGCATGCGCCTCAGCGCCGTGGACCTGCGCGACGCACGCGTCTTCGACGTCGCGATGAAGAACAGTTCCCGCAACCTGCTCGCCGGCCGGCCAGCGCTACAGCGGTTCGGTAAAGGCGCGGAGAACTGCTACCTGGCCTACCAGTTCACGCTCTACCCGGAGCGGATGGAGGTGGAGCACCACGTGACGGATGCGGTGGTCTCTGTGGCGCGAGTGGCGGACGTGGATGTTCAAGCGGCAGCAGCAACAGCAGCAGCAACCGCCACCAGCCCGAAGAGCAGCACGAAGAAGACGCGTAAACACACGCCAAAGACGGACGCACCGCAACAGCAGCAACAGCAGCCATCCAGCACGGCCGCGCGCTTCGGTGCCCGTGCTCGCGGCGCCGCCCTCACCCAGCACATCGTCACCCTACACGGAACAATGACGTGGAGGCTTCCCAGCATGAAAGCCGGCGAGTGCATCCGTGCGTGCTACACGCGTGTGTTGCTGCTGACGAAGAAGGTGCTGCCGGCGCAGAATCGGGTGTGGGAGCGGCTGCGCAGTCCGCCGTACGTCCTCGTGAACGACGCCGTCTTTCTCTACCAGGCACCGGTGAGCCCGTCGGTGACGACGGCGCCGAGTGCGATTTTCCGCGCCAACACCCCGGCCCGTCTCTCACGCCTCGTCGTGGAGTTTGGGTTAGAGGCATGCGGAGACGGCGCTGCGCTGGTGAGAGACGTGGTGGAGCGCAGCACGAGTCCCGCTGCGGAGTACGCCGCTCTGCAGGCGCTGGTGCTGGGCGTGCTGGGGCCCCGCGTCACGGCGGCGGCGGCGGCCGAGGAGGAGGGGGAAGGGAAGGGGGAGAGGAGCGCAGCAGCAGCGGACACGGTGCCGTCGTCCAGCACAGCCGGCACACTCGAAGGCGAGGACGCGGCGGCGCTGCAGCTGGCGCGTACGGCGGCCGCGCAGCTCGCACCGGTGTTGGCAGCACACGTGCGCGCCACGGCCGTCTCGGCAACACCAGCGTCTTCCTCCACCGCCGCCCGCTCGTACGTCATCTTCTCTGTTCTGGAAGGCGCGCATGCGGCGGAGGATGCGCTGGGAAATGTGGTGGGAGGCAATGAACCGCCTCAGCAGCAGCAGCACACAAAGAAGGAAGGAAGAGCGGTCAAGACGCACAACGAGGACAAGGCGGCCGTGGCGCACAGCAGCGCGGGGGAGCAGCAGGAGAACACGCAGAATATTATTAAGGCGTGGGCATCGGGCCTACACGTGATTACTCGGTCGCTGCTGCGTGACGTGACGTCCATCACGAACGCGTGCTACACGCACCTGTAGCGAAGCTTCAACGCATGCGCCGACGTTTGTTTTGTTTAATTGATAATTACTATTGCTTTGTTAGTTTAAATAAAGCGCACGCTTCCGCCTTCTCTTCTTTCCAAGAGAAAACTTATTTAAAGAGCTCTGTTTTTTGACAACAATAATGGGAAGAGGAGGAGGGGAAGCGCTCACCGCAGTACTCTCATTAGCTGCCCAACATATAACCGATTTTTAACGACCGTTTAACTCAGACTGCAGCAGCTGATGCTTCAGTATATAAGTAATAGAAGGAATAACGTAAAAGAGAGATGCACGCTTCTTTCAGAGTATAAAGTGAAGGGTGGATTATTGTCCAGGCCGCTTAGCCGTAACGTGCTGCTCTGCGATCAAGGCTTATGACATCTTCTGCTGTTGCTGATGTTTTTCTAACTGTTCGCGGAGATACGTCCACCGCAGCGCCACAACAAGCAAACCTGGGGGCACAACACCGCAGGCCATTATCACCGCAGTTCTGCGTCCGTTCCTTCGTTGAAGCAACCACGTTTCCTCTCTTTCCTTCTTCTTATCCTCCTTTGGTGCATATACATATATTTATTGGTGTACTTCATCTATCATTACAGTGCGAAGGAAATTGAAAAAGAGAGAGAGCAAACAGGCGAACATGTGGTACCGTAGCGTGTCGCGAGCGTGCTGCCACGGCCCGGCGTCCACGGCTGCTTTTCTGCGTTGGCAACCGCGGGCGGTGCAGCGGCGATGGGCATCTTCATCGTCTGGTAGCAGCAACAGCAGCGGCGGTGGCGGTGGCGGTCACGGAGCACGCGGTTTCCGCGCTGGCGCGGTTGATCCAACGCCGTTCCAAGTGAAGCCGAACTTCAACATTCCTCTGTGGCAGCCGCCGGCGCGTTTCATGAAGTATCGAGCCGTGCGGTGGCTCTCCAACAACCTGCTGGCGCTCGCCACCTACCAAATGGCGCTGGAAGTCGGCTTCACGATCGTCTTCGGCAGTCTGCTGTACGCCGACGTGATCACCGCGCAGGGCGTATGCGATGGGTTGGAGCGGTACCGCTACCCATTTGTGAGCTGGATTGACCTGTCCGACTGCGTGTACACGGAGCCGATAAAAATAGGGCCATTTTCGTTGAATCCGCAGAAGATGACCGCGCTGCACACGGGGCACAACATCGCGAACGGCTTGCTGCCCGTGCAGGTGCTGCTGATGCTCTCAACATTCGCACCGGTGCACCGGCTGTATCGCGTGATGCGTCACCTACCTCCTGTAGCCGCATCTGCCGCAGCCGGCAAGACCGCTGTTTCTCCGGGTGCGGCAGCGACGGTGGCACATCCGGCGCGTCGTGCGTCGTACGCGCGCACGTCTGCCAAGTCGACACCTCCGCGGCAGCCTTTCTAACTGCAAAGGCAGGCGAAGAGCGTGGGTGCGCTTGATTTTGAACTGTCGCCGTGGCAGCTGCCTTTCTTTTCTTTTCACACTTCAACTGAAAACAAAACAAAAAAAGAAAGCAAAGGATGCTCTTGTGGCTCCACTCGAACAGCAGCGCTTTGTTCTCTCGCCATGTCTGATCGATTTGGTAGGAGTTGTTTCTCCCCTCCCCATCGCGTAGCGCATGGGAAAAGGCTCTTCCAACAGCACGGTTTTTTCTAAAGAATGCGAGGGCTTTGACGCGGCCAGCAACGCACCTCAAAGCCGCACGCGGCCTCTTCCCTTGCTCGACGCCAGTATTCTGTTTTTTTCCTTCTCCTCACCTCGCTCCTCAGCAACAGCACCGAAAACAAACACAACACGCAAACACGCGTCACACCACTACGCAAAGACACGGGAAAAGGAGAACCTCCCCATTGCATCGCCGTCTACGCACTTACCGTCCAAAGAAAGAAGAACAGAGCAAAAAAAAGATGGCACGGCATCTCCCGATGCGGGCGCGCGGCCTTCGAAGCACTTCATCGTCGTCGCTGCCGCCGCTGCTGCTCGTCTGCGGCCTCGCTGCTGCGTTTTTCTTTGTTCTCGTCGCTACGACCGCCCATGCGGCGACCGCCACGCGCAACCCGACCGTTGTCAGCCACTTCGGCGACACGATCCCCCTCACCATGTACCTGCGGCTGAAGCGGCAAACGCAGCGGTCGTTTCTCTTCCCTGACGATCCAGCCGATGCGGCGATAAACTTAGACGAGGGCGCAGTACACGAAGACGTGGAGGGAAACGTGGTAGTGGAAGACCCTGCAGAGGGCAAGGCCGCCGGAGCAAACGGCCTGCCAGACGAGTGGAACATACGAGACTTAGAGCTGCCGGCGCTTGGCGCCACCACCGGCAAACACAGCAGCCAGATCGTTCGCAATCTGCCCCCGACGTACGCGCCACGGTTTGGCATTAATCGAGCGGTGACACTCGTGATGAAGGCGCCGCTGAGCACCGCCGGGAAGACGCTCGAGGACGACCCGACGCTGCAGCAGAGTGACCTCGCCGTGCGCTTCAGCGTGGGCCGCGGGCTTCAGAAGGAGTCGACGTGGCTGCCGTTGGCGTCGCGGCATAAAGTCGTGAGCATGCTGACGGAGCTGCTGGTCAACCGCCTACAGGCGCCGCGCGAGGCGGAACGAGCGGAGCTGGAGCGCGAGTTTGATGAAGTTACGGAAAATGCACACGGGCCGGCCGTGCACTACCTCTCCCGCGTCACCTTCTACTTTGGTTATCAGACGGGTGAACAGCACAAGTTTACGTCGTTTGCGATTGACGCGAGTTACTCGCCGGTGAAGAAGGCGGGGATTGATCTCCACTTTATCTGGTCGGAGCACCGGCCGTACAATCCCAACCGCGCGCTTGTGTTGTGCACTGCGGCGTCGCTGCTGGCGGCGATGATGATGGTGGTGGTCGTGTTTCATCCCTCGAGTCGGAGCATGCTGCTCTTTAGTCAGCGCATCGTAGCCGTGCGTGCGCATGAGTAAAGGGGGAGGGGAAAGCGGCAGGAGTTGTGCATGTCATTTGCTATTTGCTTTGTTTTCATTGTGCTGTTCCATCGAGATAATGCAGACCTGTAAACACGAAATCTGAAGCAAAATAATCGGGCATGATGCCGCAATAGGCGGCTCTCACATCATGTGTTGATCTCCTCTCGAACAAACGTGTTTTTTTTTTTAATTAGTTCGTTAAGCTCACAAAGGCTGCTTGTGAAGTAACGCTCCTAATCCGTGCCACTTTATCTGCCCCCTCCCCCCCCCCTCTCATTTTCCGTATTTACCGATGTGAAACTCCTCTGCGTTGATGCCGATGTCGACGCTGTCCTGAAGGTAACGAAAGGGAGAACAAGGTGTGCGTGCGAAGGGTAGCACAGTACACCATTGAAACAGAAATATCAGTACGTGGTGTCTCGGGTTACCCCACGACGCTCCCTTTCCATGGACGCGAATGTTGTTCCACAAGCACCGCTGAGTGGCGGCAGCAGCCCCACGACAACGTCGCCCGCCACAGCACTAAACGGTCAGCCCACCCTCGATGAAGTTGCCCGCATTCACCACCGCCGCAAGCTCGCTCGCAAAACACCAGAGCAGCGACGCAAGCTGCTGCAGTACCAGCGACGACACAACGAAAAGGATGAGCGCCTCTTCTACTGCGACTACTGCGACTTGTTTATCTCGTCAAGACAGAAAACGTGGGCGGCGCACCTGCGCAGTGCGCGGCACATGGACGCCTTTCGCGCCTACTACGATCTCGCCGCGCACGTCGAAAGTGTGTGGTTCAGCGAAATCAACTACGCGATTGAGCAGGCGCGGGGGCGAGAGGTGCACCGGCTGCAGCAGCAGCGAGCAGGGCGCGGCGCATCAACACCGTTAGCGGCGCAGCGTATTGCGCCCGGTATTGTCGTGGGCGGCGCTCTGCCTCCGCCTCCTCCGCCTCCGCCTCCACCGGCAGTGTTGATGCCATCGCCTGCTGCTGCTGTCGCCGTGCGTGTTGGCGTGGGCACGCCCTGCATTCGCGTGGGCGGAAAGGTGGTGATGTCCCCGCCCCTCCCGATCAAGGTCTCCGTCGGACCGCCTCCGCAGGAGGACGTCCCTCCCAAGAAGGAGGAGTGAAAATCGCTGAGGCGGGCGAGGGCGTTGAGTGACGCGACGCGTGCGCAGCGGTTGACAGTGTTGGGTACTCTCATCGGCGCACGCTTTGATCTGTACCCGTCCTTTGCAAAAGGGAGAAAGGGCTGTTCGCTGTTTACGTTGTGTAGCTTGCTGTTTCTGTTTTGTACACTCTACTCCAATAAAACCGCAGACGGAGAAGGAGAGGGGGGAAAGAGAACTCGGACGATCAAAGGTGAATGCACGAGGGAGTTGTGGCTGCGGTATTTAGCACATGTGGAAGAAGAAAAGAAAAATAGGAAATGGGATGTCGGCTCAAAGGCACACGCGATGAAGACGAAGGACTTTCATTGCTCTTAGCGCTTTCCTTCTCTCGCTCCACCGTTCTCCCTTTGCCGCTTCAAATCTGGTCTTGTTGTTGTTGCTGCGTAATTGCATCGTAAACACGAAAGTCCCTGGCAGAAAGCAGAAAGCAGCGTTGTGTCCCCATTCACTGTGCTGACTCTGCAGGTACATACACACACATACGTATGTATTAACAAATATATATATATATCTAGCATTTTGATTTCATTCGTCTTCTCCCATGCCCGTCAACGCAGCCGGTGGCACCGGTGATGAGCGGCGGCAGCGGCTGCGCGACCAGATGAAAGCGTTCTACGGTGACCCCAACGCGTCTGCGAAACGCGCCGCATCGCAGGGCGCCGCCCAAGGCAATCCGCACATCCCCCCGGAGCTGGACCTGGACTCCGAGCACTTCAACGTGAACCGCTACACGACGGATCTGCTGAAGCGCGAAAGCCTGAAAGGCCTGGTCGAGACGGACACCGACCTGCTGCGGCGCGTACGGAAGCTAGACGGGGAGCTGCAGGAGTTGGTGTACCGCAACTACGCTCGCTTCATCTCCGCCACGGACACGATCCGGGAAATGAAGGACAACGTGGTGGAGATGGACGCGAAGCTGCAGACGCTCTCGTTGAACGTGAGCACCATCGACGACGTGTCCAGCCAGATTAGTCAGCAGCTGCAGGTGCACCGCAGTCACATCGAGGCGACCATCACGGCAAACCGAATGCTGAAGAAGGTGCAGTTCCTCACGAGTCTGCCGACGACGATGCGCCGGCTGATCGACAAGGAGGAATTCAACGTCGGGGTGAAGTACTGGGTAGCGGGGGATGGGTTCTTGACGAAGCACAAGTCGATTGCGAGTATTACACAGATTCAGCAGAGCTGCTGTCAGCTGGCCGGCGAGCTGTACCGCGCGATTGAGCAGCGCATGTGCTCGTACCCGCTGGACGATCCGGACGCCATGGATCGCATTCGCAGCTACGTCGAGGATCTGCGACTGCTGCGGGCGACCTCGCTTTTTGAGTCGGAGCACATGGCCGACCAGCCGCCCTTTGAGGAGGCGGTCCTGCGGACGCTCATGAGGAGCGTGACGGCGAGCTTCCAGGTGAACGTGGCGACTACGCAGCGCAGCCTGAAGGCCGCCTTGGTGATTCCGGAGGACATCGCGGAAATGGAGCTGGCGAAGCGCGAGGCGTCGCTCAGCCAAGTGAACCTTCGGGAGCCACTCGCGCAGCTCAAGAACGCGTGTGCGATGCTCGCCGTCAACTCGGAACGTGTCTACGCCCTGCTCGACGCAAGCACCAGCGACGCGGAAGCATCGAGCGCAGCGGCGCAGGTTGCGAAGGATATTCAGCCGGTGTTGATGGACATGCTGCCATCGCTCGCGCAGTCGTTGGCAGACTTCACGCTGGCGCATCTGGATGCGATTGCGATGGACGGGGGGTCGGCCATGCGGAACCCCGCCGCGAGTGCGGAGGCTCTGCAGTCCGCCACTACGCGCCTCGCAAAGCTGCTAAAGCAGTTTGTCACGGCGATGACGACGCTGGCGGAGATTTACCTCTCCCCGTTGGTGCCCGCCTCCACCACAGCCTCTGGTGCAGCTGCCGCTGCTGCCGGCTCTCCTGTCTCCAACGACAACGCCGTGCAGCGCTACATCGGTGTGGTGCACGACGCCGCGCGTGGCGTGCTTCAGCAGGGCTACCAGCGAATGAAGGAAAAGGTTTTGCAGTTGCCGGATGCCGCCACGTTAAAGGCGTGTGTGCCGCTGCCCGTCGCCAACACCAGCGTTGTCTCGGCGATGCCGCCCATGGACGACGACCACGCGCAGAAGCTCGCCTTTGTGCTCACCCGTTTTCTGTACGCGTCGCTGTCGCAGAGCACGGCGAACGCGCTGCGCGGCATCCTGCTCGGCGAGGACGGTCTGCCGATGGAGGTGCTGGCGGAGACGCTGGTGGGCTTCGAGCGGGTGGCGCAGCAGCTGCAGCACCGTGCGATCATTCTCCTCGGTCAGTTGGAGGTGCAGTCGATCTACACGGCCGCGTTTGGTGGCGCGAGCAGCGAGGAGAGCGGTCTCACCCGCGATGCCTGTGCTGCCGCTGCCGCTGCCGCTGCTGTTGGGGCCGCGTCGACGAGCACGCCCGCTGTGCAGACAACGTTGCTGCAGCTGCTGCCGGAGTGGTCCACCGTGTACGACACCGTTAAGGTGCTGCCTACTGTGGCCGCCGCTGCAGCAGCGAGTTACCGCCACTACAGCTCCTCTGTAGCTGGAGGACGAGGAAGCACCGTACCCGTCGGCTCCCCGGTCCTGCGCCGTCGCGAAACGACCGGCATTACGGGGACGACGACGACGACAGGAGGCGGCGGTGCAGGCTCCGGCTATCGAGTGGCCTACGGTGGCGGCTTGGGAAGGGGCAGCAGCTCCAACGCCGCGTACAGCGACCACCGTGGCACGGGTACCAACACAGGCGGCGGGGGCTCTTCGCATCTGAAGCTAAGCGGCAAACTCGCGGTGGCCTACACACGCCAGGTGATGTCCGCCCTGCAGCTGAGCGTGAACAACATCTTTGCCAACACAGAAGTAGCGCTGCGGACTGAACCGGTGGCGGGGCCGCCGTCGCTGATCATGGCGTGTGTGGTGCGGTACGTCCTGCAGGGGATCGTAGACAGGGTGCGCGACGAGGAGGCCTACAGCGCGGCGCAGTTCCAGCGGCTGCAGGTGAGCTGCACCTTCCTGCTCCACGCGCTGCACGCCCCGGCGAAGGGCACTGCGCCACGGCAGTGGCGGAAAGAGTGGTCCGCGGAGGACATGGCAGCCGTCCAACGCCTGCTGGACGAGGCCTGCGCCTGCGCGTACGAGAAGTACGAAGCGAAGGTGCCGCTGTCGGCCGCCGTGCTCGAGACGGTCGTCGAGGCGGCCGTGCGAGGGGGGCGGGCGTCGTTGATGGCCGGCACTGCATCGCCGAACAGCGCGGACACGGCAGCCGCGATGGTCCGTGCGATGCCCACGGTGCAATCCCCCCACGACGGCGACGACGCCGCGCTGTCCATCCCGCCGGCTCTGCAGCGCACGTCTGCGAAGACAGAAGCGGCAGGGGCTCCGTCGCCGGTGCGGCACGACGACCCGCTCCAGACCCCGCAGCAGAGCAGCGCCTCTGCCCCGTCGCCCACGTTCAGCGCGTCGACGAGTCGAAGCTCGAGTCAGCCGATGAGCCCCGCGGCGCCGCCGGTGACGGCGGCCCCTCCCGCCGTCGTCCGTGCGGGGATGCCAACAGCGCCGCCAGCGGCCGCACAGCCCAGCTCAGCGACAACGGCACCTCCTCCTGCGTCCGCTGCTGCTGGTGCTGCCGCCTCCGTCTCCCCCAGGCCAAAGCCTTCCTCCAGCACGCCGCCTGCTAAGCCGGCGGCGAGCACGGGAGCGCAGTACTACGGTGCGCCGCAGACAGAGCGCGTTGCCCGCGTAGACGAGGAGGAGGAGCTGCCCCTATAGCAGCACTGCCGTATACGCGTAGAACGAGGGAGTGCGTCTCCTCAATATTATTATTATCACTACCAGATTCTTTTTTCCGTTTGCATTTCGGTGCCGCGGTTTAGCGTGTACGAAACCCATATATATATATATAACTGATGATGGTGCGAGGAGGGTGATCGTTTGTTGCTGTGTGTTGTGTGTAGTGTGTGAGGTTTTCTTTCTGTGCCCTGTGGCGTGGTATCGTCTCTTCAAGCCTTCTTGTTTGCTTCCATTGCAATTCTACCCAGCCGCTCCTCTCTTCGACTGAATCAACTCCGAATGCAGCAGCGCTCACCAGAGTGAAATTTTTTATTGGGGTCGATGGAGGTGAAGAGAACTGAAGACTTCTTTGTGTTGCCCCATCGACGGCGCATGGGGATGCGGAGGGGGGGGTGATATCTGGCTTTTGACCTTTCACCGCCTTCACATGCAGGAGGGACAACGAAATGAAATGGATCGGTGCCAATCGCTCTCTCCTTCACCGCCTTCCTCAACTCTTTCTCTCGACCACGCTCGTACACGCCTGCCCGGCCCGCCCACTCACTCACACATCCCCGACATACATCCAGAAGGTAGTGGATAGCTCAACCATATTTTGTTGTTCTTGCGACTGACTACAGTAGAAACAACGAAGCGAGAGCACCAAGGGTCGTTATACGTGTATAGTAGTCCACACATCTATATTTTAATCTACGCACCAGTAGGCCTAGGAGGGAAAAGAAGGCAGAATGCTCCGCGCCTCCTCGCGTCTCGGCATCTACGAGTACAAGTTCGGCCAGCCCTCACTGAAGAAGGCGTTCGGCACGAATATCGTGCCCGCCGTGAAGCCACGGCAGCCCTCTGCTCTGCGCTCGACGAAGTTAGCGAACGGCGTCCGTGTGGTGTCGCACGACCTCGATGGGGCGGTGACCTCGATCGGCGTCTTCGCCGATGCCGGCCCGAAGTACGACCCGATCGCCACGCCAGGGCTGAGCTACGTGATGCGCTTCGCGCTGCAGACCTCCAACATGGACAGCTCCCTCTTTCAGATCGATCGCGTTATGCGCTCCACCGGCAACGCCTACGGCCACGGCGAGATCGGCAAGCGCTACCTCAGCTGGAAGGCGGAGGGGCGGCGAGACATGTGGGAGATGCCGTTTGAGATGCTCGCGACGGGCGTGGTGGCGCCGCGCTTCCACGAGGCCGACATCGAGCGCTTCCGCGATACGATGGACAACCAACTGGAGGAGATGCGCTGGCAGAACCCGCGCGAGTACGCCGTGGATCAACTAGAGACCGTTGCCTTCTACAAGGAGCCGCTCGGGGCGCCGCGCATGGTGCCGAAGATCGCGAATGATCGCTGCAGCCACAAGGCGCTCTTAGATCACTGGGCGGCGAACTTCCTGCCCAGCCGCATCGTGATTGCCGGCGTCAACGTCCCGCACGACGCGCTCGTCGCTGCGTACGAGAAGCTGCCCTACAAGCACTCCGCCGAGGCCCCGCACCACGCCCGCGCGGCGTCCCCGCAGCTCTCCCACGCAAACGAGGAGACGCAGTTCTACCCCGGCAGCCACAACGTTGAGTACGAAGCCCGCGCGTCGGCCATGGGCTCGATGCCGGACATGCAGGCCGAGGTGATCGCCGCAGTGGGGGTGCCGACGTACGGCCGCGAGGCGGGTGCGAAAACGTACGCGGCGGCCCTCGTGACGCGTGAGGTGTACGACGAGGCGGTACGTGCGGTGTACGGCAGCCGCGGCAGCCCGAACTACTACGGGGTGCAGGTCTTCTACCGTCCCTACTCCTCTGCAGGGCTCATCGGTTACACCCTTCGCGGCGCGCCCGGGGAGGTGGAGGCGATGATCAAGACGGCCGCCAGCGCCTTCCCGGCATCGGTGGAGGATGCGGCGGTACAGCGGGGGGTGCACTGCGCCCACGTGCGGCTGCTGCACGAGCAGACGGAGATGGTGCGCGACTACTGCGACTTCATTGCGACGTCGCCGTATGGTGTGGGGGAGCTGACGCAGGCAATCGCCGCGGTGACGAAGGTGGACGTGGAGGAGACGCTGAAGAAGATGCTGGCCAAGGCGCCCTCCATGTACGCGACGGGGGACACGTTTAGCTTCCCTCTTGTTCCGGCTCTGAACCGCCACTAACTTAGCAGGAAAAGAAAAACTAGCAACTTAGAAACTTAGGTATTTTTGTTTGTCGCACACACCGCTTTTTGTAGTTGGATGATTGATGGTGTGCGCGCTCGTGTGTATGTACGTGTGGAAGCACGCCTCGGCAACACTCGTTCCTCCAACTGATCTTACAAGTATTTATACTATTTAAATAAAGGGGAATCTGAAGGCTACAGTGAGCGGAAGACCACCTGTTCTTGTATTGGAACGAACGACGTGCGCTTACTCATCTTCATGGGAGCAGATGTGGATGAGGTGCGCACCTTCTAAGAGCGGTCACGCAAGCACGGCACCGCGCTCCTTCGTAGCTTGCGCTTCGGGTTTGCGCGGAAAGGCGCGCCTTCGCATCGTGAAGCTGATCTGCGCCTCTCTTTATGCTTCTTGTGGGTGGTGGCTTTCACGGCAGCACGACGACATCGCTGTCGAGAGCGGTACGCAGCGCATTTCTTCTTCTCCGTCGTCTCCCGCTGTGTATGTGTGAACCGGCAAGAGGACCGCGATCATTCTTCTCTTGTGTGCCCTCCATCGGTTTGTATTTCTTTAAAGCGGTGAAGAAGCGCCGCGCACTCAGCCTCGGCAAACTGTACACAAGAAGCTCGATAACCCGTTGAGGGAACACGTAAACTTATTTTTTCACCGCACCTCTCTTCTTTTGTTTTCTCTTCTTCCGAAGTAGATTGCACCAGTGTTGCGCCATGCTGCCTGTTAGGCGCGCCTTCCCGCCGCGTGCGGCGCCACTGCTTCGCGGCCGGTTTACCCATTCTATTGCACGAGCTGTGCTTTGCTGTCGTCGTTGCTCGTCGCCTTTCACGGTGCAGTCGTCTCGATTCCACTGCACGACGGCACGGTACTGCTCCACGTTCACGGCGGCCAATCATCACAACAGCCGTAGTAGTGGTATTCACGGCGGCGCAGAGGAAGGAGGGGCCGACAGCGCGATCACGACTGCCGCATTACGTGCGGCACGAGACGGACCTCTCAAGGCACGATGCAGCGAAATGCGAAGCGAGTTGGAAGAGCTGGAGCGGATCAAAAACCTCTGCGATGCAGCGGCGCAGCGTCACCTCGACCGCAAGATGCAGCAGCTGTTTCTCTTATTGCTTTTCCAGGCGGTTGTGCTGTTCGACTGGACATACGTTCACTTCGACTGGAACCTGGTGGAGCCGATCACGTACCTGATCGGGTACAGCGCGACGTGGATCGCCATTCTGTGGTACGGGGCCCTGCAGCGGGAGTTCAGCTACGACACGCTGCGCGACATGCTGCGGGAACAGCAGTGTGAGAGGCTCTACGCGCAGCATAAGTTTGACCTGGCGCACTACGAGAAGGTGAAGGTAGAGGTGGACAGGCTGCAGAGGGTGCTGCGCAGTCTGGAGCCGCTGTAGGGCGGAGAAGTAAACTTTGCGAACCACGTTTTTGGTGTTTCGCAAATGCTCCTTCTTGGGTTTGTTACTGCCGTTGCTTTCTTAGGAGGGCGGCGGTGTCGTGCTTCTCTGCTCTGCTCAGTAGTCTTCGTATTTAGAGGGGAGGGGCGCAAGGGGTGTGTGTTCTGCTTTACTGTGTTGTTGGTTGCCTCCGTATGTCATTTTAAGCCACCTTTTGAGTGTTCCTTTGTTGGCTGCACTGGTGCCTTTAAACCCGCCATTACCTACGCTTGATTCTGTTTGCCACCATTGTTGTCTACTGTCCTTTCTAATGCGTCTACTGGAATCTTGCCTCATCTGTTCGTCTATGGATGACACTAGATCAGCTCCGCTATATATATATATATATCTGCACCATCGGACCTATCATATATTTTTCTCCTGTCCTCCCTTGATCCTCCCTCTGATCGTCCGCAACGTGTCGCACCAACGGTACTCTATCCACCTCCACTCTACGCACACTCACAGTCGCACAGCTGTGAAGTACGTTCGCGTGCTTTCGCTTCCTTGCTCGCACGCTGCATAAATTATTAGCCTTCTATCAAAAAAAAAAGCCCTTTAAAAAAGGAATTAATAACAACAACGGTATTTCTTTTCTCTTCTTGCTACGCGGACCGTGCACGACGCACCGTCGATCCGCGCATCTTTTCCACTTTGGCCTCTCCCTTCCTCCTGTGTCTCACCCGTAGAAGTCGAAGCCCCAGAGAGACCTCTTTCAGCTCTTCACCGGGCCATTCACCGTCGGCCGCTTCCTGCACGGTCCGTACACGAACTTTTACTCCCCCTGCCCTTCCCTATTTTTCTATTTAACATCGACGCGTTCTCAGCCAACGCAGCGCAAAGAGAGAATGAGCTCCGAGCAGTACTGGCGCAGTCAAGTTGCGCAGATGGAGGCGGAGTACGAGCAGATCATCCAAGGGCTGCGCGATGAGGTGGAGAAGCAGCGCCGCCGCTGCATCGAACTAATGCACGAGCAGGCGATGCAGCGCGCCACGGCAGCCGCTGATGTGCGCAACTTCTGCACGCAATACGTAGCGGAGGCGAAGCAGCAGCAGCAGCATCACCGTAATCCGGCCGTCGCAGCCCACACACCCATGGTCTATCGTCACCACAGCAGAAGCAGCAGTATGGAGAGCGTCCCGCTGCCGGCGCTGCTGACCTTCTTACACGAGTACAGCCACGGCCTGCTGCAAATGCCGGAGAACCGGCGCAAGCGTGATCGTCCCGACACGAGCCTCAGCCCGCTGCATCACCGCCTGCGGCAGCGCATGTTCGCGCGGCACCGGCAGGTCGGTCGTGATGATTTCGTGCTGGAGGAAGGAAGTGAGGGGCTGGAGAGCGGCAGCGCTGGGGCATCGCCTGCGGGCTCGCCGTGCTCGCCGCCCATGGCGCCTTCTCCCGCAGCCCCGAGGAGCGGGTCTCGTTTCGCAAACGCGGCCACCAACCCGCCGGCGGTGCACTCGACCTCGGCGAGTTTTGAAGCATCGCCGTCTGCCGCGGCGACTGGCAGCGGAGGGAAGGCGAGCAGCGGTGGTGGTAATGGGGGCCCCGTGATGGCGGCATCCGCCTTTGGCCTCCCTACGCTGCCCCCTCGTTAGCATACATCTCTATACAGCTCTCCTCTTCGTGTTGCTCTTCTACAAGTGTGTGTTGGTGGTGGACAGTCGTCGGCACTTCACCCTCTCCCATGGGCTTCGTTTGTTTGCTTTTGCATCGCGGCTTTGCGTTTCGTGTTCGCCGTCTACGTGGCCGTTGATCTACCTCTAATGGTTTTTCTCCAGCGTGAGTCCGCAGGCGCTTCGCCAGCCAAAAAAAATACAGCGAGGATTGAAAGAACGAAGGCCAGCGAGCAAACGAAATGGGCAGTACGAGCACGGCTGGCTGCGGAATGTGCTGTGTGTGTGTCTGTGTGGATCCCCGAAAGGAAAAATAAGTCTTGTTCCTCCCCACGCTTTTTCATTATGAAAGTGGACGGCAATACCAACGAATACACATACGCCCTCAAGTGCTTTATGAAATCTTTTTTTTTAGAAGTTTTTTTTGTTTGTTTAACGTCGCTGTGCGCGTGCGTTGTGGAGGCGCTGCTTTCCCGTTTCGCGATCGGCCGCACATGCCCTTTTGACGCAGCGGCTTTTTTTCGTCGTGACACACTTGGCAATGAAAGCCGCGTGAAAGAGAAGGGAAAAGCCTCTCCGATAGAGGAAGGTTGTTTGGAGGAGACGAGTCGCGAGTGAGTTGAAAATCTCCGGTTTGGTTTCCTCCAGCGGCAGCGGCGCTGTAAGGCGTCAAGGCACGTAGCCTCCTCCTTTGCAGCGGGTCTCCCCGATGGTTATCACCGCCGTCGTCGTCGTCGTCACCGCGTAGGATGTCTTGCGGTGTCAAAGAGGGAGTACGTTTTGGGGGTTTGCGGTGACGGTGCCCTACCGAAATACTCTCCCTTGCATTTCTTCCGTTTCTGGAGAACGGAAAGCAGGCATCCCCGCAGCTGCATCGCCTTCCGTGGCGCAGTGCTGCGCGGGAGGGGAGGGGAGCGTGTTAGCGTGCGTCATAAATATATTCTTCTTCATCACATCCATCCTTCTTCTTACTTTGCGATCGTTGTTGGCTGCTATACTTTTTGTTTTCTCCTTGTATTATCTACACCAGCGGCAATGAGCGCAGATCCCAGTGCAGGGGCGATGAACGTCCCGGCTGCCTCTTCCCCACCGCCGTCAGCTCTCCCCAGTGGAGGAGGTGCGTGGGAGGCGATCATCGACAAGGCAGTCGCACAAGTCACCGAGTACTTGACGACCTCGACGCGGGAGTTCGACCCGACGGCGGCGCTGTCGCGCCACATGCTGCATCTACTAGACCGCGGCACTCTACGCGACATCGTTGTCGAGCGGAACTACAACGAGCTGTGTGGGTGCCTCGGCTGTGGGAATAAGCCGCGAGGGCTGCTGTGGAACGTGGCGAAGGGCAATGGAGGGACGCTCAGCTTTGACTGGCCCTCCTCTTCGTCCTCGACCTCGGACGGAGAGAACGATGAAGCAGAGGAGGAGGAAAACGGTGAGAATACGAAGGAAATCAATCACCGCAGCTCGCCGGCCACTCAACACCTCAGCGAAACGAATAAGAATATGAACAATAACGCGTCTTCCGCAACCGCGACAAGTCAAGCGGAAGACAACGAAGAGATTGTCTACGAAGATGATTTGTACACCGCGGAGTCTTTTCGACTTGCCCGGCGGCAGTGCGCGATGCTAAACCGCATGCAGCGGAAAAGGCTACAAAACGAGAAGAAGATTTCAGCTCCAGGGCAACCATCCTCCTCCGCATCAGCAGCGGCATCAGCAGCGGCAACCTCGTCCCCGCGCGTGCGGCGCAGCGGCATGCTCGGCGCCAGCTTTCCTCAGCGGTTCTGCAGTGCGGAATGCGAGGACCTCTTCGAGTCCGGCATCACGCCGCGTGTGTCGCCGTACTTGAGCTTCGACTTTCCGTCCGTGTTCAGCGCGCTCACCAATTTGTTCCCCAACTTGAGCGTCGCCTCGCTGCAGCAGCTGGCAGGGGCGGAGGTGTCGGCGTCGTGGCTGGTGCAGCCGGTAAAGGAGACGGGTGTGGTGCGGCCGCGCGTTGATGCAGCAGTCACTGCAGCGACGACGACGGAGGAGGAGGAGGTGCGAGACACTCTCAAGCCGGTGCAGGTGGGGGTGTCGTACGAAAGCACGCTGCGCCTTCATCACGCACGTCCACGAAGCACGCCGTCCAGTGAGTGCAAATCAACCAGGAAGGTCTCCTTTCAGGACCGCGCAAACACCGACCGGGCGGAAGAACGCCATGAGCAGCAACCGCAGCTGCTGCGGACGGTGTTGGAGCAGATGCAGGTGTTGCAAGGAGTGTGGAATCATGAAGTGGTGCCGCGCTTTTCGGAGTCCCACCTCCCACGCGTGCCGGCCGCGCGAAACGACGCGAGTGATCTTACAGGGAGTGAAACACACGTGTCGGCAGCTTCTGCTGCTCCGTCACCGTCGATGACGGCGGCGGTGACGGATCAGCATCCCCGTCCCGTCCTTCGCGGTTCACTGTTGGTTTTTGATTTTATTATGAACACCAGCGGGGCAAGGACACGCCGACTCTTTTGCCTGCACTACGCCAAGCACCGCACCGCACTGCAGGCGAACATCTCACGTGCCACCGCTGCCGCTGCCGAAGGCCGCGCCACATCGTTCTTCTTCAAAGTTTCTGTAGATATCGTGGCTGCGATGGAGGAGTACACCCGCATGCACGCGTGTTCGGGTCAAGCAGAGCGCGACGACGTGAAGGAAGACATCGATGACATCGAAGACGAACTGCGCATCGATCCGGCGCTACAGCAGCAGCGACGCGAGCTGCTCACCGCCCACATCTTTTCTGAAGAAGTCACCGCGACGCTCTCGCGCCTGCTGATGGTCGACTACGTGCTGCTGATCAACGTGGCCTGGTCCGGCGTGTGGTTCAGAGAGCTGCCGCTCCGGGTAAACGGTGCAAAGGAGGAGTGCTCGCTGCTGCGCAGTTTGCGCTTTCCATTTGCGATTCCAGCGGTGCTGCTGCGCGCGGCGGGGTCGTCGCCGGAGGTGATGGGTCTGGCAATGATCTATGTAGTGGCGGCGGGGTGCTGCTCGACTACAGTGTGGGAAGGCTGCATGGCAGATGAAGTTGCCTTTGACGAGGTGGCTGACGCAATTGGGTTAACGGCAGCGGATGTGACGGCGGCGGTACGTTCGCTGATGCTCGGCGAGGAGGACGAATGACACGAGAAGTGGGAAAGGGCGCTAAAGGTGCCAGCGCACAGCAATAATAAAAATCATTATTATTACTGTTATCTTTTATTATTATTCACGAGTAACAACACGTATATCATCTGACTACTCAACAAAGGGCACACCACCCATAACGAACGAAACACGCAAGTGGTTCTCGTGCTTTTCCTCAGGTGTGTTTAGAGAGGGGGGAGGAGTTGCAGAACAAGCGCAGCATCATGCTGGATTACAACACCGCATCGCTCAACTGCGGCCCCTCCTCCTCTCTTTGTTCTTTCTTTCGTTCCTGCCGCCCGTCAACCAACGAACTTCTACCTCTCTCCCTCCTCTCTCTCTCTCCACACACATCAAACCTCGCAGCTAACAAAGCGGTAGTCCGTGTACAAATCCTCTAGCACCATTTTCCTTGCACGTGCCTTCGCAGTTTGATATATATTTTTTGTTTGTTTATAGAGCCTTGCTTTTTTTTTTTTCTTCTACCTCCGTTACCCGACCCCTCCTTCTCGCCGTTTCTCAATTGGATACGACAGGACAACGACAACCGGCGATGTTCCACAATAGCTACCAGGCGGGCTTCCTGTCCATCCTCTACAGCATCGGCTCGAAGCCGCTGCAGATCTGGGACTCGAAGGTCCGCAACGGCCACGTCAAGCGGATTACCGACGAGGACATCCAAAGTAGCGTGCTGGAGATCGTCGGCAGCAACGTCAGCACCTGCTACGTTACCTGCCCCGCCAACCCGAAGCAGACCCTCGGCATCAAGCTCCCCTTTCTGGTCATGATCATCAAGAACATGAAGAAGTATTTCTCGTTCGAGGTGACGGTGCTGGACGACAAGAACATGCGCCGTCGCTTCCGTGCCAGCAACTACCAGAGCACGACCAAGGTGAAGCCCTTCATTTGCACCATGCCGATGCGGCTGGACGAGGGATGGAACCAGATTCAATTCAACCTGTCCGACTTCACTCGCCGCGCCTACGGCACGAACTACGTGGAGACGCTGCGGGTGCAGGTGCACGCGAACTGCCGCATCCGGCGCCTGTACTTCAGCGATCGCCTGTACGCCGAGGAGGAGCTGCCACCGGAGTTCAAGCTGTTCCTGCCGATTGCGCAGCAGCCGCAGGCGGCAGCAGATCAGGTGAACGTTGAGGCCGCGAACGCTGCCGAGGTGCCACAGGCCACCGCTTCTCATTAAGATCGCAACGCGGAGATCATCAAGTATCAAAGCGAAGTGGGGGAGAAAAGAAAGAGGAGGCGCCCGCTGGCTACGGCACCGCATCCTGCACCACTTTTGGGGAGACGTTGAAAGAAAGGCGGGAAGAGAAGAACGAAAGCAGTTGCAGTCTGTTGTGGGTGTTGTTGTTGTTGTTGTTGTTGTACCTCTCCGCGTGGCGCCTCATCTTTACTTCGCTCCTTCTTCTTTCCGGTTGTTTGTGTTTGTGCTGCCTCGCGTCGCGCCTGCTGTGTGCTTCGGCTATCCGCCCATGTATGTGAAGCGCCCCTCGCCTTCTTTTTCTTTTTCTCTTTTTTTCCCAATGTAAATGTATATAGCGACACTCGGTGGTTCGTGCTGACGTAAAACTAACATATATGTGTGAGAGGTCCATGAGAGAGAACCAAGAGGAGAAAAATGAAGCAACAACAGAAAGAAAAGATAATAACCAAACTCGGCGTCTCGAGTCCTTTCATGGCCTTCCACGCAGCGCTACGGTCGACGAAGTGCGGTGCAAAATGTCTGACTGTGACAGAGAGGTTCTCAAAGGAAGAATTTTTAAACGAAATCAGCAATCCGCGCGGTGGAACCGGCGAAGGTCTGCTGGAGGAAAGACGCGGGATGCGCAGCGTTAGGTCATCGTGGTTTCCTCACGGGTCACATTGTAGACGGTGCGGGTGGAGGGATGCCTCTCGAGAAGGAGCGGCGGAGGAGAAAAAGGGAACGACTTTACTCGTTTTCTTTTCCCACTTCTTCGCTTCTACTCTTTTATTATTACTGGAGTGCGTGCGCGCCCGTTGGCTTTCAAACGGACCCCGTCCACTGCTCCTCCCTTTGCGCACCTCCTCTCCAACCTCGTCTTTTTTTTTGTTCTTCTTAAACCCGCACGCGTGTTCTCTCGCAAAACACAGCACCCCGAGCTCCAACAGTGTGGCGTGTTCAGGCGGCGAAGCTCCACAACAGCCAGAGTGCAAGCTGAACCGACAAGGCACAAACATACATCCTTTTACTTTTATATTCACATCTACATAGTCACTCGACAGATAAATTTGCCGCCTGTGGCAGCTCTCATAGATTTCCAAGGATAGACGCACATCGGCGAACACAGGTACAACTCCATCTGAATCAGAACAGTAATAAACTATCTTTGATAGTTTATTAAATAAGGAGCCAGAAGAGCACAGAATGCAGCAGCTCAAACGCATCCCACACCCCTCCGGTGCCGAAATCCTCTTCGATGCGAAGTGGCATCAGTACAAGATCGGCGGCACCGCCCTCCGCTCTGTCTCAAAGCTGCTCGACAAGTACTTCCCCTTCGACGAAAAACGCGTGCTGCAACTCGTCGCCAAGAAGACCGGCCAGCCGGTGGATGTCATTAAGCGAGGCTGGACGCGGCAGGCGCTGCTCGGCAAGAACGTACACGAGTACATCGAGTGCCAACTGCTCCAGAAACCACCACCGTCGTTTATGCTGCTCTTGAAGCGCAAAGAAGCGCGCGAGGCAGCGCGACCGGCCGACGCGACGGGGCCGACGCACACGTCAACGTCCGCGTTGGAAGATGAGGCGCTACACGGTGAGGAGAGCCTGTATCTGCCGGTGGCCGATGCGGCGGTGCGTACGATTTTGGCTCACTACGACTGCCTCAGCTCCGAGCAGGTGATCGCCGCCCCGCGGTGGGGCATCGCCGGCACGATTGACTTCGTCGGCCGCAACAAGCAGACGAATAAAATACTGATTGGTGACTGGAAAACCAGCGGGAGCGTCACGAGCAACTTTCGCTTCGGCTCCTTCGAAACGCCCTGCCCCGGCTGCCTCCGGCACCTGCCGAACAGCAAGTTCTACCGCTACGCGATGCAGGTGATCATCTACGGCCGCATCCTCGCGCGCGAGGAGTACTTCAAGCGGAAGTTTTTCGACGCGCAACTGCGCACCGCGCTCGCCAGCGAAGTACGAGCTGCAACGCTCTCCAGCTCGCCGGCAGCGGCAGAGAAGGGCGTCGCGGCGAAGAAGCTGCGGAGGAAGGCACCAAAAGGGAAGGCCGGCAAACAGGACGTCGACGAAGTGTCCGCCGCGGACAGCAACGGGAGCGCAGTTGCGATGACCTCCGCAGACGTAACGACCCTTCTCGACACGTACTACCACGGCGATAATATGGAAGAAGAGTTCGAGTACGGCATCGTGCAGCTGTCGAAGGACGAAGATGGCAGAGTGGTGGTGGAATTCAAGGCGGTCACGCCGGCAACCGTGCTGCCCCCGGACTGCCCAGACTCCTCCTTTGACGAGCTGCTCCAGCGCGTGATGGAAGGCGAGGGTGTTTGAGGAAGAAGTGGAGGGAGAAGCAAAGCCAAGGGGAACGGCTTGCACTGAGAGGTTTTTTTTCTCTTCTATTCTTCTTCCAGATTCCATCGACTCACGGAACCAGAAAACAGACAAGAGTAATGCTCTACCGGCCTCCGGTACGAAGTCCGTCAGCGATCGGTTATGAGTCTTAACAGCCTTGAGAATGCTGTCGCTGATCTCGTTAAATAATTACATTTGTTTATGTCTTATCTGCTGTATGGCGCTTTACTTCTCTCAAACAGAATGAAAAGGAAGAAGACAGATCGTCTGCAGTTTTTGTCGTTGTTGTCGTCGTTCGACAGAAGAGCCCCTTAAGACTCTGCTCAACCGCCTTTGGATTTTTTTTCTTTTCTTTCTCCTGTGATTCTACCTCTGCTGTTGGATTCTTTTTGGACTCCACAACCGCTTCACATCCTCCACAGCCGGAGCGCTTCTCGTTTCTCCTTGCGTCCTCCTCCTTGAATACACATTCATCATCTTCCATTAAGTTGCCTACACACTCCGCTTTTCATAATCTACTACGTGGCAGTATTTATTCCTCATATTCATCGTCATCAATTGCACCTTCAAAACGAAAAGAAACGTTGCTCACGCGCCTCCTTCTCCTCGTCGGAAGAAAGCGTGTTGTCGCAGCGTCTTCTCTCCATCTATCTCTCTTTCTCTCTCTCTATCACCGCCGCCTCTCGTGCGAACCCCACCCAACGTCAAACGTCAATAATCTTGTGCATTACTTCGGTTCCTTTGTACTATTGCTGTTGTTGCTGATAGAGGGGGGTGGTGTAGGAGTTCTGGCCGTGGCTTTTCTCTCCGTTTGTGCGTGTGTGTCTACGGTGTTTCGTTATTCCTTTTTCTTCTGTTTTTGTTTTAATATTTTTTACCGGTTGCGTCGGCGAAGGCGCAAGAGACTACGAGCGGGTTTTCCTCCCCCCGCTTTTGTGCTGGCCCTTCGTGGGTGTTCAGAGTTGGGCCGTACCACTACTGTGATGTGCTGTGTGCGTCGTGACACACTCGCATACACAGAGAGACACACACAGCGTATATATTTGTAGTACACAAGCTGTCAACGACTTGCTTGCGCTCGTGGCAAAACATCATCTTTTGTGGTCTTTCAAATTAGAAAAACCTCTAGAAAAGAGGGGAAAGAATGGGTAATGAATCCTCCAAGACGAGCGGCGCGCCGTCCGCAGCGACGACCGCCAACAGGCGCGACGGTGGGGGTGGCGGTGGTGGCCCAAGCAAATCGGCTGCGACCAACGCCGCCACCACCGCGGCATCATCGAAGTTAAATGCTCCTTCTTCTTCCGCAACGCAGCGGCCACAGCCGCAGCCGCAGCCGCAGCAGTCGCCGGCCATGTCCGTCCCGCAGCGCTCCTCCGCGCCGGTGGCCGTCCCGAGCGGCGCGGTGGCGAATCAACGCGATTTTCTCTCCTCGGTGGACGTCCCTGTGTCCGGTGCGCTCAACGGCAACGGCGGCAACGCGGACAACGTTGCGTCGTCGGTGCCGTGCTACGTGGACGCGAGCAGCATGGTTTACACCCTGCCCTCCTTCACCTCCGAGACGTCGCTTGTCGGCAGCGGGGGAGCGGGTGCAAATCCGGTGGCGGCCATCAACGCGTACGGTGGCGGTGGTCCGGCAGTCAACCCAGCGAGCGCACCGCTGCTGCTGGCGGCCGCCGCCTCGGCCAGCGACTTCCGCGTCGGTGCGCCATCCTCGCCGCTGTCGCCGCTGCGCCGGCACTTCCCGATCGGCAGCGCCAGCAGCCCCATCGCGATCCCAACCTACAACACCACGACGACCTCCGCCGTGGAGGAGCTGTCGTGCAGCTCGCCGGTGCTGCGGTCGTACCGGAAGCACTCCTTCTCCACGTCGAAGCGCGACATGTGTCTCGCCAAGTCGCCCACCTCGCCGCCCGCCACGTACTTCGGGCCCTCGTCGCTGAGCGCGAACGCGCCCGACACGTTGGCCACGCTGGCGCCGCCGTCTGCGGCGAGTGGGTCGTCTGGAACTGCCATTCACACGAAGTTCTTGGAGATCACCGGCCACCCTCTCGGCCTCGAGAACTACGGCAACACGTGCTACTGCAACTCGGTAATCCAGCTCATCTACCACTGCACCCCGCTGCGTCTGCGTCTGCTGGAGCTGTACGACGTGTACGTGTCCAAGAAAGGCAAGCCCGGATTCGAGGAGGACACGGTGCTGTACCAGCTCTGCAGCTTGATCGCCCTCATGCACAAGTCAAACAACCGCAGCAAGGAGAAGTACCCACGCGAGAAGATCGCGCCGAAAGATCTGCTGCAGTGTGCACGCCAGAAGAACGAAATCTTCAACAACGACATGCAGCAAGACGCGCACGAGTTCACGATGTTTCTGATCAACGACATCACCGAGACGGAGCAGCGCATCATGGCCGACCCGAGCAACGCGAACCTTTTCCTGCAGCACGAGGCGGCCATGAAGAAGAAGAAAAGCTCCTCCTTCTCGTTTTGGAAGCACAGCAAGGACAAGACCATCAGCGCCAGCAGCCAGAAGGCGAGCAAGCACGACAAGTCGTCCACGTCGTCGTCGACAGCGGAGAACAGCAGAGCCAAGTCGGGTGGGGCGCAGCAGCCGTTCAGCGGGGACCTGACGCCGCTGCAGGTGATCCTGCAGGGACAATTCGGCTCCCTCACGGCGTGCCTCGAGTGCGACAACATAACCGCGCGAGATGAAGTCTTCATCGACCTGAGCCTGGAAACCGGGCAGGGCTGCTCGCTGCTGCGCTGCCTCGACCACTTCGGCGACCCCGAGTACTTCTGGGGCAAGAACAAGCTGCGCTGCGACGAGTGCAAGGCGCAGGTGCGGGCCGCGAAGACCATCCACGTGCAGCAGCTGCCGCAGTACGCGCTGCTGATCCACTTAAAGCGCTTTCAGTACGACGTGAAGAGACAGACCTTCACCAAAAAGGCCGACCACGTCGCGCTGCCGATGCAGATGGATGTGGAGGAGTACCTGACCGATCCCGAGGTGATCGAGAAGAACCTGCGCAATGAGCAGGCCCGCTGGCAAAATGACAACGCCAGCGCGTCCACCGGGAAGAAGGAGGAGGGGTCTGCAGCGGGGGCAGGGGCGGGGGGAGGCTCGCCGGACACCTTCAAGCCGGCGTCGGAGGAGCTGCGCCGCAAACTGCGCGGTGTGGCACGGCACAAGGCTCGCTTTGAGCTGACAGGCTTCGTCGCCCACATCGGCGAGGGCCCAAATTCGGGGCACTACTTCACGTGCGTCCGCTACGGCCCCCAACTGTGGCGCCGGTTCGATGATGAGACGGTCTCAACCATGGCGGAACGCGATGTGCAGCAGTACTTTGGTGTCCCGTCGGATGCCACCGGTGTGGTGACGACGACGGCGTACATCCTGCTGTACGAACGGGTAGCGTAGTTGTCTTCGGTCCAGATTTTGCGTGCGTGTGTGGGTGAGTGAGTAGAGGAGTGCGTCCGTTTATCGTCCCTCGAGCATTATATGGCGCTTGTGTCGTCGTACTTCATGTTTTCGTTGTTGTTGTTGTTGTTGCTCTCTTTCAGATATATATATATATATATTATTATTATTATTATGTGCTGCTGTTGTTTGTTTGTTTCCGCTCTGGAAGCGTTTCCGCCGCACTTTTGTTGTTCCTGTCAAGTTGTATTGCCTTCTCGATTGTTCTCGTATTGAAATACTTATTTTTCCTTTCCATTTTTCTCGCCGCAGCTGTGGCGGCGCTACCTCTCTCTCCTTTTTTCTTCTTCGTTTGTTTGCTTGTTTGTTTTTGTAAGTAGGATTTGAAGTGTGCCACTCACTCGGGGGAAGAGAAGAGGGTTCACCAGAGTTCTACGCGCGTCCGCGCACACCGCCAACTCGAAAAGCCCGGTTTGTCACTGGACGATATTATTATTTTTTCGAAGCGTTTTGTATCCCGGTGTTTCTTGTTGTGTTTGTTTTGTGTTCTCTCCGCCGACTTGTAATTCTGCTACTTCCTCTTACTGTGTTCTTTCTTTCTTACTTTTCTCGGGCGACAGCAACCCCACCCTATCTGAACGTTTTCTTTGCTCTAACGTCGGTAATGATGGCACCTGTTCTTCACCGGCGACAGCGTGTTGTAGAAAAGCTATACCGCTTTGCTGCCATCGGCATCGTTGAATCGATAGTAGATATATACGCACGTCGCTGCCAGCGTTTGCTGCGGAATGAGTTGGGCGAATGCATCTTGTCAAGAGGTGGTACTTCCGCTCTCCTCAGAAACATGAAGGAAACAAGAAGAGCACTGGATGCTCCTTGAGCGGATCCCTTCCTCTTGAATCTGCGACTCCCCACTTGCTTGGTGCCGTTGGTGCTGTTTTCACCCGTTGCTTGTTTGGTTTTATTTTCTCCCTCACTCGTGTAGCCCTCCATGGACTCACTAGCACGATATAAATAACAGTAGCTGCTTGGGTGGGTGTGTACGTTCTAAGTGACTTTCTTTGCTGCTCATGTGAGCCATATTCTTATGTTTGGGGGGATAATGGTGATGGCGTGTCTGTGGCACGCGTCGAACGCGTGGCGTGGCGAGACCGGCATGAGAGTCTTTTGTTTGTTGTTTGTTGTTTGTTCGCGTAACGCAGCCGTAGCCTTCGCTTTGTGTTTCCGCTTCTTTAAAGCAAATGAAAGCCAACGACTAAGCTGTCCATTTAATAGCAGTGTCGGGTCAGCTGTTGTCGGAGTGCATCGAACGTGTCTTCTCTGCTGTTCGAAGGAGCTGATGTGAAGCGACGGCTCTTCCTTGGCAGCTCCACTTATACAGTCTGCTGGTCAGTTGTTGTTGTTGTTGCTTTGAAAGAGAGCTGATGTGTATTTGCATGGCTGCTGCTGCGCCTTACCTGCCCTTTCTTAAGAGCCCGCCTATTCCCTTTGGTCAACGGTTCCATATATACATTCATGTAGGCCTCCTTTCCTCTCTCCGCTGTTTTTCCTCCCTCTCGGCACGGCCTCCATCAAGACAGACCGCACCAACGCCCGCACATCGCCGATTCCACTCTCAGAGTATTTTTGCCCAGATCAGATATTCGTTGTTGTTCTTTTTTTTGCATTTTAGAGGAAAAGCGATGAAACACACACCCTCACGGACACATACGAATCGCTTTCTCTTTGTTTGAAGAAGAGGAACAACTCCCTCCCACCGTGTTGAGGAGTCCACACACACACACACTCCTCAGATCGTTCTTTGAAAGAATAACCGCAGGCTCATCACCAGTTATTCAAGAGCAGCAAAGGAAGAAAAGTCCACGACGGTCGCTGGACGAGGAAGCGGCGTCGATGCTTCGCTTGCGCCGCACACTCGTGCGCCGCCACGAGCACATGACGGACCTCTTCCTCCCACGCTGCACACCCGTCCTGTGCTCCGCCTCCCGTCAGCTCTACGGACGTCCTTACGCCGAGCCAGCGAGCCACCGAATTCGCAGACAGGCGGACTCCAACGGGGCGGGGTACCCGCCACCACCTCCCAACGGCGCACCGCAGCGTCCCCCATCCTCGGGGACTTGGGGACCCAGAGGCGGCCGCGGGGGCGGTGGGTATACAAAGACGTACCGCGGCAGTGGGCGCGCCGTCCACGATCGCAGCCCCGCTGTGGCACTCGATGACAACGGCGTTGCCCGGCAGGACGCACCGCTGTCGAGGTATTCAGCCGGCTCGGTGCGTCGGGCAGACGCCGCAACCGCAGCAGCAGCTTCAGCAGAGACGTGCCGATCCTTTTGGTCGCAGCGCGTGCGTCACGTCCCGGCGGGGGATCTGAAGCGGCAGCACTTGATGGAGAGCACACACGACAAGCACTCCCGCTTCCTCGTTCGCAGCCGCATCCGCGACGACGGTGTGCTGTCGAACCTGTTTCCCGTCCGCTTTCACGACGACGCGGCCTTGAAGGCAAACGGTGAGAAGCACGACCCCTACGTGTACATCTATGAAATGTACGTGACTCGGATGGTGACGTCGCGGGCCCCGGCAGCAGCGCCAGGCGGTAGGCCGAGTGCCGCGTGGGGCAAATACAGACAGACGCCTCCGTCTACTGCTGCGCAGCTGTCCAAGTCAAATGAAAGAGGCGGGGCAGCAACGGCTGGCGCCGTCATCGCAACGGACAGCGCAGCGCCTTCGATGGAGCGTCGCGTCACGGCAGGGCGGTCGTGGCGGGCAATTCAGCGGTACCTGCGCCACCGCTTTGCCGCCGCTGCCTCGACTCTTCTTCCGCCTCTGGTTCAACTCGACAACAAAATATACGCGGCGGCCCCGCTGCCAGCCGATGCGCTGCAGCTCCCGAAAACGTACTTCGATGTTGGCTGGAAGACGGCGGAGCTCCGCTTGGTGAGCCGCAGCCGATACGCCGACCTCCCCGCCAGTGAACTGCAGATGGTGATGAATAAAATAGTGTTAGAGATGGCGCGAGAGACGCAGCGGCAGCGGCAGCGCATCCGCGATGGGACATCCACGACGGCCCCGCATCGTCACGACGACGGCGACGTACAGGACGATGATGGGTTAGAGGTGATGGAGGTGGTGCGGGAGAAGACCGGGAAGCTGGTGTGCACGACGCAGGGTGTGTCCTCTGGCGGCTTGCGTGTCTACCGTGGCATCTACGTACAGGCCATCTTTGTGGACCACACCGCGGCGCTGGCATACGCAGAGGATTCAAATGACGACGAGAAGGGAGGTGGAAGCGGGAGCCACAGCGATGCAGCTCCGCAAGGTGGTGATGGCCGCACCAGCAGCAGTAAAGGCACGACGAGCACCACAGGCAGCGTACCGCCGCCGCCGACCACGCGCCAGCTGAATGAGACCCCTGTTGGACTGACCGATGCAGCAAATCCCATTCAATTCCGTGTGGACGCCTTCCTCCGCGCGTTCACCTACCGCGGCACGCCAGTGGAGAGCTACCGCATCAGCGACGCCTCGGGCAGCGTGCTGGCCTCCGTCTGGGCGCCACCGCAGCCTCAGTCCCTCCTCGTCGGTGGAGTGTACGCCGCCGCCCCGGTCCGCATTCGCGAGTTCGCGGAGCGCGGTAACGCACGGCTGGTGGAGGTGCCCAGCGGGACGGTGCCGACGCTGCTGGCCGCCCCACCGCAGCCGGCACCGCTCCCTTCAGCTGCGCCTCCCCCCACAGCGACGTCGAGCAGATCGAGGCAAGCGCCGCCAGAGCCGCCCTCCCGCCTGCCCGGGCACATCAGTCTGCGCATCGACACAAAGGGCACCATCGCGTCGGAGACGTCGCTGTGGGGGGAGGTGCTGCAGCACTACGGTGCGGGCCCCTACGACGACGCGACGCAGCAACGCATTCGCAAGGCGCTGGCGCACATGCCGGTGGTGATTTCCTACTCCCTGCGGCAGGGGATCGTGCGGGAGGTGCGCTTTGATGGCGCGGCGCTGTTGGCGGCTGCATCGGCGTCCGATCCGCTGCTGGGCATGGCGCAGAAGTTTGCTGTACAGACGACCTCGGAGCTGCCGTCACCTTCTGCGGCGACCTCGTCGTGTGCTGCCGGTCTATCAGAGTCGGAGACGCAGTCGCGGGGTCCGGTCATGGGTGCTCGCGAGCCACGGCTGCTGCCCCTTCTTCCCTACCTCGACGCGCAGCAGCCTTGCGCGGTGCTGACCGATTACACCGTGGTGCCGTTGCAGGTGCTCCACTGCTGCTTTGACCCGGCAATGCGAAACTGGCAGGACATCGGTGTGGCCGTTCTCTCCCTGATGCCGAATCAGCGCATGGAGCTGCTGAGCTTCGTACGGAAACTGCTCTCGCGAGGGCTGCGTCGCTGGGGCATTGAGGTGGCGCACCGACCGTGGCGCACCAGGTCGCTCTCGCTGCTGCCGGCCCCGATGAAGCGGGTGGTGCCGAACCCCGCCGCACGCTCCGCGGCGTCGTTTCCGTCCACCGTGGCGGTGCTCGGCATTGCGGGTCCGCGCTGCACTGCCGACCAGACGCAGCGGGTATCGCTGACCGCGCAGCACATGGCGCAGTACTTCCGCACGAACCTCGTCGCCTGCCTACCGGATGAGAGCGCGGGGGTGCAGTACGTGCATGATCAGTTAATGATGCACACATCAACACCGCAGCAGCAGCCGGGCGGGTCAGCAAGCCTGCGCGATGTGAACTCCTGTGTCATCCTCATCACAACCGAACCAGACACCCGCGCGACGCGGTGGCTGAAGGTGGAGTGCATGAGCCGCGGCATTCATCTCGTCGCCGTGCTACCATCCTCGTCGCCCAAAAGGCTGAACTTAATTTGCGGAAATCTGCGCCGACGGATCGCGACGCAGTTCGAGCTGGATCCGTTGCGAGGGATTGACCTGCGCGCGGAGGTGCCGGTGCTGGGCCGTCGACGGGTGCTGATCGTCGGCGTGGACACGTGCCACACCAACACGCACAGCATCGGCACCATCGTCGGTATTCTCGCCACACCGACCCGCAACCACCTTCTCTCACACTTCTGGCAGCACGATGCTCGCGGTCGCGAGGCGTCGCACGTGGCGGTGCACTTTAAAAACATGCTGACAAGGGTGCTGACGAAATACGGCGGAGTCGATGAGGTGGTGATCTTCCAAGACGGGGACGTGTTCAGCGAGCTCACCGGAATGAAGGAGGAGCTGGTGGCGCAGCTGCCCGAGTGTGGGCTGACGTTTATGTGTCTGCACAAGCGGTGCAACATCCGCTTCACCCACACTTCCTCCTCGTCGTCGACGGCGGATGCCGCTGCACGGGATGCGCAGCGTGACGGCGGCAACGCATCGGTGGAAGCCAGCTTTCACAACGTGGTGAAGGGGGTGGTGATCACCGCGTTGGCACCGATCCCGCTGGATTACGAGGCGGCGGCTCCCTCCTTCTACCTGCAAGCGCACGAGTCGGTCATGTCGACGGCACGCGCCGTGCAGTACACCGTGCACCACGTCAGCCCCACGCTCGATGTGGCAGATGTGCAGCAAATGGCGAACGTCATGGCGAACGTGCTGGCGCCGCAGGCCACGAAGTTGCCGATGTCAACGCGCTGTGCGCATCGTCTGGCCGATCGGGCAGAGCGTCTGCTGGACGCGGTGCCGCAGTTTACGGGGGAGATGATCCCACAGCCCCTCAGTGACCGCTTGTGGTTCTTGTAAATAGGAAGTAGTTTGAGTGGAGAGGGGGGGGCGGTTGTCTGTTTCTACCATCATTCCAGTTTTCTTGCTGAACCTCCACTCTCTATGTTATTGTTGTATCTTTGGACGTGCACCGATCGGGAAGTGTTTCGGAGGAGGGACTTCACAGGGTCTGTTCTTTTCATCCCCCACCCGTCTCCGCCTTCACCACACCTGCACGCATCAAACAGAACAGACAGCTTTTTCTCTTATTATTATTTTTTGTATTTAATCACTTTGATGAGCATCGTGTATCGTTACGCGAGCCATCGAGGCTTTTTCTTCGTTGTCGGCGATTCTCCTCCTCCTGCCTTCCTCTGGCGTCCACGTTGGTGAGCACCGAGGATGAAATAGGCGAGGAGAGAGAGAAACGCGGCCTGAGCTCCCCCACCATCGTGTTGTTCAACAGTAGTTTCTTCTTCTGCGCCGGCGCCCATCACAACTTTTTATCGGTGTCCGGCTGCTTCTTCCTCTTCCTCCGTTTTGTTAGTTTCGGTATGTTTGTTCTCTTCGTTTGTTTCCCCAGATATAAATAATATATCGGCCTCACTGAGCACGGCCTTCCCGCTGTGTTTTCCGCCTCCTCTCCTCCATGCTTTAAACAAGCCTTGCGAGCTTGATAGCAAGAGAGAGTAAAGCCCATTCATAGACTCCCCCCCCCCCTCCATTCGGAGCAAGAAGGCGAAAAGCAACCCTTCAGGAGAAATACGAAATAAAAACCTCGAGGACTTCGGTGAGACTCGTCTGCCGCGTGATGCTTTCGACAGCGCACACGCGCACAACAAGAATCATCGGTGGTTTCTCTCTCTCTCTCTCTTTGCAAAGTCGTGAATGTGCTCCTGTTCATTTACAGTTATTCTTTTATTTATATTTGTATATAATTCTCCCTTTCCCTCTTCCGTAGTGGATGTTGTCTCGCTAATCTTTTCGGTATTTCCTCTTCAGACCTCAAACAGCAAAAAAAGGAAACGACAAAATTGGGGAGGGGCGGCGCACGCGAAGCTGAATGAGTTTTCTTCTCTTCAAGCAGGAAACGACTCAATGCATGAAGAGCGAGAAAAAGAAACGGAAGCTCTGAGGAATCGTGCGGTGCGTCATGCACCTGCGAATTTGCGTCTCTGCACGTCGCGAATCGTCCTATCCCTAAAGAAAAAGAAGAGGGAGAAGGAAAGAAACACTTTTAAAACGGGCTTCTTGTGCTCTGACAGCCCCCAGCGCTATCGTTCTTCGTTTATTATATATATGTGTGTGTATTTGATGTTTGTGTCGATCGTAGTCGAAAGGGCAATGTCGGACGTTCCGTGTTCCTGTCAGCACCCTGCGCTGCTTTCCATTCCTTTTCTCCCTCCCTCCCTCCCTCCCGCTCTGTCACGCATCTTTAAGCGTTCCCGCCCGAACGATCGATTCTGCAACGGTCACAGCACGCTGTACATCACTGTGACTCTTAATACGATATATATATATATATATACATACATATGTGTGTGAAAGGTTTTACTTCTGTTTTTCTCACCCCCACACAAGCTTAATGTTCCGCAGCGCCCACATCCTGCGCTATCGTGCGACGACGTGTCGACTGCTTCTATCGCCGCTCGCCGCGGTCCCTCCTCTCTCCATCTTCACCGCCACCGCCCCCAGCCATTTCGTCACACCGCTTCGTTGGTGCAGCACGAGCACTGCAAGTGCGGATACACCGCCATCATCATCATCGCCGAAGCGAAAAGTGCAGATCGCCGTCGTCGGCAGCGGGCCCAGCGGCTGCTTCGTGGCAAATCAGCTCGTCAAAAAGCACACCGATCTGCATGTCGACATCTTCGAGCGGTTGCCTGTGCCGTTCGGCCTGTGCCGCTACGGCGTCGCGCCGGACCACCCTGACGTGAAAAACGTGGAGAAGCAGTTCATGGAACTCTTTCAGGGGGGGCGCGTGACGTGGATCGGGAACGTGTCGATCGGCAGGGAAATCCCTGTCGGGGCGTTGCTGTCGCACTACGCCGCCGTCGTCTTTGCGACCGGTGCGGAGGGCTCGAAGAAGCTGGGCATCCCCGGCGAGGACTTGGCCGGCGTCATCTCAGCCCGCAGCTTTGTGGAGTACTACAACACGTACCCCTTCCCCTTTGGCTCCCCCCGCTTCTGCCCATTTGACGTGGAGAAGACACGGCGCGCGATTGTGATCGGCAACGGCAACGTCGCGATGGACGTGGTGCGGGTGTTGGGCGGGTCATACAAGTACTTCTGCCCGACCGACATGAACTGCGTGTGCCTGCAGGAAATGATGAGAAACAGAATCGATCACATCAGCATTACCGGACGGCGCGGGGTGGACAGCTCAGCCTTCGCCACGGCGGAGTTCCGCGAGCTGACGAAGTATCAGGAGGGACACGTGAAGGTGGAGGTGGACCCCTTTGAGCTGAACGCGGCGGTGGCGGCGGTGCCAGATGGCAAGACATCCCGCGCACACACGCGCATGATGGAGTTGGTCCATCAGTTTGCCATCGCCGATGACGTCTTCGAAACGGAAAGTACGCAGCTGGCGACGGATGCGGACGGGGTTCCGCTGCCGAGTGCGGCGGTCGCACAGCTGGACGCACCCCCGTCTCCATCTTCCACAGGCAGCAGAAGCAGCAGCAGCGGCACTCCGCCCACCCCGGTGGACAGGCGCGGCCCGTGCACGCTGCGCTTCCGCTACAACCTTACCCCCGTCGCCATTCTGCCCAGCCGGCACCGTAAGAACTACGTGGGCGGGGTGCTCTTCAGGAAGACACCGACAGCAAACAACAACAAATCCGAGAAGTTGAACCGCGCCAGCGGTGACGGTGAGAAGAGCGACGATGAGTTCTGTGTCCTGCCGTGCGACCTCGTGCTGACCTCCATCGGGTATCGCACCGACAGCATCGCCGACGTGCCGTTCAACGAACGGGCAGGCGTGATCGACAACGTGCACGGGCGGGTGAAGGGCATGCCGCGGGTGTACTGCGCTGGCTGGGCGAAGAACGGTGCGAAGGGGGTCATTTTGCACTCGGTGGTGGACGCGCAGGAGACCGTGGCGAGTATGCTGGCGGACATAGAGGCGGGGATTATCCCGAAGGAGGCAACAGTGGCAGAAGAGGACCACCAACAGCACCCAGAACAACAGCCACCACAGCCGCAAGCTCAACAGCCGCCACGAGACGAGGAGCCACAACCCACCGATGCACAGCCGCAGCTGTTGACGGTGGAAGCGGCGGAAGCAGAGAGGACCGCGAGCGGGCGAGAGTCAGCGCCGTCGTCCTCCTCCTCTGCCGTCGCTGACGCCGCTGCGCGGACCACAATGGCGGGCAAGTACGGACTCGTGGACTACTTCGTGGACAAGAAGCTGCAGCCCGTCTCCGTCGCGGGTCTGCAGCGCATCTTCCACGTCGAGCACGAGCGTGGGGTGGATCTGGGCAAGAAGGCAGAGAAGATTGACAGCGTGCGGGACATGCTGGACGTCGCGCTGGGTGGCGATGTCGGCCGGAAGGCGGATGAGCGCATACGTCGCATCACGCCCGCACGGTCGGATGCGATGATGTATCTGAAGGAGTTGCTGGACGATGACACGGACTTGGCACCGCTGGCGCACGAGCTGGCGAAGGACATGCCGCGCAAGCTGGCGCCGCAACACCCCCTCGGCCGCATCTCGCCAGATCAACTGTAGGGAAGTGTGGAGTGCTTTGTGTGGGAGGGGATGCGTACGTCCTTGAAGCTGCTTATCTCTAGGCTTCTTCTGCATTTTCTATTTTGCTTTGGTTGTCGCCACCACTCCTGCTTCCATCAACGAGGGAAAGGAAGAAAACGGAAGAGTTGTGGGAACGCTGTTTTGGATATGAGCATGGATGTGTATGCGGATGCTACGTGTCTACACATTCAGTGTCGCTATCGATCGTTGCAGGCGGGTGTCCGATAGAGTTTCTGGTGGTTTTCCACTCGATGGGAGCATAAAAAACCTCCGTGGCGCCGTCTGCAGGCACGAGGTGAGTGTCGTGCGAAGTGGAACTGGCTGTGTTCCTCTTGTATATATCTATATGCTAGTTGCATCTTCCTTCTACTTCTCTCTCTCTCCCTCCCCATGTCTCTTTTCCACGAATACCAACCCGAATAAAACGGCTGTGTTCAGTTGATTTCGTGTCTTCACATCTCTCTCTCTCTCCCTCTTTCCAATATAAGTGTTTTATTAACTTTGGTTGTAGCTTCTTCTTCTTTGTTTGTTTCACACCTACGTTGTTGTCTTTCTTCAGAAAACAATGTCGGACCAAAGCCTCGCCCCTGAGATGGCCTTCACCGTCGCCTCAACCTTCCTCTCCTACTACTACAGCGAGTTCGTGAAGCTGAACGAGTTGGCCCGCATGTCGGACCTCTACGACGAGCGCTCGTACATGACCCTCGTTGACTTCCGCGATGAGGTGCCGGTGGTGGCGCACGGCCGCAACGCCGTGGCGAACTTGTTGGCGAAGCTGGACGGCTCGCTGGGCCAGCGGAAGGTGGAGATCATCACGGTGGACACCGTCGCGCTGCCGCACAACTGCGTGCAGGTGATCTGCCAGGGTGTGATGTACCTGCGCGAGTACCGCCGAGTGTTTCTGCACGTGTTTGTGCTCGAGCCGACGGCGTACCGCACCAAGACCTATCACATCTCCTCCGACTACCTCCGCTTCGTGGACTCGGAGAAGGAGGTGATTCCGGAGGGGTCTGTGGTGATCGCGGCGGATCAGGTCGCGAACTACCTAGAGGAGAGCCGCCGTCGCGTGGAGGAGGAGCAGCGGCGGCAGCTGATCGAGTTCCAGCAGCGCATCCGCGCCCAGCAGGAAGCCGCGCAGGCCAGGGCGAAGGCCGAGGCCGAGGCGGCGCGGGCAAAGGCACAGAGGGAACAGCATCAGCAGCAACAGGCCGCCGCGGCTGCCGTGCGTATCCCGCAGCCGGCGTCTCGCCAGGGCCGGGCCGAGGGTCCGCACCCGCACCGCAACGAAGCCGCGGAGGGCGGTAACGACCGCCGGGAGCGCCGCGAGCGCCCACCGCGCGACGGCGGCAACAACGACCGCCACGAGCGCCCGGCGGGGGCCGCGGGGACGCGCCACAATGAGGAGGGCCGCCCGGAGCGCAAGCCGCGTGAGCAGCGGGGAGACGGTCGCGCAGAGCGTGAACCACGTGGAGAGGGCCACGCCGAGCGCAAGCCGCGTGGGGACGGTCGCCCCGAACGTGAGCCGCGTGGAGAGGGCCACGCCGAGCGCAAGCCGCGTGGGGAAGGTCGCGCGGAGCGTGAGCCGCGCGGAGAGGGTCGCGGCGATCGCAAGCCGCGGGGTGAGGGCCATGCGGAGCGCAAGCCGGTGGAGGGTAGTGACCGTCGTAAGAAGCCGGCTGCTGCGGGTGCTGCTGGTGATGCCGCTCCTGCTGCACCGGCCCCTGAGCGCAAGCCGCGCGCGACCGGCCCCACCGCTGCCTGCATCCTGCTGCGGGTGCCAAAGAAGATCAAGTTGTCCGACATCAAGGCGGAGTTGGCCAGCCAAGGCGGCGCGGTGCCAGATGACATGTTCTGGTGCGGACCGAGCAGCGCCCACGCCGTGCTGAAGTTCGACTCCGTGGACAAGGCCACGGCGCTGTACTCGAAGAAGGTCTTTACGATTCAGGAGGAGTCCATCCCAGTCAACTACTACCACGAGTAGAAGAGAGGGGAAAGCGGTGAGTGCGGGAGAGATGGAAAGGGTGCGAGGTGCGCGATGCCTTCGGAGCGTGTGTGCCAAGTCGTTAAAGGCGGCTTTTCATTGCTCCTTCCTGTGCCACGCACACGCACTCGCGAAGGCGCGCCGTACCGCCCAGCATCTCCTACACACATCTATATATATATATTGGATTTCAGTCAACTCTGGCTGTTGTCATCGCCACTGCGCTGTGCGAAATTTAATATAAAAATCCTTTGTTTGGTTTGGCTTTTTCCGGCGGTACCCGCCATAAGAGAGAACGAACGGAAACGAGAGGAGTACACCTAAGTTCAGATTATTTATTTTTGGAAGAGAAAAAAAAACAACCCTTTCCCCGGTGGTTTACGCCAGAGGAAGAAAAATGACGACTGCGCTCAATCGAGGCAAAAGCGGCGTCACTCGTTCATCTCTACCTTATTATTATTAACGTTCCGCGGATGAATGTGGATATTCGTTTGCTGTGAACGATGACGTAGTGGAGAGAGTAATAATCAGAGTGAAGGCGAGGTGATGTTGTTGTTGTTTTGCTTCGTTTGGTTTTGGTTGTGGTGCCTGCGGTGCCCAGGCGCTGCCATCTCTCTCTATCTGTGTGTGTGTGTGTGTGTGCGTGTGTTTTCTTAAAGGCAGCATTTGTAGTTTTGGTCGTTGTTGCTGTACAGCCGCTTTCTCTTGCCCGCCTTCATCGCGGTGTCTCACGAATTCATCTCTTGCTCTCTTTCCCTTTCTCTCTTTCCCTCGCTGTCTTGTGGACTGCGCACCTGCGCCGCTTCAACGCACGGCACCCTCTCCGCCCGCCCTTCACTTTCTCGCTCCGCCGCGACGCCCTGCAGTGTCTCATATAGTTGTGTTCATTTCTTTTTTTTTTTGTCTTCTCCTGTGTTAGCTCGCGGTGTTTTATTGTTTCTTGTTTCTCCCTCCCTTCATTCCCCTTTCTAAGCTAAGCTTATTCCCGAAGCCTAGTCGATCAGCCACAGACGCAAAGCAGTCGCAGACGCACGGAGCCTCGCTCTCTCCGCATCCGTCCCAACCTGTTTGTGTGTCGTCACTCATCTCACAATACCAAAAAGAAAGCTTTAAGAAAAAGAAAAAAAAAGAAAGCATGTCGAAGGTGACCTCCAACGCTGCCGCCTCTGGTGGTGAGGTGATCGGCCGCGACGGTGACCCGACGGTGCGCAAAGCCAACGCGCAGAAGCTGAAGGCCGGCTACACAAAGAAGAAGCGCTTCTTCGAGTGCTGCTATCTTTCGGCCTCGACGCTCCTGTGGTGCAGCAACGTCATCTCGTGCGGGCGCTACTTCGTCTTTGCCTCCGATGCGAACCTCATGCAGCTTGTCTGGATGCCGCTGTTTATCATCGGTGCGATGTGCCTGGCGGATATGGTGTCGGGCCTGGCGCACTGGGGCCTCGACACGTGGGGGACACCCGACACGCCGGTCTTTGGCAGCTTCATTCGCAGTTTCCGCGAGCACCACGTGGACCAAACCGCCATGTGCAAGCACGACTTCATCGAAACGAACGCGGATACCACGCTGCCGCTGCTGCCCGTGCTGCTGCTTCAGTACCTGCGCATCTGGGCGAACAACACCAGCGGCAACGGCTACGTGGCGAACCTGCACGTGTCGAACATCGGCCTGCACGTCTTCCTTTGCACCTTCTTCGTTCTCGTCGCCATCACGAACGAGATCCACAAGTGGTCGCACCAGGCGAAGCAGTCCTTCCTGGTGCGTAAGGCGATGGGCTACGGCATCCTGCTCTCGCCGATCGCGCACCGCAAGCACCACAAGGACCCCTTTGACCGCAGCTACTGCATCACGACCGGCTGGCTGAACCCGCTGCTTGACTCCACCAACTTTTGGCGCCACATGGAGTCCCTGGTGACCGCACTGACGGGGGCGATTCCGCGCGCGAATGATCAGACGATGCTGGGCAAGTAAAGTAACAGTAAAAAGAAATCAAGGATAGTCATATTAATAATAATAACCGTAACAACAAGCGCCGTTTTATCCCTCACCTTATCTTTTTATTCAACATCGCAGAGTGGATTCGGCGCAAAATGCAACGGCGAGCAAAGCGAAAAGGGAAGGTCAACTATAGAGAAAAGATGAGGATCGAGGCAACGCAAAGCACCGCGATCCGCAGAGAGAAGGAAAGAAAGAAAACTTGCGTCTCTGACTGTTCGATTCTAACGTGTGGCGACTCTTTTTTGGTTCTTCTTTCTGCGCTTCACGTTCCGCATAAGGCGCGTTTCTTTTCTTTCGTACTTTGCATGCTGAAGGACGTTCCCACTGTGTTTTCGTTCCCGTTATCCCCTTCGCTTTCTTCTGTTATTTTCTTATAAGTCTTACACAAGCAGGGATGAAAGTCAAGAACGGATGTACGTACAACAGCTTCTCCCGGTCCCGCGCGGGGAGGGGAGCTGCCTCGTTTTGATTTTGTTTTGTTTGTTTTTCCTTTCAACGGTGTGTGCCGTTGTGGCGGCTCGCGGGTGAAGGTTTTTTCTTTTAATGCAAAGTGTCTTCTTCTTTTACCCCTCTCTTCACCAGAAGTGCATGAAAACGTGGAGAAGGGCGTCTTTCTCTCCTTTTTCAATTTCACCTGATTCTTTTCCCTTCCGTTTTTCCCTATTGCAGGTTTGTTTGTGATGACGCTCGGCGTGCGCATGCAGTTCAACTCCGCAACGCTCGTTTTCGTAAACAGCAAAAAAAAAACAGAAACAGAAAGCCCTTACCAAAAATATGTTTTCTTCTCTCTTGTTTTTTCTCGTTTGGTGCCTTGGGGAGCTGTCCTTTCTTGTGTTGGATGTTCTTCCTTCTCAGGCAAGCCCATCAAAACAGTTCATCATTAAATATATATTTATATATATTTGTATCTATAGTAAAAGGTACCCGACGGCCTCTGCTTCTCCAGCTCTCTCTCTCTCTCGCTCTCCGCTCGAAGCACTTTTGTTGTGAGCATCGGGAGTTTTCTCCTTCTCCTCCCGCTTTGGTTGTTGATTGTACGGTTCTTTTTGGCGCTCTTTTGCACGTGGCTCCCGTACCGTCGTTTTCCTTTTACGATTATTAGAAAAAATATCTTCTTGTTGTTGATGTCGATGTTGATGATGTTCTTTTGTTTTGTTTTTGATTGTTTGTCTTTCGCTTTTTGAGTGGCGGGACCGCTGCTCGCACGCACCCACAAGTTTTTCACTCTCCCCCTCCCTTGGCTGCTCGATCCGCATGGGGGTGTGTAAGTCAGAGTGACTGTGGGTGTTCAGCGAGTCCTGTATATATATATATGTATGTATGTGTTGTTTTGTGCCCTCAAAAGAAGTCTAAAGGAAAACAACGACCGGTTTTTTCTTTCCTTCCATAGCGTGGACGCATCAACTCGATGTTTGTGGATTGCCGGCGCTGATACAGGCCCACCTGATTCGCCTTCCGCTGTGCGACGTTGTCTGACTCGTTGTCTGTGTGTGTGTGAGTGTGTGTACGTGTGTGTGTGCGCCTGTATGCGTGCCTGTGCCTGTGAGTTAGGGTGTCGCTCCCCAAAGGAAGAAGAAGAGAGAAAAGGACAAATACACGAAGGGTGATGACCGGGCTGACTGCACGTTGTCGGGTAAGAGGGAATAGAAGAAGTGTGTCGCGTTGCTCTTTCCCAAGCACAAACCCCCGCCCCACAACGGTATTCTCACTTGCAAGGGACAGCCCATCGGAGAGGTGAGAACGGCGCCTCCTCGCATTCTCTGTTTACGTTGTGCGTGTGAAGGGCACTTCCGGGAGCAGACTCCTCCTGTCTCGCCGCTTTACTTCGCATGAACGGCTGTTTCGTTCCTCTTCCTCCTTCTTTCTTTGTTCTTCTCTCTCCTGTCTTGGCGGCAAAGGGCGCGGTCTCGTTGTTCAGAGAGCACACACACACCAACTCCCACCCGTTGGATTTTTTTTTAAACAGTCTGAGTTTCCGCTGATGCCGCGGGACAGCAAGAAAACGAAGTCATCCTGATACGCAAGCAATAAGCCGAAGCTTCCCGCACACAGTCTCCTTTTTCTTCTTTTCTTTTTTCAAATAGCATAGAGCGTTTCTTCACCGGTTGCGCCACCACGTCATAAGTTAGAGAGGTATTGTTCTTCTTCCTTTCAGTAGTACAGCTGTTCATGAAAGCCGTACTCCAAGTCGGTCCCGCGCAGTTCATCGTGGACGGCGCCACCTTCCACCTGCTCTGCGAGGACATCACCCAAACGCTGAAGGCCCTCCTGACGCTCAATGAAAGCGACGTCTCATTAACGCTGCACCTCGACGCCCTCGAGCGCTGTTTGGCCGACGACGCGCAGCGCCTGGTGGAGGCCGGGGTGCCCCTGCCGCGTCGTCTTCCGCACGAAGGCGACGACGTCGACCTGTCCGTCGACGCGGGTGCACCGCCGCCGTCACCGCCACCGCGTCGGCTTAGTGTGAGTCGTGGCGTGCGCGAGCCCATCAACGTCTTCTCATCCGATTCCTTCGACGCGGCCGAAGCGCTCCTGCAGGAGCTGCAGGCCCGCCTCCTCGAGCAGCGTCTGCTCCTAGAGAAGTGTATTACGGCGGGGACGGTCGCGCCGAACGTGGAGAGGCACGAGTCCAGCGTGCGGGACAGCAGTGGAGAAGTGGTGAAGGACGGTGTTCGTAGTGGCACCACTGCGTTGCCGCGACGAGTGGTGCCGCTGCCGCTGCTGCGCATCGACACGTACCTGTCCTCCTCCGTGGATGTGCTACCGGACTACGACGCGCAAGGGCACCGTCGGCGCAGTTCGCTGACGGTGCTGGGAACTTCATCCCTGCCGTTGTAGAGGAGAGAGACTGTGTTTATCGTTCTCCGTATCGCTGTTTTACCACTGCACTTTCCTGCTCCGTCTCCCAATCGAAATATACAACAACATAAAGAATTCATCTGCCTTTTGCAGAAAAGTTGGGCTTCTTTAAGTCGTGACGTGTCTGTTTGTTTGGTTGGTTGTTTTCGTGGTGTGCGGCTCCTCCTTGCAGATAGCGTCGCATGCGTTGCCGCCTGTCCCCTCGACGTACTCACCTCTCCTCTTTCTCTCCCTCGCTTTGCAGCTCAACCCTTCAGACTGCGTTGAGCACGCACAGGAGGTTTGCTCTCATTCGTTTTTCTTTTTCTTTTCATGCGTGTGTGTGTGTGTGTGTGTGGCCGCAAATCTGCAACGGGCATTGTTCAGTTGCACGTCAGCCGTTCGTTTTGTTTTCCTCCTCCCTACAGTCATTCTTGTACTTGTATTTGTTGTTGCTGCATGTATCGCTCAATGTTCTTGTCTTCCCTCCTATTCAGATCCCACGCACACAACATCTCATAACTCGCGATGCATCGTGGGTTTCCTCTACGAAATAGATTCTTTTATATGTAAGCAACGAGCTTCTTCTCATTGCCATCCCCATCACATCCGCCTTCCTGGGAGCTTGCGAAAGGAATGATTGAATGTGAAGTATGGTTTGAATGGAATCTAAGTGAATATCATCTTCGGGGACTCCTTTCTACTTTCTTCTCCTTTTCCACGGACAGTCTTCGACTTCCGCCTTGTTCTCTCTTCTGTTCGTTTTCCCGCCCACCCAGGCCCACTCCGCCCCGCTTTGAGGGCGGACTAATCTTGTTTTGAAGTCTGCCACTGCGTTAGTCTTGGTTCCCGTTCCACGTGAAAAAGATACTAATAAATAAATCAATATGATATGTTGCTGTCTTTCGAAAACTAATGTTGTTGTAAATGACCCCGAGTGATCGTGAGGGTCGTGGTTTATCCCTGTACCGAACGTAGAAGTTAAGGGAGAGGAAAAACCAAAACGCCATTCTTCTACCTCGTTTCTTTCTACTAACTTTTATCTCTCCCCCTTCTCCATCTCATCCTACAAACATAAACAATTATTCCTCCAAATATATATATAGTGCGTTGCTTTTGTCGGTTTATCGCACTGCTAATACTTCCTAGAGTCCTGTTTTTCTCTCTGTTCTTTCTCCGTCGGCTGGCACCCCGTGTGGACGTACACACAGACACACAGACACGCACGTTCTTGGCATGACAGGAAACGCCGCGTACGTGCAGGTGGTGTGTTGGCCCCACACCGTCATCGTCGAAGAGTACAACGTCTTCCGCACAGCGCAGCAGCTTCTGGCACAGGTGCTGCCTTCGCACATCTTGTCCATCACACGCCGACTGTCCGACGCCATGCGACATGCTCGTGTGGCACAACACACGCAAAACAGCGGCAGCGATGATGATGAGCGTTGTGGGGCTGAAGCGGACGTGGACGAGGCGGCAGCGACGTGCATGGCGCCTCTCCCGCTTACAGCAAGTCTCCTGCAAAGATATCTGCAGCAGCGCGAGACGGAAAATCGAGAGAGCGGCGGCCCGCACACGGATAGCGACGAGGACAACAGTAAAAACGCCAACGCTCGAGCTGGCGAGGATCCCTCGCTGACGCTCGTCCAGTGCGGCGACGACGGCGCAGCTCGCTCCTCCGCCCCTCCGCCGCTGCCCAGCTCCCCCCACGGAGGCTGGCTGACGGTGCAGCCGGCTCTCGAGTACGTATCGGCCACCTACGGGCCACTGCACGCCGTCACGTGGCCGCAGTGGGAGGAGCTGCAGGCGCTGCATGGTGCGGAAGTTGCTCCCGTCACCGCGGATGCAGTGGCGGCGTCGTCGGGTGTATTGGTGGAAGTTGTATTGCTATGGTGTCACGAAGGCACCGTGTACCGCGTCACGCCGGAAGAGTTGCGTGTGGTGGAGACGAAAGGCAGCGTCGAGGCCTCCTCCACCGCCGCTCCGACGTCCTCCGCATCCTTTCTGACCTGCAACGTGGAGCTGGAGTACCCGCCCGGCATCCTCCTCTCGCGCAAGCTGCCGCTCCCTCTTGCCGAGCCGCTCCTGACGCGGCGGGAGCTGATCGAGCTGGTGCGACGCACCGCAAACATTCGGCAGCACCAGTCACTGCGTGTGGCGTACCGCGTGTGGCCGCGCCTGCTCGGCGGCGTGCCGGAGTTAGGGATTCCTCTCGGGATGGAAAGCGTCAGCACGAATTACAACGGAAGTGGAAGCGCGGGGGGCGGTGCGTACACCCCAACAACCGGTGGTCCGCCGCTGCGCGCCATCGAGAGCGATTCGGCGGTCGCTGCGTTTGTGCAGGACACGCTGACGCACGGGAGCGCGGCGGTGCGCGTGGTGGCGGTGCAGAGCGCACGCGCGGCTCCTCCCTCTCCGCTACCCACGACAGCACCTGAAAAGCGTCAGGAGCTCCAACAGCGGGTTGTGGGGGGAGGGCGTCGTGCGGACGCCGCGGCCGCACCGGCGTCGAAGGGGAAGATGGCAGGTGCTCTGAAAATCGCCTGCGAGGCGAGAGGTGCCGCATTACCATCATCATCAACAGCAGCAGCAACGAAAACGGAAGCTACGCCTGCACCTGCCTCGACAGGTGTATCGGACAGGTCTGCGGTGAGGACGACACAGACGATGAGCTCTGCGATGCCCGCTGCGGCGCACCAACCTCGGCCAGCAGCACCACCATCGTACACGGTGATGCCGCTGCCGATACAAAAGGGCGACTCGAATTCCGAAGAAGACGGCGAAGGTGAAGGAGAGGATGGAGCTTCTCATAATCCTCCGCCTTCCGTCACGAAGGGGAGCGCAGACGGCGATAACGATGCCCCGCTCTTGGCGAGCAATCGTGCCACGAACCGTGTACCGGAGGCAGTACGCAGCACCGCGCGGCACGACGCAGCAACCACCACAGCAGCAGCAGCCTTGATGCCGGTAACCACCGCAAACACAGCGGCGAACTCCACGCCCTCCCCCTCAGAGGCGTGCAGCCGGCACTCGCACACGCGCGGGCCTGTCCTGTCAAGTGAAGGCGACGACCTCGTGCACGCTGATGACCCGCAACGGCTATCCGGACAGACGGGCACGGAAGTGTGTGAGGAGGTCCATGAAAGGGAAGGGGGGAAGGACAATGTGCCGCAGCGTCAGCGACAAGAGCAGCTGCTGTACGCCGCTGCCGTTTTGAATGTGGGTGTGACAGAGCATGCCTTCACAGAAGTCAACGAGGAAGGGGAGGCGTCGAGCAACGACAAGCCGCCTACGGGCTCACAGGATCGCACTGCCGTTGCGGAGGAGGACCTGCGGAGGAGGCCAAATGTGAGGCAGAACATCGTCAACGAAGGCGACAACGACACAGCATGTGCGAAGGAGGGGAGGAAAGCGGTGGAAGGGTCAGCGAACGCCCCTGCTGCGGTGGCATTCATCGTCCCTACTCCTCCCCAACAGCAGCCAAAAGCAGCAGCGCATACAAGCAGCGTTGGCAGAAGCAGTCTTTTGGACCCCCACTCCATGGTCTTTGTGCGGTACGAGGTCGAGCCCACCGCCGTGTACGTCTCGGGCCCTGTGTCGCAGGCGGCGCTGCAGCAGCTGCAGGACGTCATCTTCCGTCGCTGCTGTGCGCCCCTCAGCTCGGATGCAGACGCGCCGCGGCCACGCTTCCACGTCCACGGTGCCGACGATGCACACGTCAGCAACGTCAGCGGAGCACAAAATGCTGCTGCATTAGACGGGAGAGGGACGGAGATGAATTATACGAATAAGAAGAATAACAGTAATAATAATAGTGACAGCACGTCATCCGGTACGCTGTCGCACGCCGAGTACGTGCTGCCGTTGTACGCGTACACGTTTACCCAGGCAGAGGAAAACACGCTGGAGCGCTGCGTGGCGGAGGTGATGGCGGTGTACCAGGGGCTGGAACAGCTGCCGGCGAAGGAGGCGGCGGAGTGGGCGCAGGCGGCCAGCTTTAGCGTCGCCGCCACACCGGCTCTCGGAGGAAGAGAAGCGACGCTGTTGTGTGCGCGGAGCGAAGATACCTGAGGCCTTCTTTTTTTTTCTTCTATGTCTGCTTTCAATTCTGTTTGTATTGTTCCCGTGTACGCGTACACCTAGAACATCCCTTGCTGCTTTCCAGTGAGGTATATATATTTCTCCTTCCCGTGCGAACAGACGCGAAGAGAAGGAACAGTTCTCATATATATTGTTATTACTATTGTTGTTGTTCAAGGGAGTGGTGAAACAGGGAAATATACTGCAGTGGATTCACGATGCAGTGTGGCCCGCGCGCACAGGACACGGACGCGACTTCATCGTAGCCTGAGAACGACGGGGGATAAACAAGTGAGTAAAAAAAACGGATCGCCATTGTTTTCGATTCGTGTTCTCTGATCGGCGTGCTCGGTGACAAAGCACCTTTGTAGACGCCCCCGATCCGACAGTGAAGGGCTACTTTTCATGTGTACTACGTGCTCATCCTCCTTCAATTCCTTTGTTCTCTCCCTCTCTGTGTGCCTTTGGTATTTGCCCTTCTTTTTTAATATCGGTTGACGCATGCTCTGTGCGGTGTACACAGTATATTCCCAGCACATACATTGGGGAGGATTTTTTTTTTAATTCCCCACATCGGCAAACCAAAGAAACACGTATTACCATTATTATTGTTGTTGTTTTTTCTTGAATGGCCTTCAGCATGCCCTCCGAAGTCGACGGTTCGCCTGATCCGGTTCTCATCCTGCGCGGCTCCGTCCTGACAGCAGCGGAGGAGCAAAAGAAATGGGCGCAGGAGGCGCTGCTGGCGGTGGAGTCCAAAGCCGCTGTCATGCAGGAGTGTATCGACAAGAGCAAAGGACTGTGCAATGTCATCCGTGCGGCAGCGCAGGTGCTGGATGAGCTGCGAACGAACCTGCTCGAGCCACAGAACTATTACGAGCTGTACATGAAGGTGTACAACGTGATGGAGGGTTTTGCCGCCTACCTGGAGGACGCCCATCGCGCAGGGCGGCACACGTTGGAGGACATCTACGAGCAGGTGCAGTATTGCGGTTACATTGTGCCGCGGTTGTACCTGCTGATCGCAGCCGGTGCGGTCTACATTGAGATGGGAGAGCAGCCGGCGCTGGAGATTATGCGGGACTTGGTGGAGATGTGCAAGGGCGTGCAGCACCCAACCCGAGGCTTGTTTCTGCGCCACTACTTGTTGACGGTGATGAAGGGCAAGCTGCCGGGTGACCCTGGCCGGCCGGTCAACGAGGACCCCAACAGCGAGGCAGGCGGTACCGTCGCCGATACGGCGAACCTGCTGGTGCAGAACTTCAAGGAGATGAACTGGCTATGGATTCGCATGGAGGCGGGCAGCTACGTGAACCGCAACGGTGGAAGCACGAATAGCTTGTCGACGAACACCTTGACCCCGCAGCAGCAACAGTCAGCTTCTGCGCGACTCGCCTCTCCCCACCCTTCCTCCTCTAGCTCTGCTCCGAACTCGCCTCTCAGTCCGCTGAACGGGCAGCAGCGTACGTTGCGGGCCGCGCAGCGGACACAGCAAGAGCGCCGTGCGATGTGCGTGTTGGTCGGCATGAACCTGGTCCGCATTTCGCAGCTCGACGGCATCACGCGCGAGGTTTATGTGAAGACGCTTCTGCCGCAGCTGCTGTCTATCATGGTCCGCTACTGCGAGCCTCTGGCACAGCAATACCTCTTCGAGGTGCTGATTCAGGTGTTTCCGGATGAGTTCCACCTCTTCACCATCGACAAGCTCTTTGACGCGATCAGCAGGACGGTGCACGGGGTCGACGTGCCGGGTCTGCTGCGCTCGCTGATTGAGCGGCTGTGCAGGTACGCGATGGACGTGCAGGACGGTGTCACCGACGTTTCGAGCCCCGAGGAGGAGGCACAGCTGCGCGATCTGTTTCCCATGCTGCTCGATCGGCTGTCCAACATGCCGGTCAGCTACCACGCGCATATCAAATGCCCAAACGTGATAAAGCGCACCTCTGCGATCCCGCCGCCGGCGCCGATGCTGCTCGGGACCTACGTGAGCACCGTGCGGCATCTCGTGACGGTCGCGCTGACGCTCTACGGCTCCTCGGCGAAGCGGCGCACCATGGCGCTGTCAAACATCGTAGATGTCGTCGCGGCGAAGTTTACGGCGGCGGCAGCGGCAGCGGCAGCGGCAGACTCGGGCAGCGATCCGAGCAGCGGTATGGGGGCTGCTTCTTCGTCTGCTGCAGAAGCCGCCGACGGTCACCCCAACAGGGCGGCGGACGCCGAAGCGCGAGAGGAGGCGGACGAGGAAGGTGGAAGTGACAGCCGCACGAAACGCACCGCTGCGGGCAACAGCAAGTCTGCCGCCGCCACTTCTTCTTCTTCCGCTGCCAAGTCGAAGAAATCTGCTACCGCTGCAGCCGAAACCGCCGGCATCAGCCCAGCCGCGGCCCTCGCGGCAAGTCAGTTCATCGTGCACATCATCAACGACTGCTGCGCGTCTGTCGAGGAAGTGCTGGGCATGGAGGGCATCGAAACGCTGACGGCGTGTCTGCCTTTCCTGGAGCGTCGTGATGTAGCCATGGCGGTGTGCGACGTGGCGCTGCGTGGCAGCACGGGTGCGCCGCTGCTGCCGGCCGTGTCGAAAGCAGCCACAGTGAGGTCGTCCTCCTCGGTGGGTAACGTCGCGGTGTTGAAGCCAGCGGTGGTGGTCACCGCCCCGCCACCGCGTCCGCGGCCTCTCACCGCTTTAGAGGACGTCGCCCGGCTGTTTGAGCTGCTCGATCCCCTCCTCGTCGATCAACCCGACACCCCGTCCGATCCGCAATTGATCTACAAGTACAACCCGCAAATGGAGTTTGTCGACGAGCAGCATTGCGTGTGCCGGGTGCTGCACTTGCTGTCGAATGAGGATCCGTCCGTGTATATGAAGATGCTGACGGGCGTGCGGAAACTGCTGTTGCTAGGCGGGGCCCGACGGATCCCGCTGACGTACCCCACGTTGATTGCACTGCACCGGCGTGCGGCAGTGCGTCTGCACAACCAGTATGTCATTGCGACGAAGTCAAAGAAGCGCAGCAAGGGCGCGGAGGCGGTCCATCGTGATCCGGCGGCTGGGGCGGGCGCCGACGGCGGCAACGGAGAGGAGGAAAGTACGGAGAACAGCAATGCGACGCAAAACACGGAGGCAGAGGTCATCGATGAGGCGGTCACGGCTGCCTACACCAAAAACATCCGCAAGTGTCTTTCGCATTTGTACTCAGGCGACAGCAAGAGTTTATTGGAGGTGTACGCGGTGGAGATGCCGCTGCGGGCGCTGTCCGAGTACGTCACGTGCGCTCTCACCGCGGAGGCGTGCGGGCAGAGCGAGACGAGCTACACCCTGTTCGCGGAAGCGCTGACGCTCTACGACGCCCACGTCGGCGACACACCGGATCAGGTCACCGCGTTGGTCGACTTCGTGAACGCGTTGGCGCAGATGACGTCCATGCCGGAGGAAAACTACGAGGTCCTCGCGGCGAAGGTGTGCCAGTACGCGTCGAAGCTGCTGAAGAAGCAGGATCAGAGTCGCCTCATCGCCGTTTGCGCGACGCTGTTTGCTAAGAAGCAACTCTCCCAGGAGAACCAGCAGCGGGTGCAGGAGTGCCTGCGCCGTGCGTTGAAGCTGGCGGGGCAGGTGCTGGCCCTCCCCCAGCTGCAACTGTACGTGCAGCTCTTAAACGTGTTTCTGCACTTTTACACGGCGAAGATGGGCTACATGGTGTCCGTGGACCTTGTGAACGAGCTCGTCGAGAAGATAAACGAGGCGAGCGAGGCGCAGCGGGAAGCCGTCGCGGGGGCGGCGTCGAATCTCCCGGATGCTGCCACGACGACGACTGCTGGAGAGAGCGCGGAGGGTAAAGAAAAGGACGGTGCTGGTGCTGGTGCTGCCGCTGCCGCGGCGGTTGCTGCGAGCAGCGACGGAGAGGCCGCAGCGGCGTTCGCCAACGTTCGTCTGGTGTACCGCAACATTACCAAGTACATTCGCTCTCGCCAGTCAGCGGAGGAGAGTTGGGGTGCCATTGAGGTGTAGCGCGCGCGTACAATTTTTTGTTATTATTGTTATCATTTCTGGACTTTCGTTTGTGCAAAGTGACGCCGCTCCGAGCTTCACCCACCGCCTCGGTCGGCCAATGGGACGTTCACTTTCCTCCTGCCATGTGCGGTGTTACTCTTGTGAGACGTCTTTCTTAGAATATTATTATAGAAAATAGTGATGTGCACATGTCTGTCTGTGGGTTTGCTGTGGAGGCCGTCTTTGCGGCGGCCCCTCCTCCTCCGTTGATGGTGATGTTTGCTGTGCGATCGCCTTACCGTCCTTTTTGTGTTTTCACCTTTGCTTTCCCGGTCATTTTGTGGTGGGGTATCTCTCGAGACTTACTCTTGTCGTTGCTGTCGTGTCGTGGTGCTGTTCGAGGCTCTACCGTTTTGCTGCAACTTGAAGAGGAACACAACCGTGAATGCTTGCGAAGGCCTCTCTTGCGCCGCATCGCCGTCTTGTGTCCCCACGGTGAGGGTCTTTTCCATTCCCCCTACTTCCCTCCCTCTCTACCTAGAAGGAAACCTACACAGGATGCGCCGACTGCGAGCGCGTGTTGTAGTCGTTGGTGTTACTCCCCGTCCGTCCTCCTCTGTCCTTCCCTTTCTTTCTGTTTCCGTTGCTTTTCATTCCGTTCTCCATATTCCTGGAAGAAGAGGAGGGGAGAAGCGAAATGAGCTCCTTGGCCGACCAGCTACGCTCCGACCTCGCCGCGCTTCGGAACTGCATCGTTGCGCAGCGCCTCCACGCCGCGGCGTCGCTTCCCCTACCCGATTCAGAGACCCTTTCTGTTGTAGCCGCAGATCAGCAGCACCCGTTACAGCAGCGGTCGCCGCACGCCAAACCACTTTTGAAAAGTCAATCATCAGCATTATCATCATCATCCGCAGCAGCAGCAGCAGCAACCTCCCCTGTCGATCCCTTGTGTCAACTGCAGGAGGATCTTCAAGCCGCTACCGCCCAACTCCACGCCGAACGTGCGGCAGTGGCGCAGCTGCGCATTCAGCAACGTTGCGATGAGGCCGCGATCCTCCGGCTAACCGAACAGACGGAGGAGGTGGATGGCCAACTCGCGCAGGCCACGTCCGAGCGCGACGCCTGGCAGCAACGGTGCACCGCCGTGGAGGCGATCCACGCGAAGTGTGCGGTCCACCACTCCTGTGTGCGCGAGCAGGTGGAGGCGCTCCAGCAACACGTAAAAGATGTGGAGGCCGTTCATGCTACACTCACGGCATCCGCAGCGGAGCTTCGCCGTGTTGCCGCGCGACTGACGCAAGAAAACACACGGCTGCACGAAATGTTGAAGGGTCATGCGGCGGAGCTGTTCCGACTGTCCTCGGTGGAAGTCGATCTACGCGCAGCTCAGCAGCGCCTGTGCACCTTTGAGCAGCGGCAGGAGGAATGGGAGGGCGAAATGCGACGCCTTCAGGGCTACTTTACTTCCGTGAAGGACGAGTACGCTACCGGGATGGAGTTGGTGGCGGCGCTGCAGCACGAGCACCGTCAACTGGAGGCCGCGCTGGCGCAGAGCGAGGCGCAGTGTAACGGATGGGCGCAGCTGTTTATGGATTCCGCGGTGACACCTCCTGCAGGTAAGGCGGACGACACGCTGTCAGACGGAGGGAAAGAGGAAGTGGAAGATAGAGTGGCGTTCGATGATGCTTCGAAGAGTCCGCGTTCGCCTCTCGACACGGAAGTACCATCAACTACCACCTCCTCCACACTTGCAAACCTTCAGCGCCGACAGGCAGACACAGAAGATGACGACGTCTCCTTTGCAGCGGAAGAACGTCGCGATGGTGCACACGGTTCACGTGAGCACCGCGCCGCCTTCACGCAGCAGCTGGAGGCAAAGGTAGCCGACCTCGCTGTGCAGCTCTTCGCAGCGCAGGCACGCGCAGCACAGGCAGAGCGGCACGTGGAGCAACTCGCCCAGGTGCAGTTGGTGGACATGGCGGTGCTTACGGAGCTGAAGGCGATGGTGTGTGTGCTGCGTCCCCAAACAGAGTCCTTGGCCACGTACAATGCCCAGCTGCAGGCGCGGCTGCTGGCGACGGAATGCATGACAGAGCCGCTGATGGAGTACGTTGTGCAGCTCGCCACGGCGTACACGGAGGAGGTGTGTCGCCGTTGCAATCCGCAGCTTTGTTCACCAGGGCATCGGGAAGGCGGCGGGGAAGCGGTGTTGAGTGTGAAAAGCAGCACAGATGCCGGCAGCGCGGAGGAGCGCGGTACGACGGTGCCGCCGCCTGCGCAACGCGAGCACGTGCCGGGGAAGCGGCATCGGCTGCGTGTCACCGCCCTTCAGCCTCGACGTGGTGCATAACGTACGACGAGCGACGCTCCTTCGCTTGTTCGTTTGATAGGTTCAATGGATGTGTTTAATGTATATTCATCTTTGCGTTTGTGTTGCTGCTCTCCTCTGCTCTTTCATTTGATCGCACATGAAATACCACACAAAGAAAACTCACTCCCTCTCTTTCTTTCTTCTCTTCCGCTGTGATGCGGCTGGCTGCCGACCTCGCCCTGAAATACACGGCGGCGCGCATCTCTCTCGCCGGGCGGTGGCGGCAACGAATGCAACGAAAACTGCTGACACGCTCACGCACTCGTTTGGTTGTGCTCCCCACCCCACTCCCTTCGTTATTCCCGCTCCTCATCCCTTCTGTATCTCCTTCGTACATCCATATATATATATATATATTAGAATCGTCGTCGGTGAACTGCCCATTTGTCAGTTCTGTCGTAAACCTGTTTTTCCTTTTCCCCCCAGGTGATTCCTGCATGCGTACGTGCGCGTGTGCGGTACGGTGGAGAGACGCTTAATGAAAGAAAAAGGGGAAGCTTATTCATTGTAATTAAGGCATTTGTGTGAGTTCCGTTGGCGCAGGCGCCGCAGCACCACATTTTTCGCACACACACACCGCAGCCTAGGTGGGAGTCCTCCTCGGCACCAGCGACACACGTGAATTGACTGCTGTTATTGTTGTTTTCTCTTTTCACTTTTTTCTTCTTCTATTTATTTAAAAACAAAAACCGAGACAATGGTCCGTGAAACGGAGCTGTACGAGGTGCTGCAGGTCTCCGTCGAGGCCGACGAGCACGAGATCAAGCGCTCCTACCGCAAGCTAGCTCTCAAATACCACCCCGACAAGAACACAGGCGACGCGTCTGCGGCAGACATGTTCAAGAAGGTCAGCAACGCGTACGAAGTGCTCAGCGACCCCGAGAAGCGCCAGCTGTACGACAAGTACGGGAAGAAAGGTTTAGAGGGCGGCGCGGGCAAGGGCGGTGGCTTCCACGACGCGTCGGATATCTTCTCCATGTTCTTCGGCGGCGGCGCACGCGAGCGCGGGGAACCGAAGCCGAAGGATATCGTGCACGAGCTGGAGGTGAAGCTGGATGACCTGTACAACGGTGCAACGCAGAAAGTGATGATCTCGCGCGATCGCTTCTGCGGGGCCTGCGGCGGCACCGGCGTGAAGGCGGGTGCGCAGCGAAACACGTGTGCGCAGTGTCGCGGTCGTGGGGCGCTGCTCCGCACGCAACAGATATTCCCCGGTTTTCATCAACAGGTGCAGGTGCAGTGCCCGAGCTGCAACGGCGAGGGCGAGACGGTGAGCGCGGCGGACGTGTGTAAGGGCTGCCGTGGTAAGCGCACCGTGCGGGAGAAGACCGTGCTGGAGGTGCACATCGAGCGCGGCGCGCACAAGACGGAGCACTTCACCTTCACCGAGGAGGGCAACCAGGAGCCGGGCCTGCGCTTGGCGGGCGACGTGCTGATCTTTTTAAGCGTGAAGCCGCACCCAGTGTTTCACCGCGTGAACGACCACCTCGTGATGCGTTGCCCCATCACATTGCAAGAGGCCCTTTGCGGGTTCGAACTGCCGCTGGAGCACCTCGACGGTCGGACGCTGACGGTGAAGGCCTCTCCAGGGCAGGTGGTGCACGGCAACAGTGCGTGGAGCGTGTACAACGAGGGCATGCCGATCAAAGGCACCGGCGGCCTGCAGAGGGGTAAGTTGTTCGTCTGCTTCGACGTGGAGTGGCCGGAGACGCTGCCGCGGGAGCAGGTTGACCAAATCGCAAAAGCCCTGCACGCCCCGGAGAAGCTCGGCAAGCTCGGGGGGCAGGTGGTGGAGCTGAGCGAGTACCGGAGTAAGGCGAAGGCGGGCGGCAAACGCAGAGGCGGTAAGAAGGGGAACGGAGCGCGCGGTGCGGCGGCGGGACGTGGCGGTCGTCGTCCGTCCGCGCGTGCGGAGGAGGAGGACGAGTTTGAAGACGTGACAGATGATGAAATGGAAGACGACGAGCAGCAGCAGCAGCAGCGGTACTTCCGCGGTGGGGCGCCGAACTTCGGCGGTAATGCGCAGACGGTGGAGTGCTCGCAGCAGTAACCAGATCCGATGAAGCGCGAGGGAGCGCACATGAGCACGTCGAAGAGAGCGAACAGAGAAGGATTTCGTTGCTGCCATCCGTTGCTGTTTCAATAAGAAGGAGGAGGAGGGTGTTTGGGTGCGTGTAACGTGGGTGGGGTTTTTTTTTTTGCTGAAACAACAAAGAAGAAGTACAGAACGATGAAAAAACAAACATCGCCCAGCACACGCGTTCGTTTCCTTCATTTGCTCGTTGTTGTTACTCTGCTGTAGTGGTGTGTGTGTGAGTGTGTTGGCAACACCAATCCTGTCGTGAAGGTAATACTTATGTAAGCGTGTTCTCGCTGCGTGTTTTTGTGTTTGTTTTCGGTGGTGTATACGTAGCTGTGTTGACGTCTCCGTGAACGGTTCACGTGGAACTCACGTGGCTCTCCGCTCTTCTCCTGCATCGGCGTGGTTGTGTCGCGCTCCTCATCACTTACTCGCTTTCTTTTTGCTCTGTATTTGGTTTTCGTTTTTTTGCTGAGATACATCCTAACGCTTCTCCCTTTGTGCGGGGAGGGGTTTCCGCCGTGCGCTCCGTGTGTCTCTCTGAATACATTTATATGTAACTCTATTTGCTAAGTCAGATTTTTCTCCTGTCTTATTTGTATGTTTTTGGTAAAGAGTAACTGCCTTTAAAACCCACAAAAAAAGGTATTCGTAGGTGAGTGTTCCGAAGGGAAATTGTTACTGTGGTTGTGGACGACGACCCGCTTCGTGCCTCCGGTGCGTGAAGGGACACACACAGAGAGAGAATGCAAACAGCGGTAACACAATGTGACGGGAGCTGCACTCGCTGCCCTCTCCAGTCACTCGTCCTGGCAGCTCTGCCCTCCGTGCGCCGCTTCGCCTTTCGTTTCGACAGCCCCGCTGACTTCTCGTGCTTCATTTCCCCTCTTTACACGCCCTTCTCTTTCCTTGCCTTCCCGCAACCGTTTGACCTCACGCACTGGGCTCACCTTGGAGACATCTGCAACCGAGGCACAAGAGGACTGTTGTCCGTCAGCTGCTACCGATCTGCTATCTCAACCACACCACCACGATCACCACCGCCAGCGTCGTAAGACGAAAGCAATGCTCAAGCGGCAGTCTCTGTGGGTGCCGGTGGTGAAGCACAACCCTGCCTTTCTCGACGGCTTCCGCAGGTTCCTCACTAACAACCCCATTACCATCCTCAGCTGCTCGTTGATGAACGTAAAGCCTGAAGACATTCACGTTGCCCTTGTGCCGGACGCCCGCCACCCGTCCAAGCAGGTCGCAGCGATGATGGCCTTTCCGGTCCGGGTAGCCCCGGCGGCCTGCGACAACGTGCATGATCACGCGCACCACGACAAGCCTGTTTTACGCCGCGAGATCGCCTTCGGCTTCGCGACGACGGTCTGCGACTCATTCAATTCCCTTCACGTGATGGAGCGACTATTACCGCATTCTAATGCTCACGTGTCGGTGAACATCCAGTCGCAGATGACACGGCCGTTGCGTGAGGGCGAGACGGCGGTCGTGGTCAGCTCGATCGACAAGTTCGGGAAGCGGCTGGTGTACTGCAAGGCAGAGTTCTTTGTGGAGCCGGCTGAGGGGAGCGGTGTTCTGACGCCTGAGTTCGTAGAGCGGGAAAGGAACTTGAGGACCGTTGACGACCTGCGCGCTGCGCTGATGTATTACGAGAAGACGATGAACGGAACGCACGTGAAGTCGATCCTGCCGGATGTGAAGGCGAAGTGAATGTGTGCGAATTCGACGCGCGCGGTTTGGACGCGAAGCCACACATGAAGTGAGAGCTGAACGGGGGCTCAACTCCGCCCCTCTCCGTCTATTCCTTTCTGTTTTGTGTGACGGTGAGATTGGTGCTCCTTGCTTCTCCTTCCGTTTTCTTTGCTATATTATCGGCTTCCGTTGATCACAAGTACATCCTGATGTTTTCTTTGCCGCCGTCGCAATTGCTTCGACGTATTATAAAAAGCGGTATATCGATATCGTGGTTTAAGCGATGCCGTCGTGGGGCTGTCACGTGTGGGGGCGGTGGTGGCTCACCTGCGGACGTGCAGTGACGGCGTTTCACACGCGGGTGCGTCTGTCGGCGAGTTGTCGAAGTCCCTTATTTTTAACAGCGGCGAGATGTGTGCCGTCGCCTTTCCAGCTTTCTCTTTCTCTCTCTTTGCATCTGACGCCCTGCTTCTTCGTTCTGGCGGGACCCTCGTGCAAACGAATGCACGCACGTTGAGCAACCACTTCCTACGTGAAAGGGTAGGTATATACGTGTATATCGGATTCGTTTTTTTCTTTTCTGATACCTCACAAGAAGGTCACTTTGCGATGGCCAAGAAGAGACGGCAGCGTAGCGCCAACGCGGCCGCGGCGCACACCGCCGACGCCACCGTGTCAGCCCGACCTCTCCTAATCGCCTCCACCACTGTCGTGACCGCGCAGGAGGCGCTGCAAACCGCGTTGGAGAGGCTGGATGCGATTGCACAGGAGGCGCACGTTTACACTCGCCAATTGAAGCAAGCTGAGCTGAGCAACGGGAACAGCGCGCCAGCAGCGGCAACGCCGACGGCCTTTTCTGCTTCCTCGTCTTCGACTGTTCCGCCGCACAAGCGCCCGCGCGAGGATGGTGACGATATCACGGATAGCAAAGCAGCGCAGGCGGTGGTGGTCACCGCAGCGTCGCTCTCCAACTCCCGTCTGGACGTTTTCGCCGCCACCTCGACGTTGCAGTACCGCACGTTGTGCACCGCCGTGGCCGCCTTTGGCCTGCAGCTGCTGCCGTCCCTCGAGGACGTCTCCAAACGCGTCACGCTGGCGGTCTTGACACCCGCCTTGTCCACACCAGAGGCATGGGAAACGTTCGCGATGCTGTGCACGACGTACCGCGCAGGCATGGCACACCCTGTGAACGAGATAATGGAAAGCCTACTGCGTGAACCCGGCGTGTTGCTGCTGGACGCGCCGCAGCTCGTGCCGGCGTGGTACGCGGAGACCTACGTGCACGTGCTGCCCGGCGGCTGCGCAGCGAACACAACGACCGCGACGTTTGGCGGCCTGCTTTCGTTCGCGGAAGATCAGAAGGTGCGTGACACCTCCTCAGAGAGTGCTCCTGTGCAGCATCTCGTGCGAGTGCACACGGACCGTGCAGCGCGTAAGCTGTGTGCGTTGGTGGACATCATCTACGCCGCCGGCGGCTACGTGCCGTCGTCCACGCTGCAGCAGATGGCGCTGCGGCACGTCATGGAAGTGGTGGAGAGCGGCGTGCTGCCGTGCTACCGGAGCGCGTCCGAGTCCGGTGAAGAGACGGTGGCGGTGTTTCACACATCATCCGCCGCAGCACCAACCACACCCAGCACAAGCGGACACGCAGAAGCGAGCAGCGAGGGTGCCCAACACGTTCTGCGCTGGCGTGTGCCGCCGGCCTGGCACGCGGTGTGCCTGCAGCTGCTGGAAGCTTTCATCTTCACTATCCACCCTGCGGTGCCGGCGCAGCTGCTCGTCGCCGTGTCACACATTATGAACGTCGTGTCGGCCCGCTTGCACCGTGGTGTTCCGGTTCTCTGCGACGACGATGCTCCTTCTACAGAAGAGCCGAATGAGGGAGCAACGAAGGAGACGATGGCGCCGCCGTTGCCGGTCTCACACGCAGTCAACGCAGCGGTGGTGCGCCTGGGACACGTACTGCACCTCCTACAGCACCCGGTGGTGCTCGCACCCTATCAGCCGCCGCAGCTTACGTTGGAGAAGGCGAAGCGGCGTGTGTGGAGTGTCGACACAGAAGCGACGGCTTCGACTCCGACGGCGACCGCAGTAGCAGTGGTGGAACAAAAGGACGCGTCTCCGCCAACGTCTGCGCAGACGGCGGCGGCGGTTCCGGTCGCTCCTGTTCAGGCACCACCCACCTTAGGCGCCGCACCCGTCACAGCAGCTGCACCGCCGACGCCGAGCAGCGCGCCGTCTGTTGAGCGAACGCAACTTGCGGTGAAGCCGACTCCTGCTGTCCCACCAGCTGCGACGCCCGCAGCACCTTCGCAGCAGCCCTCTCCTGCATCAAAGGTGACAGCGCATAGCAGACAGAATGAGGAGGAGGAGAATGAGGACATCCCAGACGTTGTCCTTGAGGATTGATGTGCAGCCTGCCGGGCCGTAAGGGGCAGCGGATGATGGCCGTGTTGGGGAAATAATAAAACTATTTTTCTCTCTTTTAATCTCGACTAAGGAGTTGGCGACGAGTAGGCAGCGGGAGGCCGTTGTGTGTTGCGAGGCTGTCACGTCGTCGCGTAATAGTAACATAAAACTGTTGGTGGTTTTCGGAGCGTACCGGATGGGCCGTGCGTGTCGCCTGCAAGAAGGTAAAGCCACCGATTTGCTAGTGTTCTTTGGAAGGGGTTGGTTGGGCGCGCCTTTTAACTGTCGGGTACGAGCGCTCAGCCGTGCTCGCAACTGCGGATTTCAGCTTGCTGTTTACGTTGCGCCGAAGAGCTTGCTGCTCTTCGTATTTCCCCTGAGTGCGGCGAGCTTTTTGCAGATTGCTGTAAAGAGCGATGCCGCGAGGAAGCAAAGAAGAAAAGGATGAAAACAATAGCGGGCACAGGCAGACACACTTTCCTTCCGCCTACTTCTTCTACGACACACACACACACACACACACACACACATCCATTCGTCTTCTACTCACTTGAAGTTCCTTCGTTGTTGCTTTGTTTTGTTTGTTTGTTTGATTCTTCGAAACGATGTTGCGCCGAGTCGCCTTTGCCGATCTGCCACGCGCGCCCCGGTCGGTGCGCGTCCTCCACCACACCAGCGGCGGGGTCGTCATCGCCGCCGTGGCGTACGACCCGACACCGACGCTGACCCCCACCTCCCCCTCTCCCCCTCCGCCTCCGGGACCGCTCTTTTTCAGCGTAGTGGAGATGCCAGCGCCGAATGAGCGCGGGTTGCCGCTGCGTGTCGTGCACGTGCGGGTGCCGCAGCCGTCGACGGCGGTCAACTCTCTCACTCTGCTGCGCAGCGCGGATGGCGAGGACGTGTACTTGGTGGTGCAGGCGGTGGAAGCGGTGCCCACGCCTCCTCAGACGCAGTTCGGGGTATCGCCGAAATCTGTCACCACGTACGTGTACCGTCGGCAGGTGGTGAAGGTGGAAGCCGCAGGCGCGGATGCAGATCGTGACGGCGACGCGGAGGGTGAGTGGTCACAGGCGGAGAACGGCAACGTTGAGGGGGCCGATCTTGTTTCGTCGCCTGTCTCCGCCGGGGCAGCAGGAAGCGGGCAAGGCAACGGCACGGCCCACACAGCCGGTGTGCGGATACGCTATCAGCGACTTCCGCGCACGGTGGCAGACGCCGACGGTCCGCTATGGACGGCCGCGACGGCCTTCAGCGCAGCGGAGACGCCCATTTTCGGTGCCTCGGCACAAGCAGCCGCACCAGCGGCGGGGACAGGAAGTGTGGCGCTGGTGACGGCGAGTGCTGCGGTGGCGGCTTCGTCGTCCGCGAACCAGCTGCAGCTGTGGTGCCTCACCGGCACCCGCCTGGCGCTGGCGGCGACGTACCAAATCCCTGCTCTCTCTGGGTTTCCCATTTCACAGATTCTCACCGTGCCGGGTACACAGGACGCTGTCTTGCTGCGATGTCACAACAGTGTAGTGGAGGTGGATGTTGCGGCGCTGCGCAGCGGCTGTGCGCACTACCCACACATCGTCACTACGAATGCGTTATTGACGCGTGCCTGGCGATTGTCGCCGCACGATCGGCTGACTTCCTGCGACACGAAGGACGCGCTGCTGTACGCCGGCACTGAGGCGGGCGACGTCGTCGCATGGGACCTTCGCACGCCAACCTCCTCCGCAGCCAACGCGCAGCCGCTGACAAGCCGGTCGATCGGAGTGCCCATCACCGGCCTGTACGCGCCGTACGCCACAGGCTTCATCACGTGCGACGCGAGCGGCGGCGTGCGGGACTGGGTGGAGCGGGGCGACATGGCAGAGGAGGATATGCACGAAGGCACAAACGACGGTGCGGCGGCCTCGTCGCAGTTCCCGTACTGCTCGCGGGTGCCGGTGGAGTCGCCGAACGGGTTGGAGGGCTGCGTGGCGATGGAAGGGCACGACAACTTCGCGGCGGTGGTGACCGAAGGGGGTCGCCTGAGCCTCTATTTTTGTAGTTGAGCAACTTGGGTCGTCGGGTCACACACCCTACTCGTTATCCACGGCGGGATAACGCTCACTGGACAGTCTTGCTGAAGGATACGCCCTGCAATACCACGGGTCAGCACACGGAAGCAACCGTACCAATTCAAGAAAGCCGGCCGGGCTCCTGAAGAAAGACTGCAGGCGTGCCTCACAAGACCAGCACGGTTGCAGAACGCCGCACCTCTCTCCCTCTGTCTTCAACGTCGAAGGAGCGGTTGTGTTAAACGGGAGATCGGGAGGCGCAGAAGTGCTGTACCGACGAGACGGCTGTGAAATCCAAAGTAATTCTCCTCGTTGGAATAAAGTCACCTAAAGAAAGAAAAAAGGACAGAGAGTCGACGCGCTTTATTGTTATCACGGGCAACGTGTATTGCTCTTGCTCAGGCAGCTGAGGAGCCGAGCTTCTAGTGCAAGGCGTACTCCGGCTTGTGACGTGGCATGCCTTGCTGCACCTCTAACCCCTCCTTCCTCCCTCTTTCTTTCTTGGCTTTGCTGCCTTGTAAAGCTCCATCCTATGTCGGCTTTAACGTCCTCTACAGACTCCACAGCGGGTCGGAGCAGCAGCGGCGGCACCAACACCGGATCGACATCCACGGCTGTTTTTTTGCGGTACTACGTCCCTTTGCCGCTGCGTGTGGTGAACGAAGACTATGCCCTTGTTGCCGGGTTTCTCGGTGGTATTGTGATCTTCGCCGTGTACGTGAGCGTGCTGGTCTGCTTGCGGTGCCTGCAGCAAGCGCAGATGCGCCGGCCATCACTCGCACCCGCACAGCCGACCAACAGCAACCGTAGAGAACTGCGTCCGCGCGGCGTGGAGGGGGCGCTCACGCGTCACGCGCAACAACCGTCACAGCAGCAGCAACGGCCGCCACAGCCCCCACCACCAGCAGCAGCAGCAGCAGCAGCCGAAAGCAGAGGTGATGTTTCTGTGCAGCGTCTTTACGGTGCGCCATCGACCGTCGCGGTGCACTACGCACGCGGGATGCAGCCCCTGCACGCCGCCGGCCCTCCCACGAGCCCACCGCCACCACCACCACGGTAAAACAGAAAACAAAGAAATATAGAGAAAGAGAAAGGGGGAAAACAACGAAGACACTCCTTTATGTATTGCAAATGCTCGGTGAACCGACGGCACCGCTTTCCGCGTGCGCGGTGCGCTGTCTGTGGCTCTTTCGCCTTCTGCGGTTGCGCCTGCTGGCCTTCCGCCGCGCCGCGTCTGGCGTTTCGATTCCTCCTGTCTTCCCCCCCCCCCTGTTCTTTCGCCCAGGCCTTGGACCCCCTCTGCCGAGATGGGCTCTGAGGAAAAAGTTCGCAAACAGAAGGGTTCGAACCTTCGCGTGAGATCACACCTGCTTAGCAGGCAGGCGCCTTAACCACTCGGCCATATTTGCTTGCCCCGTGAAGGGGGCAAAATTAACGTCCATGATACATCCGGGACTCAGCGCCGGGCCAGGCGTTTCCCCGCCGCCTCGCGGGTGGCCGAGGGGCGGGGCGCCGAGCCCAACCCCTGACGGAAAAGCCGAAGGGGCAACACCCGCGCAAAAAGGCCGAGAAAACGCACCGCGGGAAGAAGAAGGGAGATCGCAAAGGTGGCGGAAAACGAACGCAGAACGCGCCGCCGAAAACTGCAGACAACGCCGTCAGCGAAGCCTTCCTTTTTTCGTTGCGCGTGCATGGTGCTGCAGCACATTCGCCTTGACATTCGCGCGCTTCGCGGATGACTCAAATAACGGTGGGGCAAAGCCCACGGCTTTTGTTTTCGTCTTCGCTTTCACCGTTTCTTCGTTGGTACGTCTGGGTATAATACATGAGAAAAGAAGTAAAAACAAATCACCGCTCCTATGAAACATCATCGCAAAGCCACTACAGTTGCCCTGGTACATCAATCGTACACACATCACAAAAAGAGGGGATTCTTTAAAAGCCTTTAAAAAAACTACGCAGCACGCAGCATGGACAGCTCCTCCTCCGCCTTGCCACGGAGCACTTCGTTACCACCGCCCTCCGCGGCTACCACAGTCAGCAGCTGCTCCGCCTCCTCCCACTGCTGCGTGTCCATCAGCGCGTGGGCCAAGTGGTACTGCGTGGACGGCAGGAGGGACGCAGCGGCCGCAGCAGCAGGTGTCGAATTTTCCTTCTCCTTCCTCAGCTGCGCACGGGCTAGTGCTGCGGCGCGGCGCAAGCACACGATGCTCAGCTTCGGATACGACGCGGTGTTTAACAAGGTGCGGCCCAGCTCGGCCCACAGCGCAGCGTCGTCCAGGCTCAGACCCATCACCTGCTCCACCATTTCCTCTACACCCACGTGCTGCAGCCGCACCGAGAGCAGCGTGAGGTACACCCACGTCCGCGCGTTCATCGGGTTTAGCGTGTTGCTCTCCTGCAGGCACTCTTCGGCGGCGGTCAGGTCCCCTGTGCGGTAATACGCGATGCCCGCGCCAAGCCACAGCAGCGAGCAGCACGGCCACACCTGGAGAGCAAGCGTCGTGGCGCCCAGTGCGTCCTTATACCGGCCCTCTGCAAGCAGCGCGTTGCACAGGCACAAGTACGCGCGCAGGCGCTGCACACATGTCGCCTCAACTCGGCGCGCCTCCGCAAGCTCCGTGGCGCTAGTGGCGCTGGTGGTGCGCCGCGCCGCTGCATCGTCGCGCCAGCGGGCGGCCACCTGTGGCAGGTATCCAGGCGCCGTCGCCGGGTTTCCGTGGGCGAGGGCCTGCTTGTACAGCGCGACGGCCTCCGCGGTTTGCCCGAGCGCGAAGACGCACTCCGCACGCAGCAGCACGCACGTGTCCGCCGCTTCTCGTACATCGGTTGTGCTCGTGCTCTTTTCGACCTCGTCCAGCGCCTTTAGCGCCTCGTCGCACTGCCCGCCCTGAGTAAAGAGTTCAGCGTACAACAGCTCCACGCGTGGCTCACCAGGGCGGCAGCGGGCGAGGCACACGTTCGCCAGGTCCCGGTGGTGCAGCTGCACGAGATAGGCCGCCACGTTGAGGTACACCTGCTCCTCGGAGAACGTGCTCGTGGAAGCCGCAGATCCGTTTTCTTTCAGCTCCTGCTCCATGCACTCCACCGCGCGGCGCACCGCAAGATTGTGCTCGCGACGCCACTTTGCCTGCTCCGCCGCCGCGTCCGCGCTGCCGACGCGCACCGCCAGCTCACGCAGGTCCGCCAAGAGGGCGACGCAGCCCCAGCCGAGCGCGTGCTGCGGGGCGACATCCACCAGGCCGTGCAGAAACACACTCGCCTCATCCAACCGGTCGTTCGCGAGCAGCCACGCGCCGTAGTCCAGCAACGCCGGGACGCACGCCACATCGCAGGCGATGGCTTCGCGGTAGCACTGCTCCGCCTTGGCCAGCTCCTCCACGCGTTGGTAGTGCAAACCGCAGTCGATCCACAGCGCGGCCCAGCTCGCGGCGTCCCCACTGTGGGTGGCGAGCCGGCTGTGGTAGAGCGTCCCTGCGAGACCGACTTCCCCGCTGACTTCGGCCTCCAGCGCACGCCAGCGCAGCTCCGCATCCCTCGTCTCTTCTTCCGCCGTCGTGGCCTTGACGGCGTCGCGGTGGCTGCTCTCTCCGTTGCTGCTTGCGTCTCCGCCCTCCACGGCCTCGCACAGGGTGGCATGTAGCATGTCCATCAGTTGCACATAGAGCTCGTTGCTTGCTCGTGCAACCTCCTCCGGGCACGCGGTCGGGTGCACACGCAGGCGCTCCTGCACCAGCTCCGTCACGAGGGGCGTGAGGTGGCTCTTGAAGGCGGCGAGTTGGCCGGTGCTCTGCAGCGCGGCGACAAACTGCGCCCGCCACGCCGCGCTGTCCACGCTGCCCTTCGCACTCTTACTCGCATTTGACAGCGCCGTCTCGTGAGCGACCTCGCGCACGTCGCGCAGGAGTTGCTGTGCGATGTCTCTCAACGTGCATTGTAGCCGCGTCCGCACGTCCGCGGCGGTGGCGGCCGCCAGCGTTGGTGTCGGTCGCGAAGGGATGAGCTGGGCGGGTGTCGCGGCTGGCCGAATGCGGTCGCTGACAAGCGGGGTTAGCGTGCGCTGAAAGGTGAGTTTCAAGGAGGCGCTCGTGCCGGCGAGGGTGTACGGGTGCGGCGCGCTGCGGTCTGGCTCGTCGACGAGGAGGCCCGGCACCGTCTGACGTACCTTGCGGGGGACCGTCCGCTTTTTGCTACCCTTGTCTTGCTCAGCAGCTGACGCCGCTGCGGCCCCGCTGTCCGAGAGCACCGCCGCGCCTCCCGTCATCCCACTTACAATGGATTCGGCGCCTCCCATGCAATAGAGGTGAGCGGGTTGCAGAGGCACCTCCGCGGACAGGTGCGTCGAACCTGGCATCGACAGACTCTGCAGTGAAACGGGAATGACCGCTTCGTAGTACGCGGCGTTCAAGTCCTCCCACTCAACCGGACAGCCAGCACGCAGGGTGCGACGGAAGCGCAGCTCCAGCGGCTTCCCGGCGTTCAGCAAGGTGTCAAGGTGCGCCTCCTGCGCAGCCGTCAGCGGCACCCGCACGACGCACGGCGGCGGCTCGCTGACATCCGGCAGCGGCGGCGGTGGCGCACCGGGCACGGCAGCAGCAGCAGCCTGGGCAGCGGCGGTGTTCGCGGCGGCGGCGGCGGCGAGGGCGGAGGCGGTACCGCTCCTCCCTGACCCCGCCGACGCACCAGCCCCGGCACCGCCGGACAGCTTCATCCGGCGCTTCGCCGCGAGGAGTCCCGAGCTGCCGCTGCCGCCGGTGAAGGAGCTGCTATTGGTGTTTGCCTCAGCGCCGTCCGTGCGGTCCGTCACGACCCACAGAATAGCGGGTTGTTGCGGCGGCGGCGGCGGCGCAGCATCCTCAGGTGCTGAGGCGGGGGCGGCGTCTTCGTTCACCTTCTCCTCTGCGCCTTCCTTCGCTGAATCCGCCGAGTGGCGAACGGCTTCCGCGTCGATAGCCGCCGGCACGTCTCGCAGCGGCGCAGCGTCATCCTGGCCGCTCACGGGCGGTGCCTCGGCGTTGGCAATGTACGCGGCGTACGCCGGCAGCGGCTGCAGCACGCGGCCACGTGTGAAGACGGCTGCGGCGGGGACTCCGCTGTCTCCCTCCGCCGTCCCCGCCGCAGCGCCGTCCTGCGTGTGAGGCGCACCGGCCGCGTTGGTCACCGCCGCGGCGGTTTCGGAGTTCGTGGCATCGGCCGGGAGAGACAACGTCACCTCGTAGCGAAACGGGTGGTAGGCGTAGGCCACCTCTGCCTCGTCCTCCTCCTTGCCGGGGAGGTGGGCGGCGCTGGCTGGCACATTTGCTTGCACGCTGCCGCCGGCGATGCTGCACGAGGAGAGACCCGCGCTGAGCCAGTCCGCTGGCAGGTGATGGACACCCTCCAGTTTAATGTCCATGTAGTTTACATAATCGGCGGGGGGCGTGGCAGGAGGGGCGGCGGCGATGCTGGTTGTTCCAGCTGCGTCCATGGAGTCTGAGTTGCCCAGCGTAGCGGAGAGAGGCCGAGCCGCGGCAGATTCCGCTGTGCTCGACATGTTGGGGTCACGCCTTCTCTGTTGTGATTGTTTTACTATATCTGCAACGGGGTACGAAAACCAGGTCGTGTGTGGGTGTGGGTGTCTGCGCGTTACCGTGTTGGGGCAGCGCACAACTACTTCTCTTTCTTTTACCGCACGAAGCGTTCCACAACAGCTGAACTTCAGTAACGCAGCTCAATAACAGAAAATGAAGAATAGAAGAGGCGGAGGAAAAGAAGACGGTGACAGAGAGAGCAGAAACAGTGAAATGACACAGTAAGGCGCCAGCGACCGAAGAGGCAAACGCTTGACCAAGCCTTTGCAAGCTGACGGCAGGAGAGAGAGAGATGAAGGAAGCAAGACTGCCGGCGTAGCCATTTAAGTCAGCAAAAGACGAAGACGACGACGACAAAGCGAAGACTCTTGCATCATTCTAAACCTTCTTGGACATTTACTCTGGTTTGATGAGCTGCAAAGTACCGAAGGATCGCAGCACGCCCGAGAACGAGGCTTGTTCGTCGGCACCATCGCTCCATCCTTCATGTTTTTAAGTATTTTTGATTGCTTATTATTACGTCAGACTTTAAAAACAAAAAACGCGACCAACAGTACAAGAACGATACGGTACGAAAGAGCGGTAACTGATGCTGCCCTCGGTGCCAAACAAACCGCCTTTACTCGCCGTCCTGATGGTTGGTGGCCTTTCGTCACGTACACGACGAAGACAAATAATATTAAAAACCATGAGCGCGTCTCGCCCTCTCCCTTTACCCGAACAGTTAACCAAGACGCAAATAATCGTCAATAACAGCGAAGAACTAAAATCCAACTGATCACGTTTGGGAAACAGAAACACGTATGTCTGGAAACGTTCGTGAAGACGCTACAAGAACGCCTTCGTGCAGCGGACGATTACCGGCGCTGGAGGTGACAGAGCAACAGCACGCACAGAGGAAAAATATAAGAGAGCAAAAGTAAGAAGAGGAGAGGCAGTGGACGGTGCACGAAACGTTGAACGTAAGACGGGCTGAGGAGGACCACATAAGGGCACACGGAGAACCTTTCCTCTTCATTTCTTGTCTTGCTCCTCTTGGTTGCCTCTCGCGGGGCGGCTGCTTAGCGACCACCGCGGTGGCCCCCACGGCCACGGCCACCACGGCCGCCACGGCCACCACGGCCACCACGGCCACCGTGCTGCGCCGCCCGCTCAGAGATCTCCTTCTCCACGCTCTCAATCAACGCCTTCTCCTCTTCCTCACTCAGCTTCGTGACGGTCGGCTGCTTGCCCTGCAGCGTCGCCGCACGCGCCTTCACCGACTCCACCATCTTCTCCGCCGTCTCCGCATCTTGGAAAATGATCAACGCCTCCTCCTTCGTCGGCATGAAGACGTAGCGGACGCCGCGCTGCTCCTCGGACGGCCACAGTCCCTTCACGTCAGAAAACTTCGCGATCTCGCCGCAGCCGGCGATGCGGTAGCTGCTGTTTGTCGGCATCGCCGGTGTGCGCGGCGCGGCAGTGGTCGCGGCGGCGGCGCCGTCCTCCCCCTCGCGGCCACGCTTGCGGTTCTTGTTCTTCGCCGCCATCTGCGCCGCCTTCTCCTCCAGGTAGGCGCTCTTCATCTGCGCCGTCAGCTGCACGCCGTCGTACTGCGGTGGCGCAGCAGCAAACTTCTCCGCGTCGTCCTTGCTGGAGAAGACGACAAACACGGACGGCTTCGTGCGGCTCTCCGCAGGGGCGTCTTTGTTGCCGCCTTGGAAGTAGCGGCGCCACACCGCCAGCACGGTACCGTAGGCGCTAAAGAATTCCTGCAGCTTCTCAAGAGAGGCGGTGGCGGGCACGGGCTTCACGTACACCGTCTGCTCGTCCGTCTGGATCGACTCCGGCAGCGGGTCCTTGCGGCGCACGGACAGGCCCTCCGTGTGCATCACCAGCTTGTCGCTGCCGGCCAGGGCCTCGGCGATCACCTTCGCCTCCTTGGTCAGGCTATTCAGGCGGTTGAAGGTGAGAAGAACGTCGAGCGCAACGAAGCCTTCGGGGTCCTCGGCCATCTTCGACTTGAGAAACACATCCTTCGCGATGTTCACATCGCTGAAGTAGAACTCCACCTGACGGCGAATCCTAGCGGCGAGGTCAGACATGGTGGCGGGGGACGGAGAGAAAGAAAAAATGAGCTTTTGTAACGACGGGATGAAACAGGCGAAGAGCGGGCGAAGAAAACTGAAAGGGGGGAGAGGGGGTGCGTGTACGCAACAAACATCAATATAAATATATAGTGGGTGGTACGTGAGAGTTCGAATGCCGCGAGAGTGGGAAGGAAGAAGAAGAGCGATGAAAGCGCAGAAGGAGAGCAGCGGGTGAGAGATGAACGCAACGAGGACTCTCTTTTTTGCTTTAAAGTGCGTCTTCAAAGAAAGGAGCTGCGTACGTCACGCATCGAGCAGATGCTTTCCGCGTACACAATACGAAACAAAAAAAAAAGATTAGAAGCGGCCGCACCGGTGTCGCTCGCAGCAAACGACGGTAGAATCTACGTCTACCCGGGATACAGCCTTCCCCCCCCCCCTTTCCTCTTGCTTTCGGCCATCAACTTGGACGATCGAATCGTTTCTGTGGGGTGCGAAGACGTCGACGCTGCTGAGCTAAGCAAACCGAAGTGCAGATAATTATTTATACTGATAAAAAAATAATATATATGCACGACATTCGTATACAAATAGAGTTCGAGAATCCATCTTTTTAGGGGGGCTTCTCCGTTTGTGCTGGTCGCGAAGGAGAACAGTTTAGCCTCCGATAAGCACGCAGCCTTTCTTTTTGAGGGGGTGAGTGTGAAGGCAAATCAGCGCGGAAGAACACAACGTTCAACTTTTATTAACCAGAAAAGAAAAAAAAAACATCGAAAACAAGAACAGTTAGGATTGGAGCAACTCACAGCAACGTGAAAAAAATGAATCCGAAGGTGAATTCGAAGAGCGCGGCCGCTGCAAAAACCACACAACACAGCAGTGTCTCGTAACGGCCCTACAGCCTTGTAAAGCTTCTCGCAAATCGTCCATTTTCAGCCCCGCTTCGACGCATTCACACGCGCACGATCACGCAAACACAGCGGCTGAGAAGCGAAGAAACGAAGCCGATCGAAAAGAGAACGTTGCCAGTCGGAAGAGCCCCGAAACAGAGCGGCGAACGCGAAGAAAAAAAGGCATCGTTTCGATCCAAAACGGACAACTCAAGAAAGCGAGCCACACAAAACAGCGGCATTTGAATTATTACTGGTGCTTTTGTCATTATCTGCGTGCAATTCAGCTTAAATCCAACGAGTCGAGGACAACACCTGCGACAGACTACAGTAATCCTAAGCGGCAATATGCACGCAACGCCAACGTTTGGCTGCACTGCGTTTGCGCCTCTTACGCCGCTTTGCACACGCACACGCCTGACTGCCCGTCACGCGTGGGTTTCCCGTTCCTCTACGAACAAGCACAAGTACAAAATTACTCCTTTAAAAAAAAAATTGAAGACCCCTCAGAAAACCAAAAATAATAATAATTATAACAGACCAATCGCCTCCGGATTGTGTCATGGGGCGTGAATCGTCGCGCTGGGTTCGGCCAGCATCGACGTCTGGGGAGGCGGGCGACCAACACGACGCACCCCCACAAAACAAGCACAATAACAGTGAAAACATACGAATAAACCAAAACAGCCAGAACACGCGAAATACACGCGCAACAGCATGAAAGAGTTGTGTGTGCTTTTACACCGGCGCCACCTCACCGTCTTTAACGGTATAGAGAGGCTTTTAGTTTACTTCGAACGAAACTGCACCTGCATCGTCGAGCGAAGCGACAGGAGGAAAAGGATGGGGGAGAAGCGTTCCTGCATGGCGCTCCGAGTTCATTGCCCTTTTGCGCCCTGGCAATCCATCTGCGCTGAGGCCGACCTGCGTATGTGCGCCTGCGTGCCTCGTTGCTTCTTAGGCCGTCTTCTTCGCCTTCGGCTTCGGGATGTACATGGTCGAGATGAGCTTCTTCAGCAGCTTCGTGTCGCTCACGCTCTTGTACACCGGAGTGGCCTTCAGCACCACGTTGTAGACGTCCCCGTTCGGCGCCGCCGCCGCAGGCGCAGCAGCACGAGCAGCCGCCTTGGCCGGAGCCGCCGCGCCGGTGGAGGCAGCAGCAGCCGCATGTTGCTGCAGCGCACGCGCCGGAGAAGGTGCGTTGTAGTCGAAGCCCGGTTGGCCCGCGAAGTCTGACTTCATGAAGCGGCCGTCCTTGCCGGAAGGAGCGATGGCGGCGAGTGCGCTCGGCTCGAGGCCGGCGGCGATCCGCACCACACTCGGCCCGCTCGCCGCCACGGCCGCGTCGACGGAGCCGCCGTAGTGCTTGGCGGAGAAGGCCGCTGCAGCAGCAGCAGCAGCCGGTGGAGCAGCAGGAGCAGCAGCGGCAGCAGGAGCAGCGGCGGCAGCACCTGCCGGCGGTGCACCAGCGGCATCCGCCGGATAGTAGTTCGCGACCTTCTCCACATCCGCCGCGTCGCTCACCATCATAGCGATCGTCTTCGCTACCTCTGCGGACTGGCCGTTCTCGCAGTAGATCTTCGCGAGGTAGCCGGGCTCGAAGGTGTTCGTGTAGTCCACCACGGCCTTGTCGGTCTGGATCGTGCAGAAGACCTCATTCTCCTTCACCAAGTCACCGACTTTCTTCTTCCACTCTACGACGGTGCCGGCCTCCATGGAAGGGGAGAGGGCCGGCATGAAAACTGGCTCGCAGTTCACGCCCTCCGGAGGCTCAGAAGAGCCGCTGCCGGCTGGTGCAGCAGCAGCGGGAGCCGGGTCAGCAGCAGCAGGAGGGGCGGCAGGGGCTGCGGCCTCAGCAGCCGGTGCCGCCGCCGCCTCCTCTTCGCCCTCCGGCACGTACTCGCCTGCCTTCCCCAAGTCTGCCGCGTCATCAACCATCACTGCAATCGTCTTCGCCACCGCCATCGTCTGGCCGTTCTCGCAGTAGATCTTCGCGAGGTAGCCGGGCTCGAAGGTATTCGTGTAGTCCACCACGGCCTTGTCGGTCTGGATCGTGCAGAAGACCTCATTCTCCTTCACCAAGTCACCGACTTTCTTCTTCCACTCTACGACGGTGCCGGTCTCCATGGAAGGGGAGAGGGCCGGCATGAAGACGGCCTCGAAGTTCACGAGCCAGCAGAGGGTACGGCGCATCATTGTTTTCTTTCGCTGATGCGTCTCGACCTACTGGTAGTAAAAATTTGATAAGTATATTAAATTTGTTTTTGAGGTTAAGGAGGGCTTAGAGTACTTAAAAAAGGAGAATCAAGTAGTGACAGGACGATGCTTCTATCGCTGATGCTGTTAGGAGCTCGATCAGCCTCGACGAGACAGTGAATTGGCCAATAGGAAGTGGAGACAACTAACATAAGTGCAGTCGACACAGGGAGGGAGAATGGGAAAAGGCAACGGGAGGAGAGGGATAGGGAGGAGGCGGTGAACGGTGTTAGAGAAACTTTTAAAAAAATAAACGCGACTTCGGACAACACCTTTGAACCGAAATTATCGTGTAAGGGAGGGGAGGAACGGAGAGGCACATTCCACTGACCAGTCAGAGCGGCCTATGCAGGGTGCAAAGGCCATCAGTAAGTAGCCGGTTTGTTTTTTCCTTCTCACTCCTTTGTCTGTGTACTCTTCTTCTTTTGGCATCTCCACGGCTTCTTCTAGATGCCGCTTCACACGATTGTGCCGTTGTGTTTTACCACGTCTGCCACCGCGTGACATCGTCTTCTAAGTATGGTTCAGCAATGAAAAAACAAAAGGGAGGCACGCAACGATACGTGCAAGTGACCAGACGACGGGGACACGCGTAGCGAGACTTCATTGAAAGAGAAAAAAACAAAAGAGGAGAGAGAGAGATCAACAGAAGTGTGCTCGGGTCACTTTATTACTTACGAGCACTAAATCCAAAGACGTCCATCGGCAGCAGCACCGTTTTTAGAAAAAAAAAAAGAACTTGGCGCTGAGAGATAAAGGGGAAAGAGAAGAAGAGGCAGACAACACACTCACAAGCAAAAAGCGCGTTCTGCGCTCAGCAGCGCTTTTAAAGAAGGATCAAGAAAGATTCTCCACTTTTTCGCTGTCGCTGCACGTTCTCCAACCAGCAACGATCACCCGTGTCGTTGTTCTCAACGAGTCCGTCCGCGTCCGCAGCACCAAACGCATACGTGCGTGTATGCGTGTGCGTGAGTGCGTGTGTTTGTTAAATGGCCAGCAGCAAGATAATCAGCACCACAAGAAAGATCACAATGGAGTAAAAGCCGCGATTTTCACTCTCCTTCAGCAATTGAACCACATTTTGATTCTGCCGACGGCTCTCATCGGTGGTGCGGGTCACGTTACCGTGCAGCTGATCGAGCATCTGATCCTGTTCGCCCAGATCATCACCGATCTGAATTGCGTAGTGTCGCGTGTTCATCACGGAGGCATGCAGCTGGTCGAGCAGCTGATCTTGCGTGCGCACCTCCTCCTGCTGGGCATAGACGCGCTCTGACATGACTCCGCTACAGCTGTAAAAAGATAGAAAAGAAAACAAGAAGAAGAGGACGGAAAGCAAAAAATTGTTAGGCGAATAAGGAATGCAACTTCGTCTCACAAGAAGAAAGCAAGCGCAGTGCGACGGCTGCGTCTGCGAAGGCACGATCGAAGGGAGCTGCGTGTAGGTGTTCCTCTGCGACACTTGCGTGGGGGGAACATAAAGCAACAAAAGTGCTGAAGAATATGAAGAAGAGGGGAGAGAGATGAAGTGGCAGAAAAGAAGAAGCAGTGCCCATCGGCTCTGCCAACGTAAGAGGGTGACGCCAGCATCAAGTAAGTCGTTAACAGAACAAGAAACAAGAGAAAGCCATGGAAGCGATGAGTGGTTCACACTACCCTGTCCCACATAACGTAGATTCTGCGGAGCTACTATGAGAACGAAAAGAAAAAACCGGCACATCCAAATACCACTCTGATGTGGAAGAGAAAGAGTAAGGGCGCGCATTCAACGCCCAATGCTGTTCAACGCTGCTCCGGTGCGGAGTGAAGGCGTCCGCGCTTATAGCGACATTCTTCTCCCACTTCGACTTCAGATTTCCTTTTGTGTGGTGGCTGCTGATGACGATGATCATTGTACAAGAGTGAAAAACAAAAGGGGTGGCAAAACAAACCCGCACGCACACAACAACAAAAAAGTACAGTGCGTGGCAACTTGGAAAGGACGTTTGAAGAATAATAGAGAAGAAGAAAAGCTTTCGACGCATCCTTGACGAATGACCCAGGTAAGAACACGTTCATTGTCGTCAGTGGCGCTTTTCTTTGACACCTCGCTTCTCTATGTCGCCGACACTCTTCACCGGAGAGTGGCCGGGGGGAGTCTTTTTTATTATTATTTCTTCTATGCAGTCACTCATACGAAGGCGTGTGCGCAGGAGCTCTCCCCGACGCCAACGGCAGAGACCGCTGAAATACATGTGCATTCAAGTGAATCGATTACCTCAGCACCCGCACACACGCACACACGCACATGCATTTACGCCTACAAAGGGTGCATTACGACTTCATCATGTAGAGGCTCTTCTGTCGCCGTGTCTTGCGTATCCATTCCTCCGCAGCGATGGGCAGCCACTCCTTCATGAAAAGGCGCACCCCACGCGGCAGCGTTCGCGAGTGCGCCGAGACCACCACACCCTTTCCACCCCCGTTTTTCCGGCACCCACTGCGTGTTGACGGAGTCTGCGCCGCTCCTTTATTGCCGCAGCCGTTCGTCTTGCTTACTGGAATGATCGACGCGCCCAGCGCCAGCTCCATCTCGTGCAGGCTTTCCTGCGCGTAGATGCAGAAGGCGTCGTACTCCGCCGGCGGCAGCTGACGCGCGAAGGCCTCCATCGCGTCCGTTTCCATCCGCACGAGATGTTTCTTCTGTGGTTGAGGCTGCTTTCTTTGCTTTTTCTCACAGCGCTGTTTAGGAGGGGTGTTGTGTGCTGTGTGAGAGGCTTCTACACGAGCAGCGGCATCCCGATTACCCTCACGAGATCCGTTGGCGAGCAGCGGCGTGACTATTGCGGTTGCACCTCTGGTACGCGGAGCGCTCTGCTTGCTGGCGCGAGCGTGCAGTCGATGACGAGCAGGCACGACGGCAACCGCCGCAGCGCGCTTCTCGGGCTTCCCGTTTCCCGCCTTGGAAGCAGCACCGGAAAGAGCGAGCTTTGCCAGTTTCGACGTGCGCGTGTTTGCCGAAGTGAGAGTCCGTGTGCGGCTGCGACGACTCTTGGCGGTGCGCATCGCCCTCGACGGGGCTTCGACGGGGTCAACTCGCGGTGGCACGTGCGCGCGGAAAATGCCGGCCAGTTCGTTAAACGCATCCTTCTTTGTCGGCGGCAGAATCGCCCAGGCGCTCGACAAGTCCGCCAGCAGCACCGGCAGCGGTACATCCAGTCGATTCGCGTCTGCTGCCACGCAGCCCATCGCGTAGACGCCGAACCCGCTGACTTGCTGCGCAGGAATTCCATGCGCCAGAAACGCATCCACCGTCGGCGGGGAGACGAGTTGGGAGACGGCCATTAAGTCGGTGTTGGTGAGGTACTTCAGGTGTTCGCGGGTGCCTCGCAGCACCTGCTGCTTCAGCTTCTCGCGGCACTGCTCCTCCACCAGCATCAGCCGACGAACGTGGCTCTCGTGGGCGACGACCTCACGTGCCCAACGACGCTGCGCGGCCTTCATCGCACGCAGGTACACCGTCAGCTCCTCTACGGCATGCTTGCCCTCGGCTGTCGTGTTGACAACGGAGACGGTTCTGCCGAGCTGCCGCGTGGGGAACATCGTTTTTCCCCCTTTTCTTTTCTTTGGCAGCGAGCGTCCGCGTGTGCCTCCGTTAAATCGGCGTCTCTCGCGGGCCGTGAGAAGAAAAGGCAAAGGGCTGACGTCGATAATGTCGATGACGCTCGATTCCTTTTCTTAATGAAACGAAAAAGGAAAAGAAAACGCAGGAGTGTTGCGGTGGTGGAATGGGTCGAGTGCAATGCCTCAGCGCTGATAAGCGCACACGAAGAGCACTAGCGGTCGCTCCTCTGAGAAACAGATGAACACGGAGGGGACGGGGAGTAGAAGACCTCCTCGCGCTTCTTCTTCTTCTTTCCTCCCTTCGATAACTCTTTTGTCAGAGAAAGAGATGACGACCTCGTCAACTTGGTTACGGAGAACGAAAGGGAGAAGAAAAGAAAAAAGGTGGAGCGAATTGCGAGCAGCACGGCTGATGGCGCAGATTAGCAAAGGAGCAGAGGCGAGGGGAAGCCGCTTCCTCAAAAGTGAAAAGAACCGACACTCCCTCGTTGAGGCATCAGCGACATCGAAATCGGGGTTAGAGAAGAGGTCTCATCGCAGTATATTTTGTTCTCGATGCCTTGCCTCCATACAGCAGTCTAATAAGCCAAGAAATCAAAAAGATTGTCATAACGACACCCAACAGCTGCCGATGCAAAGGAAAAAAAAAAGAGCGCAAGCGAGTAATTCAACGGCGCGCAAACAAATTCGAAGCAGTTTGAGAAGCCGCTGGGCATGCCCGCGTGCATTCATGCTCTTTCCCACACGAAATTGTCTTCACTCAGTAGCACTTACTCCTTCTCTTTTTTCTTAAGCCTCCTCACGTCCTCGTTTGCGATCCTTGTCCAGCACGTTGCGGCTCGCGTACTGCGCAAGGTCGGCCATATCCGCAGTGCTCACCCATTGCTGTGGTCGCGGAAACCATAGCCGCACTGTACCGCCCTGCATCTGGCGGGTTGCCGGAATGCGAAAAGGGCGCTGCGCATTTCCCACCGGCTTGGGGTAATACGAAGTGTAGAAGGCGTTGCTGGTGCTGCCGTGTTCAGCCTTGCGCTGCAGCACACCAAAGCCGGTCCCGCGCTGTCCCAACGGCTGCTTCGCGTAGATGTCGGAAAAAATTGGGCTGGCGTAGCGCACGACGGTGGTGGCGGTGGTGTGGGCAGAGCCGCCGGCGGGCCGACCGCCCGCGCTGGTGTGGTCCTCCGCGTTGCCGGCGTGCAGCTGATCAAACAGCTTACCGAGTGCTTCGCGCGCGTGTCCGTCTGAGGCGGCATCCACGCCGTGGTCGTCTTTCCTCGTCGCGTTACGCTCGCCGCCTGCCTCGGCACTCACCCCGCCGTGTGCGCTGTACGCGGCGGCGGTGACCTCTCTGCGCAGCTCGCCCAGCAACTCCTCGTAAAAGAGGAGGGACGTTCGTGTTGGGGTGCGAAAGTGCTGGGCGTGGACGAGGTCGAGGTAGAGGGCTTTGCGCGGTGCCGGGAGGCTCTCGAGGGCGGACATGCACGCCTGCAGCGTCGCACGGAAGTTCTGCGCCTGGGCCGCGGTGAAGGACATGGCGGCAGGGGCAGGCGGCGCCGCGCCCGATCGCCTCGCATGCGTGGACAGGTCGGCCCGCCCAGCTGAGGTGGTTGCGGTTGAACTCCCGCTAAGATGGCGATCCGCCGTGCCGCCAGCCGGGCCATCTCTAATACTATTGCTAGTATTCGCATCGCTAGTAACCTCGTCTGCAGTGTACGGATCGCCCTCTGCCACGGCCCCCTCCTCGATCAGCCGCAGCAGCTCGTCGGCCGCCTCTTCTTTCAAAAGCTTGCGCTGCCTCCACCGACGCACCATCCGCAGGCACTTATCACGCCAGGCCGGCTGCGACGCACCGTAATCGTGAAGGGACGCAAACGCGCTCGTCGCCATTTCCCAAAACTCCTTTAACACCGCCGCCAGCGCTTGATCCGCTGCGGCAGCTGCGGTGCTCGACGAGGTGCGCACGAGGGTGGCGTCGATGAAGCACAGCACCGGGTAGGCGGCCGCCACACGCGCTGGGGTAAATCGCTGCGCGACGGCGACGGCAATGCGATGAGGGATGACGTGTGCGTGCAGCACCGCCGCTGCAGCCGCCTCTTGCACCAGCAGAATCTGCTCCTTCGATTCCTTCGAGAGCGCGTCCAGCGCGGATTGAAACGCCTCCATCGCTAATTCCTTCTTCGCATTTTTTTTTTTAAATGCAGGAAGTGTTTTCCACACAGGGTGGATGAATGTGTGTGCGGGTGTGTGGACCGGTGATAGCGACCAAGAAAGGCATGCGTTTTCCGAGTATCAAAAAAGATAATTACGATGAGAAGAGGAAGATGGAAAGATGAAAAAAAGAAGGAAGATGAACTGTTTTGAAGGCGGCTGCACCTCATCGATGCTGCGCAGGCCAAATACCTTCAGCCGTCAAGCCGTTGCCCTCAAATTGCAGAAAGACACCCTCTGGCTCTTCTTCTATATACATACTGCGCCTTGTCTGGTGAAAGGGAAAAAAAGCTCGCTCGATGAGGCGCGCCGTCCATGCTCGTGCAGTTGGCGTTGAAAGGAAACTCAAATATATAGTCGCTGTCGAAAAGCGGCAAATAACGCGGCGAACTCTGAGTAGGGAAGTGGGTTGCACCCTCAGCCGTCTTCGCTTCCGCAGTGCCCTCTTCCCTCATCCGCTGACAGCTTTATCGGACACATTTCTGATGCGATACCGCGGCGCCGCCGCGTCAGTTTAGTCGTCTGCCGTGCGACATGTACTCGTAGACCCGCTCACTCCGCTCACGTTTCTGATGCGCACCGGCGTGTGCGATCGTCCTCGCACCTCCTGCCGTCGAAGCATCACCCGCCGCCTTCACCGCCTCCTTCGATCCTTCCGGGGCAGCGAGTTCGTTTCGGGAATCCGAGTTCTTGGAAGTCGCCGTGGTCGTGTCAGGCGGCATGCGCGTAAAATCGGCGGAAGAGGGAGTACTTCCAGTCGCGGCGGCGACAGTTGACGTTGCCGTCGGATCAAACCGAGCGCGACGCAGCGGCAGCATCGGCACGTCTGTGCTGACCACTGAATCTTCTTGTCCCTCCTCTTCCGTTGAGGTTAGTCGCTGGTTGCCACCCTCCCAGGCATCCTCACCCTCCTCCTGTAATCGATCGATCTCATGCCGCGCCATGGCATACGTTGTCGCTTCCCCACTCAGCCTTCGCTTACGATTTGGGTGTTGTGTCACGCCTGGCGGCACTGCTGGGTACCACGTCAGCGCTAGCGGTGGCGGGGCCAGCACATCGTCCGGCGTGAGTTGCGCGAGGAAGCTGTGCTGACGACCCTCCGCAGACGCACTGCAGAGCGCCTGTAGCGTCCGCGGAGACAGTGGAGAGCGGGGCTCGCCGTTGTAGAGCTGCTGCTGCTGCCGGGCAAGAGCTGCGGTAATCGGGTCCGTCGAAGCGTAACTGGGCGAGGCGAAATTGGCGGACGCGACGAGAGGATTCAGGTGCAGCCGGGTGTGTAGCGTCGTCCTCGCATCGAAAAAAGCAGCGTCGTCGTTATTACTCTGTCGTTGTTGCTCCTGCTGCCGCCCCCGATGATAGCAGCCTCCTCGCCGCTGCTCATCCTCCTCCGCGCCGGTCCTCCCGTCGTCCCTTTCATCATCGGCGATCTCCTCTTCGTTTTCGTTCTGCGTGCAGCCCGCTGACGCTGCGGACAGGACCGCGGAACGTGAAGGGGGAGCTGCAGGCGGATGTCCGCGGAAGGCACTTAGAGCATCGCCGTAGCTGCTTTCATCTACGTTTTGGTCCCACACACCCGCCGCGGTGAACGGCGCTCCGTGCCGAGCGCTGGCACCGTAGAGAGAAGAAAAAGGCGGTGCGGGGCAACCAGGCGCAAAGGGATTTGAAGAAAGCGAAGGCGGTGGAGGCCGTACACAACTTCTTGAATTCGTGGCTGTATTCGCCCAGTTGGGGTTCGAATAAAAGGAGGGCGCAGTCAGGTTGGCACCGTCGGGCGCTGCACCGGAGCCCACAGAAGCCCCGTAGGTGGAAAAGCCACGGTCGGGAAAGATTGGTAGGTTGGTACTCGCCGTGGTGTTTGGGAGAGGCGGTGGTGGCAGCCGTGGCTGATCCGGAGACGCCTGCCACCCTTCAGGGGACGATGGAAAAGCGTGCATGGGTGCCGCCCTTCGATCACCTATCTCACCCGCGATGCCTACGGGGGAAAAACAAAAAGGCTATGTGCGTGTTCTCCGTTAAGTACTTCGAGCACTGTAAGAATGGGAGGGGGAGGGAGGGAGAAAGAGACGGTATTTCCTTTTTTGATGGGAAGGAGAAGAATGAGACGAAGAACATGCGTGCGTCGCAGCCTCGAGAGAGAACTTCTTTCAATAGCAGTGATACGCAATCGCGGATGTGCGGTGAACAAAGGAGCAAGTAGGAGAAAGACAAAGGCGATAACAACATACGAAAGGCTGTCTTGTTATTCGTCTGTTATGAAGAGCAGTTGGGGGGAATTCAATCAGTCGGGTGGGCGCTGACAATGACACACACACATACACACATACGTACACATACGTATGCACACGCCAAGAAAGCTTGTGCCTTCGGTGATGGCGGTAGAGCAAATCTGAAAAGAACAGATGAAACGAAGAGTGCAAAGAAGGGAAAGAAATAACTGAGAACAACAAGAAGACCTTTACCGCTTCCCGTCTTCGCTCTTCCGTTGCAAGGACGATCACGGCAAAGCCTAACGAATTCCCCCTGCTAAGACGTCACCATCGAACTCGTTATTCACCTCGGGCATTTCTTCCTTCAACGATCTTTACGTGGAAGATCTTTTCGAGATGCGCGACGCTGTTCTGTGACGCAGCTTGAAACGCCCTCCTCGCCCCCCCCCCCTCCCTCCTTCCCTTCGCCTTTTCTCCTTCTCCTCTTTCTCCTTGTCCGCTTTTTAATCTGTAACTACCAAAACACGCTTTCACGAGAAAACAAAATTTAACAGGTGTGCGCTCCGGCAGCCGTCACAGCGAACTCAACAAGTTCTCGGTGCTTCTATTCCAACGCCCCAGTGAATGCAACTGCTATTTACGTGTCAGTCGGACGTGAGGGTGTGCAGCGTCACCGCCATCCCGGCCGGTTTCACATCCTTCAGCGTCTCCTCAAACGCAGCACGAGACGCGTCTCCGCAGAAGACCAAAACCTGCGTCTCCCACGTCGGCGGGTTCCCTGCCTCCCCTTCCACCGCACCGACTCCCTTACCACTACCGGTAGTATTATTCCTACGCGTGCTGTCCGCCGCCGCCTGTGCGTCCAGCAACGCACCCAGCACGTGCTGCGGCTCCAACAACGCATCCACCACCACATCCTCGATCACCGCCGCGGCACCAAGCACATCCGTCAGGATCGCCCGCAGTGGTTCCATCGCCGCCTCCGGTGACGCACTGCGCGTCAACAGCCGCACGGACGTCGCTGTGCCACACCTAGGATTCGCACAACCTCGCAGCGCCTCGCCGAAGGTTTGCAGCAGCGAAGAAGATGACACAGAAGCGTCCGCCATGAATGTCGTGGTGTCGACAATAATAAGCAACCGCGACGATGAAGGCGCGGCGCGCAGACGCACGTAGCTGTCGAGGTGAAAAGATCCACGCAGCTCCGCGTCCTCCAGCCACGCCGTCTTCCACGCAGCAGGGCTCGCGGACGCAAGACCAGACCGTACGGAGAGGAGAGGAGCGATCTCCGCTGCATCCGTCCACACCGGCAGCTGGTGGCCCCTGCCGAGGGTGTGCAGGGCGTGTTGAACATTAGCGCACGCCAGACTCCCTCGCCGAGCAGCGCTCAACGAAGGTGAAGAAGACGATGCTTGTGGAACCCTCTCCGGCACCCACGTCACGGACACGCTGTTGCGGCCGACGCGGTGGAAAATCGGCTCCCCCGTCACAGCAGACCGCGTCACGACGATCAGGCTGCTGTAGCGGTCGTGGATGAATTTGGCGAGGCTGTCCGCCCCGGTGTATCGCGGCAGCCACAGCGGAGAATGCGTCTCCACAACTTTGTGATGCAGACGGAGATGGGTGTAGACCTGTTGCTCGGACCAGCCTTCGTAAGGGAGCCAGACGGCCAGCTGCGCCATAGCGGCTGCCCAGTTGAAGACGCACACATGAGCTGCGCGCACGCCGTCTGTGTTGGCTGCGGCAGAGGAAGTGCTACTCTTGTCCTTCGCACTGCCGCTGTCACTGCTGGGAAGGGCGGTTGCGGTGGTGGTGCCAATCGAGGTGAAGTAGCAGTGCGGCGCCAGTGTATCCCAAACGGCAGCCATCCACGACTGCGGGATAACCGGCCGGACGCGGCTACCCGGCGGGGTCTGTCGCTTCGCCAGCTCTGGGAAATCAAGCTGCTGGCGAAAGGCAGCCTCCAGCCGCACCGCCGGAACCGTCGCTGCTGTCTCCTCTGCGGCGTAGTGAAAGAGCCGCAGCAGATCGTGTTTGTGGGAGCTGATTCGCTGCTGCACGGCGGCCGGCACGTCCTGCGTGGCGGACGCGTTTTGCGCCTTGGCTTGCGCTTCCTCTTCACCGTTGTTGGTCGGTTGTGGTGGTGCGCTGTCTGCTTCGGAAGAACCGGCGGTGGTGGTGGCCGATGTGGTGTAGCAACGCCGCTCCGGCGAGGAGGAAGGTAAAAAGGGCGAGACAGCGTAAACCCCGGCCGTTGACGTTGCGGTACTCAGCTGCGGGGCACACCGCTGCGTGCGTAGTGCCCCAGATGCACTCGTCCGCGGCTTGAGTGCCGCTATGTGTGTCCTCACGCCGGTGAACGGCGTGTGGGTGGCATGGGCCCGGTATGCATCGCGCAGAGACAAGCTGGCAGCCCAGCTCACTGCCGTCACCGCGGTACGGCTCTTAGGGACAAACATGGACTGTGACGGAGGTACAGTGATAATAACAGCAATGCGATAGACGTGTGAATGGCTCCTTTCACTGTCAGCTCGGGCGTCTTTTACCGGAGGAAACCGCCCGTCAAATGCGATACGTTTACCTTTGCTGTGGACAAACCTTTATGGAAACCTTTTTTTCTTTCTCTGCTGCTACCAGACATCAAAGGAAGGGGGCGTTAGAACGGCAGGACGACGAGAAGACAAAGAGAGGGACTGCAATTAGATGAACGCGCTGCACCGCAGTCCAAAAGAAGAAAGAACTGAAGCACTACACTGTGCAGCGTCGTTGCGTGAAGGCGCACACGGCTCGCACAAAGTGCTTTCGAGGAAGAAGACGCATGAAAAGATTAAATAATCAGCTGCGCACACACAATGCACAGGCAAGGCATTTTTCACGCCTCACAGCGGCGCAACCTTTTTCTCATTTTTAAGAAGCACTACCAAGCAACCAGGATTTTTACCCGGTTCAGCACGCGGAGTCGTGATCGTCTCCGCGGTCCCCTAAAACAAACGCCATCCCCATCTATCGCCTTTGGAGCTCAAGACGCACAGCAGGGAAACGGAGCTTTCACATCATAACTTATCGTTATTGTTTTCGTTTTTTTGCGTCTTATCCTTAAAGGGGAAGTTTCTTCACTGCTTATTCGTAGAACCGAATTAAAGTAACCAATTTAATTTAAAAATGAAGGGAGAAAACAGCGTGCAGCCGCCGTCGTGAAGAGAGAAAAGACAGTAGTAATATTAGAAAACCAATCGTTGCTCCGCAGGCTTACGTGCCTTCGAGCAGACAGCACCAACTGAACAAACGCCAAGGGCGGAGAAACGACAGAAAGGCGCGGTGACACGACGACAGCACAACAAATTTCAAGAAAGAAAGACAAACGTCCACCCCTACGCCGCCAAATCTTCCTCGACAGCCTTTTGTTATATATATACGCGCAGGCCTTACAACAACACAATCACGCAAGTGAAGTGAGAATTAGTGCTCAGATGATCATGCCTCCTGCAGCGTGTACTTCCACAGTTTCTGCTTCAGTTCATGAAGCTGACCGGCCGGTACACGAAACAGTACCACCTCGCCGTTGCTGCCGTCCTCCTCACGCACATCCTTCAGCTGCAGCCGCAGCGTCTCATCCACATTTGCGCTCAACACGTGCATCGCCGAGGGCACCTTCAACTGCGGCTTCGTGTAACGGAAAGGGTTGCGCACCACAAGCTTCATCGAGAGAATCACCTCTTTTACCTCTGATTTCTCAAGCGAAGCAACAGCATCTGCCGCAGCTGTGGCGGCCACCGCATCCGGTAGTGCCTTCATCACCACGTGCGTCGACTTCGCAATCGCATCGAGCAGCGACGCCTCCGTCGCGTCGTGCAGCACAATGCACCGACCGGGTTTGCCCACACGTGCCGTACGCCCCGCGCGGTGGACGAACGTGTCCGGCGCGAGGGCGTAACGCGGCAGGTTCAGTATCAACACCGTGTCCACATCGACGAAGTCCAGCCCGCGTGCGGCGACGTCGGTGCAGAGTAGAACCTGCGCGACACCGCTGTTAAAGTCCTCCATCGCGGCCACGCGCTCCGCCTCATCCTTTTCCGTCGTGAGGGCACGCACGACGAGGGCGGAGGAGGACGTGAGCGAGGCCGAATCCGCCGCCTTCTTTTTCTTGCTGTTGTGGATCGTTGCTTCGGCAGCAGCAGCAGTGCTAGACGACGCTGCGGTCTTGAGGGCCTCCTCCAGCTCCACCATCTGCCTCGTCGTGCCAAACACCACAACACGCCCGTTGAAGCCCACGTTTTGGGTCAGCAGACGCACCCCCGTCGCCACGCGGTCGCCCCACGCACACGGCTGGTGAAAGCACTCGAGCTGCGGCGGCAGCTTCGCCGTGCCGACAGCCACCAGCTGGTAGTAGTACTTCTTCACCCCGAGAAACCCAGCCTTCAGCACCCAATTTGGGATTGTTGCCCCGCACAGCACGTAGTGGTGTGCGCGGAAGTCGTTCAGGAGACCCTCCGACAGCGCACCGTTCGCCCTACGAATAAACTTTAGCAACGCTTTCATGCGGCGGCCGAGAGAGGAGAAGCGAGGGCCGAGGGTCATGTCGACTTCGTCCACGACAATCGCACGGACGCGGGCAGGCGAGATCACACCAGCTACGCGGGTGGCCACCGACGCCGCAGTGGCCTCCTCCTCGTCGTCGTCGTTGTCCGATGCGTTTACTGCGTTTGTGTCATCCTCGTCTTCGTCTTCGTCTTCGCCTTCTGCTGCGGCTGCTGACTTCGCTGACGTGAAACGCTGGTGCTTCTTGCCGAGCAGACGCGCCTCTCGCGCCGCCTCCGCCTCCTCGGCCGCCGTGGCCTTCGCCGCCATCGTGTACCCGCGGATCGCCTCATCCAGCGTGCAAACGGTGCCGATTAAAATATCGATGGCGCCGCCGTTGCAGGTGGAACTGCCACCTTTCTGTTTCTTCTTCTTCTGGTCTTCGTCTGCGCTGGCGGTGGCAACCGGCTGCAGGTCATCGAAGCCCGCCACGGCAATGCGCAGGCCCTTCTGCGTGCCGTAAATACTTGTTAGCACACTACGGGTCTGCATCGCCAGGTCGTTGCTGAAGACAAAGATGAGAAGAAAAGGGCCGGGCGCGGCGTCGGTCGCACGTTGCCGCTCAACGAGGAGGTGGCGCTCGATGATCGGAAGCGCGTACGCGAGCGTCTTGCCGCTGCCGGTGCGGCTGTGCAGGATCACGTCGCGGCCGTTGAAGATGCCGCGGTAGCACTGCGCCTGGCACGGCAGCAAGCTCGAAAAGCCCAGCGTTTTCTCTAACACCTTCGCCGTCGACGCCGTCATCAACGCCGTCTTCACCGTGTCGGTGTGCGGGTTCGCCAAGGCCTCCTGCGCCTCCTTCCGCGAGACGTGCCGCCGCTCCACCGTCACCTCCCTCTGAAGGCGCTCGAAGGACGTGTCAACTTGGGCGTCGCTGTGCAGCACCACCATGCCGGTCTTTTTGACCTTCTTGTGGCGATGGGCGTTGCCAGAGGTCTCCCAGCTGTAGACGCTCATTTTCTCTGCTATTTTTTTATTCCGGAGAGAGTGACGAGAGGCTGAGGGTGACAGACGAAGCAATAACTAGAGCCTCACGCGTTTTTATTTGCTTCGTGACGGGCAGGTGGATGCGCGGTGAGAAGGCGACTTGGCTTCTCTCAGTGGGTGAACTAGGGGTACGTTCTTTGGTGACGCACACAACCAAGCACAAGAATGCATATGGAAAGAAAGACAAGGATAAAACACGGAGACATCACTGGGAAAGGAGGGTTACGTGTTGAAGCTCGACACACGAACTCATTTAGCGTAACATGCTTGAAGTAACCACGAGAGCTGGCGGCGTGAAAACTAGCATCGTCGCTTGTGCAGACGGAATTGGAAAAAAAGGGAGGGTGCCTTGCCCGAGATTCTGACGCAATCTGAAATAGAAGTTCTCTTCTGTCAGTGTACATCAATCTAGATTTGCTGCAGCTTCATGGTGCAGCTGCGAAGAGAAAAAAAAACACTGCTGCGCACGCGTATAGCGTACTCCAAGACACCACGAGCGCTGAAAGCCGAATTAATATGATATGTGTACAGTTGTTGTCTCCTTCACCTGCTGTCGTGTGGCTTCTCCTTCCCTCGCCGAGTGGCCTCCCCCTCCTGCGTCTCGTCGTCGTCAGAGCTGACCTCGACGACGCTCGTGGAGCTGCGTAAGAGGTGGTGGTGGCGATCCATCAGATTTACCTCAGCTGTGTCCGCACCATCACCATCCCCCTCCTCCGCCGGCGTCACCTTCGCCGACTTCGCGTTCGCCTTAATTGCCGCCGCCGACGGAGAATGGTGGAAGAAATCTTCAAGGGTTCGCCGTGCCGGTGCTGGCGCCGGTGGCAACAACGGAGGAGACGCCACACCCCCAGAAGAGTGAGATTTGCATCCGCCGCTTTTTGAGTCCGCCAAACCTTTCTTCTCCGCCTCGTCGTCGTTGTTGATGTGGGCGCTGCTGCTGTCGACGGGCCTCTGTTCGCCCTTGTCGAACACCTCATCGTCCGCTTCATCGCCACTGTCGACCTCCACCACAGACAGCGCGTCATCAACAGCTGGCCGCGCGCGCTTTCGCTCCCTTCCTTCCGAGGAGCTCCGCTGTGTCGTCTCTTTTGAAGATGCGCCGTGCGTGGCGGAGATGTCGGCAAACATATCTTTCAACGATCGCTGGGGCAACTCGACGGCCGCAGCGCCACCATTCTGTCCTTCGGCCCCTTCGTCTCCTGCACTTCGAAAGCGGAGACCAATAATCGAGAGGCCGATCACACGCAGCGGCGGCATCGGCACTTTACTGTCGTCCTCCGTGTCGTACGGCGCCGTCGCTTCCTGTCGCTCTTCTTCACATGTCGCCGTTGCTGCCGTTGTTGCCGCTGTTGACACGTCAAGGTGCTCCGTCGAAGGTGCTCGAGAAGACTTCCAGTTCCATTTGAAAGGTACGATGTCCACCTTGGTCACGTCCCGCATCAGCATCTCCAACTCACGCAGTCCATACTCCGCCAGCATCGCCGCCCCGTCGATCTCCACCGGCAACGCGGTGTGTCGACGGTAACTCTGCGAGCGCCACCCATGCCGCCTCTCATCCTCGGTCACGTATGTGCTGAAGTACACGACGACGCTGCGGCCGCTTTTGTAGTAGCAGGACTCGTAGTGGCGGAAGCGGTGCCACAGCTCAGCCGCTAGCGGCGGCATCCACAGACGCGCCGCCCGCCACGACTCGCACGAGGGGTGGAAAATCTTGCTGGCCTCCATGGAGCGCGGGAGAGCCGGATCGGCAACCTTGTCGCCGTGGACGCCGCGAAGGCGAAAAAACGTGTACTCTGCCACGCCGGAGGGGCTCCTGTCACCACCGCCGTGGATGACCCTATCCGGTTCGGTTGCGTCTATCCTCCTTTGCTTTGTACGCGCATGCGCGACGCTGCCTCCGCCATCCTCGTCGTCGCCGCCATCGTCGTCATCGCCAGGTGCAAACGCGGAGCTATCCAACGCGTACAGCTGCGGCAGCGGCACCATCCACAGGTCACGGCAGTCCGTCGCACCGCCGCACACCGCGCTCACCGCAGCACCGAACTTCCCGCCAAACCCGCGCAGCCGGGTCAGTGGCAGCTCGAATAGAGCACTCGCGCTGCGGTCCGGCAGCAGCAGCGTCTGCTGGTTCGGCTTGTGCGTCGCACTGATGCACTTCGCCAGCACGCGGTTGTGCGCGATGCCGGCGGAGCAGTCGTAGTGCAGCTCCGCGTAGATGCGCTGCCGCAGCCGGTGCACCACGCGCGACGCCGCACACAGCAGCAGGCAGCGCGCCGCGTAGGCACCGTCGTCGCCGTCCACGCAGAACCCGCGGCTGCCCTCCACCGCACGCCCGCGCTCCCCACGCAGCAGCGCACGCATCGGCGCGTCGAAGACGGCCTCCAGCGACGTCCCCCGCTCGCCAAACCACGCCTGCATCTCCGCCCGCCGGTCCCCGATCAACCGCGTCGATGGCTCCATCACGTCCCGCAGCGCGTCCAGCGCGACGTCGGGGCCGCCGGCCGCCGCACGCACCGCCGCCAGCTCCCGCTGCGCCGCCTCCGTCACGTCGATGTACGCCTCGTCGATGCCGGCCTTCCCCACCACCACACCTGGTTCCGATCGCAGAATCGCAAAGATCAGCCGACTCGCGTGACGGTATGGCTCTAGCGACACCTTATGGGTGTTGATCCTCGGTGCGTCGGGGTAGCCGTACTCCAGCTCCCCAATCATGTAGGTCGCGATGTGGCCCATCTTCAAGTCGGGGTGTTCCTTTCGGACGTCTTCGAGGGTCTGCCGGAAGCGTCGCACACCGAGGGCGCGGGCTGGGTAGTTGACAGCGATGAAGCTGCCCCACTGTACACAAACAAAAGGTGTTGTCCGGCAGTCCACGCCGAGCCGCACCGCCTCCACCTGGGCGTAGAAGCAGTCCATGTCGAGGTGCGCGATGCACCGCATGTCCGGTGGCGGTATGGGGGGAGGGGGGGAGGAGGGCATGAAGGAAGCAGACAGAAGGGATAGAGGGAGTTAATACAATAGATGTGTGTATTGAACTCTTTTCTGCTGCTCGTCTATGAGTGTGTTTTGAGAAAGGGTCTCAGAAAGAGAGAGAGAGAAACGATGCGGCACACACACCGGCTAAGGTGCAGCTACGCCGCCATGTGGAGCTGATCGGGACAAACACTCCGTGACCGCGGCGAGGAGAAGCTGCTGAGTTTGAGCTGTGCAGCCGGTAGAGGCGCCTGACAACGTTGGGTGCAAACGGGGAATGAGAGAAGGGAGAAGGGAGAAGGGGAAGTACGGCTACATCACAGAGCATAGATTGTCGCACAACGCATGTGCCCGAGAACAAATGAATCCTCAAACACATAAAAAGAGGAAAGAGAGAGAGGGGGGGGGCGAAAACGTGTGCACGGTGCCCACAGTGCTCAGAACGCTCTTCCGTGGCGGTGGTTGACCCTTCGTCCCCTTCAACAAAAAACTCAGTAATGTCTATGTTGTGTGTGCCGGAAGACTCTCGCAAGCACGCAAGCACATAGACTACGTAGTAGTGGAAATATTAAAAAAATAGTAGCAGCAGTACAGCACCGATCTTTTAATCGATGATGACCGTTTCACAGTCCTTCCTCGCGCGTTTCGCCGCGCGTTCCACTCCCACATCAGGACTGCTGTCGCCGTCGCATCTACCGCCTTCAACGCAAGCCTCACCGTCCTCCACCCCCGCAGTGTCTTCAACCACCACCGCAGGAGAAGGTTTGAAAGAAGAAAGGGGAGGGTGTGTGGTGTTTTCCGAAGCCGTCTTCACCGAAGTGGAAAACGGTGTTAGTGATGTCTGCTGCTCTACTGTCTTCCCTTCAGCTTTCGTCTCCGCTTCACCTTTCACTTCTCCGAGAACGTGACCAGGCCGGCTAACGCGGACAGAGGAAGGCGGTGGCGAAACGGTCTGCACCGCACTCACGCAGCTCTCCGCAGCGAGGACCACCCGCTGAGAGGGCAGTGACAACGACACGACGTCGCTGTCTTGCACAGAAGCGCCGTCGTCGTCAAAAGGATCGAAATTGCTGCTGGTGCTGCTGTGGCAGATCACTACCTCGCCTTTCCATTCATCATCCTCTTCATCGGCAGAGCTATCAGAGATTTGCTCTGCCACACGCACCGTTGCCGCTGCTGCTGATCCTGATGGATTCGTTGTCGCCGTCTCATCCGCTGTCAATGAAGAAGCATGAAGGAACGAATGAAGCGTCCGCTGCCGCGGTGGCTGGCGATCCGACTTCGCTCCGGAGATGGCGGAGAGCGACGGCACGAGACCCATCGCGCCAGAGTTGTCCGAGACGAAGCCACCCATCGTCAGCGTCACCGAGTCCGCCGACACGGCACCACCCTTCTCGCGAAACAAACTCTGAATCTCCCGCTTCGTAACTGCTGCAAGGATGTCCGGCTGTACCACGTCCGGGAGCGCCACCGTGTAGTTCATCACACCTCCCATCCTTCGAAAGCCCTCATTTCCAAGCTTTATATTCCAGTTTCGGCCGCGGAGGTGGTACAGAGCTGTGAACTCGTCATAGCGGGAGCACAACTCGCCGCACAGCACCACGACCCACCGCTGAATCGTATCGACGGATGAGGTGAGGAAGCCGAAGTTTTTAGACGCGATGAGGGTCTTGGACAGCGGGCGGTTCACAATGGTGTCCTCCGCTACCCCACGCATGCGATAATACGCGTCGACGGACAAGTCGTGCGTCACAAGACCGTCGTCGCCTAGCACCTTCTGCGTGAAATGGGCGGGGCTGCGTCGCGGCCTTTGTGCGTTGACGCTGCCTCCGCCATCCTCGTCGTCGCCGCCATCGTCGTCATCGCCAGGTGCAAACGCGGAGCTATCCAACGCGTACAGCTGCGGCAGCGGCACCATCCACAGGTCACGGCAGTCCGTCGCACCGCCGCACACCGCGCTCACCGCAGCACCGAACTTCCCGCCAAACCCGCGCAGCCGGGTCAGTGGCAGCTCGAATAGAGCACTCGCGCTGCGGTCCGGCAGCAGCAGCGTCTGCTGGTTCGGCTTGTGCGTCGCACTGATGCACTTCGCCAGCACGCGGTTGTGCGCGATGCCGGCGGAGCAGTCGTAGTGCAGCTCCGCGTAGATGCGCTGCCGCAGCCGGTGCACCACGCGCGACGCCGCACACAGCAGCAGGCAGCGCGCCGCGTAGGCACCGTCGTCGCCGTCCACGCAGAACCCGCGGCTGCCCTCCACCGCACGCCCGCGCTCCCCACGCAGCAGCGCACGCATCGGCGCGTCGAAGACGGCCTCCAGCGACGTCCCCCGCTCGCCAAACCACGCCTGCATCTCCGCCCGCCGGTCCCCGATCAACCGCGTCGATGGCTCCATCACGTCCCGCAGCGCGTCCAGCGCGACGTCGGGGCCGCCGGCCGCCGCACGCACCGCCGCCAGCTCCCGCTGCGCCGCCTCCGTCACGTCGATGTACGCCTCGTCGACGCCTCCTTTCTCCACCTGCACGCCCGGTGCTGAAGCTATAATGGCGAAAAACTTTCGGCTGGCGAGGCGGTAGGGTTCAAGCGAGATCTTGTAATAGTCTCGCGTAGGGTTCGGGTGATACTGGCTGACTGATTCCCCCACTCGGTAGCTCGGGGAGAGGGCCACGACAAGGTCAGGGCACATCTGTTTCGCCTCAATGGCGTTGTGCTGCCCGCGCTTAATACCGTATTTTCGGGCCGGGTAGTTGACAGCGATGAGGCTTTCCCATTGAGAGAGAACGAGAGGAACGGTGCGGCAGTTCACGCCGAGCCGCACCGCCTCCACCTGGGCGTAGAAGCAGTCCATGTCGAGGTGCGCGATGCACCGCATGCCGCCTGTGCTGTCGGCATGCAGGTGTGCCGATGAAGACGTAGAACTCATTCGTCGCTGTCACCTTATGACTCGCCGATGAAAAGAAAACTATGCAGTTGGATGCAATGAAAGACCACAAATGGCGCTTGTAGCGCGAGTAAACGCTGTCAATGAGCAGGAGAACAAAAGAGGTGGGTGTGGGTTCCTTTTATTGCTGTGGTGGTATGCGTATTTGTGTGCAAAAGGAAAGGAATCTAATGTGCTGCGGTTATGAGTCGTGCATTCATGTCTCAGGCGAGTGAGATGCGTGAAGGAGCGAGTTAAACGCTTATTGTATCGCGTTTTATCACGCTATGGACGGCGAAACCGTTGAATTCTTAAGCAGAGAACTTTGAGTTCATAGCATTTCTTGTATAAGGATGTGTACCACTGCGTGTAGAGATGTGTCTCGTGCAGCTACCTCAAAACGGAAAGAGTGTCCGCTCTTCGTCAGTTTTTTCATTGGCAGAAAACAGGAAGACTATGAGTCGTGTAAGAACAAATCGGAAGGGGGCACAGAAGAAGGCCGCCGTAGTAGTCATGTGCTCTTGCATGGAGTCATTAAACGCTGCAGCAAAAAAAAATGTGTCCTTCTCATGCACGCTGCGGCGCTGAAACACGAATGCCAAAAAGCGTTCTCAATTATTCATTTCGAGAACGCTGACATGAAAGGTACTCAACGGGGACGCAAATGCTGTTTACTCTTACGTTCTTGTTGGCGATAAACCGAGTAGAAACGAAGTCGAGAACGCGAGTAATGCTACTGTCGCGCTGCACACACGCAGGCAGGCAGCCACGCGGCAAACAAACAAAAATGACTCGGATCACGAAAGAAAGAGGGGGAGAAAGAGGGATGCGCTCTTGTCAATAAAATGAGTTGAGAGGCAGGAAAATAAGACTAAAAAAGAACAGCACAAAGACTTCGTTGACGGTATATATATATGCATGTATCGCAGAATTCAAAGAGCGTTTGGAGTTGGCAATGAAACGACAGACACACAACAGCGGTGATGTCGGTGTCATGACATGCACAGCTCCGTTTTGCCAACAACAAAAAAATGTCTTTCCTTTTTTTACCTTTCAACGCAGGACAGATTGTCGATGCCGACTGCACTTGGGCTGGTGTTTCTCTTCTAACGGATGCGAAGCAAGAAAAAAAAGGCGAGAAATACCCCTTGTGTTTTCTCCCTTCCTTTTTACGAATGGAAGCTCCTCCGTGATGCACTCGACCACCATGACAAATTTTTTGTTGGTAGTGGTAGTACTTTCAACTCTGCTCTCTTTATCGTTTTGTGTTTCCACACGCATTTTACGGGCCAGTTTCATGGTACATTTGTTGTTGCGGCCGTTGTTTTTGTCTTCGCTTGCTAGCTTCACCGTTTTCTCCCCTGTCGAGCTTATGTGATCACCGTCGGCGCCTCGCGGCCGGTAAAGCTCTCCATCTGCGACACGCTCAGCGCGATCTCAATCAACGCCTTCAGCGCCATGCCCGCTGTCGGAAGTGTTTTGGCCGCCAAGTGCGCCTTTACCGTCTCCGGGTCCATGTATTGCTCCAAGTACAGCCGAATTGTCGCACCAGAGGAGCCCGTCCCGCTGAGGCGCAGCACAAAGCGGGAGCCATCGTCGAAGAGAACCCGCACACCCTGCTTCGTCGAGACGGAGTGATCAATCGGGTCGGTGTAGCTGAAGTTGTCGATCGTTTTGCAGGCCACGCCGTTCAGCGCGGGCACATCCGTCGACGTCGTCGTCTCCACCTTCTCCATCACCGCGTGTGCAGCTTCTGCGTCGACCTCTTCGTAGTCGTAGCGGCAGTAGTAATTGCGGCCGTAGGTGGCCCAGTGCTCCTCCACGATTTGCTGCACGCCGATCAACGGTGCGCCTCCCGTCACGGCTGCGTGGTGGTTGCGCTGGGCGAGAATCGACAGCCAAAACAGCGAGGCCCAGACGCCGTCCTTTTCACGGATGTGGTTGCTGCCGGTGCCGAAGCTTTCCTCGCCGCACAGCAGAGGGTTGTAGTCGACGCCGCCGTACACGTCTTTGCTGTCCATCAAATTGCCGAAAAACTTCCAACCGGTGGGAACCTCGAAGAGGGTGAACCCTTTCGCGGCGGCCACGCGGTCCACCGCCCCGCTGGTGGGCATCGACCGCGCGACGGCCCGCAGACCCCCGACACTGGACTTATGGAAGAAGGGCACGCAGTCCGCGTTGGCTGCCAGGACGGCGAGGGAGTCGGACGGGTTGACGAAGAAGCGCGCGCCGAGGATCATGTTGCGGTCCGCATCCCCGTCGAAGGCCACCCCGAAACTGGGGATCGAGTCGAACCTTTCCATGGCTGGGTTGATGCTGCCGTCCGGCAACAGCCCCATCACATGCACGATGTCCGACGCGTACGTTAGGTTTGGGTCTGGGTGGCGGCCACCAAAGTCGGGCAGCACGTCTGTGTGCCGCAGCGATGACTTGGGCACGCCGAGGCAGCAGTGGTAGATGTGCTCCACGTAGGGGCCGCTGACGCCGTGCAGGCTGTCCGTATGCAGTTTGAAGTCTGGCCGCTGCACAAGGTGCTTGATGGCATCGAAGTCAAACACCTCCTGCATGTACGACACGTAGTCCTCCAAGCTGTCGATGATGTCCACCTCCATGCCGCTGGGCTGGAAGGTGTGGCTGCCGACGGTGTTCAGGTCCACGTCGGGGAGAGCAGCATCGATCTTCACCTGCGAAATCTTCACCGTTTCTTCGAAGATGTCGGCGGTCAGCTTCTCGGGCGCCGGGCCGCCGTTCTCGGAGTTGTACTTGATGCCAAAGTCTGCATTCGGGCCGCCGGGGTTGTGGCTGGCGGTTAAGATGAACGCACCGGTCGCACAGCGGCCCTCCGGGTCACGACGGCGGCGGATGATGGTGGAAACAGCCGGCGTGGACAGCATCCCGTGCTGTCCCACCCAGACCCGGCGCACACCATTTGCGGCTGCCACCTTCAGAACCACCTGCACCGCCTGCGGCAGATAATAACGGCCGTCACCGCCGATTACGAGAACTTGTGGCACGCCGCCGTGGCGCTGCAGGGCATTGAAGGTGCTCTGCACGAAGTTCGCAATGTAGTTTGGCTGCTGAAAGACGGTGACCTTCTGGCGCAGGCCCGATGTGCCGGGCTTTTGGTCCTTGTAGGGCGAGGTGGCGACTTCCATGGTGGCTAACGGTACAAAAGGCAAGCAAGCACGTGATAATTTGAAATGATAACGAAACGTTTTCGTCGATCTTCCTCCTATTTCTCTGCGTGTGTGTGCGCGCATGTGTATGTGATCCATCACAGGTGGAGATGAACGGGATCGCATAAACAGCGAACAGAAGAAGTTGCATTTGTGGAGAGAAGAAAGAAGAAGGAACGAAAAGAAGAACCTACGCAGAATCATGCGGTACTGGTGTTCCCTCGGCAAGTTGTACTGCCTGCTCGCCGTGGGAAGAGCTCGCTTTCCTTCCCGAATAAAAAAAGCGGCAGTGTGTGGATTAAGCATATGTTCCATTCAAAATACAGAGCGTGCTTTCTTCTTTGGTTTATTGCATTTCGTGTCGCTTCGTGTCTTTCGCCTGCGCTTTCTTTTCCTTTTCCCTTCTGTGCTCAGTGTGTGTTTGTGAAGACGAAGGAAAGGGGGTTGCCCGTGCTCTCACGGCACTTCTACGCCAAAGACCTCCTTGGCACGCCGCCGCACGCCGTCGTTAATCGCGGCCGGGTAACTCGCCAACACCTGGCAAAGCTCCTTTGGTGGAAAATCGGTGTGGTGCAGAAGTGCACTCAGCAAGTGCGGGCTGCACTTCGTGCCGCTGCGGATACAACCGCGAAACACTCGCAGTGCGGCTTCCCAGCCTGGCGCTGCATCGATGAGGAGACACGCTGGAAACACGTCCAACGGAGGCGCCGGGCGTGAGGGAGACGTCGCCGTGTACCGAATACCGCCCTCCGGTACGAGGAGATGCAACGCCGTCACGACATCGAATGCCTGGGTGTCACGAACGTCCGTCGACAGATGCTTCATCGTACTCCTCTTATTTGCCTTTTCAGCTGGGTTGTTTGTTGGGAGTGCCGGCCGCGCCGTCACCAAGCTGCGCGCCGCGTACTTCTGAAATTCACTTAACGGGAAACGATAGTAGAGCTGCAGCGCGTTCTCCCACTTCCCCTGCGCCGCCCACTCCCTCCCGGCAGCGCTTAATTGGACCTCATCCAGTCGAAGGCCGCGCGCGAGAGCAACGGCGATCTGACGTGCCACCGGCTCGTCCGGGTGTGCCGGCAGACGATACCACGGCCGCGCGTGCTGCGGATGCAGCCGGTAGAGCAAGTGTGCTGGCAAAGCAGTCCGTCGCACCGTGTCCAGTGCGATCTGCATCGATGTGGCGGCGCCAGTAGTGGAGCTGCCAGACCAGTCGTGCAGCTCCCTCAACGCAGCCTCCCAGCTACCGCGGCTCATCAGCCATAAATTCGTTTGCTTTTGTAGTACAGCACTCGTCTGGTTGTGCGTATCTTGCCTTCGAACTTCAACGCGGTCCAAAACTGCCAGAGCCTCGGCCCACCTTTGTGGGCACACGAGGCCCACCGCACGTGCGTACAGCAAGGCCAATTCCGGCGTTAGCCGAGATGCCTGCACCAGAGACAGCACCGTTTCCATCCGCTTTAAATATTCATTCTGACTGGTGGAAACGGTGGCAGATGGTGGTCGCGAGAGAGCGCGCAGAGCAGCGCAAACACTCACGGCAGAAGGCGCGACAGCAGTGAAGGCCTGTTGTACCAGTACCGCCTCCTCTGCCTGCGCACGCTGCAGCAGCGCCTGCCGCTGTAACTCTCTTAGGCGCGCGAGTTCACGGCGGTCGCGGGCGGAGTACCGGTGGTGCTGTGCGCCAGCAGGGATGGCCTCTAACTGCTGTAGCTTCTCTTCCACGGACGACATCGGTTCATCCAGTAAAGGAGACGGCGAGGTCGATTTGCTCTGGTGATGGATATGTCCCTTTCCTTCTTCGGTCCCGGCCCACTGGGCAAAAGACCCAACATCGTGTAGAAGACTGTGACGTAGTGCACGCAGGGCGTGTACTCGCTCCGCGCAGGCACGTGGAGGTGGAGAGGGCAGCGACGACAGCAGCCGCGTCGCCGTCTCCCAGCTGCACCACTGCGTGGCGCTCAGAAACAGGCGTCGCTGCAGTTGGGCAGTAGATGACAAAGATGGAGAGGTGGAAGGTGGTGAGGGGGTTATGGTGGATGTGAAGGATGGTGTACTGTGTGAGATCTCAGCCGTCTCGTTGTTCACCCTGCTCACCTTCTCCTCAAGTGCTCGCAGCATCGCGCCTATCGTGTCCTCAAAGACGTCAATTGGCAGCTGCGGATGCCGGGCGACGGTATCAATCGTCTTGCACACCTCCTGTGTGTGCCGGACGGTGTCCATGGGACGTAAAATACACAGCGCAGCCTCCCATGAGTGCGCGGCGGCGAGTTGGGCGACGGCAACGCAAGCGTGTCGAGTGGCGGCCTCGGTAGAGTTGGTGTGCTCCTGCAGCGCCATCAGCCCACGCACCCATCGCCCGGAGCGGGCGCACTCAAGCGCGAAGGAGGCGATGGCGGACATGTCGGCACGAAGTCATATTCATAAGCATCTGAGGTGCAAAACGAAAAGACTCTAGGCTCGGGGGGGGGGGGGGG